GCTGGGGACTTGGAAGAGAATACAACATCCTTTTCTCGGTGCGATTAATTGACCGAAAAGTGGGGCCATATGAGACCATCAACCCAGCCGGCACATAAAAGCCACCAACCTTTTTTTCACAGGTCCTACGTATCTACCTTTCGACCATTCATGATCACTGATGGGTCGAAGAATATGTTCCAGTCTCTCATGAGGACCCTGTCTCGAAGAACATAAAACAGTGCCAAGTGCAATGCTTTGGCCCCACTTTTTCTTTGCTCAAGCCATGTGCAGCAACCAACTATACCAAAGAAGTGTACCTTCCCTCTTTCCCTATCCTTAACTCGCTCGTTTTTTGGCTTTTTCTTATTTGCTCGATTTTTGTATTGGTTGACGCTAGTCAACATATGCTCACAGAAGGGATGTATATCTCGAAACATCCGATGTATGCTATCTCAGCTTCTTTTCATGGGAGAATTCGTTAGAAAAGAGAAATAGAGAGAACGAAGTAAGCGAACGAGCAAAGAGGGACCTCAACTGTTCATTTTTTTATGGCATGGCCCTGAGTGAACGAGTAGAGTGTACCGCCTACCGTCTAATGTCATCGGATCGGCAAAACAAAAACAATTCCTGGTATTGAAAATACAACAAGTTCTTGTACACCCATGCTAAAGAAAAAAACAACAGCTTTACAGCTATCGCACAAAGGATTGCATCTCTCATTGGACCAGAGAATTACTTGCCCGATGTACATGGTGGTGCAACTGCCATTACCGTTATTTTCATGTCACGAAAGAAAATACACAAGAAATATGGATGGGAGAGCATCCATGGTATGCTCTCGTTTTCCCGTTCATTGCCTGTACTTTTTTTCTTTCTCTTCTTCTCGCATTACGCTGCCGATTGAAGGTATTGTTTTACGCTCACAGAGACGAGAAGTAACGCAAGCGACGGGGATGACCGATAGGAGGAGACATCTGAGGCTATGAGCTGTTTGTTCTGCATCTCTTTTGTCTTCGGCGTGTGGACATATAAAAAGAGGAACCCAGCGTCCACTCTTTTTTGTCTTTTTCTTTTCACCACACCCACCCCTTCACGACTTCACTCGCTCTACTGCACCGCTAGGATTTATTAAACCACCTTATCCGTCCACTACATCACCCAGTCAACCGTCCAGCAAGAATGAAGATTTCATTATCCATCGCAGCTCTTGTTCTGGCTGTCGCCTCGGTGGTAACTGCAGCTCCTGCCACCGTCCCTGGCCGTGCTCCTTCCTCTAATTCTACAGCTTCCGTCGAGGGTGAGGAAGGTGCACCTCCAGAGGTCGTCAAGATTCTGAAGCGGATCGGCTGGCTCCCTTCCAACTAGTAAGTCCCTCTCTCTTTCCTCCATCCCCTCTTTTTCTCTCCATCCCCTCTTTTCTCTCTATCCTCTCTGCTCTATATCGGAGCATGCAAAGAGATTGTTCACATGGGAGTCTGCGGGCGGTTCTAATCAAAATTTACTTTTTTTCTGTCAATTCTCGTACTTGATTTTCATAGCAAATCTCCCGAGTCAGGATCTTCCCGTAATGGCGGTGCTGCAATGAACAGCACCCATACTCTGTAAGCGAGATATGTCCTCTTGTTTTGACTAGGTTATACTGGTTCTCCTTCTATTGCTCTCGGACCAAAAGCAGGCGGCACGGTTCTTTTGTCTCTCGGTCACAAGTCATTAAACTTATTCCCCGCGCCCCCAAAAATATCCCTTTTAAAAAATCATAGCCACAAGCGTGCGGAGTGCAATAGCCTCGACTTCATCTGGTTCAGAAGGTACCCAGCGAATATGGCCCCAGATCAACAAGACCGGTACGCCCAAACCGCCTTCATCCTCAAAGTGAGCCCAAACAAATACGACGACGAAATATCCCCCAAGAACACCGAAGGTGTGCCCCCTAGTTACCGGGAGATCAGGGTCTCAAAGGACCGAAAGTGGAGGGTCTCCTTTGACAAGAATGACAGAACTGGCACTGTCATTATGACGGCGAATTCACAGGACAGGGTGTACTATTTGCCGAATTTTAAACGTTATGTAGACGTAGAGGATGATGGGCATATTATTATTACCAATTATGTCTGGGATTGCATGATGTGGTACTAGTCGCCTCTCCCTTCCTCCTCCTCCTTTGATCGGTCAGTCAGTCAGCCGTTTTTCTTCGCTTTCTCAGCATACTTTCCTCTTTTCTTTTACATATTCCTAGTTTTTTTTTCGTGTCCCTTCACAATATACATACACCCTGTGAATCCTTTCCATTATTGTCGTATTTGAGGACGATTTTTTGTTCTGTCCATTGTTCAAAGGAAAATAAGCTCTCTACAAGAGCAGCGCACAGCCAGCCCATGTAACAGAGCGAAGGGAAAAAAAGAAAGTCCTGTTTCTGAACGCCACCAATTATTTTTAGTTTCATTCTTTCGTCGCAGGGGCACGAAGCTAGTACGTGTGTCACTTTGCACGTTCGTTTTACTCTCTCGTTACCACTACTCTCCTTTGTCATTTCTCCACAGAACATCTGACAAGTACACAAAACAGCAGCTCAACAGTAGCATCAACAACAAGGTAGGTCCAACCTTTTTTTTCCCCTCTCCCCTTTCTACCCGCTCGTTATCCATAAATCAACCTTTTTTTCCCCTTGAATAACCTCTCACTCCTATTCAACTTGCTATGGCCAACAAACACGCGCATTCAAAAAGTGAAACGGAATGTCGAAGAGAGGTAAGAGAGCAAACAAAGAAGAATCCCATCTCGTCGTCTTCTTCGCTTCTTCTTTCCTCCACTCGCATTCCCACCAATGTTTATCTGGATTGGAGGAGTACGTAAATTCCGCACTAAAAATGAGAGCCTTCACTCGCTCTTTTCTCTCCCTTTCCTGCACCATGCACTTCAGCAGCCTGTGTATCCACAATATACCTTCCGTTCTACTTTTTTTCCTCAAGTTCAATTTCTTGTTTGGCTTGCAAGAAAATAAAAAAGTGTCGTATGATTATGTAAATGAGGACTAGAGATGTGGAGCGGGACAGGATAGAGAAAAGTTCCTTGAAAGATACCCATCAACGAGATGTGCGAACAATTAGCCGTTTTGCGCAACAAGGCTTAAAAAATGAATATCCGTACCTGGACGCCACTACTTCCCATCACACCTTTGTTTCTGATTGCCTCAAAGGCGGATGACAGGACAGAGAAGGAAGGGATAAGAGGAAAGGAAAGAGGTGAAAAGGATGAAAGAACTGAGAAACTGTGCTATGTTTGCCTTCATGTGTAGTCTGTGAAGTGTTTGCATGTAGTGTGAATGTTTGCAAGGGTACGTCGTCGATTCACCACAAAAAGACGGCAAAAAAGGGTAAAGCACAGATGTTTGATTATCATATCCAAAGCATTATGTACAACCCTTGAAAACCAACCCAAGAAGCGAGTCAGATCGATAAAAAGAAACCCGGGGATGCCCCACTTTCCTTTCTTCTTCCCTTCTTTCGCTCCTTCTGCAGACACTCCCCTCCCTCTCCACCTTTGCTTCTCCTCCCGCTCCTCCTTCTTTCTCCTCCTCCTCCTTCCTTCTCCCTCGCCCACTCTCACTTTTGCCAGTGCTCCATTTCAATCACCCCTCACAAAAAGGAAAAATAATGAAGATCACCTCGTACCTCACCGCTCTTATTGCATTAAGTATCGCGACCTTGGTCACATCCGCTGCTCCTGATCCTAGCACAACAACCCCCAGCGCCAACCAGCCAGCACCTTCTCACATCGTCAAGATGCTTAAGCAGATGCGCTGGCTCTCTGAAAATTAGTATGTTGTCTCGCTTCTTTCTCACTTCGCTTTATTTGGTGTGGATATCTGCGAATGTCGACTGTGTGTGTGTGTGTATGTCAATCTAACAAGAAGAGTTCTTACCGCTCGCTTTTTATGTTTGATCTACAGTGTTTCGCCTACCGATTCTGAGGCATCCAAGTGAAGCATCAAAAACGAGTGGTTAGACAAATGAGGGTTTGTACCACAACTGCCCCCTCTGACCAATAAAAGGATAAACAAGGGTGATAATTTTGCCCCAACATGCACCGAAAGGATCGAGTGTCTTGACAAATAAATGGATTCGGCGATGATCAGTTGATGTTCAAAAACAGCGTTGCTATCAGCTACGAGAGTGATGAGAATACACACTTTTCTTGAGCGCCACCAATTTTGTTTTGATCAGCGGTCTAGGCTTGCCTTGGTGTCGCTCTTTCTTTCATGGTGATGGATGCTCATTCCTCTCTCTTTCCCTTGCCCTTAATTTCCTTCCTTCAATGCCTCCTGTCGATTTTCTGGCAACACTTTTTGATTCTCCGTCGGCTGGCTGCCTCCAAGCACTGCCTAGGAGTCCCTTTGCATTAATCTTTCCTCTTCCTGATCCATGAATTATTTACATAGTCGACTCTTCGCCAATTGCTCTGGGCTATGACCCCCTTTGTGTTCACTGTTCTTTTTTAATCCTGGGCTGTGTCCTCTTTGTTTTTTGCATGAACGCTATCGAGGGTATACTTCCCTTCTATCCCTTTCTGAGGATCTCCATGAGACCTGGCCCCTCATTTTAATGTGATACTTAAGTATTTCCTCGGAACTGTGAGAGCGATGTGGCGAGGGGGGATGGGTCAAAAGATAGTTGATTACTGTATGAGCATGTAAACCTTGCTGGAGAGAGGCTTCAATAGGTGCTTTATATGCAGTTTCGTGATTAATTGACAAACCCCGTGACTTTTTTCCTCCTAAAAAACGAACAGCGAGAAAGAATAGCCGTCATCATCAACGGTCCTTCATCTTTCTTGTCATCATCCCCTCTTTCTTTGCCATCAACGCCCTCTTTCCTCTCTCCCCCTTCCTTACTTCCTTGACGTTCTTGTCTCTTTCTTCTATCCTCTCTCCCTTCCTGTCGCTTCCTCCTTACAGACCCTCACTCCTTCGCCGCTCTTCTTTTTTACACTCACATTCAAACAAACACAGAGACAAGCAAATGAACTTCTTCAAGAAAAAGAACAGCAAGGAAGACGCCCCTCCCGTCTCCCCTCAACCCCATTCCCCAACCTCGCCCTCATCCACAGGCCCACCCTCTCAACGAACCAGCGGCGGCGGTGTCCAACGAGTCTCGTCCATCCACCACCCTCCCGGAAGCGGCGGTCCCATCATCCCACCTAGGACAAAGTCAAACGCCCCTAGCCCTAATCCTGGCAGTGGCAGCCAACAGTTCTACAGCCAACAGCAGCCCGCCCTGCAACCCGGTGGCAATCGTGACACTGACTCGAACTCGATCAACTCTTTCGTGATGGTCGGCGGGCAATCTCAACAGCCGCAGACTACCCCCTTCAACCCCAACAATAACAATAACAACAACAGCGAGATGTTAGTCTCCCAGCCACTTCAGTACTCGCAGTATCAACAACAGCAACAGGATCCGAGCTTTGATCGTGGTGGCTATTCTGCAGGAAGCAACCAAGACGGTCAGCCTCATTCGCAAGGACACGGCGGCGACGACGGTGGATACTATGGACAACAGCCTGGAGCTGGATACGACAATAGCAACAATGGAGGTGGTGGAGGAGGTCTTCTCAGGAGCAACCCTATTATTCTCCCTGGTCAGAGCAACAGCCCCAACAACAGTTCCAACGGTGATATCCCCAACAGTGGCAGCATCGGTGGTGGGTCAGGAGAACTTCTGCCAGCGGATGTTCGCAAGCTTCAGGATGAGGTTCTGAGCTGGAAAAAGTCTCAACAGTCGTCGCAGACCAAGGTCGACCAGCTGGACAACACCCTGAAGCTCAAGACGCAGGAGAATCATGATTTACACGCCAGTCTGCAGCAGGTTCACCACGACCGAGAGGTGCTCCAGGAACTGATTCACAAGCGCGAAAAGGAGATGGAGGACCTGCGGTCAAAGTACTTGAACGACGTCCGACAGATCCGCGCCACCGACGACGACCATTCGACCATCGAGCAGCGTGTCCGCGTACTCCAGGCGACCATTTTGCAATTGACCAAATCCTCGGCAGGCGACCGGTCGATGAACCTGAACCAGGAGGAGGCTCTGCAGCTGGTTAAGAAGAAGTACAAGTTTGCCAACACCCAGCCCTATATCCTCAACATGTTCCTCGAAAAATACATCATGGACACGTTGCTGGAAGATGTGTTCTACAGCCCATTTTATGTCGGATTCCAGCCAGCCCAGGAGTTTGACGATATTCACAAGTGGATGGTCGAGAACAACTTTATGGACCAGGCGACCCGATTCCGACAGCAACTCTGTTTTATCTCTGCCAAGGCACCCGCCTCTCAGACTTATGCTTCGCAGGAAGCAGCGCGCATTGCCAAGAGCTTTGAAGTCCGCCTTGAGCAACTCTACAATAACTGGAACGGGCAAGCCAAGGTAACGTTTCCTTTTTGCATTCATTTTATGGGCGCCTCTTTTTCTTCCTCGAGGATATCATTTTTCTTCTTTTCATGGACGTCTCCTGTTTCTCTTTTGCTCTTGTTGAGCATTATTTATAAGAATACGCCAAATTTACTCACTAATTGCTTACGATGAACAACAAAATTGAATTAATTAGGTGCTGGATTTGGTGACAAAGGCAATTGACTTGAGTTTGACGATGAGGAGTCAGAATGCAGAGATTGTGGCACAGCAGGTGCCACTCGAGTCGGAGTTTGATCCGACAAGGATGGTGCCAGCACACAAGAGTAAGGACGGTGGCAAGGTCAAGGTCTGTGTCTGGCCATGCTTTGTTGACACCAACGGTGTCGTCGTTGGCAAAGCCAAGGTCTTCTGCGGTTAAAGCATGGATGATCGTGCGTTAGCTCCTGCAAGGTAGCACACATCCTCTACCTACTCTATCCTTGTTACCTCTTCTTCTTTTTTCTCTCTCTTCCGGTCAGAATGATGGCCATAATACCACTTGTTAACCATACATACATACGACATTAAAAAACATCAACTACCAACGATGGCAATGTCTCAATTGAAGGCTATTGATTTCCTGTCTTTCTTTTCCCTCTCTATCTCCTTGATGTGAATCACACTTGCTATCATCCGGTGTTGTACTTGGTATGAGAAAAGGGCGAGGCTCGAACGTTGTTGCTCAAGGGGCGGACGTACAAAAATATGACCCTTTTCGTAACGGTTTAAAACAAAAAGGAGTCAGTGTGTGTTGTGTTGTGTGGCTCTGTGTGTCAGGGGAAATATACTTTCATAAACTTGCCCACAGTGTACCCCAGAAAGGAACAGATGTTTCTTTTCTTCTTTTGTATTCCGTTGCATTGAAGGAGATGTCGTTTTTATAGCTTTCAATTGCAATACCCCATCTGCCTTCCTCCATCCCTGAAAGTACCCCTATTGCATGAAAGGAGCGGATGTGTTATTGTTTTGTTTCTCCCGAATGAAAAAAAGAAAAGAGGAGGGGGTGGGGGGTGGCGTGGAGGAGGGCGGGGGACGGAATTTTTGCCTATATCGCAGTATTTGCCATTGGAAGTGGATAAAAACTAGGAGAGCGCGCATTGACCATGTGAATAGATGAACAAAGAACACCGAACAGAGAAAGATGACAATTAGTGTTCTAGTTCTGGAACATGATTAATCAAATCATCGATACTTACAAGACGAAAAGAAAAACAAATAAGAGCTTTTTCGTTTCTTCAATGGTGCTCAAGCTGTTACAGTTCTTGTTGTCGTGCGCCCCCGTTTCTTTCTCTTGCTGATGGTGTTATGTTGTTGTCTGGATGAGATAAAGGGACGGGAAAGGAGGGGAAAAGATGACGGGAGTGCATGTTGGAATTCGGATGAGTAATAGACTGGAGGAGGCAAGGGGAAGGGAAGAAGGTAAATGTAAGGTGGTAGTAGAAGAACAGGAAGAAAGGTCGAGCACCGGAGCGCGTGTCCTCGGACTGTAGTACAGTACATGGGCCAACAAGCATCCACCCCTAGCTCGTGTTGTTCGGAGTGGCAATGCAGATGCAACAACATGCACAAGGCATAAAGGGAAAAGAAGAAAAAATGGGAGAAGCCTCACACGAGCAACTCGGAATATGACTGGTTGAAAAATGGAAAGGTCCTGAGAGCTTTGCAGGAGAAAGGATGCGATCCTTTTTCCTTTGTCTGCGGTAGAGTGCTGATCTACTTCCGTACATGTTGAGGTGAGGTGCGAGTGTCGTGTGAATGAAGGTATATGAATGGGTATGAATGTGTATGAATGTGAATGGGAAAGTGCATTTCGGTCGTGGTGGGTCATAGAGAGAACGAGAGAAGGGTGCACAAATAACAAAGTAAACAAGGTCAAACACATGGGTCGCTTCTCGGCAAACGAGAAGGGGCTAATGGTGATGGATGGGATCCTAACCACGGCTCTTCTTCCTCTCTTCTCTTTCTCCTTTCCCTTTCTTCCTTTCCTTTCCTTCCTTAGTCCTCTTTCCCATTATATCTTTCTTTTATCTGCACACACTCACTCCCAAACGCTTGCAGTCGACTCTCGTCCTTCTCTCGCTCGTGCATATACACACACACTCGACATATACACACACAACATCTCCCGCTCACTCTCACTCACTCTCACTCGCTCTCACCCGCTCTCCCACAACTTGCAACCCACAAACACAACTTGCAGCCCACAAAGCGACGATACAACGAATCGGAGGTACGAATTCTGTCCTTTTCTCTTCCTCCCCTTCACTCTCCTTCACACACGCACACGCAGACAGCACCTAGAACACACTCCCTCAACCTGTGCTCGCCACCCAAAAAGAAGAAAAAAGACTCCGGACTACATCCCCGCCAACACAATCTATACTATTGCGCGTACTACTACTACTGTCTTAGGGTGAGCGTAGTTAGTGACCCACTCTTGTTCGTTCCTCTTGTCTTTGTCCTTTTTTCTCCGCACGCCTCATTTTTTCCTTTCTTGTTCTCGTTCTTGTCTTCGTTTTGTGAGCTTATGGATGGATTGGATTTCCATTTGGTCGGAGGCAAATGATAATTGTTATCCCGACCAATGAACAAATTTTGATCGTTGTGTTTGCGTTGGGATGAATCAACACAGGCACTTCACACGGATGGTTATGCCACCACTTTTGGCATTTTGTTTATCCTCATCTCGTGGGCGATAACGCAGATCATTCCTGACATAGCTGCTCGTTTGACATTGCGGTGCTTTTGTGGTGACAGACAACTGGAGTGGTTTATTATCCTACGCCCTTTTTAGCTCTCGTCCTCTCGTCCTCTTTTACCTCCGTCTCTTTTCTGCACGTTCTGCTTTCTTTACCCATCGATCCATCTCTCTCTTATCAGCCTCTTTCTCATGTTTATTATTATCACTTGCATGCCACGAAGGAATGTCTACGATAAGACAGTACAGACAGGCAGATAAAGAGACGGAGAGGCAAACAGGAGGGGGCATGATGGCGTCCTACAATGAAAATGGAAACGATAGAAGGCTGTCTTACCCAGACTACATCACAAAGTAGTCTAGGGACAGAGGCATGACAATGCTCGATTTTTATTTCTTCTTTTTGTTGTCTGATTTCTACAACGTAGAAGATACACACCACCCTTGTGAAAGAGAAGGAAGCCCTGCTCAATTTTCCTTTGCGATATGGTTGCACAAGAAACAGTATTCTTTTGGCTCTGTGGGCGAGTCGGGTGAGAACACATGGATGAACGAGGGATGTATATTGATAACAACAACGAAGACAACGAAGATTTTTATTCAGGGTGTAGACGAAGCAAGAGAGAAGACAGGAGTGATACACATTGGTCATTTACAGTGGGAATCATATCTTCATACGAGAAAGAAGCAAAGGGTGTGTGCACCCCAGAGGTTCTCGTCTTTTTCCGAAGCGATCTTGGGGGATCCTAGGAGGTAGAGAATTGAAATGGGTCGAACGAGATCACAGAAAGTCCGGTTTGCAATGGGCTTGTAGTGGGCAATTGACAATGGGCGTTGTCGTTGCCACACCCTTTCTTTTCCGTCCCATTCTGCTATTCGTTTCCTTCTCCTTCCTTTTCTCTTTCTCTCTCCCTCTCACCCTCTCTGCATTTTAATATTCAGGTCTTTCCCCTTTTCTTTTTTCACTATTTTTGCAGTAAGAAAAGTTCAGCCGTGTCTGTGGCCAGCCACCTCGAACGATGAAAGAAAGAGGTGGTCTTCTTGTTTGTTTGAATTTGCCTTTTTGTTGCCGCCAAACCAGCTGGACTTTGTCCTTTCTTGTCGAATAGTGTACTTGTGTTGACAACACACACGCGAGGGCTTGTTTGTCTGATCTTCGTTATTTTCTTCGGCAACAACAACAAGAATGAGCGAAACATGTAAAAGAGGAAGAGAGGAATGAGGGAGGGAAAGTAGGGCTTTCTATCTCGCTCTTTTGTATGTGTGTGTGAAAATGCAGGATCATTGATCTGTTTACTCTCTTCTCTGTGCGCCTTATTCTTTTTCTAGGATCGAACAAGTCTAACAGCGAAAGAACTATGTAAACACACCCTTGGGAGCAGGATCAAACGCTAAAAAAATCAGCATTTTTTACTTTCAACACCACCAACACACCATTGTCGCATACCCCTCTTCAACAGACACAACAATGCCATCCTCCCCATCATACCCCACGGCAGAATCAAATGGACCCTTACTCTCTGCCACCAGTAAGACCGGACAGGCAACAGCCGCCAATGGATCCGAGGCTGAAGTTGAAGGTGCAACAACAATCCATTCTCTCATTGACAGGAATTGTTCCAGCCAGAGTCCTGCCACAACCACAACTGCCACCAGCCACTATCGGACGTCGGATAACAAAATTCTCTCCTCGGATCCCTCTTTAGCATCTGCAATCAGCGTCTCCTTCAACACCGCCATCACATTGTCGCCAACGACCCTTTCCATGCTACCCGTCCCATCTTCATCCATTACCCCCTCATCATATCCAGCACTATCGACCCCATCCTCAACCTCATCATCACCTCCTTGCTCCCCTTCCTCCGTATCATCGGCATCATCATCATTGTCGGGACCTTCTTCCTGCTCCTTGCCATCAACTTCCTCCTTCTCCTCAACTCTGCCATTTGAAATCTCCTCCTCTGATCGGTTTACGCAACCAGGCATCATCAGTCAGGAAGGGTACCAGGATCACCTCGATAAGGTAAAGAAAAGGAGCGTGACTTTGCACTACAATCCCATGCGTAGATCAACGCTAGATTCGCAACTCTATCCAATTCGGGATTGAGTTTTGTATTATTGTTGATCTTGGCGTTGTTCGCTCTTGATGGTCGCTTTACTGCCATGACACATCATGTCCGGCACCTTAACTCTACCGCACTGCTGCTTTTATCCACCTATTTCGCCATTATCTCTCTCTTGTTTTTGTTGCTGGATTGTCCTCATCCTTCCTTCCTATTCCTATCTGGCGCCATCTGACGCTTCATGAGTATAAAGAGAAGAAAAAAAGAAAGCGCGGACACAATTGCCGCGTGAGATCCAACGCTATCTTCATATGAGGAGGACTGAGGGGACCATCGATGATGTGCTTTCCAATTGTCCAACTGGAAGAAAATTCCAATCATGGACCTCCAACCTTATCCCATCTCCCCATCGCAAATTCTTTTTGTCTGATGCTCTTTCTGTATGTGTCCTCTCATTTCCCATCTCGATCGCATGGCGCTGTTGTTGCAGAGGCTCCGATTTTTACCCTTGCATTGCTGTCAATCACAGTACTCATTTTTTGTACCACAACATGTAGGGTACTCCTTTGCACCTCTCACCCGCTCTGCCATTCTTTGCGATATTTTGGTTGACCGTCATTTCTTTTAATTCATACAAAACGAACAATTCATCACTGTAGGAGCCGTTGCTGTTGTCAGGACTCTCAAGTGAACGCCTTCTTCTCCGTCAACGTCAGGGGGATATGACAAACCAAGCGGAGAACAATCCTTCCCCAGATCAACAGCAGCCCCCGCTTCTTCAATCTCAGCATCAGCACCATCTACAGCCACAGACTGCGAACGACCAGTCGCCGCCGCAGGAGCCATCGCACCATCCAGGTCGTGCCGATTGTCAGAGTCATCTCAGCAGTAGTTCAAGTCCGCGCTCTCAACCCATCCGCCGTCGCAGCCCAGCCATCTGTCCACCGTCACAAGTGATATTTCCGATATCCTTCACTTCTACCTCAATTTCGTCAAACGCTCCTTCTCCACTCTCTTGCTCTGCCTACTCTTATCTCTCAAATCCCTCACCTACATCATCTACAGCAACAAACACAGATCCCCTCTTGCAATATACCCTTCCCTCTCCTTCTCCCTCAACAGCTGTCCCTCGCATCATCACTTCTACCCCCATCTCCATCCACGTTTCCCTCCAGCTGCCCCGACTTGAACAACCACAAAGCGCACTTTCCCCTTCCCTCAGCTCCCTCCCTTTTTGCGGTTCCCCTTCCTCTTCTGGTATATTATCAACCAGCTTCACAGCCGAATCGACAACAAGCACCTCCCTCTCTTGTGCATACTCTCAGCCCTTCTTATCAGTTCCCTCTTTGAACACACCTCGATCTGTTACAACTCACCATCAACGTAATACCAGCATAAACCTTCTCCAAACCCTCGACTCTCTTTCTCCTCAGCTCCCTTCTCTTAACACCATGACTCGACAGCGCTCACAATCTGCTTCGTCAGCCCAACAACTGACAGCAGCAAAGTCCCCTCGGTCGCCCACTGCTTCCCTGGCAACCGCTGCAGCACTGTACGACCCCCAGCAACTCCCCAAGACACTCCAGGACATTCTTCTCCTTGCACAGTCTCACTATATCTCGCACCGCTACGTTCAAGCGCTGTCGTTTTACAAACTAGCGGCGGAGCATCACCATTCCTTGCCAGCTTGCAGCTCCCTCTATGCCCTCTACACCTCCAACCAGACAGGATCAGGGTTAGTCCGGAGTGACACAAAGGCCGCCCTTATTTTGATCCATGCCCTCCGAATTTGGACTGCCCGCCGCTGGTCCACTTCCGCCCGAATCGAACCTACAGGATCCATGCGCTCACGGACACAGGACGACCATGACGAGCTGGAGGAGTACTTTGCCCACCCTCGGAAACCGACCCGACAGCAGAGCGGGCAACACAAACAACAGCTGCGACGTTCCCTCTCGACTGGAGCGACTGCGTCCTTCCGCCCTACTAGGGAACAGCTGTTGGCCGACCCTGGCAACAAGAACGCACTCGCCCAATCGATGGAGAGCGAATATCGCCATCCACAATTCTTAAATTGGCGAGACGAGGCTGTGGCGGAGATCCACAACGAGTCCCGGGGGTCCGAGGGCGAATCAGAGAGCAGTGAGGACGACGACGACAGTGATGACGAGTGTGAAGGAGATCAAGCCGATCTTAACACAGACCAGGAAGTGAGCGACCATGATGACGACGGTGATGATGAAGGGCAGGAGAAGGAGGAGGAGGCTCGACGGATTGGACTTGCGACAAGCGAGATCGAAGATATCATCCAAAAGATCTGCCACATGATTCAGAAGGGAGTGTTGGGTCTGGATGAGCCCGTTCTGGTCGAGGCTGTCAGCATGCTTCGGAAAATCGAACGAAACTTGCATCAGGAAGCGAACGCAATCAAGGCGGAGCGAGCTAGGTCCGTCTCCCTCTTTACCTCCTCCCTCTCTCGTGGATCGAGCGATGAGGCGGTCTCTCTACCAGCACTGTTGTTGACTCAGGGAGTCGATCTTTCCTTCTTGGACCTTGGTAGCCCCGACGACGATGGATCCGATCATTTGACTCAGGCCCAGACCCAGCCCATGGGTCGCTCTATACGACAGCGTCCGGGCAGGAATTTCACCTCCCCGATACCCCTGACTCACGGATCCAGTCTTGTTTCACCACCCCTATCTAAGCATTCGCCCATGAATGCATCGATCGCTAAGTTGTCGACCAAGGAGCAGGAGACCGACCATTTGTTTGCTTGCGCCATCCGCATTCGAGTCATGTTTACTCTGGGATGGGTCCACCAACAGAAGGGCGAGTACCACTATGGTGCCCAGGCGTACGGGGTCTGCAGTGAGATCCCTGCGACAGGAAAGCGACTCTTGGACTCTTTGCAGCACCAGGCGAACGTCCAGCGATGGACCTGCAAGGCGTTTGAACACAAGGCACAGGAGCAGGCAGAGGCTGCCAAGAGACGAGCAGTGGAGGCAGAGGACGAGGAGGATTCGGCAAGTCATCTTGCGGTGGCTCCCACTGGTGCTGCGACGCCGACACCGATAGAGGGCAAGAAGAAGAAGAATACCTCTGCGACTCGATCACCCCCTAGCAGGAACACAATTGGATCCTCCGCCTCGTCGCTTTTTACCTCCTCGCAGCCCTCTACAGGAGGAAGTCGTCGCCATCACCGCCCCGACATCTCGAGTCCTTCTTCGTTGTCCGGCTCCGAGTCCGAGTCCGCATCGACTTCTATCCACGGTCGGTCGTCATCGGCTTCAGCGGTATCTAGTTTCTCTGCTGCTATCTGGAGCTCGGGCCTGTTTAGGTCTAATAGCAAGACCTCGACGAGTTCCCTACCCTCCAAAGTCTCTGCAGGTCTCAAGTTACAGACTGTGCTGGATCCTCCTGTCACCATCGAGACCAAGGACCGTCGTCATCGTGGCAGGACGTCCAAGTCTGAAGGCAACAAACATCAACACCAAAAGCATCAGCACAAACAACAGCAGCAACGACAGGCAGGAACAGGAGTAGGAAGTCTTCCCACGCTGGTGATGACGATGACCGGTCACCAGAATCAGATTGTCAAGTGCGGACACTGCGGACTGAGACGGGCTCTGATGCCTCTGTGTGTGTGCAAAAAAGTCCGGTACTGCAATCTTGCATGTCGATTGGCCCATCTCGAAACTCACCGGTCCACGTGTTCTGGCCTTGTCTCTTCTTTGACTTTTTCGTCCAACAGTCTTGTCGTTTCCCCCTCCAGCGCCCTGGGGATCGTCGACAATAACTTTTCTGTGGAGCCTATGGGAGTAGCTCTTTAGATATATTTAGCATTTTTTTGTCAACCACTACCACCCATCGTCCCTCCACCTTTGTCGCCTTCAGTCTTCTTTTTATTTTCTCCGTGTAGTATCCGATCGTCGGAATACAAAAAAGAAATAAAGACGACGAACGCAATTGCATCCCAGCCCTCCATTCTTCCCTCTCATTCATAGTTTGTTCGTATTGACCTTACAATTGCTAGGGTTCCCACATGTGTTCAGATCGCTATCTTTCTGTCTGTTCGCTTGTTAGCCCTGGCGTTCATGTTTGGATCGTTTCTCTTTTGCGTGCTTTGTTTGCTTTGTGGATGTTAGATTTCCCAATCATTTCGCCCATGTGGAGGACGATGGAGTCATGCATCCTCTTTGTTGTCATTCTTTTTTGCTTTATTCGGGTACGGACTATGGAGGATGAAAGGGGGGATAACTGACATATGAAGAGTGTTCGAAAAGATTTCCGACCCTCGTTATACGAAACGGATGTAAAAATCCCAGAAAATGAACAAAGAAACAAAGAACAGGAACCCCCCTTCTCTACCATAACACCCCGGCCCCCCCCCTCTCTCTCTCACTTCCTAACCTCTCGGCTATACCTCGCTAGCAACACCTCATAATTCTGCTCCACAAGCTGATTCCTCTCCTCCAGATCCCTCAACGACTGTGTGAGAAATCGGATTTGCTTCTGGGCTTGGACGCGGAGGGTTTGTTCGGTGGTTAGTTTTTGGGCCAGAGAAGATATTTCGGAAGCTGCGTAGCGAGTTAGGCGGGTTTGGGCGCTTGATGCTAGGGTGGCAGGGGATGGGGATCTGGATCTCGAGTACGATCTGGAGAAAGATCTGGAGAGGGATCTGGAGGGGGATTTGGAGAAATATTTGGAGGCTGAGATGGAGTTGTGGGGAGAGGTAGAGTGATGCGAGATAAAGGCAGGCCGTGGAGGAGGAGGAGGAGGAGGAGGTGAAGGTGTTCTGAAAGAGGAAGGGAAGTAGTATGGGAGGGAGGTTGTTGCGGATGTCATAGATTTGGAGAGGGGAGCGACCATGGTCTTTGTCTCTGCGGATGAAGGCGGCGCAGTGGGAAGTGATTGTGGCGGTGTAGACGGCTCCGTGTTGTTGCTGCTGTTAGCCTGGGGGTGCTTCTCAGTCTGCAGTGAGGATGCATGGATATGGTGGTTGAGATTGGGGCTGGGATGTAGGGTAGTACGAGAGGACGAAGCGATGGACAACGAAGATGAAGAAGGAGGATGAGGATCAGTGACATGTCCTTGTGGTGGTGACGACGGCGGATGGGACGCGGACGAATGGTCACAGACGGTGCCTGTACCGGTGCCTGTCGCATTGCCATTGGCGATCTCGAGGGGGCGAGCATCGATCGTGGGGCTTTCATCCCCAACGTGATGCTGATGCTGGGGCTGATGAAATGGGTTCATTCCATGGCTGCCACCTTGGCGAGGAGGGAAGTGGTATCGATTGTAGAATTCAGCATTATCATAGCCTCCTCGTCCTCGTCCTCGCCCACGACCAAAACCGCGACCACGTCCTCGCCTTCGTCCAATGAACACTCTTTCATGTTGACATCGGTTGTTCCCCTCATCGCCATCGCCACCGTTGCCAGGTTGGAATCCATCCCGGGTGTGGTGGAACCCACCTGGATGCTGATAGTTGTTTCCGCGGTAGGAGGTCCATGGTCGCGACAGGTATGGACGGTTGGTTTGGTGGTTGTGATGATGATGGTTGTACGAATAATTGCTTTCGTGCTGCTGTGAATGACGCCGATGGTGATATGGCTGGTAGTGAGAATGAGGGTGATGCTGCGAGGAAGGGAACCGCTGGTTGCCATAAAGTTGCTGGCGGTAGGGGTGATCATGGTTGCTGTTGTTGTTGTCAGACCAAATGGGAGAGGAGGGGCTTTGGCTGTTGTGGTGGGTCCTGCCTGGATCCTCGACTATCTCGGCGCTCACTGCCCTGGCATGCTTGTTACTGGTGTTAATGTTGTTGGCGTTTGGAGGAAGAAAAGAAGGAGATGGTGGTACCTGACTTTGGTCTTGTGCGTGGTCACGTCTGGGTCGCTTTGTCGTCGACATGCAACTGGTCTTGGCATCGGCCATCTGGAAGTTTACTTCCTCGGCGTCGTAGTCTTCGAGATCGTCATAGTGGTCAGGCAGGAGCGGAGAGGATCGCTTCTTTATGCTACCGAACCTTTCGTAGAGACGGCTGGACCCGGGTTCTTGTCTCTCTTTGCCAGCAGCGGTTGTCAGATTCTTCTTATTCGACTTGTCTTCTTCCTTGAAGGGTTCGTGCAGATCGAATCCGAGGATATCTCGATCGTCCTTACCGATAACATCATCACCATCGTGAACCGGCGAGGGACGGATGTTCATCCCGTGACGAGGGTTGGGACTATAAGATCGCTGTCGCATCGTTTCGAAAGAGGGGGTCCTCGAGGGTAACCAGATGGGACTGTAGGGTTTCAAACCCAACTTCTTAAACGGGTCCTCATCATCAACAGAACAGTTCATCTCGGGTGCTTGGATTTGGTTTTCTTGTTTTGTTGGAAGAGGAAGTGGATGAAAAAGAGAAGGCGAACGGATCAGCTGAGGCTGGGTATGACGGCGACGGCGGCGGAGGTCTGGGTCAGGGTCTGGCTCGTCTGTTGTACCGTCTTCGTCGTTCAGGTCGCAGTCATAATCTGGAGGCAGGCCGATATCGCTACTGCATCTACTACCGTTGCTGCTGTGAGCGCTGTTAGAGCCCTTGATTGTACTGACCACTGGTTGGGTTGTCATTGGTGAGTTTGTTTGTTTCGAGGTGGAGGACAATGACGCCTGAGATAGATCTAGGGCTGCTGGAGTCGAGACTGGAAAAAGAGGTGACACAGAATGTGAGACTGCCTGGACCTTGGGAGCTTGATGTCTGACTGGAGCTGTAGGCGCGAAAGAAGGAGAGGCAGTAGTGGTAGAAGTGACGGTTTTAGAGTTGAGCTTCTTGAGGTTGAGACGGATTATGGGTTTTGTGTAGTTGCAGGAAGATGTGATGCGGATCGTTCTGCCAGCTGGAGGGGTTGGAGAATTGCTTATGTCGCTGGTCGGTGTGGCTGGTTGAGTGGTGGGCGAGGATGATGATGAGTTTGTGGTGGCAGCTTTTGTGGCAAAGGCGGCGGATGTTTTCTTGGTTGGTAGGGGCGGAGGTGGCATTTTTTGTTTGCTTTTGTGTTGTGTAGGTTTTGTTAGGGTGAAAGAAGTATGAGGATGGAGAGGAATAGAAAAGAAAAAGGAAAGAAAGGAAGGAAGGACAAGAGAAGAAAGAAGAGAGTGGAATATAAAAAGAGCATGAGGTCAAACACAGAGTGGAGGAGAAGAGTCTGTTCTATGAACCTTTGTTCTGATTGTATATGAGAACGTATATATGTAGTATTATTATTTTCATTGCAAAAGAGATGGCGGCACATGACCGTCGAGGATCTTTTATGAGCTAATCAGTGAGTTGTAGCAGCAACGCGTTCGCGCCCATAAACACGCGACACACGTCCATGCCGATTGTTACGCGTTTTTCTTAGACCCGTCCCCAAAATAAAGATCACCGGAGATAATATTTTGATGGTATGTGATTACTAGCACTTGGTCGCCGAACTTTTTTTTTCAGATCCCTGATCGAGCTATATTTATAATGCCTTGTCATTTTATCCCCGGTAACAGCAACATAATGATAATTTCGCCTCCTCCATAGTTAGGTGGCGGTGGTGAGTTGATGCCGGGGAATTAGCAACGAGTATCTTGGGCAAATGTCGGCGCAGGCAATGCGTGAAAGAGAACGAGGAAACCAAAGCAATGCCAATCGCGATGAATAACAAAGGATAGTACCATCATATAAAGACCACTCCCGCACCCCCACATTTCCTAGTTCCTCATCTCCTTCATCACAAGTTCATCGCCCGCTACATTCAATCTCACATTCAAGCAGCCACTTTCTCTTCCATTCACCTACCTCTCTTCGAATCCAACCATGACCGCAATCATCGTCAAGATCGCCTCGGCCATCGCCGTCTTTGTATGTGCCATCCAGGCCGCCCCTCTCCTTTCTGAGCAGTGTTCTGGCAGCGCTTGCCAGCAAGCCGCCTCTGCCGGATCCGTCAGCGTCGGATCTGTCACCAACGTCATCCCCGAGACCAATATCATCCCCGTCACCCGTCTCCAGCCCGTCGTCAAGGTCCACTCGGCCATCGTCCAATCCGACTGTGATCAGTCCAATCTTCTTGGCCTCAGCGGCATGGGCGGTACTCCCTACTATAGTCGTCAGGGTATGATGCTTCCCTACGGCCAATTTGGCCGCATGGGTCGCTACGCACGTGGACCCTCGACCATTAACACCGCACTGCTCAACCCAATGATGAGGCGTCGTATCCGCGAACCCTCCCTCTCCACCGACATGGGAGCGGTGCTGCGTCCTGACTGCGTCCCTTCGGCCACCGACAACTGTGTCCAAACCATCCCTTTTTCCACCACGGACATGGGCTCAACCGTCACCGCCGTCCCCGAGAACATCGTCCTTCCCTCAACCGTCTACCAAGGCAAGGTCAAGGCCGGCCCCGCTGACGTCTACGCCGCCGAGGCCACCCACCAATCCCTCCCCGGCCAGCGTGTCAACTTGGGTTCCGACACCAGGATCCAACCCATCACTAAGGTCTACCCCTCGACCACCTACCAGCCTTCGGTTGACCAGAAGGCGACCATGGTGGAGGCTGCCCCCGCGATGGATCAGAGTTTGGGTCGTTCGTCGGTTTCTTTGGGGTCTTCGGTTTACATTCGTCCCACGACCACGGTTGAGCCCTTGACGATTTTCCAGCCCAAGATCCAGAGCTTGCCGTTCATCATCCATAGCGAGACTGCTTGTGACCAGGATGCTTACCAGCAGCAGCAGTAGCCGATCCAGCTGATGTTGCCCATCCAGGGGTTCGTGCATGTGAGAGGGTGTGTGTGTGAGGTTGTCTGAGAGATAGAAAAAGAAAGTTGGTCTGCTTTCTCCTTCTTTTCTACCATCCTCATCTCTTCGCTTCTTTCTTCCCCTTCGTTTTTGCAATCTTTTTTCAAAAAACACGAGTGCTACCGAGATCTTTCACAGCTAGAAAAGAACCCAAGAACAAAAAAATAATAAAAAAAACTCAATATCAAAAGCCCCCAAACATCAATCCGCATGCATCGCATCATTTATTTCTTTCCCTATCTTTCACCTCCGCTCAAAAGTATCCTTACACCTCCCCCAGCGTCCAGAATCGTGACCCACGAAAATATACTCATTCGTGTTATAACTCCAGCATTGCATAACTTTGGCCGCATACGGTTTAAAGAACTCTTCCTGTTCCTCCTCCCACGTCTCATCTTCATCCTCATGCCTAGAAGTATTCGTATACTTCATCTTGACCTCGCCCTGTTGTTTCGCACTCATCGCCGAGATATCGATCCGAAGGCACCTTACTGCGCGTGACAATGTCGGTCGTCTCGCGAGCGTGTTTTCCTTGATTGTGAGGAGGAAGGTCTTGAGGGTCTGGAATGACCATCCTTCCATTTGGAGGTGCTGGAGGTTTGGAAAGAGGATCTGGAGGAAGTGGGAGAGGCACTGGGTGTCGAGCATCATCCATTTCCCGTGCAGGTTCAACCTTTTGAGTTTGTGGAGAACAATTTGCTCTGAGGCCTTGTCCAGCGTAGGCGATGGTATTGGCGAAGGTGGTGGAGAAGACGACACGCCGCTTGGTGTCGTCGTGCTTTGCAGGACCGGCACAATCAAGTCTGCCTCTGAGAGAATCCTGGTGTGAACATCTCGTCCTGTTGATCGAATATCCAGAGTCAACGCTTCCAGAGCTGGGCACCCATGCAGCATCCTGAACTCGAATAGCAGCGCAAACTCACTCGTCAGAATCAGCTCCGTCATGAGGGGAAGGTTCCAATCCCAGGACCAATGAGGCCGTATTATCGATACTCCCGCCTGCTCCTCCACCTGGAAAGAATCGCCTCGAATTCCATAGGACCGGTTGAGCTCCCCCAGTGGCGGAATAAACCCAACTCTTTGTCTCCCCTGATCCGTCGACCTGCCAATCGAAAATTCCAGACTTGTGAGCTTTGGTGTCGAAGAAAGTGTTGCAGGGTTGAAGGTGAGCGCGGGCCATCCGCTCAATCTCAGAATTTGAAGTCCAGAGATATCAGCGGGCTGACAGGGTACGACATCCTGACAGCTGTACTCCTTGGAATAGTCGGTCATCCGGAGGCGCGTCAGCTTGGGGCAGTAGGTCAGTAGAAGAGGATCGACTATCAATCGATTCACGGCCATTTTCAGCTCCAGATGCGTCAATGCCCGGAGGTCGACCCAGCCTCGACCGATATGTAGGTGAAGTTGATCGATTGTGCTTTCCTCGTACGGTGTCGAGACTATGAATTGTCGGAGGGTCTGGCCGAAAGCAAAGGCAAGACTGTCAATGACGCTGTTGTGCTGAGTAGTGTACTTTGTAATGTTGTTGGGCGGACTAAGGAAGAGTTTGAGTTCGACTTGCTCGAGCGGGACCAGTCCAGATGGCTGACACGGTCCCGGTTCCAGCAAAGATCCTTGTCCGTTGTGAACATTTCCAGTTGTGATGATCCTGCCAAGACTTTCCTCCCTGTTACGTCTCTCCTGAACGGCCCAGTCGAAAACATCATATTGAGAGGTCGTAATCTCGAGATACTTCAGACCACGGCATCGCTCCAGCAAGGGCCGGTCGTTCAATATGGTCTCGACCCATGTCTCCGGCAGTTCCCGTCCATTGATCCTCTGGACTTTCATCACATTCGTTGCACCAGGATTCGCCCAGAACCTTGGCCAATTGTCCTGTCCGAGGTGAGTTGGTTCTACGAGAGGAGGGATGACACGGTAAATCTCCGCCTGCAGCCCCTTGACGAACGCCTGATCAGACCAGTGGCTGTCACCCTCGAAGCAGACGACAGTCTTCAGACGACCAGGGAAGAGTCGGGCATGGTCCTGAACAAACTGGACCACATCCTGTTGTATCGTCTTTTCCAGCTGCTCGGTCACGTCGCCATCCCCTCCGCCATGATTGAACTCTTCCTCATAGATCTCGCGCAGCAAAAAATCGACCTTCTCCAGGTTCTTGAGCCGGTTGACGACGTTGATGTAATGCTTGATGCTGTATACACGGTGGATGGTTAAAGACTGTAACTGCTCGAGGATAAAAAAGCCCAATGACCAGGGGACCTCGTGGTGGAGAATGGTGTGGTAGTAAAATTGGACGCTCGTGGAATTGGATCGCCAGTTGTTGCTGAAGGTGGGCGCGAAGGGGTGAGCGTTGTAGAACTTGTTGAATTCGTCGCTCTTAGTGTACTCCTTCTGGGCGTGGGTGAGGGGGGTACCGATCTTGTGCGCCTGGCAACAATCCACCTCAGCGTACCATGGTCGCATGTCGAGGTGGCGAATATGTGCGAGATAGTCCAGTGCCGAGTAGTAGCTGTTGTTTTTACTGGTGGTAGTGCCAGTAGTAGTATCGGTGTTTTTTATGCTCGTTTTCGTAGTAAAAGGCGCAAAGAGTGAGAAGGCGGTCGAGAGACTCTTCCTGGTATTCCTCCCACTCTGCTTCGGCGTTGTAGAGGGTGCAAGTGCCAGCGTGAGGGCGGTAGGTAGACTGGTAGGAGGGAGCCGACTGAGCAGCATGCGGGCAAGCAACCTTCCGCTCGAGAGATCCTTTGCGATTCCCATCTGCCGTGACCTGGTTGAATGAAAGTCCTTGCGGAAGGGGTCGCGGTAGAGGTAAGGGAGAACGGTCGAGGAGAAGTACTTGTTGGTGCGAAGGAGAACTGCTAGAGAGGTGAGGTCGTTGTCATCGTCGAGGAGCTGGAGGATGATCTGGAGGCATTCCAGGGGCAGTTGTGAGAGTGGATCCATTGTGTGAATCTGAGTGATGTCCTTATGGCTGTTAGAGAGGCAGAGGGTTGTGGGAGTGAAAGTTGGAAGTGAAGGAAGGAAGACAATTGGAGAATGGAAAAGGATGTTGTTGAGAAAAGATGAAGAGATCAAGTCGTTGTTGTTCTGTTGTCGCTTGTTTCCATCGGAAAGTGAGTTGGGCTAGGGTTCTTATGCTGACTTCTAATTGGGTTGTCACTGCAGGAAAGGCAACGAGCTCACTCACTTCCTGGCAAGAGTGCCACATAAGCAGGCGAGGATGAAGGAGACGTACTAAAGGGTGCTCGACTGTTCTTGCTAATAAAATGAAGAGCGTAATTAGGAGTGAAAAAAACAAGAGAAAAAAGCAACAGGGAAGAAGGAGGATCGGATCCTTTTCATGTCGCCGCGCTATGGTATATTTGTTCTTGCTTCTTGCTGTTTGCTTGCCTTCCATTTTTTTCGCCCGGTCGGCGATTGTCAAAAATGATACCCACGGTTGTTGCTGGATTTTGAATTCAGGAACAAATACCGGGATACCATTGACGCGGTCTTGATAACCCCATTCTTGGTATATTCAATTCTTGTGGCAGATATTATGTACGGAAAAAGGTATTGTATTAGACAAGGCAATAATGGACCTGGGTGCGCCGATCCAGATAAAAAGCGGACTCGCCCTCCTTGTGCACAGCAACGCCCACTTTACCAATACCGCCACCACCGCACTTCCACAAACCAAGCCGAGCCAACTTTTTAGAACTCGTGTTATGAAAATCTAACCTGAGTGTCCTGAATTTGTTAATCCTCTCAGGCTGCGGTCCGGTCGCCGTTGTGGTTCTTGATGTCGTCCTGACCATGTCCACGAATCCTTCCAGGGTACATCCACTCCACCGCGCCATAGTTAAGTCTTGCAGCTCCGGAAACATGCCCGTCAAGAATTCGGACAGGATCGCGTCTTGCACCACCCAGCGACCAAATATGGTCAACTTTTGGAGATTGGGCGCTGTAATCCTTGTCGCCGCTGAAGATGTTCCCTGCTCGTTATCGCTGATCTCGTTGGGGCTAGTTGGCGAAAAAAGATCGGCAGTGGTGACGGTGCGCACATGTGTTTTATGGACCGAGCTGCAATCCAGAGACAGCATATGCAAAGAGGGGCATCCGCGCAACATCCTGAACTGGAACCGAAGGGCAAATTCGACCGTCAGGGTCAGGGTCTTCAACTGAGGCAGATACCAGTCCCATGTCCAGACCGACCGAGGAATCGCCGGTGCCGTTAATTCAACTGCATCGTCTGTTGTTGTTGTTGTTATTGAATCGCCCGCAATACCAAATGATCGATCCAGTTCTTCCAGAGGCGGGATGAATTGCACGCCAAAATAAACACAGTGCATAGTGATGCTCAGGTCGGTCAGATTGGGTGTCGTGTGAAGGGTCGCCGTATCAAATGTCAGTGCGCTCCAGCCCTTCAACTGTATCTTGTTGATCCTTGGGAGGTCCGCCGGCAGACAAGGTACAAGGTCCCGACAGTAGTACACCATAGTGTTGTCCGTTAGCGCCAAGGTTACAAGGTTGGGGCAATGTGTGAGGAGTGCACGATCGATGACCAAACGGCAGTAACCCACGTCCAGGGAGAGATGCGTCAAGACCGGGAGGTCGACCCATCCTTGTCCGTATAGAACTGGTTTGGGTTCGGGTAGTGGGTTCAATGTCGATGCCCTGACAGTCAGCTGTTGCAAGGTTTTACTGAACGCGAAGGCAAGGTCGTCTAGGTCATCCAGAAATGTCGGCGAGCCGTCCTGAAGTGTGACAGTCGAGAGCGGAGGTAGGTGATGCTCCAGGATAGCAGATCCTTTTGAATCCTGTGCCGACAGCTCAGGTCTCTTGTGAGGGTCGCCTGTAGTGGTGATGATGTTGGTGATAGTGTCGCCGGCGAGTTTGTCCTTGCGGAGCCTCTCATCGACCGCCCAGCTGAAAATGCCCTTGGGGACCTCAACTAACGCCAACGACTTCAAAGACCGGCATTGTTGAAGATATTGCTGGCTGTTCTCCGGCCTGAGGAGCCACCTTTTTGGACCCTGCTCCTGAACAATCTCCTCGATGCGGTTCACAGCGGATGAGAGCGGATGGGCCAACGACTGCAGCAGGTCCGTGGTCGTCAATATCCTGGTCCTAGCCAAAGGGGGCAACATCTCAAAGACCTTGAACTGAATGAGCTCAGGACAATGTTGAGGCGCCTGCATCCAAAATTTGCCGTCATGGAACTGTGCTGTTTTGAGCTGGTTTGGGAACAAGGCGGCGTGGTCCCTGAAGAAGGATATCATGAATCTGAAAGTAGCGTCCAGGCGGGAATTGAGCTCGCCTCGCTGCTCACTTGTAAGGGCAAACATGTCGCGGTATTTGCTAGGACGAGTCAACACTGTATCCATGACGATATCGACACTCTCCAATCTTCTAAGGCGACTGACGACTCCGTGGTAGCTTTGGATGTCCGAGACTGGGATGGTAAGGGACCGTAACTGCTCGAGGATCGGACTTGCAAGGGCCCAGTTCGCCTCTTGGAAGGCAAGGACGCAGTATCTTGAATTGCGGAGCACTTCTTCCATGGCCACGCTCTCGCACCCTATGAGGGCGTGATCCAATTGCCATTGACGCTGGAAATCCTGGTCTTCGAGGATGTCGGGTTTGTTTTTGCTGAGCCGCTGTTTGTCAGTCGTATGGTGAGCGATGGCCCAGCTTCCCAGCCGTAGGTGGCTGATGTGGCGTAGGTAGTCGAATGTCGAGGGTGGTCGAGTTTGGGGCATGAGGTCGGGAAAGGCAAAAGTGAGCATTGGCGAGATACAGCTGACGGGGATTTGGTGCAGCAAAAGACAGGTGAGCTTGTGAGCGATATTGACGAGCTTAGGGTTAAAGTCGCGACGGATGACGAAAGGGGCCCATTGATAAGGGTCAGAGTAGAGGAAGGGGAGGGTTGAGGAGGCGATGTGTTTATTGGTTCGAATGAGGGACGCTAGGGTGGATGTGTCGCCTTGTTCCTTTAGGATGCCGATGACCATGTGCAGGCATTCTGGTGGTAGTCGTGAGAGTGGATCCATTGGTATGATGAAGAAAGGGTAGGTGAGTGTAGTTTAGTGGAATGAAGGAGAAGTGGACAGGGTGAGTGGGTGAACAAAGTGTTTGAGAAAGAGAAGGATTCAACGCGGTTGGCGCCTGCTCTTCTCGTTTCAGCGTTTTTGTGACTGAGATTCGACAACTATTATTTTGCTTTCGAGGGCCTCATCACCACCCTCTCAACCTTTCATCTCTTTTCACATGACCTTTCCTTCTCAGCAATGACCCTCCTGCTGCAACTGCCACCAGAGTGCCTACAGCATATTATCCAATTCCTCGACCCCAACGATACCGCCGTATTACTACGAGTCAACAAACTCGTCGCCTCACTCGCCCTACCATATCTATACAATAACCCCTTCCGTCGCTCTTGTCATTCCCTTTTCTCCTCATACAATTTCTTATGCTCCGTCACCCGCCTTCTCCGTCACTTACTTGTCAGCAGTGGCCAACTCTCCTCCCCACACCTTCACAAGGTTGTCTCCGTCGCCTATGGTCTCGAGTCAGATTCGGACTTTCTCCCACCAGCCCACAGTCCGAGTCCGCTCAATTACATGGCTCATCTTCGCCACCTTGACCTTGGACGCTGGTCAGAGGTCATACCCGTTCTTGATTACTTTTCCACGCAGTCGGATCACATTATGGATTACCTCGAGACACCTGGGTTCCAGAGTGTCACTGGTCTCGAATGTCTCTTACCCTCCTACATCCGTCGAAACATCCCCGATCAGTATGGTCTCCTAGCTGCCTTTCGTGTGGTTCTCTTTCGCGAGCTCAGTTGGACCCTAGCCAACCCGATCCTAGAACAACTACAGTCAATGACCATCCCTGTTTCGGACATCAAGCGCTACCTCAACATCATCGATCGACTGTGTGACCTGGAGCAAGTCTGGTTCCATCTGGATGTCATCTTTGAGTACTATGCAGGAGACATCGACCTCGACGACCCGGAAGATCAAGAGATTTGGAAGGAGACAGAAGCCCGCAAGGAGAAAGTCACGCAGGATATGATTCAGTTTGTCAGGACTCACACAGAACGTTTCCCTGGTCGACTAAAGTCCATTCTCTGCCCTGATGCTGGAGCGTGGCCATCTAGGCGTCAGACCTGTCCTGCCGTGACTATGACCCAGCTTGTTGTGGCCTTGCCCGCCCTCCATAACCCTTTGGTGATCAACGAGTCGAATTGGATGCATTTCATGGCCAGTCTCTCCTCGACGGATCTTACGCATATTCAGGAGGTCGACTGTCCACTTCATTTTGGATCATCCCATCAGCAATTGGTTGATAATAGGGGCTTTCTGCAAGGATGTGGGGCTCTGAAGAGGATGGTGATTGGCTCGCTTGGACGAGGTGGGTTCCAATGGGCAGTGCAGGACAAGAAGACGAGCATGGGCGACACTAGCACAATTGGCATTCACAAATCTCCGAATACACCAACTTCAGCAGCACGGAGACCTGACAACAGCGATCAACCTGTTTTATTTCACCATTGTCTGGCACCACTGGAGGAGGCGATCCTAACGGACTCCGCAATGATCCCTTTCACGGACGAGATCGATGCCGTTGCTTTCGCCTTCAGCTCGACATTAGAAAGGATATTCGCCCGTTCAAACTACGAGCAATTGAATCTTCAGCGGTCGCTTCAGGTCGGGCAAGGATGGGTCGAATTGCCAGTCTTGTCGGATCTGTACTTGGAACTCGGAGATACTCGCCTTGTCATTGACCCAGGATTGCTCGTTCACTGCCCCAACATCGGCGAGGTCTCCCTCCATGACAACACGTTCGAATATCAGCTCGAGGATGTGGACCAGTCATCGTACTGCCTGCCAGCTCACCTTCCTCAACTTCAAAAACTATCACTCTGCGGATGGAGTGCCTTGCGATTTCACCCCGACACCCTGCACTCGACGCCAAATCTCACAAAACTGGAAATGTCAATGAAGGTTATTCATCCCGACACTTGCTACATCCCACCACCAACAGACGATAACTACCTCGATATTGAGCGACCTTGTTGGACATGGGATTGGGATCTGCCACTGCTGACGAAACTGGAACTCACCTCTGCGTTTGCCTACAAGTTCCAGTTCCGTATGCTCGCTAATTGTCCGACCCTGGAGAAACTGGAGCTCAACATTCACACCCTTGAAGGCCAACACCCTCGGACCATCACAATGTCGGACCTGTTCCTTGATTCAATCATTGACGATTCTGTAGCAGAGACAGGACAGCAGGAACAGCAAAGGATTGTTGCACCTGCGCTCCAAGTTGTTAGGATGAGAGGCCGTTGGTCAATGGAGTCACCCGCAGTACTGGCCGAGTTTCTAAAGGGCATGCTTCCATCTCTCGGACGATTATACGCCAATCATTGGATAAATGTCCCCCTTGTCGCATTCCTTGATGCCCTACGAGGAAACCCCGACTCTAAAGTGTGGAGGATCAGCCTTGACGAAAACATCTTTGGCGACGGCCCTACTGGAGAGGAGAATGTGCAGGCGAGAAAGAAGTGGAAGGAGGAGGAAGAGGTCAGGTTAGGGTTGATTTATGATACGGGGGAGGGTTATAGAAAACGAATGGGGCGACCTGTTCTGCCGATGGTTATCAAGGTCGGGCGGGTCAAATATCGAGTGTTGGAGGATCCCCGAGCACGAGTGATCAAGAACCGGTTGTTGCGACGTGTCTATTGGTCGTTCAAGAGGAGTTGGTTCTTTAGAAGACGTAGTTGACTGTTGTGTAGTTGTTGAAATGAATATAAAACAAAGAGCACGAAATGAATCCTTCTCCTCCTTAATACATCTCCACTCATCGATCCCTTGTACCGGTATGCTTGCTTGTTCTTTTGATGGCTAGCAGGAAGGCGTTTATGCGATGTCTGTCCTCTTCCCTGACCTACGCCTGTGTAACAGCAGCAAAAGACGATGGGAGAAACCCTCTATTCTCCTTGTGGCAAGTGGATCTTCTCTGGCAGTCGCGACAAGACAGCGCGTCTCTGGTCAGGCGAGGTCGACAGTTGGTCCTGTGTTACTGTTTTCAGTGGATGTTCAGAGGCCGTTAAGCTTAGCATGGAATCCGGTGGTGCCGATGGAGTTCGTCACTGGTTCCAATGATGGGTCTGTTAGAGTGTGGTGGATTTCGGGCACCGAGGCAGGAGACGTGTCGGTTTATATGCACTGGGGCACTCACATTGAGCGGTTGTATGCTGCGGATCTGCCTTTCAAGGGAGCTGTCGGTCTCAGTCCGCCGATCTACCGCAAAAGTTGTTGGTCCGGTGCGGGGGTGATTGACAACTTCATGACTTGGAAGGAGATGGGTCGGGAAGAGGAGAGGAAGAGAATGGGGAAATGACTTCCTGATGAACCAGTGGGGTTATCGATGAGTATTATTTTTTTTTTACTGAAATGAGATGAAATGATCAGTCCCTCCATTTGTCGCCATTTATGTATTGCGTCGCCCCCTTTTTTTCGTTCTATTTCCTTTACACTTACAATCATCTCTGCCTGTCAACATCCTTCCATCCCTCTTTTCACTTCACACAGGACAATGGATCCTCTCTCAAGATTACCAGTGGAGTGCTTGCAACACATCCTCCACTTCATCTCCCTCCTCACCTACAACAGCAATAAACAAGCCCTACACGCGCTCATCTGCACAAACAAACACCTTGCCCTCATCACCCTGCCGTACCTGTACTCGCACCCATTCCAGTACACCACCCACTTCAGAACCTACTCTGCCAGGATCGGGATCGAGCCGTCGTCTGTGAGACTCACCCGCATGCTTCTGCTACTGCTGCTCTCCACAACCAAAGGGGGCGCTTACTTTTCGCAGCTGTCTACGCCGGTCCGGCTTGCTTATCGACTTGGAGACGGGACTCGGGAGGTACCATCTACCACGGCTACTACCTCACCCTCTACTACCACTACCCCTATTACTACCACCACCACTACCACCACCCTCAGCACGACTGCGTTTTCGCTCGATTACATGATGCACCTTCGTCACCTGGATGTAGAATGGACTGTGACAGGGAACTATCACGGTGCACCAAATATCAAGCCCACAGCGGACTTAAAAAAATTTATGGGAGGAAACGAGTACGAGCACATGATGGGATTCAACCAACTCCTGGAGGCCTGGGTTTACGGCAATGGTCTTAGTGATGTCCGCGTATGGAGTCTCTGGCCGATTCTCCGACGGGAAGTGACATGGGCGATTGCTGGACCAATTCTAGAGCAACTGCAGTCTTTGGTCATCCCTGTCTCGGATATTGGGAGATACCGCGGTGTTATTGGGCGACTTTCGAACCTGGAGCAGGTTCGGTTCTCGCTGGACATGCCTTTTGACTATGGTGAGGAGTATAACAATGACTTGACGCTCGAATTCGTCGCCACCACCCAACGACGAAAAGCAAACTCCCTGGCAGCAATGGTCGCGTTTGTCAAGGAGCACACTCAGTTGTTCCCGAACCATCTCCTCTTTGTCACTTGCACCAACGGCGTCGTCTACAATTTCGAGGAACAGGAATGTCCCGAGGAAACACTTTTCGAAATCGCCCGTCTCTTACCACCACTTCCGCGACCGCTCTATCTGGATGAGAGCAACTGGCTTCGGTTTACTGTTGCACCCCTCAGGATCGATCTTGGTGCTGTTGAGAGTGTTGTTTCCCCGACGGAACCGCAGTCGTGGTGGTATAGGGCGGTCTGTGAGAATCGGGAGTTTCTGAGGCGCTGTAGGAGTTTGCGGAACTTGGACATGGTCACGCTAGGGCCTGGGACTTTTCGGTGGGCTGTTCAAGAGAGACAGGACCTGGATCAGCTTGATGGGAACGTGGCACCTGATACCACTACCGCCGCCGTAGCCGCCATTACCGACAACAACAACCTTACACGACAGCAGGAAAACCAACGACAAGTGCTGCATGGCCTCGTCCCAATCCGGTCCGTGACGATTTCAGAACATATCACGCCGTTTGCGGACGAAATTAACGACATTGCGATCGGATTCAGCCTGACCCTGGAATGCCTCTCCATCGAAGCCTCGATCGAAAACGGACCGCCATCTCTTCTGGAGAGAATTATCCATGTCGGAACTGGCTGGGTTGACCTCCCTGTCTTGACAAACCTGAGTCTGAACTCCACCAATGCGAGCTTTACCTTCGATCGCCGGATATGGGCGCACTGCCCAAGTCTTGTTTTGCTCGCCATTGTCGACCCGACTACTCGCTACCGTTGCCAAGATATCGTTCCTTGTCTACCGGGCCATCATTCCAACTTGGAGACCCTGTGGCTACAAGGCTCGAGCGCGCTAGTCTTTGACCCGACCACACTGGACTCAACTCTCAAGCTGACCTCTTTGGGTATAAACACTGGAAACTGCACTGATTCACATTTCTTTATCCCGCCTGTTCAGGAATTGGAGCGGTCATATGGGACAAAGAGCCTGTATGGTCAGGATGAAGAGGATGACGAGGAAGGAGGTGAAGGGAATGCCTCTATTCAGACAGGACCCGGTGGCACTACTGACGTCATTCTTCGACCGAGATGGACCTGGAACTGGAACTTGCCTGTGCTGAGCTACGCCATGTTTACTGCAGAATTCGCATATCGGTTCCAGTTCAGGATGCTTCAGAAATGTCCGCGGTTGGAAGTCCTACACCTGGACATGACTTCGATGGACGGACCGGATGCTCACACTCGAGTTCTCTCCAGGGCCGATCTGTTTGGCTCGATTTCGTCGTCGGTGTCGTCAGGGTCGCACTCAGGCAACATTCAGAACGACGAACGCATTGTCGCGCGATGGATATATACGTTGGAGCTAAAAGGCCAATGGGTGATTGACGACTCGTTACTGCCCGAGTTCCTGGCGGGGATGTTCCCAAGGTTGCAGCACTTCAACGAGAAGACGTTTGGAGGGATCAGCCTTTTGGGGTTGTTGAATGTGATGAGGGAGTTTGCTCCGGATTACGGGTGTGAGATTGATGAAGAGGGGGGAGGAGAAGTACCACCTTTGAGCGTCCTTCAGAAGGTGACGGCGGACATTTCGTTCGACTTTGCGGATGTTGAGCAGTTGGACAAACTTGGAGTGTACCCATTTTGGTATCACAGAGAACAGGAGAGATTGAATACGAAGGCGTATCTGAAGCCGAAGATAGAATTTTGCGGAGATATTTCGGGGTCGAGAGAGATTATGGACAACCAGCTTGAATGCGTTGTACTTCGAGAACCTATTCATTAAAGAACCAGAAATAGCCGGATAAATACTACGAGTGTATGTGCCGTCCTTGTTATTTTTTTTTTTTTTTTTTTTGCTGAATCATTTAATATGGCAAATAACCACACGAGATTCCCACTCGCTGACATTCGTTTATTTTTCTCAGGAACACGCGCACATACTACAAGATACGCTGATATCTCATGATATGGGGCTACGAACTGCACGCAGTTCTCACTCGTTATTGACGACACACACCCCTTCAAAAGGTGGCAACAACCGAGCAACCTCCATCTGAATTTCCCTCAGACAACCCTGCGGAGCATCCATCCAGAAATCACCATCGACAAAGCTGACACCGCCAACAAGGTGACCAGGAAACAATTGCACATGCTCCTTGATGAACTGTAATGCACTGTGCATAGCCTGGTTCTTGAAGTCATCGATCGGGAACATGAACTCCTCCAGGGCTGCGGTCCAGACATACGAGGCCTTGTAGTCAAACAATGCATCCAACAAGAACCGAATCCTCTCCAGTCGCCCCAGTCGTGACACCACTCCGAGATACTGGTCGATCGTAGAGATAGGAATAGTCAAAGATTGGAGTTGTTCAAAAATGGGTTCGCCAAGAGTCCACGTCGCCTCCCGAAAGAGCATCACGCGGTAGAACTGACGGAGGTGTTGCTCCTTCTCATATTTGCCATAATAGGTGGGCAATATCCTGTCCAGACCGCATAGACGCGTAAACTCGCCTCCATTTACAAACTCCGACAACTTGGGTGAAGGGTTCTCCTGCCACCAGTACTCGTCGATATTGATGGAATCCTTGTCCATGCTAAGGTGGCGGATATGAGCACAATAATCGATTTGTAGCGAAGCAGAACTGGAGGTATTGGGTTCTGGAGAAGTAGAGGTGACTTGCAAGGCAAATCGTAGGAGGAAAGGAAGCCTAGAAACAGGGACTCGGGAAAGGAGCATGCGGGTGAGGTCGTGACTGGCTCCCATGTGCCGGCTGTGAGTCCAATTGACAGTGGTGGTGGTGGTGTGTGTTAAAAGTCGGTAGGGGTCAGCATAAAGAAAGGGAAGCGTGAGAGAGGCAATGTTTTTATTCCTGCAAAGGAGTGCTGCAAGTGCGTGAGTGTTGCTTTGTTGTGCAAGGATGGCAAGGATGTACTGTAGGCATTCGAGAGGAAGCTGCGAGAGGGAGTCCATTGTGTGCAGATGGGTGATGTCAATGTTAGAAGAAGGTGAATGTTAATTGAGTGCTGGTGAGAAGGGAGTGTGAGAAACGAAAGAGGAATGTTGAATAAGAGGCTGAAGGCTCATGCACATCTTCCCTCAACCCATCCTTCCTCTGTCAATTACATCTCTCCTTCCTTGGGTGTTCATTTCTTGGAGATTACGCGCAATTCGTTGTGTACCAGTAAGCGCTTTTTATTTCCCCCTATCTCCATTTTCACTTCTTTACAACAATCACTTTTTCTTCTCCTTCCACTCTCTCCCCATGGATACTGTATCCAGCCTACCCCCGAGTACTTCGAGCACGTCCTTGTGGCTCTCGCCAATGACAACAGCTGCGCCACACTCGCTGCACTCCTCCAAACCAACTGCTACTTTGCCACTATCTCCCTCCCTTACCTCTACAACAACCCTACCGATTCGCATTCTATAAAGGTGATCGCCGACCCAGCTACGACACCAGAGGCGAAGACCTTCTCATAACTGGGATCCCTACTTTTGCCTTGTTCAATTTTTCTTCCGCCCTCGACCGTCCTTCCCGAGGTCCTCATTCTTGCGATCCAGCCCGTCGATTCTTCTGTCACCGCTGACTCTGAGGACTCATCAACCACTGCCATTCAATGGCCCGGGATATCTCTTCGAAATATGATTCAGTTAGTGGTGAGAAGGATGCCCCAGCCGGTCAAGGAGTTGCGTATGGGAGTGGGAAGTTGTTAGGGCTAACTCAAGCGGGAAAAGATTTGTTTTGGGGAAGGTGGCTTTCAACAACCGGTGAATCAGGAGGAGGTATTGACTACGGTCATTATCAGAAGAATTTGATAGTACCTTCGAAGGCGTTGGCGAAGCTGGGAAAGAGGAAGCCATCTCGCCGATGAGTAAAACAAGAATGTCACAAGTCAGTCTATAACTCCAGAGCTGCTGTTAATGGATGCATGTTGTTGGTATTGTTGGTAACAGAGTTGAAGACTGTTGGTGGTTGCTGTTGTGGGTCTGGCTGATTTGGCGAAAAGTCAGCCAGCGTTGCGGGGTCAAGGGTCATTATACTTGGAGGTCATGCTGGAGTTACCTTGGGAGTTAGGCGAGAGGAGTAGTAACAGGTGAGAGGGTTGTTGACGGACAAGAGCGTGTGATGGAGAAAACGAAGGGATGAGTGTGTGCATGTGAGATGTTCGTATATTAAGTGGAAGGTAAAAGAAAGAAGAAAGAAGAAAGAAGAAAGAAGAAGAAAGAAGAAAGAAAAAGGAGGAACGAAAGAAATAAAGAAAAGGACGGAGAGAAAAAAGAAAATGTAAAAAGAAAAGGTGGGAAAGAGGGGCCTTATTAATACCCGTCCATCTTGGCGACTGACAACGCGATAGCGTCGTATCTTAGATCATAGATCATTGATAAAATCAGGTAAACGCGAAAGGGCTAATCAAACGTGTCCTGTCGATTTAGTCGCGCAAAAATCGTATCAGGCCCTTGTGACTTTCTGGAGGTAATGATTTCTATTCGTTAGTGTTCCTCCACCATCCTCACGACCATACGCAAGGCTCATTATATTTTCTTTTCGTTTTTTAAGTCTCTGGTGGGCAGAATCAAGGTCCATGGCCATGCATTAATGTCGCACATTTTACGATTTGACCATGAGACGCCAAAAAAGAGGGAGAAAAAAAAACCTATGTGTTTATTTACAAGTGAGAGAGAGAGATCTCACAGAAATCATGTTTGACCATCAAGCTTCACTAGGCTCAAACTGCAACGCCAGATGCAATTTACCTCCCTGTCCATCCACTGGCGCCCAGAAATCCGCCTGCAAACTTCCAGCACCAGGCTGAATATACTCCCACAACGACACATCGCAGTTTCCTAACTCCTTACTTCCGCCAATCGTGTTATGATCCTTGACCTGGAAATCCACGACGACAGGCTGATCCGTTCTCACACCGGGGACGATAACTGATTCAGACCAGTTCGGGGAAAGGGTGTCCCTCTTGACCTTGGTCTTGAGGACATCCTTGGAGTTGACGCGGACTTTGACGTAGGGGTCGGAGAAACCGGATTTGTCAACGCCCAGCAGGTGGTCGGCTTCGATGACGTGGATGGTGAGGCGGCCGACGATTCCGGTGCCGCTGCCGGGGGCCGTGGCTATGACGGCGGGGGCGGTGGTAGTGGTAGGGACGGTGTCCTTCTTCTTGTGACCCAATCCGATGGCTGAGGCACCAGCGGACAAGCCACCAAAGACGCCCTTACCAACTGCACCAACACCCTTGATAGCACCGTGACCCACGGTGTCAACGCCCTTGATAGCACCTTGACCCACGGCACCAACGCCCTTGACCGCGCCCTGTCCTATCTGACCCACAGCTCCAACGCCCGCCATACCGGCATTTCCTACCAGACCAACGCCTTCACCCAAGAACGTGGCTCCAAAACCGGACTTGCGTTTGTTGGACGACAGGAACTCGGGCATAAACCTGAGACGGAGTTGGACTTCTCCTTGGTTAGTCTTGTTCTGGAGAGGAAGTTTGAAATCGTTGGGGAGCACAAGTTGAAGGTTGCGGAGGTCGATGGCTCCTTGGCCAAGGGATTTGGAAGTTGAGATCTGGTTCCAGTCGAAGACTTCGAATGAGAACTGGTCATCTGCGCGCGATGTCTATTTGTTTTGAACACAGGATATCAAAAATATTATTAAATAAGCGAAAACAAACAAGATAAGTGCGAAAGCACGTTCGCAAACAAAAAAAACCAAAAAAAACCAAAAAAAAAAAAACGCAAACTTACGATAGGGACGACGAAGGTTTCGTCGTAGACGGGGTTAAGGCTCTTCTTGACGGTTTCAGACTTGAAGACCTCCTTTCCATTGACGCGGAAGATAAAGTAAGGGTCACTGGCACCTCCGCGATCCGCCGCCATCAAGTCCTTGGCGCCGACCAGATGAACAGTCAACTGACCCATGTTATCCAGCCTCTCCTTAGGGGACAGCTCAATGGGCACAGGGAGGTACTCAAGCTTGAGCCGCATGGTGCCGCGTTTCTCTGTCTTGTCGACCACATCAAACTCGGCGCCCTCGGCAGGGGTGGTCTCCAACAGAGTCCTGATGTTGCCAGTTACACTTCCCACGACGGGATCCCTTTCGATCGACGACTTCTCCTTGATCAGAATGGTCAACTTGGCATACTCGAGCTCCTTGACGAAAATGTCAGCAATCTCATTCCACTTGGGGTCGCGCGATTTCTGGATCTGGGTCTTGTGTTGGTAGTAGTCGGAGTCGATGTAGACCTCGCAGTAGGTTCCTGAGCGGTCCAGGTTGGCTCCGATGAGAGTAGTGACCAAGATTCCGGAATCATATTCGAGGGCCTCATGAGCGTGGATGGTGCCAGGGGGTAACAAGATCTGGGCCTGCTCGACGGGGATTTCCTTCTTCTGCTCGGCCTCTAGCTTCTCGCGAGCCTCGACCTCGGCATCGTATTCGACGACCTCCTTCTTGGCAGCCTCCAGCGGGCCCTGAGCAGCATGAGCGTTCTTCTCCTTCTCGGCCTCGGTCGCTTCCTTGGCCAACTTGAGCGAGGGGTGGAACGAGACCTGGTAATGAAGCTCACCCTTGGTCGAACCATCCTTCTGTCTCAGGGGAGCCCAGCGATCAACGGCGGGGCGAGCCTGGTACCCAGCATTGTCAGGAAGCTCCTCCACAACGTCGTTGACCTTGAACGACGTCTTTCCAAGAGTCCTGTCCTTGGTCCGCTTCTGGAAATCAAAGGTCTCAAAGTCGAGGATCTGCTTGACAGAGTTGACGGCAATATAATGGATCTCGTTCCACTCGGGGTTAAGCGAGCTATCGATAGTCTTGGTGCGGCAACGACTCGAGCCCTTGTCTCCACTGATGAGTACATACGGATCAGAGTCGCTTCCAATCTCGACATTCTTGAGCCCACGAGCACCAAAAAGCTGGATCCGAGCAACCCCAAATGCCGCCTTGTGGACCGTAGGGTTCAAGGAATCACTCATCAGAATCGGCTTCCAAACCGCCGTCATATTCAACTTCTCTCCTCCTTGTCCACCCTGCAACGAGAGCCAACCAACCTTATCCTCGGTATCCCTCAAGATATGCGTCGCAGGCGCGCCATAGGATCCAACAACCTGCTCCTCAGAGACAATCTCGACCAAAATTTGCGCAGCCTCAAGGTCCGTCACAAAGGCATCCACATACGCACCCCACGTAGGGTTGGCTCCAATACTGTTGCCCGTCGTATGAACAACCTGCCCATTCAACACCACCCGGCAGTGCGACTTGAGTTTGCCCGAGCGCGCAATATCCTTGGCCTGAGCAAGGTTAATAGCCAAAATACCCGAGTTGGACTCGACTGGCACAGGCTCACCACCGTCCTCGACAGGGGTAGGTTTGGCGACTGGGAAGTAAGCGGCACGGATGCGGATGGAGCCACGCTCTTTGCCATTGAAGAGGATACTGCACCAGACATCGTCCTGGACGGGGTTTTCTTCGAGGGTCTTGAGATCAAAGTTTGCCTGGCCGAGGGAGCTGTCTTTACCGACAGTGTCCTTGTCAAAGACCTCCATACAGATCATTTCGTTCAAGTTGTTGATCAAAATAATGTTCGTCTCATTGAACACCGGGTTCAAGCTATGTTGTAAGTGAAAGAGATATATACATACTGGTTACTACGAGCTAAAATGCAGAAGGAACAAACTACAAAGGTAAAGAAAAGAAACAAACCGAAGGGATGAAACTTACGTGTTCTTCTGGACCTGGGTAGAGGCGATTTCGGGGCGGTTTCCAAGACGGATCTTGATGTAAGGATCCGATTGGCCGATGAGCTCAGAGTTCTTTATGTCCTTGGCGTTGTAGATGGTGAGCTGGATAACACCGGCAGCAGCAGTGAGCGAGGCACCTCCGGTCATCATCTGCTCCAAATCGAGCGTGTAGACGTTGGGAGCGTACATCATTGGTCCCAATATGGCGTGTGTTTGGTCACGAATGAATGATTGCAATCCTGGGATCTATTATCGTCAATGAAATAGAAGAGGGCATTTTAATCAACGAGTATTCTTCACGCGGCCAAAGTTAACAAATTATAGCATAGTAGAGACAGAGCAAAGCGACTTACGTGGGCGATATCCATGCCAAAGGTATCACCTCCAACAGGCTTGAGAACGTAATCAATAACAGGAGCCTCCAAGAAGCAGAAATCGACGGTCTTGATGTGAGGAAAGGTCGAGGTAAGTTTGAGCTTGAATCGTATATAACCAGTTAAGGACATGTCTTCGACAAGGATGGGCATTCCGGCACCGATGAGGCTGTTTCCGAGACGAATGGTGAGGATGATCTTGGGGTTAACCTGGGTACGCAGCTGACGCGGGGTCATGTCCTCGATATCCGTAGGTGTGAACGACACGCGCCAATCCATCACCTAAATAAAGGGTTGTTTGATACACACGTTCGGTCAGTAATTTGGACTGCTTCCTGTTTATCAGTTTAGGATCGAGAATTGGTATGATCCCTCGGAGAATAAGGAAAAAGAAGGAAAGACTTACGACAACATCGGGGTCAGACTTGGGGAAAGACTTGATGCTCTCCACACGAGGGGCCTTGGTTCCCAAAGTAAAAGTGGTCAGACGGATAGAGTCCAAGAAGGCAGGGGTCTGGTCCACAAGGATACCATCGACAATACCGACAATCATCGAACTGAGCACGGGTTCGTAGATGAGCCAGAATTTGGACATGAAGTTGTTGATCCACTCTGTCGACTCTGCATCGTTCTCAAGCTATTGTTTGTGGGAAGAGTGATGTGTTAGTTGTTTGCTACAGGATCAATTGGCCAATTGAGAACAGAAGCACAAGAGTGGGGTTGGGTGGTGATGATAAAGAGTGACGACAAAAACATACAGCGTTCCTGATGAGCTCGCGGGTGATATCGTCTCTGGCATTGCGTCTGAAGCGACGGATGGAGTTCTTGTAGTACGTGGCTATGTGGGAAAAAAAATAAAAATTTACGATCGAAAAGGTATGAGAGGATAATGTGAGTAAGTAAGCAAATTTTTGTACTTCTTTGGTGCTTGTACTTCTGCTGTAAATGCTTGTTGCTTTTCCTTTTTTCTTTTCGGCGTATAGAAGCAAAGCACCCTTGCATTCCACGCATGAATCTCGATGCGTATTGGTTTCTCATGAAGCGCGCTGTGGGCACAGGGTTTTACCAATATGGCCCAGACCCCCTCTTCTTTCCTTTCCTTCTCTACTTTTCCCATCCCCTACCCTCTTCCCAGAAACAGTATTCTTCTTTTCTGATCGATATGCCATTGCGTTATGATTGTGTCCACCTGTTTTTTTGATTTCGATTATTGAGTGACCCAAAGAAATAAGTGTGCAACATTACCTGCAAAAGCGATGATGAGGATGAGGGAGACGAATCCTCCGCCGAGCTTGAAGACGACGAAGCAGACGATGGGGACGGCGATGATGGCAGAAGCATTGTGCCAGAAGGCCCCAAAGAGGGCACTACTGGCAAACTCTTCCATCCAAATGGACTTGTCTCGGAACTCGTTCTGAGGACCATCTGTCCTCTATCAGTAGACAGCGAATAAACGTGATATAGGATGGTTAGTGTGACATGGTAGTGAGTACTTATCTCAACATGATCCTATCTGTCAAAATACACAAAAAGATAAAAAACAAACCTTGTAGGCATCAAGCCAGCCGATACGAGTGATCTCTGGGTAGGCACCCACAGTGCGTTTCTTGGGATCATTCATCTCCTTGCGCTTCTGGTTCTGCTCCTCCGTATCCTCAGCGTTAGGGTCATTCTCCTGGTCCTCATCCTCGTTATCCTCCCCAGTCTTGCTGACTTCGGTTGTCTCGGGCTGGACTCTGCTCTGGGGCTGTGTCTCTACAGGAGCATTCTTCTTGTCAGCGTCGAGCTGGGTTGTTGTGGGCATGTCACCGGGATGGATATCCGAGGGGATTACGGTGCCTCCAATGGCCTTTCCGACGGCTTCATCAAGACGTTCCTTTCCGGGGATCGTAGGTGAAGGTGCAGGGTTGCTGTTGCCATCGAATTCTGCCAAGGGTGCGTCTTGTTGCTGCACCTTTTCGTGGAGAGGTGCCTGACCGTTCACTTGTTGGACATCGCTCATTGCTAAGAACACCAAGGGGAGTGAAAGAGGGCGTGTCAATTGGGGAAGGATGGGCATGATAGGAAGATCTGTCACCGAGAGAAGTGTCCACAGTGAGAAAAAGTCAAGGGCGCCATTGTTACGCGTCTCACCAGAAACACAAAGGGAAACTCTCGCGCATGATTACCTTTGATATGTACAAGGTGCAAGTGGAACAAAAAATGAGGAGTGGGTTATGAATGAAGACGTGACAATGGGTTATGTACAAAAGAAGAGAATGAAGGAGAGTGTGTGAATGTATTTGTGCACTTGGGCTCAATGTGTGAATGAGTAAAAGAAGTAAGAGAATAAGAGAAGGAAGAGAGTGCGTGAAGAAAAGGGAGAGGAAGAGAAAAAAAAGAAATGGGGCGGGTGTCCTTTTTATGGAGTCACTCTGCCGTCTGTATCATATTGCACTGTTGGAAGAAGTTGTAAGCGGTTTGATCATCTTTCGTGCCCATAACACGAACCTTTTCTTCCCGCGAGAGGCAACCTCTGAAGCACTGGTAACACGCGCCCGGGAAATGCGTCTCTGGTACGACACACCTACATAACAGTGGTGAGGCAAATGAGACGATGATGACTCTGGGTCGGTGCTCGGTGCAGTAGTAAAAGAGTGATAGAAAGAAGAATGAAAAAGTGAAGGTGGCACCGTATTGGGAGATAACGAAATGAGCTTGCTCCATGCTGACGGCATGATATAGTCATTTTGTGCCTCTTAGTTTACCGGTACTTGTCTAAAGAAAGACAAACACCAAAAGAATGACGCTCCCTATCATAGAACGCATTTTTTTCATCCCTCCCCTCCAATTCTCAACGGGCACCCGAAAAAAATAATTAAAAAAGGAAAAGCAGGAAAAGAGAGAAAGGCCGGAAAAGCGAAAAAAGGAGGAAGGAAGGAAGAGGGACCCTGCACCGGTCTATTGTAGCTCAGATCAGCTCAGCTCATCCCACGGTCAGCGACATCCTGGTTTTACTTTGGTTGCTTATGATGCATGAATAATGAAAAGGCAAAATACAAAAGCGAAATACCTGCTTGCTACTAAGAAGGATGTATGCACCCTTCCCCTTTATGCTACCTTGTCCCTACTGTTTGCAAACAAACAATTGTCGCTTTGTTCGAGTGGCTTCTTGATCGGTGATCGTTTCTCACTCACTTGTTTCTTTTCTGGCACTGATGAGTTTCTTCGTCTCTGATATGCCTTGATCGCCGTCTCTATCTTTCCCCATGGATTTGTTCCATCGGCGAACAGGGCTCACACTTTTTTGACAGGGCCAGTGCCCATCTCCCTTCTCTCTTCCCTTGCCATGCAAGCTCAAGTACTCTGTTCTCGGTAGTAGACTTGTTCCCCCTCTCCTCTCTATTCTCCTGCTGTATCCTGTCCGCACACGCCCAATTGACTGACTGCCTAATGTCGACTTCTTCCCTCTTAAACCCCTTTCAGAATCTATAACATGGCCCATGAGTTTCCCTTATCTCTCTCTCTCTCTCTCTCTCTCTCTCTCTCTCTCTCTCTCTCTCTCTCTCTCTCTCTCTCTCTCTCTCTCTCTCTCTCTCTCTTTTTCTCTCTCTCTCTCTCTCAAACATGGATGTTCGTCATTCCATGACTCGTGTGTACCTATATGCCTGTTGTGCCCTCGTGTAATCCATGAATGGCCCATTCATGGACATTGATACATGAATACATGGCCCCTGTTCTCTTCCCCGCTAATGTATCCTCTTGCATGTTGAGTATGACATCGATGTTGCTCCCATTCTCCTGTTTGACATTTCTTGTTATTGGGTACCTTGTTGTTTTCTTGTTCCTTGTTTCTTGTTTTCTGTGGATGCATGCCATACGAGACAACTGTGGTGCCCCTGTCCTCTCCCTTCATCTATTCCTTCTTCCCTTAGTACTACCACACGCATATTGGTTAATTGCGAGACAGGCGCTAATAAACAAACACAAACAAACACATCTCGATCGCATACCTGTCCACTCATACCCGCACCTGGACGCCCATCCATCCTTCCTTCCCCTGTTACCCGACGAAGAAGAAACAGAGGAGCTTCTTTCTCTTCCATCTCACTCTTCCTTCTCTTTCTCCCTGTTTCCCTTCATCGCCCGACTTCACAACGATCCCCTTTTCTCTCTCCTTCCTTGCCTTACCATTCTTTCTTCTCTCTCTCACTTCTCTCTTTCTCTCCTTCTCTCCTTCTCTCCTTCTCTCCTTCTCTCCTTCTCTCCTTCTCTCCTTTCCTTCCTTTCGTCTCATTCCCCTCTCTTACTTCATACAACTGTCCTTCCCTCTCTTACTTTATTCATTCACCCCATCCCCTTCCTCCTACAAGAAGCACTAAAAATATACCCCTTTCCCCTCTCATCACTTGCAAAAACAAAACAACCATAGCGATGGATGCCCGTGCCAGAGACATGGGTCCCACCAAAGACCACGTTTACCTCCCCCACAATAATAACGACAGCGACACCTCCTTCCGCCTACAAAATAAGCGAGCAGTAGCTGTACCAGTACCCGTAACAACAAAACCAAAAGCAACGACAAAACCCGCCGCCACCACCACCCCTAAACCAAAAACCACAGTCGTTCCTCCGGTCGTCACCACAACCATCACTACCCCACCACCTGTCGTAGAATCCACCACCAAAACTACTACAACCACAATCGAACCAACAACGACAGTCGCCCCAGGGAATAGTAATGCAGACCCTTCTTCGGCAACAAGTGGACCAGGGACAGGGGTCATTGTCGGAATCGTGGCCGGTGTTGCGGTGGTGTTGGCGTTGATTGTCGGGCTTGTGGTCAGGAACAGGCGGATGAAGCGGAAAGGGGAGGAGGTCTACAAGGCGGAACTCTATCAGCAACAGCGTATGATGAGCGATAACAATAGTAGTGTTCTTGCCAGTGGGCGTATTCCTCATGACCATCGATTCACCTCTTCTGGACTTGGAGCTACTTCTACAGCAGCGGGCTCTCGGAATGGAGGCAGCGTTGGCGGTGGAAAACGAGGCATGGGTGGTAAAAGTGGAGACAGAGAGAGTCTTTCGGAAGACTACCGTCAGCAGCAGGAGCAGTACTTCCAACAACAACCTGAATGGTTTGCGAAAAAGTCACCCCTCGAGTATTACAGTCAGGTGCCTCCTATCGAACAGCTGCTGCGAAGTGTGGGCCGGAAGGAGAGCGACAATAGTCTTAACGGTGATATGGGTGGCGGCCCAGGCGATAAGGATGAGATTGAGCTGCAGCATGCCGGGCCCTCGACGACGTCTTCAGCGCCTGGTCAAGGAGCCTCCGAGATTATGGCTGCCAGGAGTCTGCAGGCTTCTACCATGCAGCACAACCTGCAGCAACAGCAGCAGCAGCAACAACAGCAACAACAGCAACAACAGCAACAGCAGCAGCAGCAACAACAGCAACAGCAATTGCAGAGCCAGCAGCAACAGAACCCATTCCAGGCACAGCAACAGCAGCAGCAGCAACAGCAGTACGGTCGAGAGTCTATCCCTTTGAACTCGAGGGACAATAACCAAACAGGAAGATACAACGAGCCCGCAGAGGTCATCCCTCGTCAACAACCAACCCGCCAACAACAACAACAACAACAACAACAACAGCGAGAGCACTCCCGGGCGGAATCCACCCCTCCTCATAGTGGACGCTTGCCTCCTATCCAACTGCATAGTCCTATGGGGTCTGTCTACCAAGACCTAGCACGGACTCCCACCAACAGTGCTTACTACCACCCTGTGCCCCCCATGCCTTCGCGACCCAACAGCTTCTACAACGCCAGCAATATCCTCAACGCTGCTGGAGAGTCTTCACCTGCTGCCGACGATTACGCTGAATTAGATATGACATCCTATTACCGCCCTCCCCCACCAGCCGCGACCCCTTCTGGATTTTACGACTTTGATGTCGGGATTGACTCGAACAATAATCCTCCGATGTCACCAAACAACGGCTCCTCGTCATACACAGGAGTAGCAAGGGTAGGAGGAGTACCAGAACGACCTGCAGGAGTGGCAAGCCCTCCACCCATCCCGCGTGCCACTCGACCTGTCTCTGTCACGCCTTCCCCTAAAAACGTTAACAACGGTAATCGAGCAGCAATCCCACCAACGCCTTACTCACCACCACCACTCCCTACCATTTCCACCACTGTGCGTTCACAAGATGCCTATGGTGCGAGTTCACAATCACCTGTGTCACCATCGTCTGGTCCACTCGTCGGAGGCCGGACACCGCGAAGCATCCACGGCTCTGGTGGTCGACGAGCCTAACGGTCCTATGTCTTTAGTGTCCTCCCCCCCTGCCTCCACAAACATACTCAGACCAAAAGTGCGAGCTCAAACTAGAAAAACGAGGCAGTAAGTGCTCTCTGCTCTTGTTTATCTTCTTGTTTTCTCGCTCGTGTTCCCTTTGCTCACATATCCACTCCTTTCATCCCTTCACTTCATATTCATACCCTCATTTTTTGTTTTCTTTGCTTACCATCATCATCTCTCCTTTCACCCTTCACCCTCCTCCTCTTTCTCACAAAAAACACCACTCCTCTCTCCCTTGTAGACTTACAGTATTTAATAACTACCCTTTCCTTTCTCTTCACCCGCCGCCCCTCCATGGGCACTAAAATAATATAAAGTACACAAAATGAACTCCACATCCTTGGTTGACAGAAGTGCGCCGCCACTTGCACGCAGTTTTGGGGGTTGTCGCTGCCGTTGCAAGGGTTTCCGCAAACCACTGCTACCATCATCTTCATTTTTTTTTTGGGCCGGTTTCGAGCCACCCCTCCTTCCAAAGTCTGACAAACCCCCCCACCCAGACCTGGGCTTGACTTTGTCGGGCCCCGTTGTTGCTCAAGTGATAGGGGAATAGAAAGTTTGTCGATTGGAATTACCCACCGTCCTTGCTGTTGCTGTTGGTGCTTTGTTAACAAGGTTTTTTTGTTTTTTTGTTTTTCTTTGTAAAAAAGAGTAATTTATTTTAGTTGCTTGGTGTTTGTTTGTTTGTGTTGTACAAGATGAGAAAAGAAAGGAGTGAACTACTTTGTGTTTTTGTGAGTGCGTAGGAGAGAGGAGAAGGAATGTGTTATGATAGTGTTTTTTTTTTTTTTTCTTTCGAAAAGGAGTGGAAAAGAAAGAAAAAAAATGGAGAGAAAACAAGAATAAAATGGACATCTAGTGCTTAGTGCTGGGAACGAGGGGAGGTTGGAGACCCAGGTCCATCATTAGGTCCATTCCGGTTCCTCCGCATGCCACCAGGGCTAATAGGAGGAGGCATCATTGGCCCACCCATCCCCGGGGAAGGAGGACCTCCAGGTCTCCCACCAGGCGAAGGCGGACCGTTATTCCATCCACCACCCATAGGAGCGCCCAGGTTAGGCGAAGGAGGGCCGAACCGTGGGGAGGACCCACCCATGCCCATCATAGGCGAACGCGCCTGGTTCCCGGCCAGCGGAGGACCCATAAGCTGTCTTCCCGAGTAATCGTAATTCATCTGCTGAGGACCCAAATCACTCAACATGTCCGACTCGTTGTCATCTGTGTACACACTGGGTGCGCCTTGGGACCGGGCGTAGGGGGATCCCTGACCGCGTTGACGTTCTGCGCGCTCGACACGTTTGACTTGGCGGACACGGGCCTTTTCGAAATCATCCCAGCGTTTGAGGGGCACCTTTGAGGCATCAAAGACTCCGTCAGCGTTTCCGTGGGCTTCGCCCTTGGCCTCTCCATCGACTTTACGGGTTTCTCCCCAGGAGAAGTCGTCAAAGTGCCAGTAGGCGTAGAGGGGAAGGATGAAGTTCCAAACGGGGAGGGCGAGGAGGTAGATGAACATCCAGGAAATGTAGATCAACTTGCGGGTGGTGATGAGAATCAGGATGGCAGGCATGGTCAGGACGAAGACGAGGAGAATGAGGGGCACGGCTTCGACAATGTTGGTGAAGGTGACGGTCGAGAGTTGGATAATCATGACGATCATGAGGATCATGGCGACGGGGAGGACGACGGTTCCAATGAGCTCCATGAGAATAACAAACTGCATCGAAAAGCAGAAGGTTCCGCAGAGGTTCCGGACGAGGACGAGTTCGAGCAAGTTGTGGATGGTCGAGTTGATCCAACGACGACGCTGAGAAAGGAGAACGTTAAACTCGTCGGGGACGACGGTCTTGCAGATAGCCTGGGGCATGAACATCATCTTGCGGTGAGGGAAGTTACGGAGCATCAGAGTCGTCAAGAAGCGATCTTCTCCGAGCAGCAACAAGTTCTTCTGATGCAAGGTTTCGACGACGTTCTGGGAGTATTCCTGAACGATTTCAGGCTTGGTAATGATCGGGATCCAGTCGTCACCCTTGCGGGCCTTGAGGCGGTACATACAGAAACATCCAGGCAGACAGGTGACTCCTCCAAAGACAGACTCAAAGCCCTTTCCGAGATGATGAGAGATATAGTACTCAAAGACCTGGATGGCCGTCACCCACGACTGACGCTTGTTGGCAATCTTGGTCTCACCACACAAACCCATGATGAGAGGATCGTTGTTGATACAGTTCATGAGCAACCGGACTGAGGACGGGTAGACCTTGGTATCAGCATCAACCATGAGCACAATTTCGAACTTGTCGGGTGTGACTTGCATCAGATGCTGGATCTTGCGGAAGAGTTCGTAGTCCAGGGGGGTCATCCGGTCGTTATAGGTAACACGGGAGAAGAAGTTCATCAGGATCAGCTGGGAATCACGCTTTCCACGGTTTCCGGCCTTCGGCTTCTCGTGCTCCTCCTCGTTTCCGCACTTGACAATCAGAATCGTGGGGACACGACGGTTCTTCCAGCGGAAATATCCTGCATAGACCTTGCACCGGTTGTGCTGCTTCGATCCTGCGGCGACGGCGATGTAGGACTGAGGCGTGGGTTCGGAATCAAAAGCCGGGTCGAGTTCCATCAAACTGGCACAAATGTCGGGCGTAGAACGGTCGTTTCCAGATCCTGTAATGATACCGTCGCAGATAATGAACAGCAGCTTCTTGTTGTCAGGGTACTCAGTCGCAGCCAGGGACTCGATCGTCGTTCGGAGGGAAGACTCTCCCTCAGAGTAACAGGTAACCAAGAGGATGGTATGGAGTTCCTGGACATTGGCGCCTGCGATACTGGCACCAGTAGGGGTGCGGGACAAGGCAGCACCTCCAGCACCAGCAGCGGCACCAGCAGCGACGGCTCCAGGACCGGGGGCGACAACAGTCGAGCTAGACGAGGCAGCCGAGGCCATGGTGTGGACCTTGTTCTTGGGTGGGGGTCTGGCCAGCTTGGCGGAAAGAAACCAATCGAAGAGCGTGGCCATGACGAATCGTGAGACGACAATACCCAGGACGACGGTCAACGAGACATACATGTACAGATCGGCGGCAAAACAACCAGGCGTGGCCTTATCGATGAATCCCGCTCCAAACTGTTCGACCATGCAGGTAGCCGTGTTCTTGAGCGAATCCCGACGGAAGAACAGCTTGGTCGCATCTCGACCTCCCTGCGGATAGTCGGAACTCAACACCGTCCGAATCAAAACATCAATCTCGTCTCCAGGCAAAGCTCTGGGGTATCGAAGCATGTAACGATCCAAGTTCAGCACATTTCCATCAATGACCATATAGTTCTTCAACTCAGGGTTCGCTATCTGGTTCCAGTCATATCCCGCCCTTTGCTTCTGAGCACTGGGGAGGATCTTGAAATGCGTGTACATCGCCGTCCCGGCTCTGTCAATTGAAAAGGTCTCGTTACATCCTCCAATTAGGCGGTCGCAGTTGTTGAAGAGGGCGGCGGCGCTGGTGAGGCCAGCACAGCTAGGAGTGAGCTTTTGGAAGATGTTGCTGATATCCCCGCCGGGTTTCATGTTTGCGTATATGAATCCGTGCGGGTATGTCGAGCCCGTTTGGGTAAAGTCGTAGGTGAATCCGTTGACGCCGAACTGTCCGTTGGCTATTTTCGAAAGCGGGAGAGAAGGAGAAGGTAAGAAACAGGGGTGAGTAGGTACGTTTAGGTATTTGTCCTTTCTTCCTGTGTATCCCTGTCCGAGAGCCATGCACTGCTGTACTTCACTACGCCCATTCACTCGACTCCTGAAATTGAAAGAAGTGGTAAGAGTGCATGCATCCCAGACTAATCTCTCAACCCCTGGCTTTGTCGTTGTGTGTGCATGTCCAGCGGTTTGCGCACGCACTCCATCCTCTCCTCCAAATGCCCGTCGCAGAAAGAAATGAAATACTTTGCTCTCAACAGAGGGCAAAGGCAGCAACGATCGCAAAATTAATAGAACCTTGGTTGAGAGTCGTTCTTGCTGTCACTTTGTTTGTTGTGATCGAAAAAAGGAAGGCCGTTGTGTGTGGATGAAAAGGGGGAAAGTGAAGGAGAGGAGAGATGGATGATGGAGATGGCTGTGGACGACAGAGAAAGAAAAAGTCGAAAGGTGGTTGTGGGTGTAGAAAACCACTTTGCAAGGCGACCATCATCATGTACACCGGTTTCGAAAAAGGGTGGTGTTTCCTTTTGTTTGTTTGTTTTTCCTCTCTCCTCCCCTTCACCATCTTCTATCGCATTATGCGAGACCTTTTGCCTTTCTGTTTGCTTGTCTTTCTGTGTTTTCCCTTTCCTTTTCCTTCCCTGTGTTGTGTAAATGTTCCCTCGTAGGAAACTCCAGTTGTCGCTGCCGTTGACGATGCTGTTTATCCTTTGCGGTTGTTTTTTGGATCCCCGCCTGTGTTGTGTTCCTGAGCAACAAAAGTACAAATAAAAAGCAAAGACGAAAGAAGACATACCTGCAGTACTCTCATATCGCAGGAAGGACTGGGCACCCTGTCGTTGGTTCTCAGGACAAAGAAGCCTCGAGAACCCAATCGTCAAGAAGGCGACCATGCCTCCGATAAACATAATAATGGCACATAGCGTCACCTTCTCTCTCCAGGCCTGCTGGACGGCTTTATCGTGGATGCCACACATGCGCATGACCGGTGGTAGGGCCCAGCAGGTCGTGATACGCGAGCAGACCACCCAGCACGAGGCCGGTTCGTTCTCTTTACGCTTCTTGAACATCGTCTCGGGGGTTACGAATCGGTCAGGGCGAGAGAGGGTCTTGCCGCGGGACAGTGTTGCGCCGCGACGGACGCCTACACCACTTGGTCTTCCCGACATATTGTGATGTGCTGTGTAGTTGTCGGGGTGGTGTTGGTTGGTATTAGTTGTCGGTTATTGTTGGTATATTATTGCCGGTGTTGGTGCGAGGTGGAAGATGAAGTGTTGGTAGTGGTGAAGATGGTGGTGGCAAACCTGGAAGAGGAGGAGACAGTAGAACGATAGAGTAAGAAGGGAGGGTAAGAACGAGGGACTCTTTGGATACAGAAATATGATAAGAGACGTATGGATGCCGGAGAAAGAGAGAGAGAGAGAGAATGGAAGGAGAAGAGGAAGAGGAAGGAAGTGGCGAGTGAAAGAGCGTTCAGACACGGATATATATCAAGTAAGGAGGATAGGGCTGGCTGTCAAAGAAATCTTCCCAGGTGGCGGTGAGGATGTGAGGATGTGAGGAGTGAGGATGTGAAGACAAAAAAAGTAGGGTATGGATATGGCGAGACCCTTGTGTTCATGGGCTGTGAATAGCAACGTCTATGCTGAAAATAGGGCAGAGAAAGCGCTTTACCAAAGGGAGGAGGAAGAGGTATATAGTAAGAAGGGAGTGGGTCGTTAAGAGGGATGGAAGATGATGATGATGACAAGAAAAGAAAGGAAAGAAAGAAAGGAAGAAGATGATGATGATGACAGTGGAGGAAGCAAGATGATGGAGATGACTGTGTGTGTGTGTGTGCCTGGTTCTGTGGTGCACCTCTTTAGACACAGACAAAGGGACGGTTGAGGGGACGGACGGACGGAAAATAATTTCGCTGCTGAATAAAAATAGTACGAGAGTGTGGGTGGTCGTTGTTCATTGAGTTGAGAGCCTCATCATCCAAACCAAAGGGAAACCTTGTAAGCACGCACACATCTCCTCTCTCTCTCCCTCTCACTCCATAGGAAACACATTCTCCCTTTTCATTGTAATGGGCATGGCTGTCCAGACAATGGGTAATAGCCCATGGCATGGGTGCACTCTCTTATGTCTGTTGCCATTGTTGTCGGAAAAGATGGGTCTCACCACGTAGAAACAGCTCTATTCTACATGCCACCCAACTCGTTGTGTTTATATTGCCCCACGGGAAAATACTTCCTTTTCTTCTCTTTTTCCCTTGCCACCAATCTTTCAAAGGACCCTCGTCCCTTTCTCGCCTTACATTCATTTTCATGGCAAATTGGCTCTCATGCTGCTCCCATTTCATGGCTCCTGGCTCTGGCTTATGGCTCGGCTCTCACGTCAAGAAAATGAAAAAAATTCCTTCCTTGTGCAACAGTTCCCCCTCTTACCGCCAGTTTGACAACGATTTCGTAACGTTCCTGTTCTACACACCGTTTGGGTCCTTCGATTTCTCTCTCTCTCACTCCCTGCAGGACCACTCGCCATCCCTAAAGATAGGTAAATGAACCCTTTGCTAAATGCTCTTCTTATACCACCCACTCTCTCTTATTTGAACAGTCAATCGCGTCCTCTTTGCTTTCTTACCATGACTTGGTTTGACAGTGCTCCTTATGTGATAAATAGACCGACATTGCTGTTCTGCTGTTCTGTTCTTCTTGTGGAATGAACAAGGAATGAAGAAAAAGAAGCGAGATAACCCATGCTCACTTCTCAGGTCGCCTTTTCATAGTTTGGCCTCTTTGTTCTTTTCATCTCCGCCACACTTTTTTCTCATTAACCTGACTAGGTTAGCCTAGATAAAGAAGCCGACTCCCCTCTTTTTCTTGCCTTTCAACTGAAATTACGATTGCAATCGTAGGCAGGCTGTATGCAGGACATGCGTCGTCAAATTGATCGTGTCTGGGAAGAAAGAAGGCAAGGAGTCGACGACACATCATGTTCTCGAAGGTTTTAATACCGTCGTGCATGCTCCCTGTCTTCTTTGGGGTCCCAAGATACCCTTGAACGAGGATAGCAAGAGGGAAAAAGAGAGGAGGGGCCACTCAGACAATTTTAACGGAGTAACCGCCAGGTTCTTTGTTTTGTGCTGTGCATTGGTAACCCCAATGTGTTGCACATGTACCACTGCTGTCTTAAATATTCCCTTTGTCCTCCCTCTTACGCCAGATCATGATGAGACAGATACCCACTCCGTCCTGGCGCAGAGACTGATGGCATTTTGCGTTTAGGGAGGGCATCCGTGGGTATAAAGTAAAACATCAGCATGGAGATGGACCAATGAGGGATGAGGAATCTAATTATTATTACAGAGGGTCGCAGTCTATTTTTAGGAGCATGGGGAGCATGGGGGGCATGGATGGATGGGAAGAGGGGACGAAGGAGAAGCTGTGAAATGCCACGGGAAGCACGAAACTTCAAAGCGAGCGAGAGAAGTATGTGCGAACAAGAGGTATGCATGTCTGTTGCGACCCAGGGGTGCGTGTAGGTTTGTGCAAATTGAACAACCAGCTTGCTCTTACTTGAGAAAGAAGAGATCGCCGAGGGAGAATCGCAAAAGGGTGGCACATTGCCGCACTGCCTCTCGCACCGCACGCGCCCCTCCCTTCTTGCGGACACCCTTTAGTTCGTGTCGTCCATCATCCTTCCCCTTTGCTTTTCCCTTACCCTGCCACATTTTCTTTCTGTCAGATGGATAAACTAAACACAGGTCTAGACAGCAACAGCAACAAACGACAGAGAAGAATATCCTTCCTCCTCTCCCTCCTCCCTTTCTTTCATCCTTCCCTTTGCTTTCAAAAAAATGAGGCAGAGATAGACCCTGACACGCGCTTTGTTTGGCTTTCTTACATAAAAATCAAAAGAAGGAAGGACAAGCACCTACTTGTTGCTTTGGCTCACTGGTAATACTAAACTAACTCCAAAAGGCCAAACATCTCCCACAGCTCACTTCTTTCATACTTGCCCAAGGAAGAAAGTGATGCTATCTCACTATCCCCTGCGCTCTCTCGCGACTTCATTTATTTTTAGTCGTCTTTGATCACAATTAGAGGGAAACAGCGAGACAACGAGAAAAACTGAATTTGGGGTCCCTTGAACGAGGCAGTGGAAATCTGACCAGGGGACGTTGTGGGTATCTCTGACAGGCTGAGAAAAAAAGGAAGTAAGTTACTACCCCTGCGCCCTTCCATCGTCAAGCCTAATAAGAAGGATTACACATCGTCAATCGCGAAGAGAGATACGAAGCGCGACGCCGACAAGCCCTTTCTTTGTTTGTTTATCGTTGTCGCGTTTTTATTTTGTTACTTTCCTTGGCGTGATGTTTATTTTTACTCTCTTCATATGCAGCGAGGGGTTCGTTGCACAATTTGTATAAGCCCACCTTCCTATCCTCCTCATTGCCACAAGGATGCGGAAGTATAATCCCCTCCCAAGATTTTTACTTCCGCGTCCTTGTGGTAATGACAAACTTGGACTTGAGGACCAGTCTTGCAAGTAGAGGTAGGTCCCAGTCCCATCTCCATCGCTGTCGTCGTGGACCCTCGATCCTTGGCACAAGGTGGCGGTAGTTGTAGCGGTGATAGTCGTTATCGTCGTCTTCCAAGGAGGGTCCGATGAACCATTTTTCATCCGGCCCAGTTCCTGTCTTAAACAATAGATCGAGTACAACGTGTCAGGGAGGAACGTCAGAGCTGGCCACCCAACCAGGAACAACAACTTGACTTGTCGTAGGCGGGACGGACACCATCATTGTCAGATCACTCCCTGAGGCTGGTAGTCTAATGTCGTGCCCTGAAGCGTGACATATTCACTTTGGGCTAGTGTACGAGCCCCTGGTCAAGGCGACCCTCTGCACGCAGGGACAAATGAAGGGTCATTAACGCCAGAAGATCTGTTTGCCCTGCACTCCGTCGTCCAAGATGAACCACTCCTGTCGGAAACTGAGCACCTATACTGCCAGGTAGAGGAGAGGGGGTCCCAGGATCTCGTAGTCGATTGGGTAGTGCAGACTTGGAACCTTGTTAATGTTTTGCTGAACACAAACGCGATGTCGTCCATCTTGTCCGCCAGGGGCACCGCCCTGGACTCGTGTCCTCCAGTGGCACCAACTCATGTCGTAGCAGCAATGAACGTCCGCCTTTCCGTTTCACTTGTAATGCGGTAATTCCTGGTTGTAGTAACTGTTTCCAAAGCCGTCCAGTCCGTCTTTTCCTGTACTGCCCAAGAAAAGACACCAGGTCCAAGGGTCGACATATTGACCTTCCTGAGAGAACGACACCGTTGATTGTGAGAGACGGTGATCTCCTGAACCTCCGCAAGGTCGGTCAACGACACATGGGAGACAAATTGGACCCAGTTCAATTTGTCGATTGGCGTTGGCGCACGCAGCATTCGCAGCATCTTCAATAGCTCAAACTGCACCGTCTCGGGACACACCCATGCTGCCCCCGTCCATATGTGACTCACAGGGCACTCGAACGTCCTGAGTTAGTTGTTGAACTGTCGATTGTGCTCCCCGACGAAAAGTATCATACCCTGCATGACCGCCTCCTCTCGCGCCTTGGTCGTCCTCAGGACTTCCTCCACTTCCGTTGGGGCGTCGTCGTTGTTGTAAGTAGGAATATCGCTAGGATCGTAGACAAAGAGCTCATCTAGAATGAATAAAACATTCTCCAGTTCCAAAAGTTGATCGATGACACCGATGTATCGCTTGATGTCGGAGACGGGGATGGTCAATGTCTGGAGTTGCTCGAGGATAGGGCTTGCAATGATTCGAGTGACCTCTCGGAAATGCGCCATTCGAAAATATTGACGAAAGATGTTGTTATTATAGTTTGGTTGTGGGTGCCGTCTCCTGTACTCGGGAGGAATCTGCATTGGTAGGACGGTAGGAGGGGCTTGAGGCAGTAGGTGTGCTGGAAAACTTCCTAACGGGCGTAGCTCTGAAAGGCGGGGCCCGAAAGTCTCAATTGTGCACTGTCCAAATCTGAAGTGACGGATATGTGCCGTGTAGTCCAACGGTTGTTGTTGTTGCTGATGGTGGTTATGATGTCGGCTTCATTAACTATTAAGAAGCAGGCCGGTTTGACCAGACTGTCGAGCAAGGAGCATTCGAACGAGCGAATCGATTAATCCCAAGGTTCACAATGTTCGTTGTTGTTGTGTTCCTTGCGTACATTGTGATTAGTTGCTTTGTTTGTTGCCTGTTGTGGAATGACTTATTGGAAGGGCTCGGAGTAGATGTGAGGAAGGGCGATTGAAGTGACGTGGTTGCTGACTTGGAGCAAAGTCGCTTTGTCTTCGAGGGGGATGAAGTGGATGAAGTAGTGGAGATACTCGGATGGGAGTCGAGAAATGTGATCCGTTGGGTTCTCTGTGTGGTTGCTCCGTTCTGGTGCTGTTGTTGGCTTTAACGCGCTGCTTCTTTATCACATGTATTGTCTGTCGGATCACTTGATCCTACCCATGTGGGGGTCTTGGAGGGAGTTGCCCTTGGCTGGCCGAGTCGTTGGCGTCAGTGCCCGGTTGAACAGGGTCACTTGTCGAGGGAGAGGGAGAAGGGAGAGTGGAGTTTCTCTCGGCAACTCCTGTATCCAAAGGAGTATCTTCGGGGTCAACGGGCACAACTCGAATAGCGGCAGACGAGGAAAAGGATGTATGTATATATATGTGTGTGTGTGTGTGTGTGTGTGTGTGTGTGTGTGTGTGTGTGTGTGTGTGTGTGTGTGTGCTCCCTCTCAATATCGCGAATAAAGATAGTAACTCTCAAGACCTGCTCGTATCGTGGAAGAAAGGTGTTTTATGTCAATAACTATTCTCTGAAGGCTAGAAACTACTATTGCTACCAATGGTCAAAGGGCATAGTGCCTACCTGCTCGTATCGTGGAAGAAAGGTGCTTTTCCAGACACTCGCAGGCAAGCGCGAAATGGCCACCAGAAGCTAAGCCACTCCAAATCACACCCATACGCTGATAAAGTGTTCTGAAACACACCCCACCCTTCTCTTCATTTCATTTCATTTCAGTCCACTCCACTTCTTCATTCCCCCTTCAAGTAAACAGCAATGGACCTGCTGTCAAAGCTGCCCATAGAGTGTCTGCAACTCATCCTCCTGGTGCTCGCTCAGGATCGACAAAACGGCGCCATTGCTGCCCTCCTCCAAACCAACAAGTACATCGCCTCAATCGCCCTGCCCTTCCTGTACGAAAACCCCTATCGAAAAGGCATGCACTGCTACATGTCCGCCCAGAAAACCAGATCAAGAAGACGATCCGATCACGTTCTTACCTCTATGCTCCTCCACCAGCTCCCTCTTGATACCCTCCCTCCCGCCATATCTTATATCCTCGAAACAACCAACCCAACCCTTCCGAAACCACTCGACTACGCTGCATGTATTCGCCATCTCTGCCTACCCTCATGGGCTCTTGACCTAGATTACTGGCCCCGTGGCTGTTATCACCGCGAGACGCTCGCATACATGGAAGGCACCGAGTTCACACAGTTGTGCAGGGACCACAACCTACTGCCCTGCTACGAACAGAGCCTCGGGACAGGGTTAGATATCCTCAAGTACCACTTCCAGGCCATTATCTGGCGTCAAGCCTGCTGGTCCCTTGCCGGTCCGATTCTCGAACAGCTCCAGTCTCTCACCATCCCGGTCTTTGATCTCGACCGTTACTCCGCTGAAATATCTCGACTTGGGAATCTGGAGCACCTTGAATTTGCGCTTGATGACATTGTAGATTACAGCGAGGAGGGATACTTTGGAGAGGATTTAGTCACATACTTTGGAGGCGATTTGGTCATGTCGCCACAGTTTGAGAGCGAGACACGTGAACGGAAGGAGAGACGATTGCGTACGATGGTCCAGCTTGTCCGAGATCACGCCCAGCTCTTCCCAGGTCGCCTTAAGACCGTGATTTGTTCCGACGCCGAAATGTGGCCCGACGTGAACCAGACGTGTCCTGTCGAGACCAAGCTGGAGATACTTCGGATCCTGCCTCCTCTCAAGTCACCGACTTTTCTGTCCAAAACCAACTTTTTGCATGTCTCGGCCCATCTCCAGTCGACGGATCTCAGTCAGGTTCAGGAAATCACCGATATGGAGTCGCCCCCTTGTCTGTGGTACGACGTTCATCGCGACGGGCGGGAGTTTCTTCAGAGGTGTCGCGCTCTGAAGAGTATTCACATGGACACACTTGGCCCAGGATCGTTCGCATGGGCAGTTCAGGAAAAGCAGGATATGGAGAGCCTTGGAAGTAACAGCCACAACACCAACAGTAGTGTTCAGGGTGGAGTAGGGCCGCCATCGTTGCAGGAATCACGGCCGGCATACCTGGAGCATGGACTGGTGCCGCTGGAGGAATTCAACATTCTAGAGTCGGACGAGCCCCTCTCGGACGAAGACGACAATATCGTATTCGCCTTTAGCCAGACCCTCAAGAAGCTGACCATGACTGCTGCCACATACCAGGAGCTGCACATGCCTCGGATTCTGCAGGTTGGAGGAGGATGGGTGGACCTTCCTTTCTTGACGACACTCTACATCAGCGCGGCTTGGAACCGACTGTCATTGGATACGCAGTTGTACAGCCATTGTCCCAACCTCACTCTGGCTTCGTTCACAGACAACACCACTCGGTATCGATGTCGCGATATCAGGACATGTTTTGCAGCGGAGCTCCCTAGACTCGTTGAACTGGAGCTGAATGGATGGAGTGGATTGACATTTCATCCGGCGACGCTTCATTCTACAGTGGCGCTCAAGAAGTTGTGCATTGCGATCGGACGAGATGATGTCGATGCATACTTTATCCCGCCCCGGACGGAGCTGGACCGATCGTTTGAGAGTGACCTTACAGGAATGGAAGGTAGTGACGGTGACGGTGACAATGGTGGCGCACCAATTCAAGTGGCACAACAAGGATCCAGGATGGGTCGACCAAAGTGGACTTGGAATTGGTACTTGCCTCAGTTGACCTCGCTCATGCTGACGGGCGAGTTTGCGTATCGGTTCCAATTCAGGATGCTCCAGGGATGTCCGTCGTTGGAGTCTCTGATCCTGAACATGCGTTTGACCGAGCGGAGTGAGCAGTTCACCCGGGTTTTGTCGAGAGCCGATCTCCTTATGCCAATGGTGACTGACAACACCGGAGAAGAAGGGCCATTATCGCAGGAACAGCAATATCAGCAGCAGGAGGGAGAGACCATTGTGGCACCAGCACTAAAGGTCGTAGAATTGACGGGGCCGTGGGTGATTGGTGATGAGCTTGTGGTACAATTTTTCATTCATATGCTTCCGAGTCTGACGGATCTGGAGGAAGAAGGAGTGACGGGATATACGCTTAAGAAGGTGTGTGAGGTGTTGAGGTCGATGCCGAACAAGATTGAAGAGTTGATTTTGAGTCTTCCTGAGCCCTCTGAGGAGAGTGCCAAGGAGATGGGTCTGGTTGGTGAGATGTATGATGACGATGAAAACGATGGCGATAGCGATGTTGGATATGGAGTTCGGCATGAAGTAGAGAAAGAAACGGAGTTGGAATTGTGTCTTTGTCTGGAGGGGAAGAGGTTCTTTCTCAAGGAGTTTCCATCAGACATTGTCTGACCTAAGTCGAGAAAATAAATATGCAATTAATTTGGGTTGATAATCCTTGTTGTGCATAGCCCTACCAATGCAGCTGCAGCTGCTTCTTGTTCTTTTTCTTCCCGTCGTCGGTGGTTCGAGAACGCATTGTAGCGCCTCAGATCCAGACTTTGACATTGCGCAGTGACTGGGTCTCCTGCGATATGACCATGTCGCAGTTTGTGAATAGCATTTTTCCACAGGCGCGCCATTTTATTCACGAAATGTAGCAATCGTCTTCATGAAAACAAAAAAGTGTGTTCACTCCTTTTGAATTTTCTCCGCAACCACATGACAACGACAACGACGCGATAAAACGACGTGTTGAATTAGTAGCTTGTGGCACATTTCGCAGGAGACCGACCTTAGACATATGCAAGGGATCACCTTCCCACGTCGGGGTAGGATGTGTGGTACGAGACGCTTTGCAACAACCGAGGATTCTTGCGGCAGTGTCGGTCTCTTAGGCGGATGGATGTGTTTACACTTGGCAAGGAAAGCTTCAAGTGGGCGGTTCAGGAAAAGCAGGAGCTGGATTGTATTGGACAATCACGACCGGCGTACGTGGAACACGGGTTGGTCCCGATTGAGGCTTTGAGCATCAGAGAGTACAAGATGCCACTTACGGATGGATATGGTCGACATTGTACACGCCTTCAATCAGACCTTGACACAGCTCCTATATTGTGACGCTCTTTGGCTCACGGGAATCTTTTTCGGTCTCTACATTGGACAGGGATGGGTCGATCTGCCAAGACTGGCTCTACCCTACTTGAGAGCCGATTGTTACGGTCTGGTCATTGATTCGCAATTGCTTAAACAATATCCCAACCTTCAGATTTATCGGACTGTTCGACAAGACGCTTGAGTATCGATGCCAGGATATCGTCCCCTGTCACCTAGCCCCCTGAGCAGCCTTAGGACTTGACTCTTGGAGGCTGGAGCGCGCTCACTTTCCACCCTGCAACTTTCGAGTCATGCAAGAACCTGAGCTTTTTGAAGATCATCACTTCCTATTCCAACAGCCATCACCATTTTGCTCCACCTGTGCAGAAACTGGAACAGCCATATAAGTTTTCTCAGGACACCGACAACGACAACGTTGCCGAGGCAGAAGGTTTGGAGATGCCAGCCGTTATTATTCGACCTCATTGGACGTAAGACTTGGATTTGCCGCAGTTGAAGACACTCATGCTGAACGGCGAGGTTGAATATCAGTTTGAGTTCAGGATCTTGGTGGGGTGTCCTTATCTGGATACATTGTGTCTCAACATGTCGACGGGGCCGTGACGAGCACACCCGGACCACCTCCAACGCCAACGTTTTCTTCCTGCCAGTAATGACGACGACGACGACAACAACGACTCAGTAAAGCAGCCACCAACATATACAGCAACTCCAACGAGGATCGTTGCGCTTGCAGTCCAGACGATATCGATGAACGGGCGCTGGATCTTTTGTTATGTATTTATGGTGATAAGTTTTGGCGTTTTTTTTTATTTGTCCATTTATTGTTTGTTGGTCTCCACCTGTTTGTATATATTTTTTTCTCTTCTTCTTTCTTCATCCTCCTTTTTCTACCCCGCGGTCTCTTTCGACTATCTCATGTCCATCATTTTACATAGCATAGTCTACTTTCGTGATCCTAGTTGATACCCTGTTTACTTCCTCCTCCAAATTAAATTCAACCTTGTTGCTTTGGCGACCTGTTGACAAAAAGGCAAACGAAAAAAAAATTGAGAAAGTTGTCTGTTCAGTTCGCTCGATCCCCTTCCATGCGTGTCGCGTTCGTCCCAACTTCATGTCTTTTTTTGTGGACCGTTGAGTTTGATGTGCAAGAGGGCGGACGACCATCATCTTCAATGTGTTGGAGGAAAAGGATGTAGTAAATAATGGCAGCAAAAGATAGTCTACTCGTATATTAACACAAACATGTTTTCGATGTAAACAAGCAACTGCAACACCCCTGCGAGTTTGTTATATTTGTCATGTTGAATATTGTCTTTCAGCACTTTTTACTTCATGTTTTATTGAACAGCTGGAATGAATATTATCCTATCTTGTCGTTGATCCTATTGCTATCCTCTTGCTCGATTCTATCGCATAATCTTGCTCAAACAATCCTAACAAAACTCGTATAAACCTATTAAGGATGGAGAAAGACTGGAAAGAAGAAATAGCAATGGCTCAGTCTCAAGCAACAACAAAACACAACCGTACAACTCCTTTGTGTGCTATTAAACCACCCCCACAAAGCGAGGGTGATGGCCCCAGTCACCCAGCGGTGAAAACAGCCGAGCTGAGCGAGGTCTCAAAAGACCCCATGGATATTGCGGACGACTGCACTAGATCCAGGTCCAAGCATCACCACCGTTACCTAGGCAGCGGTGAGGTCATATGATGGGCAGTCCAGCGCGCAGCTTGTCCTTTAGCCCTCGGTACCCACGGAGTTGGACAATCATCAATGCACACGAAGCCTCGCTTACCCTCAGCGAGAAGTGGATGTCAAGAAAATGAGAGAGATCGTCGTGAGGGCCGATGCACCCTCAAGTACCCACGAGTCTGACGGAGAGCAAAGCTACAAGGACCAGCAACACCGCTGATGGCGGAGGTCATATGAAGAGCAGCCCAGCGCATGGCATGTTCTATAGCCCTTCTGTACCTACAGAGTGGTTCTAGTAGCCCGCCCAAATCCAGCGCCACCGCCAGCCGAGGCTAACGGTCAGGTCATATGCAGAGCAGCCCAGCGCACGGCATAGTCTTTGGCCCTTCTGTACCCAAGGTGGACCCAGCTCACCATCACTTCTCAACACCCGTACATCACATTATGCCTGTTGCCACCCAAGACTGAGCCATTTTTTTCACCTTGCTTCCTTGTTGGTATGTGTGGGGATTATGGCGCTGTGGGTGAGTCCGATATCGAATAATAGAGGAGGTGAGCAAAGTATTCGAGGGCGATTGAAGATGCCAAGAGTAAAGAGAGGTGAAGGTGGTGAGGACGATGCGGGCAGAGGGAAGCTGGTTGAGAGGGGAGCTGGATGAGAGTGGAGCTGGTTGCGAGTGGAGAATGTGGACAAGGCGGGGTGAGGGAATGAGAAGGAGAAAGAGAAAGAAAATGAAAAACAAAAGCAGGAGGAGTGAAAGATAAAGAGAATGAAAAAAAAAGAAAAACAGGAGGGGGAGGGAAAGAGAAAGAGGAGGAGGTGCGGCGTAGGAGGGGACAGTTGAGTTGACGAGTGGCTTGGTCCTCAGAGGCTCACCATGACATCATGTAACAAAAAGGACTTATGTAACAAAAAGGGCCTTATGTAACAAATGGGCCCCATGTAACAATAACGCCCCCTTGTAACAAAAAGACCCCCTTGGTGCATGGTGGGCGGGGATTGAACTCCGTCTCGCTCTATAAGCTCTCTAAAAAGTCACCCGCCCATCGAAGTAGGAACAGACAATAGAAAGAGCTGAACAATTGACTGCACCGACGCGGCATCCATAGCAAGGCGTGCCTTGATGCTCATGTGAGCGATGTCCAAGCTGGCCATGACCATGACTGGGTGCTGATCAGCGCAATCTCCGGGCGCTTCAAGTGTCGGACGGAGTTCAGGCACAGAAACAGGCTTGTCAGGTACGAAAAGGACGTGCGCCTTCACCAACCGTCAACTGTTTCTCGTTTATGTATCACTTTGTCCCCTATTGTTCCAATACATCAACCATGGCAAAGCGACAGAACAATGTCGGAGGAGACGGTAGCAGAGAATTAAAAAATAATTAAAAAACGTCCCTGTGGCATCACCTATTCCACTACGCCTTCGCCCTTCTCTTTTTTGAGTTTATCGCCACTTTCTTTTTTATTTTCCATTTCACTGTTTATCACTCGACATGTTTCTTCTTCGTTTTCTTTTCATGCTTCACCTTACGTACATCCTTCGCCTTTTCTCTTTCACCTTCAGTCTATTCAATACTTCGCAAGACCATGACCGATAACCACTTAACCCTGTTCTGTCTTTTTGGAAAAAAGAGCACAAAAACAACGGCAACGGAATCGACAACAAAAGTTCCATCCGATCAACAGCAACCACTATAACTACAGGGCTAACTTCCTCACTAGGACATATGTCAGCATGGTAATCGCCCACCTCTACTGAGGGTGTCACACCCCCAAGTTGTTTGGCCTGATCTCGAGCCCCGAACTTGAGGGCCTCCAACGTGTGTCCATCGATATCGACGACAACAACTTTTCCGAAGATCTTCCTACGAGGCCACATAAGAATTTCTGGACAAGCTAAAGGGACACAAGCGACGTTCTGAAGACCAGGAATCTCAAATATCATAAAAGAAGGCGAACGACGCCTTCACAATGCCAATCAGCAAAACAAAATGAACCAATCCTTTACTTTCTCATCGTTTATTTTGACTGGTATTACCTTCTCAATGACGCAAAAAAGTTTCTTTTCGTAAACGGTGTTGAGAGTAGGAAAAGGGAGTGAAGTGTAAGAAAAGAAGGGGGGGGGGGAAGCTGTCCGCCACAGCAAGAAGAAGGGATAGGAATGCTAAAACAGGGTCTCAAGCAAATATTCACCACCTCTTCATCGTTGTTTGTTATCATCTACCAACGTCCTCCTCTCCATCCGCCTCCACGCCATCCGCCTCCGCGCCATCCACCTCCTTGCCAGCCCCCTCCGCCTCCTCCACCTCAACCCTGGAAAACTCTTTCGTCGCCATCAATGACGTCTCCTTCTTCCAAGCTACGTCTTTTGTGCCCGTGGCCACCGTGGCCACCTTTGTGCCATTTTCCGGCTTGAACGGCGTCGTCCGAGGGAGCAGGGGATGGGTTTCCGACCGCGGACCTCTTTTACATCTTTATTTTTATTTTATTATTTTGGTTCGACCACCCTCACTCTTCTGCTCCGGTTCTTTCGCATCTACAACACTTGAATCGCAGTTGTTGTTCAAATCCTTGGGGCCGTCACTCTTGAGAAGGCGCGGTAGATATGAGAGCGTGACGCGTTTGATAAAGAAAGATAAAAAAAAAAGGATCGTGGTCAGGATCGGAGGCGAAGCACTTTAGATGCTGAGCATCAATTAGAGCAGTCAAAACCTCTTTGGGGATATCATAATAATGAGGGCACAGCCGAAAAGTTAAAATCTTTGCACAATGGTAGTTTCACAGCATGCAACCGCTTGGCGCATCTACAAGCGAGCGCAGAGAGGGCGCCGACCAAGTATTCTCTAGCAAGAATGTTGAAAAAGTCGTGAAGGCACTCCAAAATGTAGTTTGGAGATGGAATCCTTAGCGCTGAAGAAGAGATGAATGAAATGAAAAATGTGTGCGTAGGAGAACGCGGAGATGAGTTCCTTTTTTATTATATTTTGTGATGTGAAAGAAATAGAGTTGCGATTTAGAATGAATTTGGGTGGCTCTGGCTCGGAAGAAGGTTCCGTCCCTAATATCATCCAATCCATGCGGGAGGCGAAAAGTTACAACAGCACGGTTTACTCTCTGGATGCGCATAGTTTGGGTTGAAGGACAAAGTGAAGGAAAGCTGAAGGCAAGTAATTCCTGCTTTAATGTCGCGCTGTGAAAGTAAAGTGTATGCGGTGGTTGTCGGTGCTGTTGTTGATTTTGTTGCTGTCATCCTGCACACAGTCAATCTCTTCAACCGCTCTGGATAATGGAATACCAAAGTGGTTATCAACTGCAAGACCCAATTCCTTAGTCATGACTACTGCAGCTGTTTCATTCCTGACGGCATGGGCCATTACAATCGCCAGGCAACCGACATCTTTCAGGAGGCTGTAATCGTGCCTTTCTCCACGGACCAGATCGAGGACATTTGTCTCCACATTTTTCAGTTACGGTAGAGCTGAATTTGGCCGCCGCTATTCAAAATATTTTTCCCGAAACAGCTTAGTTTAGGAGTGCAGCAGCGCAAGCGCAGCCGCATTAGCCCGTCAATGCTCATTCTTATACCCGACGAGAATATGTCAAGGAAGGAACGATGGAGAGACAAAAAGGGTTACAAGAGGGTAGTCTTCGGACAACTATATTAATCCCTCCCTTCGTCTCTTCGACTGTCGTAAGAGTAATATAAAACAAAACATGAAGGAAAAAGCAGACAGGAATGAGAGTGAAGATTTTCTCAATTTCTCTTCTTTCAAGGGATGCCATGTTAGAACGGATGTAGAGGTAGAGGGGGGAGAATCTTTGCCCTCTCCCCTTGCATCCGCTTTATCCTGCCCGAAGGCAAGAAATACCTGTTGTTTGCGGCCTTTTTTTTTCTCACAGTCGTACCGTTGCTACACAGAATCTGAGTGAGAGACTGAACTAAGTGAGAACTTGATTGACACTAACAACATAAATAACGTAGACAACGCCACCCTTCGAAGTACAGTGCTATGTAAACTACAGTCACCATCCATTCTCTCGGACATATTGAACAAAGACTCGGAAAGATAAAAACCCCGTTGATTACCCACATTCTTCCCCTCCTTCTCCTTTCTCTCCCTCGTTTCCTCTTCATCACTTCTCCCTCTTCTCTCTCCCTTTCTCTCTCACCACTTCAAAGATGGCTACCACAGAACTGGTCAAGTACGTGCTCGAGCATGCAACTCGCACCAACAACCTCAAACTCCTCCTCGCCTTCTCCACCTTCTTCCTTTACAAGTACCGCTCCCACGCCATCGGAAACCGGCGTCGTGCTGACCTCAAAGCTCCAAAGGGTGCTGTCCCTTTCCTGGGACACTTGCCCCTTATCACCAGCATCCCCGGAACAGAGGTGTATGCCTTTTTTGAGAAGAACCACAACGAACTGGGCCCTGTTTGGTCTTTGTCACTGCCCGTTATCGGACGTATGGTCTTTGGTAACTCTCCTGAACTGGTCGAGCATGTGTTGAAGAACAACTTTTGGGCTTATGAGAAGGGGCCTATCGTCAGGAATTGTTTTGGCGACCTCTTTGGCAAAGGTTAGTTAAGAAGCATTATCCTTTGTGCTTTAGATGTGTGTTTTTTATTACTATTTCACACCTATCTCTTCCCACTCCCACTCATCTCCTCATCTTATTTTTGGGGCGCCTCTCCCTTGCGTGCGCTACAACCATGACCCTCACTAAAATCATCTCTATTTCTTCCCTCTCCTTCCACTCCCTCGTACCAACAAAAAGGTATCTTCACCTCTGACGGATTTGACTGGAAGTGGCAACGCAAAATGGCCTCTCACATCTTCAACGTCCGCGCTTTCCGCGAGTACACCAACGACATCTTTGTCATCGAGGCCCAAAAGATGCTCGCCTACCTTGGCAAAGCTGCCGACGAGGGCACTCCCATCGACTTCCATGCCCTAATGCTCCATTTTACTCTCGACAGCTTCGGATCGTAAGTTATTATCTCTCTGTATACATTTCTAAGCATATTCTCCATACGCAAATAGTACGCATCCGCATTTGCTCACATCCTTTTCTCCATTACATACCCTGAACACTCCCCCCCCCTATTTGCCAATTAGTGTCTCGTTTGGAGAGAGTTTTGGTTGTATGGACGATATCGAGCGAAAGGTCGACTTTGCAGTCGCCTTTGACGACCTGGCTACCATCACCTCCGACCGTCTGATGGATCCCATGTGGAAGATCCGCGAGCGCTTGACCAGTGTTGGCAAGAAGGTCGCCGGCGATCGCAACCTCGTCCGCGACCACGCCTTCCGCATCATCGAGAAGCGTCGTGCAGAGGGATACCACAAGCCTAAGAAGGATCTTTTGCAGCTGTTTATGGAGGCCAGGGACGATGAGGGTGATGCCCTAACGGATGACTATCTGGTGGATATCATCTTGAACTTTATCATTGCGGGCAGGGATACTACTGCTCAGGCATTGTCGTGGATGTTTTATTTGATTAACCGAGATGGCACGGACAAGGAAGTCATGAAAACGTTGATTCAAGAGGTGGATGATGTCCTTGGAGGCAAGTTGCCTACCTATGAGTCTCACAAGCAGCAGAAGTACGCCGATGCCTGGTACGTAACTACATATGCTTCGACCATCTTTTTCTTTCTTTTCTCGCGTGTGAACGTATGTATGGCCTCATTTAATTTAGGCCGCTTGGACCTGAATGCAGGAGAGCTGTGTATTTATTTTTCCCTCGCCGTTTGATTGCTTGAAGAGCAACAGAATTAACCCGATTTTTTTTTTCTTTCTGCGTACGTCTTTCCTTCTTTCAATTGTTCGTAGCTTCCATGAAGGTACATTCTTATTGCACATGATTTTCTTCCTTTCGCTGCATTCATCTTATCTCTTTCGCTAACCTGCGCAATTTTCACATCGCGTTTCCATCCTATAATAGCACTCCGCATTTTCCCAGTTGTCCCCCGTAATTCAAAACTCTGCGTTCAAGACGATATCCTCCCCGACGGCACAAAGATCTATGCCGGAGAATGGTTCACCTGGTCCTCCTACGTCATGGGCCGCTCCGAAGCCATCTGGGGTCCCGACGCCCGCGAATATAAACCCTCCCGCTGGCTCCAAGGCGAGAAATTCTCACAGGGCAAATTTAATTCTTTCCATGCTGGTCCTCGTGTTTGTCTGGGGATGAACTTTGCGATCTTGGAGGGTCTGACGGTGGTTGGGGCGATTCTGCAAAAGTTTGAGTTGTCATTGGTGGATAGTGGCAAGTTGCCGCAGTACGGTGTGTCGGTCACGATGCCCATGATGGACGGGTTGCCCATGATGGTTACCAGGCGTAAGGCTGGTGTTGCCATTTAAGGGAGGTATGGTGAAGGAGGAGGAGGGGGGGGGAAGGGTAACATAGTTGTCCTTTTTGAATGTATATGTCTGTCTATATCACTTCTTTATCATTGTTGTGTGCATGTTGTATGTTTAGTCGGTAACAGCGTCGGCCAATTCCAAGAAAGAAAGCACGAGAGTGCCCAGGTCACCCCAAAAAGACGCTGTCTCCGTCTCCGTCGTTGTCGTTGTCGTTCTTGTTGTTGTCGGGGTTGATGATGTTGCTGGGGTCTGTGTACCCCGTGCCTCCGCTTCTGCCGTTTCTTCCTGTGCTTGCTTCGGAACAAAAGGCTCGAAAATATCAATGAGAAAGACGACCAGATCACCTAACCACCTCAGGTCTCTCAATTGCTCGGGTATCATGTCTTCCATTCTTCGCGCTTTTCCCTGTAGTCAATAAGAAGGAGAGGTTTCGTGGGAGGGGAGGTTAGTGAATGTAGTTTATGATGGAGTTGAATGGATGAACAATAAACGATGAGTAAGGAATGCGAGGAATGAGAAGAAGTTCGAGGAGGGGGGTAGAGGGGAAAGGAAGGTGAGGGTTGGCTAGAGTAAACGGTGAATGATGGAATGGAGTTGCACACCTGAGAAAAGAGTAAAGGGAAGGAGTTGAGTGTTCGTTTCCTTCCTCCCTGAGGTAGAACGTCTGTCTGCTGCCGTCGACTCTTAGTGACAGTCACTCAATTGAATTGGAGCTGAGCATGAATCTGAAGGGTGAAAAAGAAAATTTTCTCTGTCGTCCTCTGGAATTTTTGGAGAGACCAACCTGATCTCCCTCATTCGGTCTCCCAGACCTCAGTGCCTACTTACTATGATAATCGGAGGCAGAAAAGGCACAAAAAGAAAGCTACACTTGTAGTAGACATAATGCCGTAAGCTCATTTTATGGAGGACGAGAAAGAAAAAGTGATTGAACTCTGGAAAAAAAAAAATAGAGCAGAGTTGAAAAATCGAGTAACGACGCAACGAATCCAAACCATTTGAACCAAGAGGCGTCCTAACTTCTTTCCCTTTTGTGAAACATGTACCCAATGTTTATTTGCTACAAGGACCAAGAAACGGTTCCAAAAAAAAATTGCTTTTTCTTTTTGTCCATTACGCCTAGAAAGAATACAAAAGTGTGCAACCAGGACCAACTTCTAGGCAACGCAAGTAAAGTACCCGGCCGTCTCCACTTTGGTTGCTGTATTGTAGTTGGATCTGCTAACCTTATCTCAGTAATGCTTCTTTCCTTTGACCGTCAGGGCAAGACCCCATAAGGCCTCAGTACGCTGACAAACCACAACTCGTCGCTCGACTTACGCGTGACGGTGCCTCTATTTGTATGCCTTGTACGGTTGTGTCTGTCCTTGATAATAAGCTCACACTTTATCAGAGCTTCTTTCGGATCAGCGATTCCACCGGGGGAAGAAGGTCCACCTCGTCAGGTGGTGTCTCTGCATGGGGGGTCAGCGCGGATGCCAATGGCTGTTTTTTGTAGGAAGAGGATAAAAGTGGATCAATCATTCGGCGGCATTCAATTTTGTCTGTTTGTTTGTTTGTACCTGATCCCAGAGTTTGTAGGGGCGGCAGATACAGTTGTAGCAGCCATGGCAACAAGGGCAGACAGAGCGAGTGTGACCTTCATTTTGGGCAAGGAAATGAGGGAGTATTTCTGCAGACACCCTGGATCGAAACTATATCCTCCAAGCACGTGCATTTCAGCTTCGCCCCTTTCGCGCGCTTCAACTCAAAACACCCCACCACCCTCTCAGCATGTAGGAATCAGGACTGACAAAAAAAAAGCAAGGATGGGACCTTTTTGGTTCGGAAAAAGACCTTGTTTCAAATCTGAGCGCGCACAGATGATTTCTCTGTCCGAAGAAGAACATGGCCTCCCATTCCGTAACCTTCTATGTGAGCCTTCCGGCTCTCTTTCCTTCCTACAAGCGCGCAGAAGAATACCTTCTCTCCTTTTAATGGAAAAGTAGCAATGTAAGAAAAAGGCAGGGTGATTGGCAAGGTATTTATTTTTGGAAAAAGGAAAAGAAAAGAAAAGTGTCGATATGAGGATGGCATACTCCTAACCATGAAGATGGAGGGAAGGGAGAGTCTGCTAGCACCTTTGCAATGAATGTATTTTTTATTTTTCGTTCTGTTCAATTAGAACGCCAGAAAAAAAATATTCCTTAACCCCTCCCCCCCCCCCCCCCAAGCCCCAGAGGTGTGGTGCCTCAATATCCATACCTTCCATCCTGAACCCCGCCATGTCCACACAATCACCATATCGGGCCTGTTTCTTCTTCCAACACCAAAGTCAGAGTCAGAGTTAGACAGACGAGGATCGTGGCACGGTCATCGGATGAGAGGAGACCTGGGCAATAAAATTCCCCACAAATCCCCACCTCCTAGACTTTTTGGCTAGCACATTCTCGAACCTCCCCCCCACCTCAAGGTCGCTTACTGGGCCGCCCCGATCAGCGCATCCCAGGACACTCTATGAATCCACTCCTCTCCCGCCTTCGCACCCTACGGCCTTTCATTTGACGAACATGCCATCGGTCTTAGCCTAGTATAGGAGGGGGAAGGAGAAGAACTATGGAAGGAGGAAATGTAGAGGGCGGGGTTGAAGCCATGCATGACGGATTGGAAGGGAGGAAGTGTGTTACCGATATATATTTCGATGGGCCTGGCTGTGTCTGTGTATCGAGTGTGAAGTGACCCGCGTTAGCGTGAGCGCAAAATGCATTAGAAGACTACCCGCAACTCTTTAGAAATCTCACCAACCGCTGAGCATTCCCCTACTCATTCATTCATGAAGTAAAGGTAATAATAATGGCTGTATTTTTTAACAAGGAAAAAAAAAGGGGGGGGGGGGGGATAGCAGAAAGAAAAAGAAAAATATCTACAAGGTGGTACTCCTGCTAAAGGTTTCCCGCTCACGCTCTGAATGGATCGAAGAAACAGGACTGCTACACCCAACACTAGCATCATCATCCGCCACACTACTCCCACCACCACCGATGCTTCCACCACCGTTCTGATGACCATGACCATGCGCATGACCACGCCCACTCTTACTAGCCCGTCTCCTGTTAGACCGAGCCAAGCGGGCCTTGACAGAATCCAAAAGCTGCTGCCTCTGTTCTCCAAACCGCCATACCTTCAACAAGTCCTCAATCTCTTGAGTCCTGCGAATCGACGTGGCTGCCTGGGCAATCGATTTAGGCGTAACGATAGTGTTGCTTGCTGTCGCACCGCTACCGCCACCTCCTGCCATCGACAGGTTAGTCGAGAGTAAAGAACTGCCGTTGCTGCTGACACTACTGGTCCTGCGGTGACGGAATGTCGACGACGCTGTCGATTCAAGAGACATCCGCGTTGATCCATTCTCACTGCCATGCTGCTGCTGAGGCTGAACATTCATGTTCAGCGCCGCCAACATATCATCCGTCATCTGCAACGCCTCATCCAAAACATGGATCTCGCTCATCGCCAAACTAGTTTCTAGCAACGCCGAAACAATCGGCCTCATTCCCAACCGAATCGCCCTAAAGAGGACATGCTGGTTCTTGGGGTGCGAGGGAGGGTAAGGGTCCTCAAAGTCCAGACTGGGCTCCAACTGAACCCCGCTATCGACCATCAACCACCGGATCAGATCTGCAAGCTTCTTGAGCGTCTCCTCCTTGGCCTCATCCTCGGGTGACAACAATACGTTCTCACCGTTCGCCAGCTCTGCCTGTTCCAAGACCGCCACCTCTGCAACAGAGCTGATCCTAGGGAGTGACGAAACGCCCAGAGATCCATTGTTGGAAAGAATAGAAGCAGTCGACCTCTTCCGTGCATGGCCTCCAAATGTTCCCGAAATCCCCAATCCAGACGTGGCAGTGACAGGCGATGGGGTCGGGCTAGCAGCGGCGACCTGTGACAAGTCCAAGGCCGCCAACCGATCAATACTCTTGCTCTTCAACAGCACCTGAATCACACCCTCATGTCGCTTTGTCAGAGCATTGACATCCGCACCTGCATCCACCAGAATCTTGAGCGCCGGCGCCGGATCCTGATTATAATGCGCCACAAAATGGAGCGCCGTCCACCTGTTGCTGTCCTTGGCGTTCACATCGATGTCTCTGGTCAACAACAGCATCATGGCATCCAAGTAGGGCTTCTCACTCGAAGAGAGTAAGTGCAGCGCCGTCCACATGACTGGGCCCTTGGCATCCACCTCTGCTCCAGCATCCAGCAACAAGCGCATCGGCTCCAATGGCGACGATTTTGCTCTCTCAGCAAGGTAGTGTAGTGGCGTCTGTCGTGCTGAGCTGACAGCGTTGGGGTTGGCGCCACGATCTAAAAGAAACTTGAGCACAGCGGGTGGAGGGTTGGGCCGCAAACAGAGGTGGTGAAGAATGGTCTGCTTGGTCTTTTGGTCGAATGCATTGATCTCTGCTCCACGATTGATCAAAAGTTCCAAAATGTTCGTATTGGGCACTTGGTTGGGGTTCTCGAGGTCAGCGACGGCGGCAATAAGAGGAGTGTGGTCGGTGACAGGATCCCTCTGATTGACAGATACACCCTGAGAGAGCAGCGAGTTTATGGTCTTGACATCACCCTTGACGGCGGCCTCCCAGATAGGAATCAGTTTGCGCTTGGGCGAAGCAGGGGGTGAATTGAGCGACATGTCTAGCGCCTTGCGAAGAATCGACGTCCGCTTCTTGATCATGTTGGGTGATTTTGATGCCATAGAGTCAATGGTAGGCCGTGCCGAATACGAGCTGGGTTCTGGAGTCATTGGACTCGACTCTGTGTTTAACAAAAAAATTTAAAAAAGTGTGGATAGTGGTTAGAATATGGAATTGGAGTTCTGTCGTTTGTGTTCACCCTTGGCTGGGGGCTAGTCAATAAAGACTCTTTGTTCTCATTTGTCACTGTCCCTTTCTAGGTTAGATCCACTTCGTACCCGCAATGACAGACGGTGTAGTTACGACAGAGATGAGCGAGATGGGCTTTTTGGCGTTCAATTGGATTCCAGTAGTGCCCTTGTTGATGGGCTCGCGGACATGAAGGTCAAACGAAGTGTTGGCCATCTCCTTGAGCTGTGATCGAATGACCATCAGTCCTGGTCGTTGTGTAGGGTCGCGTGAACATATCCTGCGGATCAAAGACTCCATAGCAGACGGCAAGGTCATGGTTCCCTGAGGTGTCGACATGGTGGGCATTGTTGCCGGTGGTGATCGTGCGTCGAGACGGAGAGTGTGGTCGGCAGAGGAATTCAGGAAATGACTGGCATGGGAGCGATGTCCTGTCATGATTTCCAGCATAATGACGCCAAGAGAATAGATATCGGAGGCTGTCGTACAAGGGTTGAGTTCAGGGTTGGCAAGACGCTCGGGCGCAGTGTAGATGAGTCCCTTCTCAAAGACGCCCCTCCCGTGCACCCATCGTGCTCCTGCCTTGGGACTGGTCTGCTGGTTAGTGTCATGATCCCAGCCAGGTTCAGGTCCGCGCCCAGATCTGGAAGTCTGTCCAAAGTCGGTGAGGACGGCGGTAGGTCCGTTCTCGACCAGGACGTTGTCACTGTGCAAGTTCATGTGCAGTAGCCCATGTTCATGCAAGTACAATAGTCCGTTTGCAACCCCTCGAATCAGCCGAATCTTGCCCATCCAATCCAGTGCCTCTCCCTGCGGTGATTTCAGGAACTCGTGCAGCGTACCGTGTGCCGAAGGTTTAGTCACAATCCAGTCCCGCGGCATATTCTCATACTGCGTTGAAGGGGAGGCTGTACTGTTGTTGTTGTTGTTGTTGCTTGTACTGGTATTGGCGCTGGTACCGATGGTAGCAGCGAGGGCGAGATTAGAGAGGGATGCGGCCACACTGCTGAGAGATCGTGTCCTGGGTACACCGTTTTGTGTTGGCGAGTTGTTTGCAAGAGTCGATGCTAGTGAGGCAGCTGCCGAGGGGTGTTCGCGTGTTGCTCCGTAAAAGGTGACGATATTCGGTGCCTGAGGCAGGTCGCGCAGTTTGCCGAAGGCGTGGAGGAGGTCGCGAAAGTCTGTAGGATTGCGGGACCATTTGAGGACGACGGGACTATATTCGGGCTCTAGTCTGGAGCTGGAAGAAAAAGTCGGGGAGGCAGACGAGGACGAATGTGTTGAGGAGGAGGACGAGGTGGAATGTATGGACGCGGACGAAGCTGGAGCAGGCCGAATAAGTGTTCCACCGTGGACTTCGGAGAACTCTGATGCCTTGATGAGCGGGTGCTTTATTATCTATTGAGAATAAGAAAGTGCAGCGACACAAGAAGACATGACGACAATGATAAAACTGGTTAGGACACCAAGGACTACAACGACGACGACGACAGCGACGACGACGAGTAAAAATAAGAAACCCCCCCCCCCCCCCAAAAAAAAAAAAAAAGCGCGTCATCTCTTCCCTTCTTTTTCGTCTTTCACTTTGTTTACAATGGGTCATTATTTGCAATTGATTGTACTCTCTCTCTCTTCCTCTCTATCTCTTTCTTGTGTTCGTAGAATGAGCGCACCGGTGTGAGTGAGCAAGCAAGAACTAGTGATTGGGTGAGCTTAGAAAAGGAAATAGTGAACCGGACTTACATTACTAAAGTCAATGGTGGGCATCATTTTGGCAGCGAGTGAGTGTGGGTTGTACTTTGTGAGAAGAGGAAGGCGGTTGGTCGTTAGAATACAGAGAAGGTAGGGAAGGAGAGAGAAAGTATGTACAGGAGAGAAAGAGTAAAGAAGATGTGAGTAGAGTGGAGATGAAGGTGGCGAGTGTGTGTCTGTTAGAATGGTGTGAGTGCACAAGGAACGCGAGTGTGAGGGTGCGTGTGTGTGTGGGTGAGGAAGAAAAGGAAAGAGAAATAACGGAGAAGAGAAGGAGGGAGAGAGGGTAGGGACGAGGGAGAGAGGGTGGGGACAAGGGAGAAGGGAGAAGGGGTAGGAAGGGGTGGTAGGAGAGGGAGAGAGAGCAGAGAGAGAAGTAGAGGAAGGTAAAGAAGAAAAGGATAAACGACGCAAGCTGGGAAGAAGGAAGGAGAAGGGTAATTCCCGTTGTGGGGACAAGTTCAAAATGATGTATGTGCAGGAATGAATGAGAGGATTGTGCTCCAGCCCACAGATACAAGTACATTACATGATCTGTCCGCTCTCTTTTCCTTCGCGCTCATCGTCACCCAACGGGTATTTATTTGACTGTTGAAGAGGAAAGGCGAGTGAAGACTGGAGATGCTCTCGCTTTCGCTGCTAACGTCCTTTGTGTTTGTTTTGCTTGTTTATTTGTCTGTCAGTCAGTGTTTTCACTCCAAAGAAACAAGCAACAATAACGACGCAAATTGCATTATGTGCTCCTGTTGTTCATAACACCCTGGTGACCCAGGCGCCTTTTCATCTCACAGCAGCCAATTGCTGCTCGTTCACAAGGAGCCGCTTCAACTCTCTCTACTCTCTCTCCTTCGTTGCTGTTTGCTCCTTCTGCCCTTTATGTGGCTGAGCAAATTTCGATCCAAACGGCCTCTTTCCTTTTTTTGTCCACGGGAAAGAGAGTGTCTCCTTTTAACTTTTTACGCAACGCACCCCAACACAACGCAACACACCCACAAGCGCAAGGACAAGGACAGCAAGAAGGACTCAGCCTAGCCACCACTGCCTGCTACACTCGCTCTCTCTTTCCCTCTCAGAGACCACACATAACCCATAACACAACAAGACACAATGGCAAGCAAGGACGGCAACAAGAGCACCCTCTTCGTCGGTACGCTTCTCTCTTCCATTCTTCCATTCAACAGAAACAGCACTCACCACACCATGCACTCACACGACCAAACCGACTGCCTGCCGAGTTGATCCTCATCTCCTCTATTACTATTCTTCTTATGCTTCTGCTCAAAAGAAAAGAAATGCAAAACTCACACTCACTTCCTCTCATTCCTGCAACTACTTCAACAGGTGGTCTAGATGAACAGGTGACACCACAAGTCCTCCATGCCGCATTCATCCCTTTTGGCGACATTACACAGATCGAGATCCCCTCTGATCCCACCTCCAGTACGCTCCTCTCTTTCACTTTCTGCTACCTGTCAGCCCACGCGTTGTTATTCTTTTTCCTTCTCCTTATTGTTTACTCGCGCCGTAACATAAAACTAACACGCTTACTTACCTTACTTACAATAGACGCACCGCATCGTGGGTTTGGATTCGTCGAGTTTGATCTGGCAGTGGACGCACAGGCTGCACAGGACAACATGCATCTTTCAGAACTCTTTGGCAGGACAATCAAGGTCAACCTCGCAAAGCCAGGAAAAGGAGGTCCAGGGGGGCTGAGAAGTGGACCCGAGAAGGCTATCTGGGCAGACGAGGATTGGCTCAAGGAGAACGTCATGGGCGACGACTCGCACTTGTTATCATCAGCAGCAGACCAGGAATCATGATCAATTGATTGATAACGGCTGCCAGTATACCGACAACTGCAGGAACCGGAACGACTCAACTCGGAAGATCATGATCGATACAAAAGCACCTTTTCAACCATGTAACACTACCAGTACGATTGCCACCAATAAAGCAACACTCATTCACAACAAGGATATCAAGCGGATGAACTGATCTTGCAATTGAACAACGCTCTGGCCCTTTTTGTTGACGTTTGAGCAGTAAGTGGCGATTGTGAGGTCATGGACGAACAAACATCAGCAAAGGACGACACCCTTTTTTTTTCTTTGGGGTGTTTTCATGTGCGATTTCAACCTGACTCAGGACTAGCAAACGCAGGAGAGTTTGGCTGTTGTTCGTCAAACCCTTTCGCACTTCTATTGCCCCACTTTTCAGTTTTTATTCGCCTGACTTTCCTCTTTTCTATTCTCACACAACCCCAATCAACAATCAACACCTCCTTCTTCATTCCTTCCTCGATCTTCACCTTTCACTCTTCTCCTTCCACTCTCTACAGCAATGGCTTGGAATCGACTGCCGGTCGAGTGTCTGCAACTCATTCTGGACCAACTCGCAGAGGAAAAGGACATATACTCCCTCAACACCCTCCTCAGATTGAACAAACACCTCTGCGATATCACCCTCCCCTACCTCTACGAAGACCCCTTCACCCTGGCAGCCTCCAAGTTTGACGACAACTACGACAGTATCTCCTACAACACCATCAACAAACTCCTCACTCCTCTTATCCGAACCCTCTTGGCCTCGGCCGATCCACTTTATCTGACCGACTTGCTCAGAAGCGCCTACTGGGACAGCGTCGAGGATGAAACTGCCTTTCTCAAACAAAGATCAGGCATCAACTACATCCACTACCTACGACACTTTTACCCGACTTCTGTCAATCATGCCCTGTTTCACAACTGGAAGGCCTTCAAGCAGAACACTCGCCTGGTCAACTATGTGCAGGACCAGGGTCTCGAGAAACAGTTTCGAGCGCAGGAACTGTCAATTGAGAACAACCCCTACGAGGACCCAGCCTCGCTCATTGTCCGATATCTTGCCATCATGCTGCGTGCCCAGCTCGCCTGGGCAATCTGCTCTCCTATCTTTGAGCAAATCCAGTCGCTGACCTTGCCCTTGTCGGACTTGCAGAGATACTGTGGCGAGATGCACAGGCTCCGGAGTCTTCGACGCATCAACTTTAAGCAGGACCAGAAGCTCGACTATTCAGGATTTCTCACACAACAACTTCGACAGGATAAACCCGAGGTTCTCGCACAACGCCGTCAACAGAAAGAGGATCTCATGGAGGGCATGGTGGAGTTTGTGCGCGATCATACTGAACAGTTCCCGTCCGTCTTGCTGCAGGCGGACTGCCCTCAGGAGAACACATGGCAGGGATCCCACCAAATCGCGCCACAGACATACATCGAGAGCCTCAATTGCTATCTGCCCTCGCTCATCTGCCCGACCTTTCTGGATGCCACCAATTGGAGCCAGTTCATTGCCAAGATCGAGACGACGGACTTGACGCATGTGCAGACAGTCGAACCACCGAGAGGAGAGGCTATCCTGTGGCTAAGCCGGTTGAGGCGACGGTGTGCCTTTAATGACAAGTCTTTTCTGCAGCGGTGTCGAGAGTTGAAGAAGGTCGACATGATCTCCCTTGGACCAAACCTCTTTGCCTGGGCTCCTCGGGAGAAGCGGGAGCGACAGGTGTATTACGCAAGGAAGCGGATACAGTCACTGGAGGCAGCAGCAGCCGGCAACACAGGATGGCCTTCATCATCGTCGTCACAAAAGCTCTCACTGCTGTCAGAGCCAGCTCCACTTCCACCACCACCACCTCAGCCTCTCGAGGAAGCTATTATCCGATGCTACTGGGAGGGACTCGGGACTGAAATCGAGGATGTTGCGGTATCGTTCCCAGAAACACTCACCAAGATTGTAGTGCAAGGTCCTCGTGCTCAATTCGCCGTGCCAGATCATGGGATCATGCCAGAACCTAGGGCGATTGGCGAGACATGGTTGGAACCACTGCCTCGACTCAAGAAGCTGGCGATCTTCAAGCTGGAGGAGACCTTCCGCATGGCACCCTTGCTGCTCTCGCGATGCCCGGCACTAGAGGAGTTGCGGATTCAGGACAAAGCAACGGCGTACAACTGCGACCAGGTTTTGGCATACGGCGTCCCTCGACAGTACCCAGCACCGTCCTCCCTTTCGGAACCAGGAACCTCGCGTCTAAAGACGATTGACCTTCGAGGCTGGTCGGCGCTGTGTTTTCATCCTGAGACTTTGAGGAACACGCCCGAGTTGGAGTCCTTGGTGCTGGCGACGGAGCACGATCGGTTTATGCGTAACATTATCCCGGAGCCAGGAGTACTACTGAGCTACGATTACCCTTCGCTGAAAGAAGAGGCCGAATCTATTCGGGCTGCCATGACCGCTATGTCACTCTCTCAGCTGGATTCCGACGACGACGATGATGGCAATGTTGGCCAGGGAGGCGCGCAACAACAACAACGACAAACACGCCCTGCGATTCTGAGACGACCTTGTTGGGCTTGGGATTGGCATCTTCCAAACTTGAACCGGTTACGATTGACGTCCGAGTTTGCGGTTCGGTTCCAGTTCAGGATGCTGGCTGGGTGTCCGCAGCTGGAATACTTGGACCTGAGCATTGCGGTACAGGGGGATCATACGCCGGAAATGACGGAAGAACAGCTGACGGGGCCCTGGGATTATTATTATTACACCCACAAGCGCGTCCTCACCAGGGCCGACTTTTTGGTACCCTCTCGCCTCCGTAGTGCCAAGGGCAAGGACAGGGACTCTGAGGACGCGTATATCAACTGCCCAAACCTCAAGAGCCTCCATCTCTCGGGCCGGTGGTCGATGACGGACGAGTTTCTCATGTTCTTGTTCACGACCGTCCTACCCAACTTGACCGATGTGACCGAGAGCCAGTGTCTGACGTTTACGTTTCCGGGTTGGGTTCGCGCGACCAGTCGTCTTCCAAATCTGTTGTCAGCCAGTTCTGGCCGCAAGTACCCTGAGGAGAAGCTGAACCAGTTGGGGATGACAAGGTTCAAGCAGGATAACCGGACGGCGCCACAGTATATTGCGTACGAGAAGATTGTCGATGGGGAGGAGCAGGTGACGTTTGTACAGGTGCCTGGGTCGGATGGTGTTAAGCACCCTCGGCCGAGTGGTGTTTATTCTTTGAACTTTTGTGATAAGTATGTCCTCTTGTCAACCGTTCCTTCCGACCTGAGAAAGTGAATATTAAAATTTGTATTTATGCCTTTTTTTTTAAATGAGAAAAAGGAAAATGAAGGGGGGAAAAAAAATAGGGGATGTGATTCTTTTTTTTTATCCAGGGGGGAGCATAGAAGCATCCACACCAGACCCTACATCCTCGACCTCCAGCTCGTCCACATTTTCAAACCGGTCCAGAACCACCGATCTAGGCATCGCCATCATCCCACTCCTCGCAGCCTCCAAGATCCCAAACGGCTGCAACAGTTTCAAAAACGCATCGACCCTATCCGGTTTCGCGGACAATTCCAAACTCAAACAATCACTGCTCACATCCACAACCTTGCCCTTGAACAGATCCGTCAGTTCCGTGAGTGCGCCTAGATGGTCGTGTGTCTGGCGCAAGGCACTAGAAGGCGACATGATCTCGATTTGATCCTCCACCTCGTTAACATCCCCAGAAGACCATTGTGCCCGCTGTTGTTGTTGGATGGAGCGGAGGTCGGTGGCGGAGGGGAGGGAGGCGCGGCGGGATTTCATTTGGGCGAGGACGTGCTCTGGTCCGAGAATTGAGACTTTTACGAGGAGGAGTTCGCGTTGGATGACTTTGTGGCCTGTGTAGTCTAGGACTGCCCAGACTGGGACCTATTTTTTTTTTTGGTTTGATTTGAATTGATTTGGATGGGAGCCATGGAGCAAAAACATTTGTTAGTCATGGAAGGAGGGGCTGGGGGAATCAGATATGATCCGTAAAATATTCTTATCTTTCAATGGATGATCCGATCAAAAAAAAAGCTGGAAAAAAAAACCTTACAAGATCCTCAAGCTGTCGTCTCGCCTGTTCAACAACGGCCCTCTCTCCCCTCAACACAATCGTCATCCTCGACAAATCCGGAACCTCAGTCCTCGCCACCACAAGCGAGTCAATGTTAAACCCCCTTCCGGCAAGAATCCCCGAAACCCTACTCAACACACCCGGTTCATTCTGAACCAGACAGTTAAAGATATGTTTCTGGCGTTGTTGAGAGATGGATGGAGATGGAGGGGTGTTGTAGAGGATATTGGAGACGGCCTCCTCGGCAGAGGGGGCCGGAGGAGGGTGGTAGTAGGAGGAGAGGGTTGGGTGGTGTTTTTGAGGGTGGGCGCGTTTGTAGGAGATTGCGGAGGTTGAGGATGTGACGGGTTCGGTGTTGCTGTTGTTGTTGGAGGTGGGGGTTGAAGGGGAAGGGGAGGGTGTTGAGGTGGTTGAGGTGACTTGGCGAATGGAGCAGGCAATGCGGGGCGCGCGGGCTGCGGACGCGAACTATGGGAAGGGGAAGACAGAGGAGGGATGGGCAGGTTAGATCGGCTTTGTGTGCATCCTTTTTTTTTTTTTTACTTGTGGAGAAGTGAAGAGGGGCCATTGCACGCAGAACACGCATACTAGTGTGTGCAAGCAATTTTTATTTTTATTTTTCTTCATCCAGATCCCAGATCCTCGGTTGAAGTAAAGTAAAGTGAGTGTTTGTTGTCCTTACGATGGTGGCCCTAGGTGTGGAGGTAGCAAGGAGCCTTGATGTCCACATTATGGGGTATTGTTGTTGTTGGTTAAGAGAAAGAAGTGGAAGAAAATAAGTGAACAAAGAAAAGTAAGCAAGAAGGAGGAAAGAAAAGAAAAGTAAATTAGGAGAAAACCGCAGATCAATCTGCATTTATTTATCGCGCGATTGACGATTGAACGATTGGCGAATGATGATGACCAGGTTGACTCAATTTCGTGTGGTGCGGGGTAAGAATTACTGATATCGCATGTGAAATTTCCGATCAAATAAAAAGGCTGTCTGTCTTCTCAAATGTGACGGTTTTCTTACCTATAGTCAACACATATGGCTCATATTCATGCAAATCGAACGGTTTGCTGTTTATTCATACACGCAAAAAAAGGGAAGGAGCCACGAGGGAAGGGAAGAGAGAGCAAAAGAAAAGCTACTGGTTCTCGGGGCGGAGCTTGCGGACAGCCTTGCCAGTGCGCCACATCTCATGGTCCGCAATCTCTGCCAACTCAACCTCGAGCTCAGCACGGTAATTCGGCGCAGAGTTCTTCTCAAGCGACCTACGAGTCTCGGTCCCATCCGCTACACTCTGGTACAACTCTTCAAACAACGGCTGGTTCAATTTTTGGAACCTACGGAACCAGTCTAGAGCCCCCCTCTGGGCCGTGGTAGAGCAGTTGGCATACATCCAGTCCATACCATTGGCGCCGATCAATGGGTACAAGGACTGGGTTGCTTCTTCGACCGTCTCGTTGAATGCTTCTGAAGGAGAGTGGCCATGGGCTCGGAGGACTTCGTACTGTGCGAGGAACAAGCCCTGGATGTATGGATGTTAAGAAGTGGTGGTTAGTTTTTCTGCAATTATTTTTTCCCATGGGCTACCATAGGTGAGCGAATATTGAAAAAAAGTCACCCTGCCGAGAACTTTTACGAGATCGTCCTTACCTGAATGGCACCCATCAACACACCGCGCTCGCCATAGAGGTCTGAATAGACCTCTTGCTTGAAAGTCGTCTCATACAAGTAACCCGTCCCAACACCAACCCCCAGCGCAATCGCACGCTCCTTGGCCTTGCCCGAGACATCCTGATAAACAGCCACCGACCCATTAATCCCCCTCCCCTCCAAGAACAAGTTCCTCACCGTCGTACCAGACCCCTTGGGCGCAACCAAGATCACATCAATATCCTTTGGTGGGATCACCCCCGTATCATCCGCATAAATGACCGAAAACCCGTGTGAAAAGTAAAGGGTCTTGCCCTTTGTCAAATACGGCTTGATCTGGTTCCAAAGCTTGGACTGTGCCGCATCTGACAACAGGTTCATGATAATCGTGCCTTTCTCACAGGCCTCGTTGATCTCAAAGAGGGTCTTACCAGGGATCCAACCCTCAGAGACGGCTTTATCCCAGGAGGCGCCTTTACGAGTTCCGATGATGACGTTGAGGTTATTGTCGCGGAGGTTGAGGGCCTGACCTCGGCCTTGGGGCCCGTAGCCGAGGACGGAGAGGGTGTCGTTCTTGAAGGTTTCTTGGAGTTTTGCGGGTGGGTAGTCGCTTCGTTCGTAGACGACTTCTTTTGTGCCTCCGAAATCGATTGTCTTCATCCCGCGTGTCTGTAGCCAGTTGTTGTTGAGAGTCACCGCAGTCTTTGGGAATGAAAAGAAGCGAGAGAGAGAGCAGCGAGCTTAACATGGGGTTTCCTATACTTTGCCTTTCTTTTGCTTCGCCTCTTATGTGAGATGCAACAACAGGTTTGCGTCGGTGAAAAGTACCTTGGAGAGGGCTGCGCGGGGCAAGTGAGTAAGGATAGGGGAGCGAGCGAAGAGAGAGAGGGACCTGGTGGAGAGGGGTGTAGCGACGCGGGTCACTTGGCGGAAGGCAGTTCGTGCAAGGAGATTCATGACGATGGCAGCTGAAATGGAATACAAGACTGTGAGTTGTGTGTGCGTGTTTGTGATATGTACAAGAGAGGGAGGAAGAGTGAAGTAGAGAGTGAAGAGTGGAGAGTGAGCGAACAAGGCGTGGTTGTGGGTGGGTGGCCCGTCCTTTGTTCCCACGGGGTGCACAAGCAAAAAGAAGGGTCCCCTTAAACATGCCACTAACTGGGTGGAGTCGATCTCAAAGAGTCTCCGCTTGAGAACGGTTGCGGCGACGATGGTAACAACGCCGGAGCAGCAGTCGGAGGTTGGCCTGGTGAAGGTTGCGACTAGGTCTCTTTACAATCCTGTTCAGAACTGAGCTCTTGTAAACCTTCCCAAGGGTTCGAATAAGGATGCGATATACACCTTTTAGTGAATGGATGAATGGATAGATAAAAAAAAAGGGTTGTCTTTTGTTTCTTGTACGTCATCATCAAGATGGACCCTGTTTTGCCACTAAAAAAGATAAAAACTTGGCTGAGAGTCAAAACCACGCCGCTTTTTTTATTCTTTTGTCCTTCTCACTTTTCTTCTTTTTCTCACACACCACATCCCCTTTTTCTACTTAATCGATCCACTTTCATCAACGTATCGCTTCACCTTCACGACCCTCAAATCTCTTTCTTCTCTTCACTGCAATTGTCCTAACTCCATGTCAACCTCATTCCCTCTACCAACCGAATGCCTTCACATGGTCATCCGCCATCTCGCAGTCGAGTCCGACAGGAGGTCGCTCGCTAGTCTCCTCCGCGTCAACAAATACGTCTGCTCCGCCACGCAGCCCGTCATGTACGCCGACCCATTTTACCTGCGCCCTTTTTCGGCCTTCAGCATGGAGACTCCGTTCAGTCTCATAAGGCTCCTGTCGCTCATCAAGTTACTTCTACTCAGTCTTCCCGAGGGCCAAGTAGTCACTGACCTGTTGCGCATTGCATACCTATCTACTGCCTCCGCCTCCGCTGACGACAAGACAACTGAGCACCAGGAGCAGGAGGCACCACCTCTTATTTCAGCAACAGTAGCGACAAGGACTTCCATCCATATTACTCTTTCCTCACCCACATCGAGTTTGAGGTTCACTCCTTCTCTGCGGGCATTTTTTTCACCCCACCATTCCCTTCCTATTCCGCCATTCTGGACTACCTGGAGAATAACGGACTTGCCGAGCGGTATACTGCGAGGGATGTCACAAGTCGTCTCAAACATTACGAGCAACCCAGGATCATTCGCCAAGGCGTGAAACGAGACCTTCGCCGGGACCTGACATGGGCGCTATGTATGAACGCATCCAGCGGCTCGCCATTCCGATCTCAGACATTTCCCGCGCTTAGCTATTGTCGGTCGTCTCCAAGTTCTGTCTAATGTGACGTTACTGTTGGACAGCGATCTCGAGCCTTTCTTGCTCTTTGGACAGCAGTTTGAGGAGGGCGATCAGGAGGTTCTTGAACTGCAGCAGAGAGAGCGAGAGGAGCACATGGAGGAGATGATCTTGTTTGTGCAGGAACATCGTCAACGATTCCCCAACACCCTTAACCAAGGTCAATGTGTTACGGATACGTTCACGAAGGAGGAGTGGCCCAAGGAGGTTCATGATCGCCTCCTCCAGTCTCTTCCACCATTGTACAAGCCTCGGTTTATCGACAATACCAATTGGGTGCAGTTTTTCGCCAGAGTAGAGGATGTTGATTTGTCCGCGGTCAAGTTTATTAGGACACAGTTAATCAAACCCGAGGAGCCGGTGTTTGATCAAGTTATTGAGCAGGTTGGGCCTTTCTTGCATCGGTGCCGTGCACTTGAGGATGTCCAGATCAGCTCCTCTGGCGAGGAAGCGTTTCGATGGGCTGTTGATGAGCGCAAGCAGTTTGAGAGAGACATTGAGGATGGACGGACGACTCCTCGGCGACCGCTTGTCCCACTCCATCAGCTCCATGTCAGCTTTGACGACCACCCTTCTTCAGGTGGCCTCTTCGACGACATCGTGTTTGCGTTTCAGGAGACATTAGAGAAAATTTTCATCGGCATCTGCGTGAGCGTGGAACAGAATTCTACACAATCGCTCGAGTTTTCGATAGGCGACAACAACAACAACAACAACAACAACAACAACAATTACTATCAATCTTATTGGGAACTACCTCAACTATCGCGGCTGGCTGTGGCAACCGGTCATATCTTCTTGCACGTCCACCCGAAGTTTCTGCAACGGTGTACTCAAGTGATGCATATATCTCTAGCCGACATGCGGAGGGAGTATTCGTTGGATCAAGTGAATCACTGGGAGCCGGCCAAGATGCCGCGGTTGGAGTCGCTTACGCTTCAGGGAACGGCCGCGATTTCGTTCCACCCGGATACGCCCAAGTACGCGCTCGAACTGCAGAAACTACACCTTCAGATGGTCCAGAATGAGGATGGCATGACTTGTTTCATCCCGCCTGCCGAAGAGTTGGACGCTATTATAGAAGGAGAGTCGACTATTGATAGAGGTGGTAGCGACAATGTTGATGATGGCATGACCCCATCTTTATTGGCACCGTTGGCGAGGCGACCAGTGTGGACGTGGGACTGGGAGTTGCCCAAGCTGACCGACATGACATTGACTGGAGAGCACGCGTACCGATTCCAGTTCAGGATGTTGGATGGTACACCGAATCTTATCAATTTCTCACTCGACATTGTTTCCACAACAGCCCTTCACCAACGAACTATCCATCTTAAGGATCTCATCAAACCCGGATCCCAACAACAACAACAACAACAACAAAAACAACAACAACAACAACAACAAAAACAACAACAACAACAACATCAACAAACACAAGACGGTGAAGAGATCTACGAGGAGCAACAGGACCTAGAGTACATACTCGTCTCAACACTCAAACGACTCTCCCTCTACGGCTCTTGGCAAATGACCACCCACATCCTACAAACCCTCTTCAGCCGCGTCGCCCCCGAGATTTCAAATCTAACAATGTCATCCTGTCTCGGCCACGACTTCTCTGAATGGGTAGATGCGACGAAGCAATACCTGCATGGACTGGTCGCTGCAGAGTTGAATATGGATGTTTCGGAGGAGGAGGAGATGGCAGATGCCGGGCTGGTGGAGGCGATGATGGAAGAAGGGATGTATGATAGTGTTGGGCGTCAGTTGAAGGAGACGCCGACGGGAAGGATATTGAAGACGCCTGCTTGGTATCATGTTTTGGGGTCTTGAGGATGAAGTAAAGGGTGGAGAAGGATGATAATTAAAGTGGCATGGCTTAGCCAATGCTTTCTTGTTTTATTAGGCTTGATTTGTCTCGTGTCTGTGTGAAAGTGTACAGAAGTGAGTTTATGGATGGAGGTGGATAGGATGTGACCAACCGTTTTCTTAAATTATGGTTGCACAGAACAAAGAAGTGAAAGGGGGAAGTGGCATGTTTGTTTGTAGACATCGTCCGATCGGGGAGCATGAAAGGCGGCGAGGGACTCGAGAGAACAAAAAAGAGCAAAGATAAAGGATAGCGAGCTGACAAAAGGAGAGGAGATAAACAAAAAGCCACCAAGATAGAGGAGAAAGGGACGCTGCTAGTCTACCATCCTTTGGTGTTGTCGAGGATGAAGATAGAAAAGTTCAACCAAATGTCTTCTTGTCAGACCGTTATCCCCTAGTTTGTTTGTGGTGCAAATTTGCACCACATTTTTTTCGATTTATCCAGGTTTCCAATAAAACGGGTTAGAAGACTACGTCGTGGGAGTGTCCTTGTCGTCTTCGTCACATTACATTCATCACTCTCGAATTCAGCTCTTTTTTTCTCATCATCATCCCGCAACCCATTACCTTTTTTTTCTCACACATCGACTTCACCCTACTCACTCATGGACTCCAGTCTCGAGTTCCTCGGTTCCTTTGACGTTTCTGACTCTCAAGGCACCGTAGTAGCATCTGCGGAGGAGGTTGACGAGGCACAGGAGGAGGAGGAGTTGTTGTTTTCGGTCCGTTGTCGTACTCGACCAACGCCTGGTACAGATAGCTCTGGGGACGAGGAGGAGGAGAAGGCAGGAGATGAAGGGGTGATAGATGCTTCAGCTCCACCGACAAAGAAAATCTTCTCCGACCCAGTATTGACGGATTTGGCAGACAACACTAACGCATATGCAGCATCAAAAGGAGCCGGCACAGGAGAGGGATCGCGCCAATGGGTAAAGACCACACCTGACGAACTGCGCACATTCCTCGGCATCATTGTCTACATGGGCGTGTTCAGGCAGAACTCTGTCTCTGAGTATTGGTCAACCTTCCCTGAATGTCCTCAACACAACATCACTACCTTCATGTCCCTCGTCCGCTTCGAACAACTGAAGCGTTTTTTTCATGTCTCCAACCCCAACGAGCCTGAGCAACATTGGTTCTCAAAAGTAGAGCCTGTGATAGATAGGTGCTTCGCTTCCTTTTCTTTTATTTAACGAAGAGAGTTACCACTCTTGCCCTCTGCTAGGCTATAAAAGCTAACCGCGACAATCGCCAGACCCACTTCAGGTTCTTACCGTGTTCTGGATGGACAATAGACCTGTCTCCATACTCTTCACCGTCCATGCCCTCAGCCTCGGCGACAACGACTGATCCGTTGTCCACGATCGCAGACGCCCTCGAGAGACAAGCGCCAGCGCAAAGTCAGTGCGGGCTGCTCATAAAGGACGTTCCATGGCGTTACTTCCCATCCCAAAATCATCGATGACAACAACCACCACATGAACGGAGTCGACATTGCCGACCAGTTATGCAGCTACTATTCGACTCAGCTCAGGACTTATCGCGCATGGGCTCCGATCTTCTTCTGATTACTGGATACAACAATCATCAATGCGTACCTTATCAACAAACTCTTCGGCTCTTCCATGCATCAAAGGGAGTTCCGATAGTTCCTGGCTAAGGATCTGATAGTGTCCGCCAAATGTCGCGACACCCCTACCTAAGTATCCCCTTATGTCTCGAAAAAATTCAAGGGACCAAACGATGAATTACTGAACTACTCATGACTGGCTGCATCCTGTGCAGATAAAATAAACGAGAAGGCATAACACAAGCATATCCTCAACCCACCCAGCGAATCTGCTCTCTCTGCAAGGTCTTCTTTGCACCAAGAATGATTTAGGAGTATCATACGCGCCCTGAGTTTTAGAAAGGGTCCTGTGCCCGCGCCGATAGCGTTGCATCTCAGTGTCTGTCCACTGAGGCTGAAATGCATGGGATTGGTGAGAAAGAACCATCCTACCCCTTAATTCGCTCACCCCTAGCTCATAGCTCTGACGTTCACGGTGACTGAGTGAGCGGCTGAGGCTGAGTGAATGAAGACCACCAGCTTCTTTTTCACCGTTCTGCATCGCCTCGTGTCCCTTTCTTTTAAACTGCCCCCTTCTCCCCCTTCTCCTAAACTGCCCCCCTTCTCAATTGAGCTTCAACAGACCTATGTAAGGCCGATGTTGAAAGTGATTGCGACCCGTGCTATTGAGAGAATCTATGAAATCAGACTCGCGCTAACCATCAACCTTCAATTGTGAATTACTTAGAATTACAGCAATGGGCATCACAAATCTCACCGGGTGGATCAAGGCGACAGACGGAGTGGAGGAAGATCTAACCAAGAAGAGATGTGAAGTAGATTTTGCGTCGATGTTTTTTGCGTTGGTGAACTCGCTGAGTTTCCATAAAACAGTGCAGTTCGCTGCAAAGTCCGCCCGATGTCAATTATCTACTCACACAACAACATCGACACAGCAGGCTTCATCCGGCCCAGAGCGAGCAGCCGACGTCGATGGCGCGGGCATGTCTACTCACACAACAACATCTACACGGCAGGCTTCATCCAGCCCAAAACGAGCAGCCGACGTCGACGATGCGGACACCGCCGACACTGCTTCCTCTAACAAACGCCTCCGACCCCTCCAAATCAGCTCCGGGTCGTCGACTCTCGTTGAAGACATGCAGCGATTGCTGGCAACACAGTCATCCCAGATTCGGTTCGACGAGAGCGGCGCTCTGACCACAATCTGCGCCCAGGAAAAGGTCATTGTAAGTACCATAAATCATACCATCTGGAGAAAAGCTAAATGGATTGTACTGATCTGGAAAAAAGTTAAATGATTCATGCTATCTGGAGAAAAGCTAAATTGCTGTGACCAAAATAATAATTCGCTGTTTCCAATAGGATTTTCGATCTGTCGGAGCCGCAATTGAGAAGATTCTCTCCTCACGATTGTCTAAGGACATCACAATGCTCCATATGGATGGTCTACGATCAATGGAGAAGGAATGGGCGCACGGCAAACGAGATCAGGCGCTGTCCAAGCAGTTGGAAACACTTGAACGAGATTACACGGAGGGCAAGCTGCACAACAAAAGACAGCTATACAAACGCCTGAAGGCGTCGTACCGAGCACCACCGGAGGCATTGCGCGCCGTTTCGGAAGTACTGCGTCAGAGTGGATGGACGATTTGCCAATGTCTCAACCAAAGCGACACGTGCATTGCGCGGACAGTCAACAACGCTGCCGTACCCGGAGATATCCGAGTTATCACCAAGGACTCCGATCTCATGGCATTCGAGTCAATCATGTCCGTCACCATGCCAGTCAAGAACACTTGGACTACTTTCCACAAAGATGAGCTTCTGAACGAGCATGGCCTTCCGACCCCTGTACATCTAACGCTTGCCGCTCTGGTATCGAACAACGACTACACCAACGGAGTTTTTTCCTATGGCTTGACATCCAATGTCGATACGGTCCGTCAGTTCAAGATGACAGGTCTTGATGGAACGGTTGGCCAAGATCGAGTGGAGGTGGTTCGGATCTATGTTAGGCGCTACCTTGACATAATACACCAAAAGGCCCGTACAATCAAGGACTCAGCCACCCAAAGCGCACGTCGTCGACTGCGATGCAATCCTAACCCAACGGTGAAGGCACACGACAAGGATCTGAGGAGGATCGAAACGGCCGATCGACAGCTGCGTGTAGATGTGACAGAATTCGGCCATGCTCTCAAGACATTCGTGCTTTGCGAGGAAACCACTCTGGACAACAACAGGATCAGCCCGGCGGCCGATACACACACACGACTGATGGCCATAATTAAGGAAACATAATTCAACAAAGCCTACAATGATTGGCGTCGCTTTTCCGCGAGTCGGACGGGATCGTTGCCGCCTGGGCTGCTAGTAGATCCAGCTTCTCAGGGGGCGGCGACAGACGCAGAGGCAACGCCACCACCACTCCCAACGGCACCCAAGGCAGGATCAGCACCATATCCGCAAGCTACATCAGCGGGATCACCTTCCATCAGGCAGACGCATGGCCCAGCCGAACATCCACCATCGCACAAGCAAAAGATTAAAAAACAACGCCGACATGGTTCACGTGCCCTCCAGCGGCGACGACAGAAGTGGCGTCGTTCCAGGTATGTCTTTTCTCCTGGTATTTTTCTCCGCCTTGTCCAGCTATATACATATATTTCCACCTTAACACAACTCATTGCAAAATCGCATCTAGATTCCGCTCGCGCACAGACGTGCAAGATCGCTATGTGCCGGACACTGTTTTCCTAGAAAAGGCCAGCCCTGTTGATGTCGTGGAACTTTCAGGATTGAAGCCGTCGACCCCCCGTCCTTCAAAGCCCAAGGAGCAATCCCCCCGTATCGACCAAGTGCCTGCCCCCGCTGCCAAGAAGAAAAAGAAAAAACTCCTTGGCGAACCTAAAGGAATAGCTGGACCCAAGGCCTTGAAGAGAGCGTTCCAGTCTGTTTTCGCAACGGTCACGCTCACGACTGGATCCCTGCAAGGCTGCCTAGGAAGATCAACCAATCTGTCGAAAGCAGAGGTTGCGCAGCTAACCCAACACGTGAGTTCGGCAGTCTCTACCGTCAATAGCGCCAAACACATTGTGTACAAGCTTATCGAGATGCGCATTCTACAGCCGCTGATCGAGACTGGACTGAACCAGGCAGAGGATGGACCGGACGAGAGCTTCCTAGAGAAGATCCTGGATTCCGATTGGGCGGAAAGGTTTGTCCAAAACCTACTGTCCTTCGTCTTGAGGAATTCCATTGTCCCCCAAGGACGTCCACCCGCGTCGGACAAGAGCAAGGATGCTGTCGCTGAAGCAATCTCGACGTTTAACGAGTTCAAGAAGACGCTGTGCCCAGGGTTCAAAGCCCTCAACTCAACGGATCTGGCTTTGAGTAATATCATCGCGGAACTTGCACCCAAGATCTGCCTAGATCAGAAACTGCATTACAGGAGAATACCGGAGACTCTTAGAACAAAGGTACCATCTATCCATATCCATTCAGTTTGTCAAATATTTTCAATGGGGTGTAAAACATATTTTAACACTCCTTTTGTTTATGCAATGCCAGCTCTCCAAGCTGTCCATTGATTGCGATGGTCTTCCTGAAATAGATCAAGATGGCACCGACGCTGGTGGTGATGCCGGGGCTGCTGACGTTAACGAGGGTGTGGACGACGACGACGCCCTCAAGCGATCCAAGAAGATCATTTTCAAGCCGGGTCATATTCAACTCTGCTGGCGATATTTCCTCCTCTTACCATCATCCAAGCGGCCCCGGTTCTGCACCCAGGCCAAAATGAGCGATTCCTTCATCGACATCAACGAGGAAGCGTTGGTTGCGCTTCTCTGGGGAGAGAAGGCAGTTCAGTTGGACAACGTATGGGAGGACACCCGCTACACTCACAACTGGGCAGCGGCAAAACAGCGTTCTTCGTACGGAGAGGTGATCAAAGAACTATTCATCGGTGACCGAGATGTCATCAAGGAAGCCAGGAATAAGCAGCAGACGACATACGGGAAGAGGACAACAACCATGGCTGAGCGTGAGGAGGCCCATCCACACATCTACGGACAGTTAGAGCTCGCACGGTATTTGACGAATAAGGTCAATTTTTTCCGAGAACGGCACAACGCCTCCCTCACGGCCCCGACACCACCGTTGCCATCATCAACGCCATCGTCATCGACGACCTCCACCCCACCGCCTCTTCCCACCCCACGTCAGCAGCCGCGTTCTTACCGCTACGCCCTCAACAACTATATCAGGACGGATGGCCACCAGCTGCAGATTCTCGCGTATGACCTTACAAAACCCCGCCAATCCCCAAATTACAGTGAGTTTCTTTCTAGGATCGAGAAGCTTTATCCAACGCGGCAGCATCTTATCGACGCGTTTGGCGACGACCTGGATTCAGTCATTGTCGTCGGTATTGATCCCGGAGAGGTAGTGAGTGGTGCATTTTGTTTGACACTTCCCGGTGGAAAAGTCATCAATCTGCTGATCAAGAGGGCCTCCCTATACCAGCCTACTCTGGCCTTCCGAGATTGGGAACAGCATTGGAAAAGGCGACACCCAACAGCTGGTCCAGGCGATGTTGTCGACTCATCCCTTTGGACACGGATTACCGACCTGGACAAGCTCACCACTCTCCCGTCTGTCCACGACCTAGAGAATTCTCTCCCCTCAACGAACTACGACACCTCGTTGGATGCTTTGACGGCAGCTCACAAGAAGTACTACGAGCAGGAACCGCTGATCCACGGGATTTACGCGTCAAGAGAATGGAAGGTAGCGGTTCACGAGCACAGAATGGCGAAAATGTCGGAGTTGGATCTGGCCGTCGCTGGCGTTTTGCGGATGGTGGATGAGGCATGTGAGGGCGTACCCGTCCACCAAAGAAAAGTTTTTTTTGCCCTGGGGAATGGAACCTTCCGGTCTGGCTTTAATCTCTCTTCGGTGCACACCACGTTTCTCAGACGTCTTTTACAGCAGGTACGAAAGGCAAAAAAAAATTGTGAAAGGCATGGTTGTATCTTTTTGTCTTGATTGTGTGCACTCATGATGCCATGGCAAATCTATGGAACACAATTTTATTATTCCTGCACCGATAGAGTGCTGCGCTCGGATACAAGGCTGCCCTGGTCGACGAGTATCTTACTTCCACCATGTGTCCAACATGTGTGGTTGAGAACCGAGCCACCCGCCTCGCCAAGCCGTCGATGAGGACATGCGCCTGTGTTGAGTGCACTCGGTGGATTCACCGAGATGGAGTGGGGGCGCACAACATCGCTTTGATCGGAGAACAGTACCTCAAGTCTCTAGGACGGCCCGAGCCCCTTGCAAGACCCCCCAAACAAACCTAACCTCTATAGATAGAAACTATAGTTTACATTGTTACTCAGGGGAGAGGGTCGACGGCCAGAGTTGTAGGACCGCTGTTAGGTCCTCAATTGGTACGGAGGGGGGGGGGGAAGGGGTTGTAGGTTGGGGGGAGGGGAAGTGACAATAGTGTCCTAAAAGAATCACACAAAACGATACACTGCAGCGTGCCAGCGAAACTCTTGTCAATACTGCTCTCGTCCAAGTGATGTGTAAAAGGACCTTGTATTCATATTATCAAAGAGGGGGTTGTTACCTGCAGCGTGCCAGCGAAACTCTTGTCAATACTGCTCTCGTCCAAGTGATGTGTAAAAGGACAAAGAGCAGACAAGAGGGCTCGGCGCACTACTAATACTATGTCTACTAAAGAATATGACTGCTAACCTAAGGCATCGCCGCCACTGCCTAGCCACCACATCTTTTTGTAACAACATTATCCCCTTCTACGGATTAAGGGATAGTTATGCCTTTTGTTGTCTCGGCCCGACACTCGGGTGCTTGGGATAAGAGAGAAAATCTTCCCAGTCGGGAATTGAAATCATTTCGTATGCTACTAACAGAGCACGCATGCATGCATGCAATTGGTACAAAATAAATTGATGGCAGAACTCACACGCGGGAGAACATGCAGTAGAAAGGGAAAACATATCAAGAGGAAACATGATCCATTTTTCAGCTCTGAAGCCATATCAAAGAAATTAAAAGAGTTCGAACGTTGCACAGCTATGCTTTGAGTGGTCTTTGCTTCAATTGCTGGATCGCATTTCGAGAACACTTAGGATTTTGAGACCTTACCTCGGCTTTGCACATTGTCGCAGAGAGAACCGGACATGGTATGGGGCCCGAACCCATGGACCGCTAACTCTGCAGAAAGCAGGGGCAATGTCGAAAGGCACAGGGAAAGGAGACGAAAACAACGGTTTTGCTCACTCACACAAGAGAAGAGGATGCATTGGTTGCACAAGGAAAAGAAGAGATGATGAGCACTGAACAAGGGACGAGTGTTTTTAATAACATTAACCAAATGCATGTACAGTACATCTCTTTCCGCCCATTTCTTTCTCCCGTTTTTTTCTTTCTTTCGCCTTTTCCCTCTCTCTTCCCCTCTGCCACACTTCCTCCTCTCCTCTTCATTTTGTCCCCTTCATTCTTCTCTTATCTCTCTTTTCATCCGTCATTCTCACCTAACTCACCTAACTCTCCTCACTCTACCTCCTCCCCCAATCCTAATTATCTTCTCACTTTCGACCAAGATGCCACTTGACGACAAGCCCAAAGTTCTAATCGTCGGAGCAGGTCTGGGAGGCTTGATGCTCGGCGCCCTTCTCGAAAAGTCCAATGTGCCTTACCAGATCTTCGAGCGTGCTGCCACCGTTAAACCATTAGGTACACACCTACTGCTCTATAAACACCGACACCCTTTTCGCTTGCGTACTTTTCTCACAAATAGTGATTTTTCTGGGTTCACTATGTGCAATTAGGGTCAGCGCTGGCGGTTGGACCCACCCTTCTCCCTATTTTCGAGCAACTGGGCATCTATGAGGAGTTACTTGCCATTGGCAAGTATACTACCCATATCATGGGTTACCAGGAGCAACCCCTGAGACCGATGCGTCCACTTGACTTTAGGCCCGTTGAGGAATTGTAGGTTTCTCTTTGTTTGTTCTCATTAACCTGCGCTACTTTCACCATACCGAAATTCGGTAAGAACTACAGCTAACTTAATTTTGTTCCGGTGACCGACAAAGCACTGGATACGGACAGTACATTGTCTCACGTCCCAAACTGTACGAGCTGGTTTTGAAGCAGGTCCCTCCTCACAAGATCCATTTCGGCCACCGCGTTCTGAACATCACTGAGGTGGACGACAAGGTCACGGTCCATCTTTCCAACAATAACACCTTTGAGGGCGACATCGTCGTCGGTGCCGACGGAGCCTACAGCGCAGTTCGTCAGCGCATGTACGAACAACTGATGGCGAAAGGGACGCTGCCCAAGCCAGATCAAGAGGATCTCCCTTTTAGTTGTACTTGTCTGGTTGGTCAGACCAAGGTCCTCAATCCTGAGGAGTTCCCGATGGTCGCTTTTCCGCATTGTCATTTCACTTCTATTCATGGAGCTGACAAGCCATTCACTGTATGTTTGTCAACAATACAAAAAAAAAGAAACAAAAAAAAAATGACAAAAGAAAACGATGTTGGAGAGGTGTATTGACACATGTCACATCCTTTGTTTTGTTCCATCCATTTTAGTGGCATACATTCAACACAGCGGAAGGAACTCTCTGTTGGATGGTCATAAGGCACCTATCAGCAAAAACTAGCAAGGCAGCAATGGAGCAACGCTTCAGGAACAGCGAGAACTCGGAGTGGGGAGATTTCCCCGCTCAGACAATGTGTGATGAGACCCGCGACTTCCCTATCCCTCTCGAGGATGGCAAGGACCGCACTCTTGGCGAACTTTATGACCAAACGCCCAAAGAGCTCATCTCCATGGTGATGTTGGAAGAGAAGGTTTTTAATACGTGGTACCACCGTCGTTTTGTCCTGTTGGGTGACGGTATGTTGTGTTTTATTTCGTACTTGTAGCTAAACTGTTGTCTTTGCTTTGACCCCATCAACTGACGATTTTTTTTCTTTAATGTTATTATTTCCTCAGCTTGCCACAAACTGAGTCCCGCTGGTGGTCATGGTACGTGTCATTCATAATGCAACATTTTTTCATTCTGACCAACAAACAAACAAGCGGTGGAAAGATGTATGTACTCATCCTCATTTCTTTATATTTCACCGTCCCATAGGCGCGGTGACAGCGATGCACGATGCGATCGCCCTCGCCAACTTGATCTACTGCATGCCCACCAAGACATCGGAGGACATCACAACTATCTTTGAAGAATACCACAAGGAGCGCTTGCCAGCCGTCATGGAATCCTACAACAACAGCCGGCAGCTGGCAAAACGCTCAGAAAAGGGCATCATTGGCAGGATTATCCTCTATATCACCACATACATGCCTGTCTGGCTGTGGAGAATTGCGGTATAGTGCTATGATACTTTTTTGTGCATTTAACATGTATGATTACGAAACCAGTGGCGATGGAATGTACGAGGGACTAAAATTGTTTTCTTTTTTATTATCTCGCCCTTCACTTCCTCACTTTTACTATAAAAAGATGGCGAGGACAGTTAAGTTCAGGCCTCAAGTAGGGTTCCTTCCCGAAATTGAGCTCAAAGGTCCGGTGAAGCCAGTGGTGTCAGCAAGCGAGCAAAGGGCGAGGGCTGCCTTCGAGAACCAGCAACAGACAGGAGCCTCCTGGATCTAATTCATCGAACAGCGGTGTAGATTCTCACTATGCCATTTTACTTTGTGTGCTTTTTGCTAATCTGCGACAGAAGATGAAAGAGAGAGAGAGAGCTTTGTATGTGCTGGGCAATATTCGATACTAATAAAAGAAAACATAAAGACATTGATCGAAGGATGGCGTGTTGTTTTCCTACTCTCCAATACCGAAAAAACAAAGAGTAAGAGAGGAGGTTCTGGGTGTATTGAACATTGTGCTTTTTGTTCTCATGTGCATCCATTGCATGTGTTAAAGTTCAAGTGCACCCACCTCTGCATTACGAGTGGAGGGCTCGATTGTATCTGCTCTTTGAAAATGCATTCAAAGTTCAACGGACACAAAAGGTCTGAAATGACAATGGGAGGATGTTGGCCTGTCAAAACATCATGCATTTTGCCAAGATCTTTGAAAAGTACTAGGGGAGGAACGCCTTCCTGCCGTGATAGAGTCGTTCAAAATCAGCCAGATTGTTGGGCCAATATCTCGGTTAGTAGCTGGACACGGATGTAATTGTCCTTTATCTGTCTACGCACATGCCCGTCTGGTGGGGTAACTATTGCTCAACTCCCACAGTTACAACTGACCGGGAAAAAAAATGTGAGCACAGAAGGACTAATGGTGCTTTTGACCATGACATTTGTTTTCTTCTTTTGAACGACGTAGATGGCTAGGCAGGTCTGTTTCACACCTCAAACTGCGTTCCTCAGGTTGTGGAGGTTGAAAGGTACGGGTTTGCCTGCCATGTCGCCGAGTGAACAGAAGGCAAGGGCTGTCTTTGAGAAGCAGCAACAAACTGCTGCATCGATTTAATTGCCCCTCCCCCCGAGCTGAGGCACAAACCGCTTATCATCAAAAGACAAAAATCAGAAACTGGAAACAATGACAGGTACCTTAATGACAAAAGTGTAGTTTATGTACCTCAAAACCGCTTAGCAATCCAGAACAAAAATTGACCATGCATTCTTTTTTGTGCTCGCAGGGGTTAGAAAATCTGAATACATGCCGTCGGGTTTGGGCACTGTCAAAAACCGGATTCCTGTTATGAATGCGAAGGAAAAAAAAGTTAATTGCTAGTCAACGGGGAAGAGGAAGGGAGGGTCAACTGTTGGAATGACAAGAAGAATACAAAGGAAGAATGAGGCAGCGAAAGAATAGAGCTCATTGCTCAGATAAACAAAGGCACGCACCATGGAAAGAAAGAGAGAGAGAGGGAGAAAGGAAGGAGCAATGGTTGCTCTACTCCAACAAAGGGAAAGGAAGACGAGGGGATTGAGCTACCTCTTGGCACCAATAACAAACAAATACGACCCATGATAGATACTCTTTCCTCTTCCATCATCCATTCTTGTGCCTTTTCCTTCTCTTTCTCCTCTCTTTTTTTCTCTTACTTTCTTTTCATTCGTGCTTCTTTCTTGTTCTATTTGTACCCCTTTCCCCACTTTTATCCTCATCACTCCTTTCAACTACATTTACTCATTCCTCCCTGCCTTTTCTATCATTCCATTCCTGATTTTCATTCAACTCGATTCCTCCTTTTCGCGCCTATCCTCAATCAAATATGTCAACAACAACCGATAAGCCAACAATTTTAATCGTCGGGGCAGGCCTTGGAGGATTGATGCTCGGTGCCCTCCTCGAGAAGTCGGATGTGCCTTATTTGATATTTGAGCGTGCTAGCACCGTCAAACCATTAGGTGCGTCGTCTTGTTGCTGTTGTGCACCTTTCTGAATCACTCTGACATACATTCAAGGCTCCATTTTTCTCATGGTAGCATGCCTTTCCTTTTGTATATGAGTAGGCTCCGCAATGTCGATTGGACCCACGCTCCTTCCTATCTTTGAGCAACTGGGTATCTACGATGAGTTCCTTACTATCGGAAAGTACTTGACCCATCTGGTTGGCTACAAAGAGACCCTGGTGCCTCTGAAGCCCCTGGATCTGAGACCCGTCGAGGAGTTGTAAGTATCTTTGGTGACAATATATATGTGCGGCATAAATCTTGTGTACGTCGTGTTCTAGCGTCTTTGTCTCTTATTCATTGCTTGCTACTTGTTAGTACGGGGTACGGGCAGTACATTGTTGCTCGTCCAAAGCTCTACGATCTCATCCTCAAACAAATCCCTCCCCACAAGATTCACTTTGGACATCGCGTCCTCAACATCACCGAGAAAGACAACAAGGTCGCCATCCATCTTTCCAACAGCGACACCATCGAGGGCGACATCATTGTTGGCGCCGACGGAGCCTACAGTGCTGTCCGTCAGCGGATGTACGAGCAATTGAAGACGGAAGGAAAGCTCCCCAAGTCTGACCAAGAAGATCTCCCTTTCTGCTGCACATGCTTGGTTGGTCAGACAAAGGTCCTGGACCCTGAAGAGTTCCCTATTGTTGCTGAACCCCAGTGCAATTTCAGCAACCTTTATGGAGACGACAAACCCTTCACAGTAAGTGTTCTTGAAAAACAGGATGCTTTTTTGACCGAATATGAAGATGCTGTATGCTAAACAAATATGTAAATGTGCACTATTTTGCCTGGTGTTTTCAATGCATTAGTGGCATACGTTCAACACGGCACAGGGAACGCTCTGTTAGATGGTACTACACCATTTGTCGGAAAAAACTAGCAAGGCAGCCATGGAGCAGCGTTTCCGGAACAGCGAGAACTCGGAGTGGGGCGATCACCCCGCGCAGACCATGTGCGAGGAGACTCGGAACCTTCCCATTCAATTGCTTGACGGAAAGAAGCGCACCCTCGGGGATCTCTACGACCAGACACCCAAGGAGTTCATCTCCAAGGTCATGTTGGAGGAGAAGGTTTTCACAACCTGGCACCACCGTCGTTATGTATTAATGGGCGATGGTAAGTGGATACTCTCTCCTCTTATCGTTGCCAGAATCAGTTTCTATCCCTCCCCTTAACTGACGAATGACCTGCTCAAATTATCTTTTCTGCAGCCTGCCACAAGTTGAATCCTTCTGGAGGACATGGTTCGTTCTCAATTGCACTGCTCTTTCTTTTCGACTTCCAAGCAATGCTTCCATCACTCACGTATTCACATTTTCTCTTTTCACTTTGTTTCTTAAATAATAGGTGCAGTGACAGCAATGCACGACGCAATTGCCCTCGCCAACTTATTCTATGCCATGCCCGCTAAGACAGGAGAGGACATCACCAGGATTTTTGAGGAGTATCAAAAGGAGCGACTTCCTGCCGTGACGGAGTCCTTCAATAACAGCCGGCAGCTGGCCAAGACCGCAGGCAGAGGCATTGTGGGCGCCATTATCCTCTATCTCACTACGGTCATCCCTGCTTGGTTGTGGAGAATCGCGGTACGCTACTTGTTTTTGTTCTTCTTGTCCAGACTGGCGTTCATGAAAAATCAAAGAGATTAGAAGCACTAACAGAGCCTATGGTCATGGTATTTTCTTGGCGACATAGATGGCCAAGTCTATAAAGTTTAGACCACAAGCAGGGTTCCTTCCAGCAATTGTCGTGAAAGGAAGCGTTGAGCCGGTAGTTTCGGCGAGTGAGCAGAGAGCGAGGACTGTCTTTGAGAAGCAGCAACAGACTGCTGCTTCAATCTAACTCGACCGTATATTGAAGGCGGGGCTCTTTCGATCCATGATTATATCCTATCGAATTTCGACGCGTCCTGGGTCTGAGCATTTAGTTTGGTTGCTACCGAAAGGGTTCGACGGCATGCACGCCCAGTTGCCACTGGGGCAAAAGGTTGGCAAAAGTAATAATAATAAAACACACCGCTTTTTCTTTTCTTTCTTCTTATCATTCTTTTCTTACTTGTCTCTCCTCTTTCATTTCTCCTTCACCACTACGCCCTTTTCCACCAACCTTACTCGACCCTTACCATTCCTTCGAGCCATAACAATCGCATTCTTTTTGCCATTGGAATGTCTCTAGTTGGTCATTCGCCGTCTCGCAGACGACCAGGAGAGTTACTCTGTCACCACCATTTTACGCCTCAACAAACATATCCTCCCCGCAACTCTGCCAATTATATACGAGAACCTCCAGCCTCCCTATTCTCCATAATAATACCATAGCCCTTGCCCCCTTCTTCAAGCCGATGAAAACCTTTCTTAGTCTCCCCGACATGGCACTTGTCGCCGACCTGCTGCGAGCTGCATACCAATTGGATGCAACAGAGGAATAGCAGGACTAGTAATTGATATCCGAGATGACAACATCCGTTCCTTACTACTCCTTCAATCATATCGTCGACTTCCAGTGGTCCGCCTCTCCACACTCTGGAACCTTCTCAAGGACTCGTTTGGTGCCTGTTCAGCCTTCACTGGCTACCTGGAGTGGACCGGACACGACGGTCATCAACTTGCTGAGGAAGCCAGTTATTGTCTTATGGATCTACTAGGGAACGACACCATCACGTCTGCTTCTGGTCGAGAGCTCCGCAGAGTGACATGAGCCGTGTGTGCAAACGCCGAGCATGTCCAGAGTTTCGTCCTCCCCATCTCGGGTGTTTACCGCGACCTGATGATAGTTCATTTCTTCACGGCCCTGTCTACAGTGATGTTTGTCCTCGACAGAAAAATCCTTCCTCCACCACCCCACACGTTAACGCTAGAAGACAAGGAGATCAAAGCGGTACAATATTCAGACAGGACCCAAAGCCTCGAGAAGCTGTTTTGTTCAGGAACACCTCGACTCCACCCAAATGTCCCCGTCAAGGGTCGATCTGCCAAGGGCTCCTGCACCAGGGCTATCCAACCGCTGTTGAGTCTGGAAAATGATGGCGAAGTGGTGAATCAACTCATAGCGGGAGGCTCCTTTCTGTACCACCGTCCTGCTCTGGAGACCTTTGATCTGTGGTTCTGGGCGAGGATGCTCTTCTGTGGGCTGTTGAAGAGCGCAAACTCTAGAATGCCAATCTTCTCACAGGACAGAATTCTCAACGACCGCTTGTACTGCTTCGCATTCTCTCGGGCAACTTTGACTAGCCTGCATTTGGACGACAGGTCAACGACGTGGCATTTGCATTTGGTCGAACGCTCGAAAAGATTAGCGCATCAAGTGAATGGTGGAGAAGGTTGACCGACCACGAAGTTGCACTAGAATTTTCAAGCGGCGAAGGCGACAACAGCTGGGATTTGCCTAGGCTCTCAGAGCTATTGGTTCATATGCGTGAAATTTTGATCCGCATCCATCCAGATGTCTTTTCAAGATGCCCACGGCTGTCTCGTATATTTCTCGTGGATCGGCGAGAGGAGTATCGTCTGGACGAGGTTGTGCGTTGGACTCCGACAGAGCTACCACTGTTGAAAGAGCTCGTTCTTAATGGCACTCCGGCCATCTCCTTCCATCCCGACATCCTTCATAGTACAACCAATTTGAGGGACTTGGACCTGGGGATGTTCACCTCCGGAGCCGATGTGACATTCATTCCGCCCGCCGAGGAACTCGACTGCGCAGATGACGACAACATCGACGACAACAACAAGAATAATGACAGTCTCTCAACATATGGATCGGTCCCAAGGAAACAACCGACCTGGACGTGGGACTGGTATCTTCCCAATTTGCTCTCCCTCAAACTGAACGCCGAGTTTGGATACCGCTTCAAATTCAGGATGTTGGCTGGGACACCGAATCTCGTACGATTTATTGTTGGAATTGGCTCGCGATCAGGCCAACATAAGCGAACCATTGGGATTGCGGACCTTATTAAGCCTGGATATCAACACCTCGCTATGGATCGCTTTCTAGATCAGGAGCAGCAACGGCAGCGCTAGACCTTGGAGCGACAACATGTCGTCGGAGATATCGACAACAGCAGCAGCCCCATTGAACTCGAGGAGAACGACGACAAGTTTTTGAAAGACTTCGAATACGTCCACGTCCCAGCACTCAAGAATTTCACTCTGACGGGTCCATGGTCTCTTGATAGGCGAGTGCTGGAGGTTCTGTTTGGCAAGGTCGCGCCCGGTGTCCAGGATCTTATCATGTCGTCCGAGGGGCATAATGTGAGCGAATGGGTAAAGGCGACGTCTGAGCACTTGCATGCGCTCGAAAGTGCGCATCTACTCGTTGACGGGGTCACTGCCGAGTCGTTGTTGGAAATGGGGATGAAACCGGATAGGTCGCGCAACACGCACGAGATTTATTCATTCGTAGAACCTCCTGCGGGACGAACTGTTCCCAATCCTGCTCAGTATCGGTTTAGTCCCTGGATATAACTAGACTATTAAAGAATTAGCATCATGCCTATACCAACTTTTTTTTTTTTTTTTTTTTTTTGGGGGTCGCAGTGGTCATTTCGCGGTGCGCCACCAGGCTTTTATTATTGAAGGTTCTGCAAAGATGGCCCCTGTTTCGTTTTTGTTCTTGTCAGCATTTTATCTCACGTCCTCACTCATGTCACTCCCTTCAACTCTGTGGACTGCCTCCAGTTGATCATCTACCATGTAACATTTTAACAAGACAACAACTCCATCACTAATCTTTTACAAGTCATTTAACGTTCTTTTCAACAACTTTCCCCATACTATACCAAGGCCCCTTTCGCAACTTTCCCTTCAAACCGCAACACACTCCGGCTATATTACAGCTCTACCCAGACATTAGGCCTATCTGGACATGGGACTAGGAGCTTCCCAAATTGATCTACCTGACGCTGAACGGTGAATTCGCGTACAGGTTTCAGTTCAGGATACTGGCAGGGACGCCTAACCTTGTTTATGTTTATGTCTCGGTCAACACTAATTCTTGGTCGGGGCAACATACCAGGACCGTTCGCCTTGTTGGCCTATTCTTCCTTCCGCCTACGGCTGGGAGACCTCACGACGGTGACAACAGCCACGGAGACGACGGGGAAGATGGGGGACCGTGTGATGAAGGAGGTGTAGAGGAATCGGGTTCAGGAGAAAACGATACTATCTAGGAGTTGAATGGTCTTGGTTAGCAGGAATACATTCACCTCCCGCATGTCGAGGACATTTCCTTTTCGGTCCATGGATCTTCCTTCGCGACGGTGACGGTGACGGCGAGGAGGCTGGTCGACCACCACTACGGCTACTCGGAACTTTTCTATAAGACGACCCTCAACATCAAGGAGCTGAAAATGGTGGCCAACCAAGGGTACAGTTTCAAGGACTGGACAGCGTCGACAAGGAATCTGATTCGACTCAAGACGGCGTATACTTCTCTTGCTACCATCACCTCTTTTAGTGGTGGTGAAGGGAAGCCGATGGAGGGATTAATTGCTGAGGCTTGGCTGGAGGTGGTTCCAGAATTCCCAGAGCATGACCGGCGGTATGTATTGGTGGACCAGCCTGTTAACAGACGGAAGGTAGCGGAAAAGAAACGCGGTATGTTTTTTGTTAGTTAATCAAGAGCGAAAATAATAAAAGAGGTATTATCGGTATCGTATCAGAGGATGTAAAATACAAGGAGAACATTGACTTGCTTGTGCTCTTGTTGATGGGCTGTTTGTTGTGTGTTGAGGCCACAAGTATATGTACCGGTATAGTAAGTAGAAGGCCAAACACAAAGTGCTCTCAATCACATTTTCCCTGGTGCAGAGAAAAAAGATCCCCTGGCTCGATTTCTTCTTTCATCCCCTCTTTTCCTTTTTTTTCTTCTTTTTCTTCCTCTTTTCTTCTTCCCCTTTCTCGTTCACTCTTCGCTACTTCACTGCTTCCCTCCCTTTCTTGTCTTCTCTCTACCCTTCATCCTATCATCCCTCTCCGGTCCTTCCTTTCTACCTGTCAATTTATTTTTCTTTCATTCGACCCATATCCGAATGTCATCTACATTCCCCCTACCGCAGGAATGCCTCGAGGCCATCATCCGTACTCTTGCTTGTTTCCATGGTATGGGCTCTGTCGCAACTATGTTGCGTGTGAACAAATACGTCTGTTCTATTACTCTGCCTGTACTCTATGGACTGGGTCCCATCTCTGTGTTGAATAAGTATTATCTCAAGGACTCTCTTGGCTTCAAGCGTCGGCAAAAGTTGATTGCCACTCTCCTCCTTGGTGTTCCCAAGATCCGCATCACCGAACTCCTCCGTGTTACCTTTCTTCAAGACTCCATCGATGACCAGGATCATTCCCCTGCACCCTATGCTCCGTACCATTCGTTTGCGACCGCGATTTCTTTGAGCAACTGCAACGACGCCTTTGACGGAGACCTTCGCCAGATCGATGAGTTTCGCGATGACTACTTTAGCCAGGACGATGGCTCGCCACCTTCTCAGAGACTGCTCGATTTTGTGAAGGATCACAGACTCGTGGACCGCTATGCCACAGAAACGCCCCTGGCAAGTCTCTTACATGAACGTCCTAGGCATACCTTCATCAACTCCATCAACTGAGAGCTCCGCAGGGACCTCACGTGGGCGTTGTGTTCGGATGTGGAGCGTCTCAGGTTTCTTGAGATCCCTGTATCCGACATTGACCGCTACCTGCCTTTGATCGACCAGCTCAAGGCTCTAACAAAGGTGAGGTTCGAGCTAAATCGATGGCTGTTCCCCACCAACGTTGATCTTGACGAGCTGACGCCCGAGCAGCGTACTATTCTGAGCCACCAGCGAGACGAGCGGAAGCAACACCTCGACCAGATGGTGCTCTTTGTCCAGGGCCATCGACGCCACCACGGTAGCGTTCTCCAGGCTGCTACATGCTCTGGGGAGTACCCTCTCCTCGCCGAAAAGTGCCCAGATGAGTATGCGGAGCAGCTTACCCACCTTCTTCCACCCCTTCCTGATCCTCGGGCGCTTGACATACACAACTGGGGACACTTTGCTACCAAGGTCAAGGAAACTAATTTATTGGCCGTCAAGTCGATCATGCCACCGCAAGGTCAACCAGGAGCATTAAGTCTGCCTCAACTCCTCAAAAAGTCCCCATTCCTTCATCGTTGTCGGTCCCTCGAGAGCATCCAGTTGAAATCTTTCACCGACGATGTCTTCCAATGGGCTGTTGACGAACGTAGGCAGCACGACGCCGACATTGCAGCTGGACGCACTCCTCAAAGGCCACTGGTCCCTCTCCAAAATGCTACAGTCAACAACGAGCGCCCTACCGACGGACGCCTCATCAACGACATTGGATACAGCTTTGGCGAGACCCTCAAAACGCTTCATTTCTATTCATACGCGACCTTTGACAATCAAGAGTCTGTAGTCTTAGGCGAGTGCTCGGTTGGGGGCAGCCCTTCTTGGTCTCTCTGCTGGCATGCCCCCCAGCTGACCAATCTGCTTATCCGCACCGACCATAATTTCCTCCGCATCCATCCCAGCCTTCTTGCCCAGTGTCCACAACTGAAGGACATTAATCTCGTGGATCGGCGTCATGAATACTCGGCAAGCGACATTACTCGATGGGAGCCGGCGGAGCTTGGACAACTGGAGACTCTCACATTGCAAGGATCGCCGGCCCTCTCGTTTAATCTAGAAACTCTCAATACCGCACGCAAGCTGAAAACTATAAGTCTGCGGACGTCCGCTCACTATGTGCTGCCGGTGGCCGAATTGGACGAACCTGAGAATGACTCTGTCGGATTACCACCATCTGCCGCTGCGACAGCACCTAGCCCTATCCCTCCTTGGCGACCCATTTGGACCTGGGACTGGGACCTGCCAAGGCTTACGCGTTTGACGTTGAAGGGAGACATGGCGTACCGGTTCCAATTCAAGATGCTCCAAGGCACGCCCAGTCTGGTACAGTTGAATGTCGACATCAGGTCAACGACTGGGATACACAAGAGGACCCTTGGCGTTAAGGAATTTCTCCAGAAAACACAAGAAATTGAGACCATGGGAGGCGCACAGGACGATGATGACAACAACAGCAACAACAACGACGGCAGCAATGACAATATCTTGGGTATGCAGTCCAAGTACATCCAACTTCCAGCATTACGTACCCTGACATTGAGAGGGACTTGGGTTCTAGATACAGAGGTGTTGGAGAGTCTTTGCAGGATGGTACCGGGTGTGACGAACATGTCGCTTCAGGGCTGCGGTGGGTTTAGTTTGGTGGATTGGGTCGGCACTACGTCGAGGCTTTTGATGAGTATAAGTCAAGCAAAAGCGTCAATTCCAGTCGCGGCCGAGTTGGCTTCTAAGGCTGGGCTGGTGGAGATGGAGCTCCATGGTGAGGATCAAGAGTATGTTTTGTACCAGCTTGGTCAGCCTCCTGTGGGTCGGACTGCGGAGGATAAACTCAATTATTACTTTTACCCCTATATAAAAAGGTTTCCCTTGCAACTGTTTGGTCAAAGTTGAGTAAATCTATGTGGTCCGTGTTTTGCCACCACCCGCCCTTCAAGCCAGAGGGAATGGAAGAAGAAGAACACTGTTGTCATAAGTGAGAGGGCGGTTGTTCCTCCAAAGGGTGGCTGTTCCTCCAACGACGATGGCGCCCTTTTCTTTCTCCCTTAAAACATTGACGGTCAAGGAAGGACGATCCCTGTCCAGGCACCATCATCCCTTCTGTCCAGTCTTGATTTTGATCTAGGTACCATCACTGATAGCTTTAACGGTTTCACTAATGGTCGATCAAATAATAAAACAACAGACGTTATAGAGGAAACCCCAGGGGCTACAAACCGCTCTTCCATTCCTCTCACAGCTCTGAGGATAGCAATTTCACGATAACAAAAGTAAAAAAGGGAGATAATTTAGATATAAAGCAGCGCACCAAACGAAAAAGTGCCAAACGCCCAATGAAAATGTTGCAATTGATACCCTTCTTATCCCTTGCTCTTTCCTGTCGCCTCTATTTCAATCATCCTCATTCCTGCCCCTACTTTTTCTTCCCATTTACTTCCTTTCATTCACACTAATGTCATGTACTTTCCCCCTATCTCTGGAATATCTCCAGCTAATCGTCCACCATCTCACCGCCCAGCGAGCCCGCAAGTCCTCGCCGCCCTCCTCTGCGTCAACAAACACGTTTGCGGCGCCACTCTGCCTATCTTGTACCGAGACCCCTTTGTCGATATGGTCTCATTTGCTAGTATTTCCACCCGCGCGACCGCCACCAGTTTCACGTTCGGGCCAATTGACATGACAAGCAAGACTGTCCTTGGGCTCATTCACATGGTCCGGGTCCTTCTTTTCAGCATGCCTCCCAGTGCTCCTTGCGACGGCCATGATGGCAAGCGCGAACTTGTTACCGAGCTGGTGCGCGTTGCGTTTTTCCAGGACTAGAAGCAGGATCAGGACCAACACGACGACAAAGCAGCATTATCGCCGCAGCTACTACCGACCCCTCTCCTGCCTTACTACTCGTTTGTGACCACAGTCTCCTTTGAGGACACTTCTCATACGACTGGGTGTCTGCTCGGCAACAGTCTTCCCACAAAGGAATCCGCCGTTCAGGATTTCATGGAGAGAACGGGTCGAGCCGCCCGAGCCCTTGCTCAGGAGCCCTTCCATCGCTTTAGGCGGGGCGATGTTGAAAAAGCCATTGTTTCCGAAGTAACCGAGCTGCAGCTCCGTCAGGATCTGACTTGGGCTCTGTGTTTTTCGAACGCCGAGTGCATTCAAACCCTGTACATCTCCATCGCGGATATCGACCGATACATGACGCTGATGCCTCGGCTCAAGGTGCTCTCCGAGGTCAACTTCCAGCTGGATCGGAATACCACTATGGAGTTACAACCGGAGCATGAATATACTCCGGAGGAGAGGACGCTGTCGGCGAGACTGGAGGAAGAACGGACGAGGCGATTGGAGGAGATGATTTTGTTTGTGAAGGAACATCAGCGTCACCACCCCAAATCCATCAAGACCGCCCGATGCCTCAGCGACCGAGCGAAACGGGACAGTTGCCCAGATGAGTATTGTTTCCGACTTCTCCAATCACTCCCACCCTTGAACCAGCCTCGATGCCTTGACCGCAACAATTGGGCTCAGTTTACCGCCAATGTTGCCGATACCGATCTGTCTTGTGTCAAAAGTATCCAGTACGAAATGAGTGGCAGGGAGGTCAGGTTTTTGAGTCACCTTCTGGAGCAGCGTCCTTTCCTCCAGCGCTGTCGGTCTTTGGAGAAACTCTCCGTTGCTTCCTTTGGCGAGGACATGTTCAAGTGGGCCGTGCAGGAGCGCAAGGATTTTGATGAGAGTAAGGAAGCGGCGCCTTCTCGGAGATCTCTGATCCCTCTTCGAGAATATCAAATCCGGTTCCCGAACCCCTCCTATGGACGTCAAGTCGATAATGTCGCCTCGCAGGGACAGCTGCCACCTCCTTCCATCCTGACACGTTCAAGAGCACCAGGAATTTGTGCAGCCTCGATCTGCGATTGGAATTTCACGATACTTACTCCTTCATTCCTCACCTGAAGCAATTTGATCAGACTTCAGCAAACAACAGTGGCGAATCGGCTGACAAGCATGACGACGATGACGACGATGACGACGACAACGACAACTCCTTTTCGACACCATCTCCACAAAGACGACAACCTATCTGGACCTGGGACTGGGATCTCCCCAACCTGACGTACTTGTGTCTGACCTCCGAGCTTGCCTAGAGGTTCCAGTTCCGCATGCTGGCGGAGACACCAAGTCTTTCGCACTTTGCGTTGGAAATAAATACGTTCTCGAGGTTGCACAAACGGACTGTTGGTATCGCGGATCTAGTCAAGCCTGGGTTTCAGCATCCTGCGTTGCAACGGTTTCTGGAGCAGGAGCGACAGCAGCAGGAGAAGAAGAGGAAGTGGAAGGAGACGAGCTCGACGGCAGTGATGGTGATGATCAAGAACAAAGCGGTAGCCAAGATGACGAGATCTAGCAGGAATTCGAGTTTGTCAATATTGCAGACTTGCAGGACTTTTTTGTTGATCGGACCTTGGATGTTGGACTACCAAGCGTTGAGCGCGCTTTCGGAAAAGTGGCGCCCAAAATCGAGAGGGTGAAGTTGAAAGAGTGTTATGGGTTCACGTTCTCTGAATTTGTCAAGTCGACCTCCGAGAACCTGCACAAGCTCCAGGAGGCGGTGGTGACTATCCCCTGGACAGACAAGTTGGTTGCAAAGGCTGGGTTGGTGGAGTACTCGCCGGGTGATGTTCACCGTGGAGATATCTATCAACTGGAGCGACATCCGGCTGGTAGATCCTGGTTACGCCTAGCGAAGGATGAGTTTGGAAGGTGTGATTATGACACGTTGCCAATTGTAGCTCCGACGGCAAATATAAAGTCGCTTTTGGGGATGGTGGTATGTGTGATGGCAATGCAGGTGATGATTAAAAAAGATTGTTTCAGCTAGTTACCAAACGTACTGCATGGTTTTTTCCTCCTTCGCCTAGTTGTTTGTTCGTTGTGTTGTCTACAACATGGTGAGAACCACAGGTTCTTGGTGCCTGGATTGTTTCAAAGCAATTGATCTGATGCTATTGAGTGTGTCGCTGCCAAATACTCTTCATATCTGTGCCAATCAACCTGCTTCCCTTTTGCCACCCATGAACTTGCATCCTTTTCCCTCTCCCTCTCCCTCTCCACTTTTTCTTCCTCATTTCAATTCATATCTGAAAGTCGTCCACATTCCTTTAACGCAGGAATGCCTCGAGGACATCATCCACGCCAGGCTGGGCCTTGGAAAATCGACTACTGTGCGCTCAAGGCATTCTTCTCAAAAGTCAGTCCCAACCTCACAGATCTCGACTTGCCACAGGCGCATGGGTTCATGGCTCCATAATGGATCAAATCGACGTCCGAAAGCCTGCATGGCTTGCGGGACACCTTTGTATCGATCCCATACAGAGCAAAGCAGCTTGAGACGGCGGGGTTGGTCTCGGCGATCGAGCTGGAGGAGGCATGGGATTATGTGATGCGGTTCAAATTGGCGGAGGTGCCAGTTAGGAGGTTGCTGGATAGGGAACTTGCAGGTTATATCTTCCGTCGTCAATAATTATTATAGTAAAAAAAGGCAATTTTTTTGTTCAAGGTCAAGTGAAATAATTATCAATTTCAAAGTTTCAGACTTTCAACCGCTGCTGCTGCTACTGGCCCTACTGGTGCTGCTGTTGCTACTCCTGATATCTGCCGCACATATACCTTGTTGGAGTGCTCGAACCGAAACTCGGTCTCATTGATGCCCACACCTGGAATCGGCTCACGCCCGAAGCCATACATTACCGGTCGCCAGCCACGATTCGCCTCAAGGAAAATCCCCTCCTCTTCTTCGTCTTCCTGCTCGTATACACCTTCAACATCATCTTCCTCACCCTCCCTTCTCTCCTTCTCTTCGCCATTACCCTCCTCCTTCTCCATAAGCCCAAGGTCCTTCAACGTCAACTCAAGCTCAGGGTCATCAGACCATATATGCCTTGACGAATACGCCCTCAGAAGCCTAGGCAGCACCGACAAAGCAGAAACCCAATCCTGTTTATCAAACCCTCTGCATTTCGATTCCTGGACGCTCAGTAGGTTCGGCATCACTTCCTCAAACGCCGTCTCCCAGAACTCGTGCCCGATGATCCAGGTCCCTATCAGCTGCAGGTTGATCAGCTTTGGGAGTTTGATGAACAGCCTTGCCTTGCTCTTCTTCTCGTCGTTGCTGTCATTACTGTGGATGTTGTTACTATCGTTCTCCCGCAAGTCGTCCAATGAAAACTCGTGTCGCTCCAACTCATGCACATCCATGTAAACCGTCGTTTGCATGTCCAAAGAAAGCGTCTCCAGATTAGGCGTCTCTCGAAGCATCCGGAACTGGAAACAAAGCGCATACTCGGCCGTCATGAACAACTCCCGAAGACACGGCATGTACCAATCCCACGACCACCTAGGGAAAAATGTCAGCAACTCAGCGGGGCTAGCTCCTCCTGCTGCTCCTGCTTGCTCGTCACCGCTGCCGCCAGTCTCCAGTAACAGGTGCAAAATGTCGCTGATGTCGGGGATGTCATCAATACCAGTGTTAGTCCCGATGCCGATATGCAGGACCTCCAACTTGGGTGAACTGTGAAGGGTATTCGGATGAAAAGTCCGAGCAGCGGTGCCGTTCATCTTGAGGCTGGTCAGCTCTGGAAGACATGCGTGTTTCCAGAGCTGAAGTCCCGTCAATGTATGATCTGTCATCCAGTCAACCAAAGTAATCTCTTGAACGTTCGGACATCCCAGCAGCGCCTCCGGGTCCAGAAAAAGATGCGCCATCTTGGTGTTGACTGACAGAGTCCGTAACCGAGGGAGGTGCCAAAGCTGGCCAAACGCCACGGGTTCCTGCGCAGGCTCGCTGTACGAGCTGAAGCGAGTCGCCCATTCCACACTGAGCGATTCCAGGGTGTTGCTGAACCCGTGTGCAATCGAGTCGATCTGTAGTCCATCGCATTCTTGATCAAACTGAATCTTGACATGCTCAGCCTGGACAAGTGGCCTTTCTGGGACCTCATCTCGGTTCATCAGACGATCGTACTCTTGCTTCTCCAGAACAGCCCACTCAAATATATCCCTATCCCCAAATGCAACTATATCGACCTTCCTCAGCGCCCGACACCGATGTAAGAACGGTCCCTTGGTCTCCAAAAGGTCCATCGTCTGCTCATCCGCATACACATTCTCAAACTCCTCCACAAACTCCAAGTTTGTTTCCTGAAACTTGAACGCAAACTGGCGCAGGTTATCCGTATCCAGCACCTTTGGGTTGTACAGCGGTGGGAGGCAATCCAGTAACGCCAATTGATACTCCTCGGGACAGATCTGGCAAAGAAGGCGCGTCTCCTGAAGATGGTATCCATTCTCACAAATAGCATGTCTCAAAACACCCTTGTGGATCTGCGTATGCTCCCGCACAAACTGGACCATCGTCTCCAAATGCACCCTCCGCTCCTCCCGGAACTCCAGCTCTCGTGCCTTGGCCTCCGGTGTCATCCGCTCAACCCAGTCTCTCCCAAACTCGTGCTGTTTGTCAAACGAGAAACGAACAGACGTCAACCTGGCAAACCGCTCCACTCGCTCCAAGTACCGCCCACAGTCCGACACCGCAATCGACAAGGTCTGTACCAACTCGGGCACACACAACGCCCACCCCAACTGCCGTCGGACATCCTCCTTGAAAGCATGAGCAACAAAGTAGTCGCTGTAGTCTGGGTCCACGCCTCCATACAGATCATCAACAGCATACTGGTCGTAAAGTCCCACAGTCTTCAGAATCGCCGCGAGGTGACCACATGGCAGCTTGCACGTTGGAAAGTTGTCCGAAAAGAGGCTCCTGACATGCGGCAAATAAATCAGGACAGGCGTGTACGGCTCCTGGACCTCTGCTGACAAGGGGTCTGAACTGCAATCAAAGTTCTGGCTGTCAAAGTAAAAAGTCCTGAGGAGAGGTGTAAGGTCGTCGAGGGGGACCTGTCGTAGTAAGGTTCTGACGAGGATCAATGATCGCCTGTCGGTCCATTCTTCAAGGATGCTGAAGTGTTCACAGAAGGGATCGGCGTAGAGGAATGGCAAAGTGGCTTCTGCAAAGAAGCGATTCACTCGGAGGAGGACGGTCAAGGAGTGGATGTCGAGGTTGTCGGAGAGAAACTTGATCGCGCCCTGTAGACACTCCAATGGTAAGGGAGAATCGGACATTCAGCGAAGGAAAAGGAAGGAGAAAGAAGGTGGTGTCGTGAGAAGAAAACAGAAACAAGAAGGTTTTTTATTTTTGTGAATGGTAAAGGTGGCTGTCGTCTACTCTCCCTACAATGTCATCATAAGAATCAAATCCATATTGCATGGGAGCCAACCCCTAGGCAAAGCAGGAAGTCCATCGTCTTCCTCCACTGGTCATCAAAACGCAAATGCAATGGTATTTATTATGTTGTTGTTTACGAAAATGCAAAAAGTAAAGGAAAAAGACCGTGGGAGCGAAAATCATATTACTCGTCGGTGACATCGTGGACCCATTGGCGGTCAATAGGGATGCGGAGAGCAAGGTCGCCGTGGATCGAGATCTTGTCCCAGAAGGAGTCGTTCCGTCGTTTCTGCACAAGCACCACCTGGTTACCTAGCTTCAGTCCCGGTGTCGCCGCCTCCATCTCGCTAGCTGCACGATCAACAATCTGCGCCAACTCGACAAACTTCCTGCCCCACTTCTGGCTCAACAACTTGGCACCATCGTCCTCAATCTCGATCAAAAGGTGGTCGTTCTGGCGGATAACCGACAGGCTGTCGACTGCAAACGTGTCAGACTTATTGCGGATTTCGAAGTGGCTCTTGCTGCTGGAGGACGACTTCGTCTGGTGCTCGTTGCTGATGTTGGTGTTGTCCTTCTCCTCCTCGTCGTCGTCGTAGTCGTAGTCGTGAAGACGGTCGAGCCACTTGAATGTATTCTCCTTGCGTTCGCTGTGATCGTTAGGGTCAAAGACACCCATACGGATGTTGATCCTGTCGAGTGCTCCTGCAGTGCTGGGGAACGTCCACTTGAACCACTCGTTAGAACGTGCAGGCTGGACCTCCCAATCAGATCCCAATGCTCCCAGGGCGGTTGAGAAGTCGTCCTTTTTGCTCCGCTTGATGATTTGGTTCAGTTCCCGGACTGTCATGCTAGCTGGCATCGAGACGAACCAAAAGGCGGTTGCTCCTCCGACGGCGACAATAGGGAGGATCAAAAACAACAGACTTCCTGTCAACAGAAGGGCGCCTCCGGCAATGCCGCCAACAGCAACGGGGACAAGGATCAGACTAGCAACGGGGGCGCCAAAGACCAAAATGGCGGGGAGAGCGACGACGGCTGTTGAGATGACCATGACTCTCCAAAGGAACCTGAAGGGTCGTCTTTTCTTGGAGTGACCCTTTGAGAAGGCACGGGTTTGCTGCTGGAGAGCAGTCGAGCGAAGTCCTGCTGCCCCTCTTGCGAAGAAGGGTGATTGTTTGGCGAACCCTCGGGCAGCATGACCTTGGAGACCGAGTGCTGAAGTTGAACGTGACGACGAGGTTGATGAGAGGAAGCGCGTTTGCGGTTGTGAGAAAGTCTTTGTGAGGTGTTGTCTGGCGAAGAGAGACTCCTGAAGAGTCGTTGTTGTCCTTGCAAGGCGAGCTGTGTTGGTGAGAGATGGTGATGATGCCCTGAGGATCCTTGCTGCGTTGGCTAGTGATACCAATCGAGGTACTGTGTGTTGGTGAAGCATGGTTGTTATTGTTGTATGTGTGTATGCGCGTGTGTGTCGGTGAGAATGAAAAAAGAAAGTAGGAAACGGGGGAACGAGACTCTTAAAAAGTCTTCGGATGCCCTCCTGCAAATGGAAATTTATGTTTGTGCTGTGTGTGTGTGTGTGCGGGTCTGATTCGCCAAGACGATGACATCGTCTGAGTCTCGGCATGAACGTGAGCACACAAACCTTCTTTCCTGCCGTCTGCCACTGGTCTTTACAGTTCTCATATGAGAGGCCTTGGCCGCTTCCTCTTGGCCACCAAGAAAAAAAGTATATGCGGCGTTGTCATGGATGCTGGTGTACGTCTGTCGAAGTATCCAAACCCGTTGCAGCTTTTTTTTTAGTCCAAAGCACCATGTCACATGGCGATTGGTCGTATCTCACGCTGAAAGGTACGGGAGGGAAGGAAAGAACCATGGACGTACTGTCTTCCACGCACCACAGTTACGACACAAAACACAGTTCTGGAGAGAGTCATGGTATTCATCATTCAAGAGGTCAGTCACATCATAAGACCCTATCGTTTTTGTATCCCAACGTCAGGAACGTTATCAAACACGAGTCGAACGCGAGAAAAGACGCGTATTGATCTGAACTAATTAACTCATTGCAGAGCTACGGGCCGTGGCAAAGAGAACTAGCATGAAGGTCGTGCGATTCTAAGACCTCTCAGTGTAGCCCCACCCACAACTCTCACACACTCACACTCACACTCACACCCCACTCATTGGTGTGATTGGCATAGGGTTGCTATGCCATCGCATGCATGTCTATATCAGCAATTACCAAAGAAACGACAACAGGGACAACGACATAGGGACAAAATATAACAAAAAAAGCGCGACTGAGAGCAAGCCGGCAGAAATAAGGGGAGAAGGAGAGGAACAAAAAAAAGGAAGGGGGTTGAAGGGAAGGGTAGAGCAAAGCATAGACGGAGAATAGGGAGCGAAAGGAGTCAAACACATTGACTCCCTGTTGTCCTCTCTTTTGTTCAATTATGCAATAAAGAAACACTTTTATGTCCCCCTTCTTTTTGTTGAAAAGACAGTTGCCACATACATCCATGCGGGTTTGATCCATGGACCTGCGCCCAAGGAGGAGGAGGGCAAGTTAAAAGAGAAAGAAATGCAGTGAATGAGCGAGGAGGTTTATGGACCATGGCTCAGACAATACCAAGCTCCGCCTCCGTCCTCGTTCCAACCACCAGGCTGGTTTCCGTTCTTTGCATCCATATCCTTTCTATTATTTTGAATATCGCCATTATTAGCTCCCTATCGTCGCCCTCTACGCCCATCCACGAACAAAATAATGTTAGTGGCATAACAAACCCTTTCTTTTTTGGTATCCGTAAACGATCCTTTCTTTCCCTCCTTCCCCCTCCCCTTTCCTTTACTTTTCTCGACCCTTCCTTCTTTTCATTCTACACTCTTTCTCCTTCTCTCATACACACAACACACACTCCCCTTTTACTACTACGAGAACCATCGGCTAAATGCCTCATCCTTGATCCTTCCCTGTCTCTATCGCGCCGCCCGGCTCCCTTTCCATCCCTCTTTCTCTCTCGTAACGACTTTTCTATTACTGCTAACTTACTATAGACACCGCATAGACTAGATGCCTAAACTCAGCAACCGCACTACCCAACACCAGCACCCTGCAACAAACACGGCAACCCAATCCTTCTCCTCCCCTCTCCCTCTTCCTGCACCCATGACTCGGCATCATTCTTCAATTTTAACACCACCATAACAGACTTCCTCGACACTCGATTTCTTGATCCCCTCTCCTCCCTTTACCCACTACTACATACAGCAACTACTACCTTCATTACATACACACGTTTACCCACTCCTCCTCGTCCTCGTCCTCCACCTCCACTTCCTACGACCACTCCTCTTCCTAGGTCGCTACCACTGCTAGACTTGATAGATAAGGAAAAAAAGTTCTTTCTCTTATTCAACATAAGCTTCCGTTTACGACCTTCCACACCTCCAACGACAACTTTTAACGACATACACCCTTGCACAGTGGCCGGATCACGCATACCAGGTGAGCAGAGTACAAAGTGAAAGGAGGGGCTCAGTTACATTTGGCCTTTGAAATGTTTCGAAATGGCCTTTTTTTTTATTATTGTTCTCTGGACGAACTTATTATTAGGGTTGTGTTTTTGTTTCCCTTCTTACACCATTGTGAAAAGGAAAATTGGTGAGAAAAAGCATCGACCCTTCCTCTCTCCTTTTGGGCGTTTTGTTGTGGGGATGGTTGGGCGATACCAATGTGTGTTCCCTACTCATCTGTTTGATTTCTTTTGCTTTACGCTTCAAGAAAAGAAGTGTGCTGAACGTATTTCTGTCATGCATAAAGGAAAGGACGGAGATGTGCGAAAAAGGCCAGGGTAATAGAAGGCAGAGGGAAAATAGATCGCCTTTGTCCTCTTTCTTTTTTGCTATTGCACTGCAGAACGAGGATAGATGGTTGGTTGCTTATCGTCACCAGAAGAAAAAAAAAGCGCGCTTAGATGTAGGAGTGGGGGATGCCGCCAATGCTTTGCTTATGGATACAGCGATTTTGAAAAAGAGCCAAGAACAGAGTGAGAGAGTGTGTATGCGTGCGCGTGAGAGAGATGAAAAAGGAGAGATTGTGTGAGTTAAGGAGAAAGAGAAGAAAAGCCCTCTATTGTGCAGGTTCGCATGAACAATCAAAACAAAATAAAGAGATTGTGGCGGGAGGATGCCTTATTATTTTTAGTTGTCGTAAGCACAACAGACAGGGAGGGGGGCTTTTGAAGTAGAAGGTGAACGGCAATGGGGACATGCACAGATGGAGGCCAGTGGATGGGGACTCAGGCAGGTGGTACCTGTGTTTAGCAGCATCTCTCTTTTGATATCCGGTCTTGGTGTCACTTTTTGCTCAGTTGCTGTAGCTTCTGGTGTGGCTCATTCATAACTCTCGCTTAATTAAGACCCTTGTTGGCTATGGTTGCTTGGTGTTGCTGCTGTTGTTGCTGAAGGGAGTGCGAGTTAATTGGTGGGGAACAAGACTACTTTATTTGAATAGGGGAGAGAGAAAGAGGGAGGACAAACAGGGTCGTGAGGTCTGTTTGCGATACACCCTCCCTCTTTTTGGAGTATTTGAGGATGAACCAGCCATCACCACATCCACAGAGGACGAGACTTCGGAGTAAGAAAGAGACGGGGGGTGCAATTAGTTTTGTGTTCCCATTGAACACACACGCTTTGCACTTGTGCCCATGTGGACAGACAACACAATCAAACAAAGCAAACATTTGGCATGCTGCCCTACTCAACATAGCAAACGTGAACGAGATGGCGAACCAATAACCAATTGCCGAATGGACGTCCTGAAGACCATTGCTAACCTACGCAACGACATCCCCAACACCCCACCTTGTTGGTCTTCACTTCTCGTTTTATCCCTTTTCTCTTTTTCTTTCCCTTGTGCTAATTGTCTGATGGAGTGGGACCACACACACACATCTTTTCGTCGACTTTACTGCTTTTCTCCCTCTTTTCCCTTTGCTCCCTCCTATCCCTCCCTCGACTCTCCCTCTCCAGTACTCTCTCTCTCTCACCTGGCCGTATCTCTTTTCCGTTCATTGCACCTCCACCCGACAGCACCATTACTTTCTCGTACAATACTGAGTGAACGTGTAAGATGAGACGAGATCCCTTTTTTGTGTTATTCCTACCTGTCTCCATCCATCCTACCCAGCTCCCACTCAGTGATAATGTTGCCTGCCGGTTTGCGTTTACGTTTACTTTGCCATTGATCTTCGCCTTGCTTTGCCTTTGGCCTTCGCCTTGCTTTGGAGACGTTAGTTCCTCTCATCCCTTCCCTCCCTCCGTCCTTTTCTCCTTTCTTACCCAACCTCTCTCTTTTCTTTTCTCTTTGCTTTGTACATCACCGCCATCATTGTATCGGAGAGCCCCCGCTTCCCCTTTTCCCAGCGACCCTTTTTTCGTGCGTTTGTGAGCGAGAGTGTCCATCTTTGTATCCGTCTTCTTTTGTTATGCGTGTGCCTATTTCAGAATTGAAAAAAAAAAAAAAACAGTTCTACCGTCTCCCGGTCTATCCTTGTTGTGTGTTGTATTCGATCTCTACCGATGGAAAGTAATGGGGTCATATCAACATTTGGTGCTTGTGGTACTGCACAGGCAATAAGCAAATACTAATATTATTATTATTATTAACCGCCTTGGTGTGCATCCTTCGTCATCCTTCTCTTTTCCTTTTCCTCTTCCTCTTCTTCCTCTTTCTTCCTTCTCTTCTTCTCTCCTTTCCCTCTATTCTCTGTTCGTTGCCGAAATAGGTTCTCTTCACGACCCACCCATCCCTTTTTCACTTTCACTTCTTTAGCGATCCACGTTGCACACACTCTTATTTTCTTTCTTCGACACCCACCGATTTGACAACAACGACAGCTACAACGACAACGACAACAACGACAACCACCCCTTTCCATTCTCTTCACTGTCTTTTACCCTTGGTACCATTTCACTCAATCTTCACGTTTCTTTGCTTTATTCATCGCACATACACTCCGCCTGATAGCATACCCATCCAGCATATCCAACTCACTTTCACATACACATAACGTCAATAATGAAGCTCCTCAGCGCGAACACACGATACTCTCGCCTTGCCCTGGCAGCGTCAGTACTACTCTTCACATACCTAAATATCCAACCCGGATGCGCATCCTCAACGACACCATCATCACACCGCTCCAACCACCTCCTAGTCAGATCCCCACAACATCGTTCCTCTTTCACATCATCTTCAACCACACACTTGCGCTCCTTGGAGCCCAATCCCGTACTGCTGTCCTCTCTCGAAGATCATGCACCTCACCCATCCGTCCAACATATCAGCAACGGCATACTCGAGAGGCGCTCACACACTCAGCCTTCACTGCAACCACCCCTCTTTCGCCATAAGAAACGACAGTTTCACCCCACCAAGACAGCTCTCTCGCCATCCAGTTCACTTCCACAACCACCTCCTCTTCTCCCTCAGCAATCCTTACCCTCTCCCTCAACTCCTTCACCGTCTACTGCCTCACCCTCAGTATTGGCCCCATCCGCCAACCCCGACCTGCCCCAGAACCAGCCTAACGTTTCGACACGTGTGTTCCCTTATACACCTCCAACAGGCGCCAATTTCTCTCTCGAGATAACTCCCAATGTCACCAATCGTCAAGGATTACTGGAGATTAGAGTCGGCCTTCTCTTACCCTACTCCTTGCCAAACAATATCACACAAGTTCTATCCTACAGGTAAATATAACCCTTTTTGCGTGCACCTGATGTGAGCAAACAAACAATAGTACATGCAGCGCCGATGTCCTACTGTTCTCTATTTGCCCGACGCGTCTCCTTCACTCCTATCATATTTTTTCACTGACGACGCACTGACTCCTTATGTTTACCCGATGCTTTTCCCTTCAGTGGCACGTCCGCGATCCGGTTGGCTGTGAGCGAGATTAACGCGAACCAATTGATTCCGGGCGCGTACATAACCTTGGTTCTCAAGGACTCGTTCAATGGCCATGATCCCGAAAACTCTGGCGCTGCTCAGGCCATTTTCTCGGCGGTGTCCCTGGTCCAGTCTCTGGCGGGCGTCTCGGGGGTTATTGGCGACGTGAGCAGTGCTCTCACTGTCCAGTCTGCCCTGCTGACAAGTCGTCTCTCCATCCCTCAATGTTCTTACTCTGCAGGATCTAGTAAGTGTTGTTTTCTGTCACTTGGACCCCTTTACTATTTTTTCTCCTTCCCCTTCCGCATGATGATACACGAGGAGATATATTAAACATAGGGAGGATGTCAACAAAAGTCGAAAAATGGCGCAGAATCCGAGAATACATCGGCTATCGATGGTTTCTTCTCTACAATGTTTCTTTTGCAAGAAGGGGGTTCGTAGTTATGTCACTCTCTTATTAAGGAGGAAGCGGATGTCTCCGTGTAAAGAGATGTTCCACTTCAGCCCAATCCTGTCCCGGGGGGGTTTTTTTTGGATTAGTACCAGCCTATCTACCCCTCAGTCTCAGTGCTCTCGTTGTCCCTGATTCTACTTCTTTTGTCCCTTTTGGCGTCGAAAACATTTGCCGTGTCTATATCCAACACGGAACATTTTTTTTTTCTTGGGAGCCCTCCTACACAGCGATACTATCGAGCGATACGCGGCGCACATACACACCCTTGCCTTACCCCTTTACTGACATCGCATCGTCCCCCCTCTTTTGACGCGTTTTACGTATCACGTTTTATAGCACAACTGTCAGACAAGGAACAGTATGGTTACTTTTTCAGAACAATTCCCACCGAGTTGATGTATGGTCGAGTGATGATGGATTTTGTTGCTAGTCGCGGGTGGAAGACCATCGCCGTCTTTTATGCAGGCGATTCTCTTGGATCCCAAAGTAAGCTGCAACTATCGTGTGGCTCACAAGTAGTTTTACGTATTACAGTATGTCACCAATGCTAACGCGTCCACGTTATTACAATAGTGATGGATACGATTGCGAAGCAGGCATTGATGAGGAACATCACCATCGGATACCGAAAGGCAGTGATGGAAATGGGCGCAGGCTCAACATTGGATGTAGGCCCCGCAGTGGATGCTCTCGAAGCGTCTGGTCAGCGCATCGTTATTGTCGCGTCTGCAGGAGACCCGCAGACCAAACTCATCCAGGAGGCTGTCAAGCGGGGACTGGTCTCGAAGGAATATGTATGGATTGTTGTCAATGAGGTGACGGAGCCTCTGTTTGATGACAATTCGACCTTTATGCCAACTGAGCTGAACGGCTTCTTTATGTTTGACAACCTTCTCAAGTTGCATGGATACCGTCCTTATGAAGAGTGGCTGGACAAGTGGGCTGCCCTTGACCCCGCAGAGTAAGTGCTGTTCGTTACCATCAGTGTCTCCAAGCAGACTTTTTCGAGCTTTCGCATACTAACGATTGTGTGTCATACTAATAAAAACAACTAGCTACCCATATGCAGGACAACGCGACATCTCCAGTAACGAAGTGTAAGTCAATCTAGTTCACTGGCCATCTTTTTTCGTATGCGCGGATCAAATTGTACAAACACCATTCACTGACCAAGTGCATGTGTGCGCTTTCTAATTTTAGGCAAGCTTACTCGTGCATGATGGTGATGGCCAATGCGTTTGCAAAGGCCGTAGGAAGCAACTTGACAACCCTTCACCTTCTTGAAGCAGGACGTCTGGGCAACCAGCTGAAGCCCCTCGGAATGAACACCAACTACACTGGACCCGGAGGCCCTATGGTCTTTGACGAAGACGGCGACGTTGTCTATGGGTATAGCAATCTTTTATTACGCCACAGAAATCATTTGCTTCATGCCTATGACAATTCGTAGCACTAACCATCCACACTGCGTGATCTGTGGATAAATAGAAATTTCATCCTGAGTAACTTCCAGCACGGCAAAATCGTGCCCATCGGAACGTATTACTCGGGCATGTTCAACCTGTCGTCGGAGCCTATGTACTTTGATGGGACCTACAACACCCCGGCTGACTCGGCGCCACTGCAGGTCCTGAACCCAAGGTTTGGATCGTCCATCGGTATGGTTGTGATCTCGGTGGCTAGTCTCAGCATCCTCTTCTCGCTCTTGACCATGTTGCTCGTCATTGTCTACCGAAACGCCAAGGTCATCAAGGCTTCGAGGTAAAGACACATCTTCTCAAAGCTGATGGCTGTGGTTTTTCTCAAAAGTTTTTTTCTTCTATACTCACATCCTATTGTATCCTGTAATGACAATAATATAGCCCGCTGTTCTGTTGTCTGGAGTTGTGCGGGTTCATTTTGCTTTATATCGCGACAGTGATGGGTCTGGATATCCCGACAAAATTCACGTGCATGGCAAGACCCTTGGTGCTCGATGTTGGCTTTGTGCTGGTCGTGAGCAACATTGTCGCTAAGAATTTCCGCATCTACAGGATCTTTCACAACATTTATGTCACCAAACGTGTCATCCGCGACTCTCATCTCCTCAAGATTGTTGGTACCATCCTCTTTAGCAACTTGGTAAGGCCACATTAGCGCAATCGTTTGGTTTTGTTCTAATGCATTTGAATGTTGGCCCCACTACTAACTATGGTTGTTACTACTTTTGTAGGTGATTATGGCGGCATGGTTTATCAAGTACCCTCCAGCCCTTAGGCAGATTGTCTTGCGGGATTTCACAAGTTACTGGTCCTGCAATAACATGGATGGCAGCAATAGCACAGCCTTCTTTGCAGTTCTGTTGGCCTACAATGCCGCCTTGCTCCTGATCGCCACCTACTTAGCCTACAAGAACAGAAACGTCGCCGCCAACTACAACGAGTGCCGTCAAATCGCCTTTGTCGTTTAGTAAGTCTACTCTTCTCAATTTGCATGCAAAGCGTGATGCCTTCTTTCAGGTCGTTTAATTAACTCCGCATCTACATTTCATTGACTCAAATAGCAACATTCTCCTGGCTGGCTGCTTGGCCATGCCAACAGTGTTCCTGCCTGACGAACAGTTTCTGATCAAGTTCTACCTGTCGACGGTGGTGATCCTGTTCGGCACGACATTCTCGCTCATGTTCTTGTTCTTGCCTAAGCTCTGGGAGTTGTTCACACAGATCGAGCGGTCTCAGCAGCGACTGGGAGGAGTCGGAGTCGGCGTTGGTGGCGGTGGCGGTGGCGGTGAGGGAGATGGATCAGCCAGTAACAGCATTGATGGGTTCATCTACAACGGCAACGGTGGATGGGCCAACAGTAGTGGCAACCTCGCAGTTCTGGCTCAGGGCTCGGCTACCGCCGCCGCTGCCGCTTCAGTTGGATCAGGAATTTCTGGGTCGGTGAATGAAGGGTCACAGTATCTGTCGGGTAGGAAAGGTAGTATTGGGACTTTGGATGAATCCAAGGGTGAGACGTCGAAGGAGACGCATATGGGGTACATGGGAGTCAAGTTCCAGAATCGGTGGGTGCCCTTTTTATCGAGTTGGTGTATGCGACGCGTGATTCTTTATCCTGCGGGTCGCTACTTTACCTGCTTTGAACTCGTAAGTCTCCATCCATTATCATTTCTTATTGGTATATATGGCTCAACTGGTAAATGTAATGGTAATTAATCAACTTTCGCTTCTTACTTTGCATGTATTACGATAGGGCAAACCAGAGACAGGAAAGACATACACCTACGTGTCCGTGTTCATCCATTCCCGCGAACGCGGATCGTACATCCTCCGAGTCATCGGCTGCAGTCGATTCGACTTCCTGTTCCAAGTTCGTGATGAAGAGCGCCTACTCTACTGGTACAGTTTGTTTGACAACAACCGCCAACCACCACCGTCCAACCACTGGTCTGCGAGTACGAATGGGGACGGTGGAGTGATGATGCCCTTGGGTAACCTATCGATGAACAATTTGTCGTTAATGAACGGTCTCAGTCTCGCACCACCGCCTTCTCACCAGGGAGGAGGGCAACAGAAGCAAGGACTTGGATCTGGAGTTAATCCTCGGAGCGAGAGCGATCAGACACTGTATGGCGATGTGTCGTTGTCTCACTACAGCAACAGCGGTATCAGCAGTAGCAATAACAACGGCATGGATGACTCGATGGGGTTCAGTCAGGTGTCGAGCAACTATTTCAATTCGATTCTGAACTCACCACAGGCACAACAGCAACCATATCAGTCGTATCAGCAACATTATCAAGCGCCGAGTCTGACGAGTCTTGGTGGACAGGGAGGTACGGGTGAGGTCATTGAGCGGAGTACAAATGCTGTTGAGCAGCAAGAGCGTCAGCAGGGAGTAGGAGAGTCGCAGTCGTTGAGAAGTCAGCAGAGTGTGGTTGACTTGGGCACACTTTCCCAGGCAGTGGTGGATGAACATGATGGGGCAAGAAGCGAACAGCGGCAGCATGCACGGCAATACATCTGAGAGCTTTGCTCTGACCGTCGTATCTGTCGTGTCAGCGAAACGCGTTCTTAAGTTTTCATGTTTTCAAAAAAGTAATAAAAAAAAGGCAGTCTCCATCGCTTAACAATCAACATACAAGACGCGTTCTTTAATTTACCTTAACTAGCCACAAAAGAAAACACAACAAAAACCTCAAAGTCCCTCGCGTCTTCTCTTTCTTTCCTTCCCCTTTCCTCTGGTCCCTTTGTTTCTTACCTTCTCCCTTTTTATCCTTTTCACCACCCCACCTACTCACGCACAATATGTTTGTCTACAAGCGTGGTATGTTATTACACTCACTTGCTCTCTTTTGTTATTGCTCTTTTGTTGCTCAAGGGGTCATCACCAGTCGACACTTTGGAGAAAAGGTTGAGCCTCATTCCAGGCAACGAATGAACGGACCTCAACCAAGCCCACTTACTCACCTACTTTTTACCTTCTCTCCTCTTCTTTCACTCTCCTACCTTCAACTCATTCATCCTTGTGCATTCAGATGGTAAGCCTTACTCATCCAGAACTGCGCTCTGATCCTCTTTATGGATGTAATGTGAGGTTTCACGCAATCAGATTCCTTTTTGTTTACATTCTACTAACGAACACCAACAACCTTTTCACTTTATATCACCGTAGGACGCAAGGAGCGTGTTGCCTTTGACAAAATTACGGCCAGAATCGTCAAGCTCTGCTATGGTCTCGATATGAACTTTGTCGACCCCGTCCAGGTCACCCAGAAGGTATTTTGTTTTGACTTTTTATCAAACGAGAATTGCCTGAGTTGTTGTGACCCAATAGAGTGTTGTTGACGAAGAAACAGGACTTTACGCAGTTGGGTATTTACTTACGCTTTTCTCATGTTCCTGGGAATGAATGAATGGATTAAATAGGTTATCTCGGGTGTGTACCAGGGAGTCAGCACCGTTGAGCTCGATAACTTGGCTGCTGAGACTGTAAGTAGATCCTCTGTTTATTTGCCTTTATGCATATGCAGTTTGTTTGTGTACATTTTTTTTGTCAGTATTCAGGGACAATAGTGAACAGTAATTAATTATGAGGGATCAACAATATCAACCTAGGCCGCTTACATGACAACCAAGCACCCCGACTATGCCATCCTCGCTGCCCGTATCGCCGTCTCGAACGTCCACAAGGAGACCAAGAAGGTCTTCTCCCAGGTCATCGAGGATCTCTACACCTACATCAACCCCAAGACCGAGAAGAACGCCTCCATGATCTCCGAGTCGACCTACAACAGCGTCATGAAGAACGTCGATCGCCTCAACTCAGCCATCATCTACGACCGCGACTTCAACTACAACTACTTTGGCTTCAAGACCCTCGAGCGCTCCTACCTCCTCCGCATCGACGGCAAAGTTGCCGAGAGACCCCAGCACATGCTCATGCGTGTCTCTGTCGGCATCCACGGTGACGACGTCGAGAAGGCCATCGAAACCTACAACTACATGTCCGAGAAGTTCTTCACTCACGCCTCGCCCACCCTCTTCAACGCCGGTACCCCTCGTCCTCAAATGTCGTCCTGCTTCTTGTTGACCATGAAAGATGATTCGATCGAGGGTATCTACGACACCTTGAAGACCTGCGCCATGATCTCCAAGACTGCCGGAGGAATCGGTCTCAACATCCACAACATTCGCGCCTCGGGATCTTATATTGCTGGAACCAACGGATACTCGAACGGTTTGATCCCTATGCTCCGTGTCTACAACAACACTGCCCGCTATGTCGACCAGGGAGGCAACAAGCGTCCCGGTGCCTTTGCCATGTACTTGGAGCCCTGGCACGCCGATGTTTTCGAGTTTTTGGATCTTCGCAAGAACACTGGAAAGGAGGAGTCCCGTGCCCGTGATCTGTTCTACGCCCTCTGGATCCCCGACTTGTTCATGAAGCGCATCGAAGACAACGGCGACTGGTCATTGTTCTGCCCTGCCGAGGCCCCCGGTCTTCAGGATGTCTGGGGTGATGAGTTTGAGACTCTTTACCACCGCTACGAGAAGGAGGGTCGTGCTCGCAAGACCATCAAGGCCCAGAAGCTTTGGTATGCTATCTTGGAGGCCCAGACCGAGACCGGTACCCCCTACATGCTCTACAAGGATGCCTGCAACCGCAAGTCAAACCAGCAAAACCTCGGAACCATCAAGTGCAGTAACTTGTGCACTGAGATTGTCGAGTACTCGAGCCCTGACGAGGTCGCTGTCTGCAATTTGGCCAGTATCGCTCTGCCTACCTTCGTCGCCAACCAGACCTACGACTTCAAGTTGCTCCACAAGATTACCAAGGTCGTCACCCGCAACTTGAACAAGATTATCGACGAGAACTACTACCCCGTCCCCGAGGCTGAGAAGTCTAACAAGCGTCACCGTCCCGTTGGTGTTGGTGTACAGGGTCTTGCTGATGCCTTTATCAAGATGCGCATGCCCTTTGACTCGCCCGAGGCCCGTCAATTGAACCTTGAGATCTTTGAGACCATCTACCACGCTGCCCTGGAGGCCTCGTGCGAGTTGGCCCAGGAGGAAGGTACCTATGAGACGTATGTGGGATCGCCTGTTTCCAAGGGTGTCTTGCAGCCCGATATGTGGGGCGTTACCCCTACTGACCTCTGGGACTGGGACACTCTCCGCGCCAACATTGCCAAGCACGGAGTCCGCAACTCGCTCCTTGTTGCTCCCATGCCTACTGCTTCTACCTCACAGATTCTTGGATTCAACGAGTGCTTCGAGCCTTATACCTCTAATATTTACACTCGTCGTGTTCTTGCTGGCGAGTTCCAGATTGTCAACCCCTGGATGCTCAAGGATCTTGTCGAGATGGGATTGTGGAACGACCAGCTCAAGAACCGTATTATTTCCGAGAACGGATCTATCCAGCGTATCCCCTCTATCCCTGATGATCTCAAGGCCCTTTATAAAACCACCTGGGAGATTTCTCAGAAGGTATGCAAGAGCACTTCCTCGTTGACATTTGCTTTGTTTACTTTTTTTTGTCGACCAAGCTGCACGACAAGTTTATTAACGCTCTTCACTTTTTGTTTGCGCGTTTAGGTTGTGATTGATTTGGCAGCTGACCGTGGAGCGTTTATCGATCAATCTCAGTCGATGAACATCCACATGGCGGATGTCAACTACGGCAAGCTCACATCGATGGCGTTCTATGGCTGGAAGCGTGGTCTCAAGACTGGCATGTACTACCTCCGTTCGCGCCCCGCTGTGGATGCTATCAAGTTCACTGTTGACCAATTGTCGATCAACAAGGAGAATGAGAAGGAGGCCAACGAGGCAGCGATGATGTGTTCTATCGATAACAAGGACGCTTGCATGAGCTGCAGTGGATAAGAAGTTGCTGTTTTTCTTCATCCTCTGTTTTCCTTGCTGTTTATATCTCATTCCCTTTTCTTTGCTTTTGTGTTTTCTGTGAATAATAATAAAAAATGTGTACAATTGGAGTCGTAGCTGTTCGTTATGTTTATGTATGTTGTGTCGCGTGTACAGGGATGAGAGTACCAAAAAAATATGGTGTGGAAGTAAAGGCTGTGGGGGGATTGGCTGGGAGACTGGGAGGGAAAGAAGAGAAAAAAGGGAAATGATATGAAGGAAAAAAAAAGGTTTTGGCGTAAAGTGAAGCATATTGTTTTAGTCCAGGGACCCTCTTTGAATGTCAAGGGAGCGTGGGATGAAAATAGATGCATGCATGAAGCAAAGCAGCCTCGAAAGCGGACATAGACAATAGGACAACAGAATAGCCAGCACGCCTTCGAATCAGCTGGTCATAATTCAGCCAGGAACGTCAGTAATAAGAACAGCCAGATTGGAGAGGCGACAACAGAAACAAAGGAAAAGAAAGTGTAGGTAGACAAGGTCCCCCCTTCCCCCTCCCTTTTTTTTTTAATGCTGAACTTGGCTTCAGCATGGATTGAATGCACTGTTTGTTGATGAGTAAGAAGTTGAATGACAAGTGAGCAGTGTTATCCAGTCTTCTTGGCACCGTGTCCATCAGCCATATCCCTGGTTTTGTGTTGTTGTCTTCCCTCGTTTGTAAGGTAATATAAAGCTCCGTTTTTTTTTGGTTTTTTTTTATTCTCCTCGCTCTCGAGTCGCAACCCCGTCCCCTCGTTTGTAACTTGTTCCCCTTGTATTTTTTTTTATGTTTCCATGAGAAGGCTTACAAGGACTGGGACTGTGTGTGCAACTCTAATATGGATTGAGGGTGCGCCATTTTTTTTCTATTGGTATGATGTATCAGACCACTTTCTGTCTTTTTACTCGGGTTCGAGAAAAAAAGAATGGCAACGAAAAACGAGGCTATTGCTGTTTGTTAGCATAAACTAGAAAGGAAAAGGAGAAGAAGATGAGACTAGATTGGCATTGTCTGGTTGCTTTGTTGTTTTGTGAGGCGACAGTATGCGAGTGTGAGCACTTTTTTTTTTTTTTTTTTTTTTTTTTTGATATTTAGAGTGATTTCCTATTGTTGTGATTGTGTGTGCTGCGTTAGGCGCTCACTCGTTATGTGTTGTTGATATTGTGCCTTTGCCTTTTAGCAGTTGGACACAGGACAGAGAAAGGGAGGATAGGATGCAGACTGACAGAGCCTCTTTTGAGACAGAAAGATGCAACAGGAGCATTCCGAGGTGGATGTGCAGCGAGTGCAGTGGTAGGGTGAAAAGAGAGGCAATTATATTATTTTTTATCCATGCGTGCGTGTGTATGTGAGTGGTAGTGTGATAAGATGGAGCAATGGAGGGTAGGCAGGGTGTATGCAAAAAGAGAGAGGGCACCATTGGTGCTTCGGTTGATGTGGATTGGATTGGATGGATTGACAAGAGAAGCGAAACAGAGAAATTTAATTTCATTGCTGATCGAAGCGTTAATTATCTCCATCCAGGCACTATCAACAACAATCAACGGACAGCAGCAGACAGAAACGCATAAACATGTATGCAGCCAAAAGGACAGAAACGGAGGGAATACAGACTGTAAGAAAAGGAGGGAGACTTTGTCACCTTGCTTCTTGCTTGCTTGCCCAAAGCTTGTGCACTCGCTGCACAGAAAGAGTGTCTTCCTCTTCTTCTTCTTCTTCTTCCTCTTCTTTTTTCCTTTCATCATCATCACCCTCGATCCACACACGACTTCCCATCGTTATTATACCCTCTCTCCTTCCTTCTACCTCTCTCATCACCCTACCCTCCTTTCATCACCCTCGTCCACTGTCCTCCTCCTCTCTCGCTTACTCACTCTCTCACAGCACAACATCATCCGCATCCGTCGCTCTTCACTTCTTCTCACTCTAATCCGACACCTGTAACTCCGTCACCTTACCAACCAACTACTCTCTTCATCATCACCCTTCGTACCCTGACCTACCAAGAGACGCCCCTCCTTTACCTTTTTTTTCTCGCCAACCTTGTCGACAACCACGAGGATGGCCAAACCTGGCCACTCAACCCCACACAGCTGTCCATCAGCAACACAGCACCACCCACTGTCACCACATAACAATGCACAAAGGACTCGCTCAAAACGTCTCCTCTCCTCGTCCCCCTTCCTCCTCCTCGCATCCTTCGTCCTCCTCTCCTCCACCTTCTCTTCCTCGATAATAGAAGCAGCTGCTCCTGCCCGTAGGAGTCATTCAGGAACGGCCCTCCTCGACAAGGTTCACTTTGTCGGCGGTCTCGGCACAACTTCTCTCACAGACACAACCCCCCTCAAATCCATCACAACCCTTGACCTCTTGACCGGAAACACCACGGAGATAGTCCTCACCCAAGGGATCTACAACCATGCCGGCAGTACCTCACCCTTTTCCTCTGACAAGGAGGCGCCTGGTCAGATTGGCCTTAGCTTTGGACAGACGACAGGTGGCGTACCCATGGGGGCACTCGACTGGGTGGGGCCTGTTCTTGGAAACGTCATTGCTGCACCCAACGTTACCACCTCTGGACCCTATGCACAGCAGCCGTTGGCTGCGCGCGCAGGACATTCCATGGTCCAGTATGAGACCAACAACCTGTGGGTGTTTGGAGGATACACCCTTCCCCTGAATGACACGAGACTACCGGCCCGAGACACGCCTACGTTTGACTACTCGTCGAAAGTGTGGTCGAACCAGACCAAGATTGGCCTCTATCGGTACGGACATGCCTCGGCCGTCGCTTCGACAGACAACATTATTTCTTGCTATGGGACCATTCTTTACCCGCCCAAGGAGAAGGTCGTTGTCCCCACCTCGGAATGCGTCAACTTTTCGATCATGAAGACCGCCTTCACAAAGATAAACCTCATCTTTAGCAATGAGGGCGACGTGATCAAAGGAGGGCTCGTCGGACACTCTCTGGTGGCGTCGCCGCTCAAGAACGGGAAGTTGTACATGTTTGGTGGTACCAACGAGAATGGTGACACCTACAACCAGGACCTCTACATACTCGATACCAATAGCCTGCCCGATGTCTGGATCAAAAAGGTGACGCCAACATTTGACATGGCGCATGTGCCCAGTGCGCGTTCAGACCATGTGGCAGTTGCGGTAGGAGCGCAGGATGGGTTCATGATCATCCATGGAGGCGTCACAGGTTCGAACACCATGGCTGATGGGGAAGCATATTACTATTACATGGCCACCGACAAATGGCTGGACGCGCCGACGTTTGTCGAACGCTACCAAGCGCAGCAACTCACGATCCAGAATGAAGTCAGCCCCTGGATCTTGATTGCAGGAATCATCATAGGAGTGTCTCTACTCGGAGGATGTGTCGTAGTGTATATCTGGAGAGGCATTCGCAAGGATACCGCCAGGCGACTCGAGCGTGAGGCGGCCGATCGACAGTCGATGGCCTCACCTGATTTCGCTGCTATGGAGGCTGCTGCTGCTGAGAACAGGAAGAGTGGTTTAGGATTGTCAGGCAAGAAGGGACGTACGCCGCATCCGATCTATGGAATGACCGAGGAGGACGACCACTCTCTCTCGAACGGACCCTTCATGTCGACATCTTCGCTGATTCAGGCGGACAATGGCGTTAAGAATACGAAATCAAAGGGCGACAACACCTACCACTCGAACCACTCCAAGCCCTGGGTCACGGAACCAGCGTCACCTGGAGGAACAACGCTGACTGAGAATGGGAGCATCAACGGATACTACTCGTCCAACTCGTCTCAGGCCCCTTCGCGCCTCAACAAGAAGGGCAGTAACGCATCCTCGCAGAACAGTATGGCCACAAAAAACAACAACAACGCCGGCAACAACAATCAACCGGGAACGGGAACCACTTCGGAATCATACTACAACCCCCGGGACCTCTTCGTGGACGACGACGACTCGTCAATCACAGTGTCGCTGGCTTCAGAGTCTTCGACCAACAACATGTCCCCCTGGACGGGTCCCGTCCGGGTATCGACCGATCTGGCACCACCCAACCCACGATTCAGTCGTGGCGCGATCCCACAGGCGCATCGTCAACTGGTCGATGCTATCGCTATAGGCGCCGCTTCTCCTATGCCATCGGCATACGCCTTCTCTTCCAGCAGGAACTCTAACGGATGGGATACCAGTTCTCCGGGCGGCTCGCTCTCCAGTCGTGACGACGAGTACCACCGCCGATCCGTCAACTCCATGCAGTAAGTTATCTGTTTGTGATATTTAAATATTATTTTTGATGTGGGTGACAAAAGTGTCTTCACAGCAACTAACCCACTGTTTTTTTTCATCTTCTCTTAGGTGGGTATCGTTCGAACCTATGGACCTTGCAGGACGCCCAGAATCACAGTAAGTTCTTCTCCCTTCAGTCGTTCTCATTTTTTTTTATTTTGTTTGCTCAACAGGCCAAGCGGAGAAAGAAAATAACACTAACCCAATATATTCCCATATTGGAAATTCCAGAATCTACGACCCCCTCTCTCACCAACAACAACAACAGCAACAACAACGTTCTGGCAACAGCAACGGCGGGGGACTGACCATCAGGAACAACACATCCATGTATAGGACCTCCCTCACCTCCCAACCCATCATCATCCCTTCCTCTACCCAAAACAACCCACGGATGTCGATGTTTGGAGGCAGTAATACCAGTGATACCAATACGGAGGATTCGGGGTCTTATTATGGCCCCGGTGGAAAGCGCATCTCTACGGCGCTGGCGACTCGGCAGCAAAGGCGGTCGATCAGGGATAGTCAGGATAGTCTTAATTCTGCGACTGGTGGTCGGCATCATTCTTACCAACAGCAACAACAACAGCAACAGCAGATGACCAACAATAACAGCGGCAAGGCAGGAGAGGAAGAGGAGGTGTTTGTGACAAAAGTGCTGCCAATCATCACCAACAAGCTCACGAAACCAACACTTGCAAAAGTAGTGACCCAACAGCGTGGGTCCCGGATCGTTGTGCCGAGTACCGGTCCAATAAGCGATCAACGGTCCCCACTCTCGCGGCCGTCGGAAGAAGGAACAGGGCTCGGAATCGATTTCTCGGGCTTTTCGACCTCCCAGGATACGTACATGTCTGGATACGGGAGCGGTAGTGGAGTGAATAGTAACAGTAGTCCACGCCGGACAAGTTATCAGACCCGAAGGACAAGTAACCTCAACCCCAACAAACCCGCCACCAACAACAATAGGCAACAACAGAGGGATTCGACTAATGTCATCCTAAAGATGCCTCCTGCACCTAAACACACCGACAGCAGCTCTGGCGGAGGAGGAGGAGGAGGAGGAGGAGGAGGAGGTAGCAGTAGTTTGAACCCCAGGAGTCGAGACCAACAGCAACAACTGGCGGATCCAGCCGCCAGGAACAGTATTATGGATGTCGGCCAGGAGTTCTCTGGCTACTTCTAGACTTCTACCCCCTTTTTTCTTCTGCTCCTTTTTTACCCCCTTCGCCGGCTCCTTTTCCGCCCTAAAATAATAAACAAGCAAAAACATCCCCCCCTGGCTGTACAACATATCTCTATTCTTTTTGATTCTTATTGTCTCCTAGTTATACTTATGTGTAACCTACAATACTGTCCCCGCCTCATTTCGGAATCGGTACCGTGCAGGGGAATTCAACCTCCTCCCAGCCGGCCGCTCAACCATCACGAACACCCTCCACCAACCAGCACCTGGCAATTCCCGGTCGTAGCTAGTATCATCGACCAAACCGGTCTCGACCATCAACTCGAGCTTGAACGGAATCTTGACAACACATACGTTCAACTCGTGCAAGTTCTCGGTCGTCGACCGGATCAGCTCGGGGATCATAAACCCCTCCTGACAGTAACAGCGACCGTCACTAACGGGTTCCACCCACAAGCTCGTAATCCGCGGAGCGACTTTTGAGAAGAACGCGTTGAGGACTCGGGGGTGGTCCACGTCCCAGTGTCCGATCAAGCTTAACGTTTGGAGTTTTGGAAGTTGAAGAAACTGGAATTCCTGGCGCCAAAGCTCATCATCCTCCTTCTCTTCTTGCCGTTGCAGTTGAAAGATCGCGTCGTCGTCGTCGTCGTCCTCTACCCTATCCGACGCCACTTGGCGCCGCCGTCGCCTCTCGCAGAGCTGTTGATCCCGTTCTAAGAACAGGGGTAGCAAAGAATGTCGGAACCCAGGCCTGAGCAACTCTTTGATCCCAATGGTCCGATTACGTTCTGGTCCTGCGCCACCATTGACGTTGAGGGAGAGATAGTTCAAGTTGGGGGTGCTATCGAGCATCCGGAACTGAAACTTGAGAGCAAACTCGGCGACCAGAAAGAGATTTATCAACTTGGGAATATCCCAGTCCCACGTCCAGGCGACAGGGCCCTGTTGAGTTGGTTTTGTAAAGGAGTCGGGAATACCGTTTAGCATACTGCTGTTATCGTCCGCCTCGCCTTGGCCACCTGTAGCAACAGGAGCAGCAGGAGCGCCATTCTGGAAGGCATATAAATGCAACTCTAGGCGGACCAAGTTCCGGGGTGCTCCTGAGCGTCTCTGGATGAAACGATACCGCAGGCGTACCAAGGAGCTTGAGCTCAGTCAAATGAGGCAGCTCTGCAGGTTCCCAGTAGACGATCGTGTCTGCCAAATAGCTGCATCCCAGTCGATCATCTAGGGTAACAGAGACCAAACTCGGCGACTGCGCCAAGAGCGCAGGATGGATTCGGAGAGTCAAGAAGTCGGTAGATATAGAGATTGATCGTAATCGTGGAAGGTTGAGCAGGGACGATGAAAAAGATGAAGGGGAAAAGGAGGACATTGCGTCTTCTTCACCTACATGACCGTCGTCGTCGTCGTCGTCGTCGATCTTGCGGCCAAGAACAAAATCAGGAAAGCGCTGGGAACCATAGGTCGTCGTGATCCCGCAGAATTTGACTTTGATGTTCTCCAAAGTCTTGTTGAAGGCGTAGATGACATCGCTGGCCTGGCGCCCGGCATGCGCCCCGCTGCACATGACATCATAATCTCGAAGCGGCACTAACGATCTCTGTTCGGAAGCTGCCACAGCCGCTCCACAGTTATGAACAGCGGCTGCATCATTAAAGTCCTTGCGCTCCTGGACGGCCCATTTGAATATACCCTCGACAGAGGACGTCGCGTGGATACTCTCGAGGGACCGGCGCCGACGCAGAAACGTCACTAGCTTTATGTTTCTATCAAAGGCTTTTCTAGTGCGAATCTCCCTGACGAACGACAAGTCCCTGTCTGGCAAATGGGCGACAAACTGGTCCCAGTTGCGGCAGTCCAGAAACTGGGGCTTAACAAGCGGAGGGAGCGACTGCAGCAACCGTATCGTGTAGTCTTCTGGACATTGATCTTCATAAACGCGAACGTTAGCACATCGCGCGGTCTGGATCACATTACGGTGGTGGCGCTGGTGCTCTTGCACAAACGAAATCATCTCCAGATGTCTCACCCGGCCCTCCTTCAGTCTTGTCCAACACTCCTTCTCCACCTCACCCATTCCGTGGTTCCAATAGCTTGGTCCAATAAGATTCTTGTCGATTTGAAAGGCGACACACGCAAGAACCCTGAGTCTCGGGACCAGCGTCAGATACCGACCGATATCCGAGATGGGCAAGTAAAGGATCTGGATCCGCTCCGCGTTGGAACAGCACATCGCCCAGGCAAGGTCTCGACGGATCTCTCGTTCAGCGGATCAGGCAAATAACCTGAATTCTCCTTTTGAGCCACAAATATAGCGCTCCAAGGGCTCCTCAGCACGGTATCGATCAGCACGTCCGGTTCTCCTCAGAAAGTCCTGAAAGGCAAGTCGGTCGAGAAAGTCCCCCAAGGTAAATTGGATGCGTCCAAGTTCCAAGTTTAATTCCTCAAAGGAAATGTTTGTCAAGTAGGAAGAGTAAGGCAGAAGGGTTGGTGGTAGCAGTTGTTCCGTTGATGCCGTTGCTGCTGTTGTCGCCTTATCGCGTCGCTCACAGGTCTCTGTCGAATCCAACGCCACCAACGCGTCTCCTTGTTCTTGATTCTGAAAATAAAAGGCTCTGAGCAACTCCGTGACAATACCATCATCGTCATGGATACTCTCGTCATCAGAGGACGAAGATGAGGGTGGCAGACTGCAAAAGAGGACCTGGACCAACTTGTTGAGAACAAGAACGATATTTCGATTATTCCCAAAACTTCCGAATCCCGTGTGAAGGGGTTGCATGTTGAAGGGATCTCGATACAGGATCGGCAGTGTCGCGGCACAGACGTACTTGTCGACGCAGAGGAGGGCGGCGGTGGACTTGAGGGCTTGTTGTGCGGTGAGATTGTGGACGATTAGCTGGAGACATTCCAAAGGTAGGAGGAAAGTACATGACATGAGTGTAAATGAAAGGAAGTAAATGAAGAAAAAGTAGGGGCAGGAATGAGGATGAACTAAAATAGGGGGTATCAATTTCCACATTTTTCATTAGGCGTTTGCCACATTTTCCTTAGGCACGCCGCTTTATCTAAGTTATTCCTTCTTCCCTTGTCGATACTATCCTTTTTTACTTTTGTTATCGTGTAATTGCTACCCTCAGAGTTGTGAGGGGAATGGAAGAGCGGTTTGTAGCCCCTAGGGTTTCTTCTATAACGTCTGTTGTTTTATTATTTGATCGACCATTAGTGAAACCGTTAAAGTTATCAGTGATGGTACCTAAGATCAAAATCAAGACTGGACAGAAGGGGTGATGGTGCCTGGACAGGGATCGACCTTCCTTGACCGTCAATGTTTTTAAGGGAGAAAGAAAAGGGCGCCATCGTCGTTGGAGGAACAGCCACCCTTTGGAAGAACAACCGCCCTCTCACTTTCTTAGCAACAGTGTTTTTCCTCTTCCATTCCCTCTGGCTTGAAGGGCGAGTGGTGGCAAAACACGGATCACATAGAGTTACTCAACTTTGACCAAACGGTTTAAGGGAAACCTTTTTATTTAGGGGTAAAAGTAAAAGTAATAATTGAGTTTATCCTCCGCAGTCCGACCCACAGAAAGCTGACCAAGCTGGTACAAAACGTACTCTTGATCCTCACCATGGACCTCCATCTCCACCAGTCCAGCCTTAGAAGCCAACTCGGCCGCGACTGGAATAGATGCCATTGCGTGACGTATACTCATCAAAAGCCTTGACGTAGTGCCGACCCAATCCACCAAACTAAACCCACCGCAGCCCTGAAGCGACATGTTCGTCACACCTGGTACCATCCTGCAAAGACTCTCCAACACCTCCGTATCTAAAACCCAAGTCCCTCTCAATGTCAGGGTACGTAATGCTGGAAGTTGGATGTACTTGGACTGCATACCCAAGATATTGTCATTGCTGCCGTCGTTGTTGTTGCTGTTGTTGTCATCATCGTCCTGTGCGCCTCCCATGGTCTCAATTTCTTGTGTTTTCTGGAGAAATTCCTTAACGCCAAGGGTCCTCTTGTGTATCCCAGTCGTTGGCCTGCTGTCGACATTCAACTGCACCAGACTGGGAGTGCCTTGGAGCATCTTGAACTGAAACCGGTATGCGATCTCTCCGGTCAACGTCAATTCCGTAAGCCTTGGCAGGTCCCAGTCCCAGGTCCAAATGGGTCGCCAAGGTGGGATAGGGCTAGGTGCTGTCACAGAGGCAGATGGTGGTAATCCGACAGAGTCATTCTCAGGTTCGTCCAATTCGGCCACCGGCAGCACATAGTGAGCGGACGTCCGCAGACTTATAGTTTTCAGCTTGCGTGCGGTATTGAGAGTTTCTAGATTAAACGAGAGGGCCGGCGATCCTTGCAATGTGAGAGTCTCCAGTTGTCCAAGCTCCGCCGGTTCCCATCGAGTAATGTCGCTTGCCGAGTATTCATGACGCCGATCCACGAGAACAACGGCCTTCAGTTGTGGACACTGGGCAAGAAGGCTGGGATGGATGCGGAGGAAATTATGGTCGGCGTGGATAATCAAATTAGCCAGCTGGGGAGCATGCCAGCAGAGAGACCAAGAAGGGCTGCCCCCAACCGAGCACTCGCCCAAGTCTACAAACTCTTCATTGTCAATGGTCGCGTATGAATAGAAACCGAGTGTTTTGAGGGTCTCGCCAAAGCTGTATCCAATGTCGTTGATGAGGCGTCCGTCGGTAGGGCGCTCGTTGTTGACTGTAGCATATTGGAGAGGGACCAGTGGCCTTTGAGGAGTGCATCCAGCTGAAATGTCGGCGTCGTGCTGCCTGCGTTCGTCAACAGCCCATTGGAAGACATCGTCGGTGATAGATTTCAACCGGATGCTCTCGAGGGACCGACAACGATGAAGGAATGGGGACTTCTCGAGGAGTCGAGGCAGACTTGATGCTCCTGAATGATTTTGCGGTGGCGTGATGTCCTTGACGGCCGATAAGTTGGTCTCCTTGACCTTGGTAGCAAACTGGTTCCAATTGTTACTGCCAAGCGCCTGGGGATCAAGAAGGGGAGGAAGAAGACGGACGAGCTTCTCTTGGTATTCCTCGGGACACCCATCATAGTCGCCAGGATACAACCCGTAGTATGTCGCGGTTTGGAGGACATTCCTGTGGCGTTGTCGGAGTTCCTGAACAAACAGTACCATTTGGTCAAGGTGTTGCACACGCTCGTCCCGTTGCTGGTTATGAACCGCCAACTCCTCTGGGGTGATCTCGTCCATATTAGCACCCTCGTCGGATAAGTGTCGATCCAGCAGAAAAGTCACGTCCCTGAGTGACTCGAACCGGTCGACTAGAGACAAATAACGGCCAATGTCTGAGAGAGGAATCGTAAGGATCCTGATGTGCTCCACATCTGAACATAGCGCCCACGTCAGGTCCCTGCGTAGCTCTCTGTTCAGGGCCATTGTAACAATGCTCCAATGAGATTCATCACTGACGCGTCCCAGGGGAGTCTCGGCGATATACTTGTCCTTGAGTCCGTGCTCCTTCACATAGTCGACCAGCTTTTGAGGAGGTTGATGATTGGCACTGAAAAAGTCTCCTTCGTACAGACTGACGCTGTGGTGTATAGAAACACTGATCGAAAACGAATTGTAAGGAGCGAAGGGTGTCGTCGGGTAGCGTTCTTGGCCGACTGGGTCCTGTGGAAAGGTAGCGTGAAGAAGGTCGGTGACGTGGGTCTCAGGAACACTGAGGAGGAGCGTGGAAACCATCTTTAGTCGACGCTGGAAGCCAGGGGAGTCCTTTCCTTGGTATTTGTTGAACACTGAAAGTAGAAGCGAACCCTCATAGAGGATAGGGAGGGTGGCGGAACAGACGTGTTTATCCACACAAAGGAGATTGAAGAGCGAGTTGAGATCAGATTGGTGAACGAGTGTGCGGAGGATGAGTTCGAGGCATTCCTGAGGTAGGGAGAGCAATGACGATTGCATTGGGGAGGTTTACTGAATGAGAAGAAAGGACGAAGGGAGGGAAGGGGTGAAGTGGTAGAAGGAACAGGACATGAACAAAAGAAAAGGAAAAGACAGCGACAGACACGCCGCACTGAGAACTATATAAAGGAATAGGGGGACAGGAGACCTATCCTTGTTCAATTGAGTTTGATTGTCAAAAAGGCGTGCCACCCACCTGCAACTGCAAGCAAACACAAACACACAAACAAAGCACACAGACAAGGCTCTTTTTATTCTTCACCTAAACCCACAGTTCGCTGGCTCGCTCAAGATCCGTCTTGGAGGGGGGCGTGGCCAAGCTGTAGTACCTCCCATGCTGCGGCGAAAGATCAAATCCAGCCCCCAGAAGCGTTTGTGGGGTCACACATTTTGAGGTGCCACCTTTTTAATTGGATTGAATAGAAGAAAGACGAGGGCATGAAGGGTAGGAAAGGAAGAAAATTGGTCAAAAGGAGAGCTGCATTGTTCAAGAAGCAAGCCAACTGTTTTCGTCAACTGTGCAGATCAATCTTTCTCGATGGTCAGAACAGCCCACACCTTTGGATATTTATTCAACAATATCGAATCAATAGAAGTAACAGTCGATGATTGCCTTGTCAGTTGCATCCTCAGTTGCATCCTCAGGAGACCGGTCAACAAGACGGCAGCATACACCATCGCCTGTTCCTCGACCGTCATACTCTATGACCAACCCAACCTGAGACGCCGATTCAGGGGTCACTTCGCAAGATGCCGTCGCCGACTGCAGTTTCGGAAGGTGCTTCAAGGTCGTCTTGACCAAATCGTGCAAACCAAACCCGCTACACCTCCGCAAAGTCAAATTCCGGCTATTGGGAAGCACCTTTCTGCACAGGATCGTCAATATTCGTCGACCCAAAGTCCAGTTTCCGATCAGAGAAAAGTCGCTCAAGTTGGGGAGGTGAATGTATTGCAACTGCAACAGGTCCAGGGCTTCGTCGTCGCCTTCGTCATGTGTGTCGTCTGCGGCCGTCGAGTCTTGCGTGTTTTGAAGAAGGTCCTTGACGCGGACGGTCCTCTTGTGCTGGCCAGACAAAGACCTGATGTCGACCAAGAACCGTTCCAAAGAGGGTGTGCTCCGGAGCAACTTGAACTGGAACCGGTACGCAAACTCCGAGGTGAGCTCCAAGTCCGTCAACTTAGGCAGATCCCAATCCCAGGTCCAGATGGATCGTCCAGGAGGGCTAGGTGTTGTCCCGATGGCAGTTGGTGTTAATTCCACAGAGTCATCCTCAAGTTCCTCCCTAGGTTCTTCCAATTCGGCCATCGGCGGTATGAACGACGGCTTATCAGCCATCGTCAGAGTCAACGAGCTTAGCTCGGGTGTGTTCCTGAGGATACCTGGGTGGAACGAGATGGCTGGCGATCCTTGCAATGTGAGCGTCATCAATTGGCCAAGGTCCGCTGGCTCGTATCGAGTAATGTCACTGGACGAGTACACCTGGCGCCGATCTGCAAGTTCGATGAACTTCAGCTGTGGGCACTGGGCGAAAAGGCGAGGATGGATGCGGAGGGAATTATGGTATGCATTGACAAACAAACGACTCAGCAGGGGCGCATGCCAGCATGACCAAGGCGGGCGACCTCCAACCGAGCACTCGACCGAATCTGGAATGATATCAGCAAGGCCCCATCCAAATGTAAGAGGTCTTACATCAAGATATTGGAGGGTCTCGCCAAAGCTGTATCCAATGTCGTTGATGAGGCGTCCGTCGGTAGGGCGCTCGTTGTTGACTGTAGCATTTTGGAGAGGGATCAGTGGCCTTTGAGGAGTGCATCCAGCTGAAATGTCGGCGTCGTGCTGCCTGCGTTCGTCAACAGCCCATTGGAAGACATCGTCGGTGAAAGATTTCAACTGGATACTCTCGAGTGACCGACAACGATGGAGGAATGGAGACTGTTCGAGGAGTCGAGGCAGACTTAATGCTCCTGGTTGACCTTGCGGTGGCGTGATCGACTTGACGGCCAATAAATTAGTTTCCTTGACCTTGGTAGTAAACTGGTTCCAATTGTTACTGCCAAGCGCCTGGGGATCAAGAAGGGGAGGAAGAAGGCGGGTAAGCTGCTCCGCATACTCATCTGGGCACTTTTCGGCGAGGAGAGGGTACTCCCCAGAGCATGTAGCAGCCTGGAGAACGCTACCGTGGTGGCGTCGATGGCCCTGGACAAAGAGCACCATCTGGTCGAGGTGTTGCTTCCGCTCGTCTCGCTGGTGGCTCAGAATAGTACGCTGCTCGGGCGTCAGCTCGTCAAGATCAACGTTGGTGGGGAACAGCCATCGATTTAGCTCGAACCTCACCTTTGTTAGAGCCTTGAGCTGGTCGATCAAAGGCAGGTAGCGGTCAATGTCGGATACAGGGATCTCAAGAAACCTGAGACGCTCCACATCCGAACACAACGCCCACGTGAGGTCCCTGCGGAGCTCTCAGTTGATGGAGTTGATGAAGGTATGCCTAGGACGTTCATGTAAGAGACTTGCCAGGGGCGTTTCTGTGGCATAGCGGTCCACGAGTCTGTGATCCTTCACAAAATCGAGCAGTCTCTGAGAAGGTGGCGAGTCATCGTCCTGGCTAAAGTAGTCATCGCGAAACTCATCGATCTGGCGAAGGTCTCCGTCAAAGGCGTCGTTGCAGTTGCTCAAAGAAATCGCGGTCGCAAACGAATGGTACGGAGCATAGGGTGCAGGGGAATGATCCTGGTCATCGATGGAGTCTTGAAGAAAGGTAACACGGAGGAGTTCGGTGATGCGGATCTTGGGAACACCAAGGAGGAGAGTGGCAATCAACTTTTGCCGACGCTTGAAGCCAGGGGAGCCCTTGCGATAATTCTTATTCAACACAGAGATGGGACCCAGTCCATAGAGTACAGGCAGAGTAATAGAACAGACGTATTTGTTCACACGCAACATAGTTGCGACAGAGCCCATACCAAGGAAACAAGCAAGAGTACGGATGATGGCCTCGAGGCATTCCTGCGGTAGGGGGAATGTAGATGACATTCGGATATGGGTCGAATGAAAGAAAAATAAATTGACAGGTAGAAAGGAAGAACCAGAGAGGATGATAAGATGAAGGGTAGAGAGAAGACAAGAAAGGGAAGGAAGTAGTGAAGTAGTGAAGAGTGAACGAGAAAGGGGAAGAAGAAAAAGAGGAAGAAGAAGAGGAAGAGGAAGAAGAAGAGGAAGGGGAAGAGGAAGAGGAAGAGGAAGAGGAAGAAGAAGAAGAAGAAGAAGAAGAAGAAGAAGAAGAAGAAGAAGAAGAAGAAGAGGAAGAGGAAGAGAGTGGATGAAAAAATATTAAACGAGCCAGGTGATTGTTTTTCTCTGTGTTTGGCCTACTATATACCAGCACATATGCTTGTGGCCTCAACACACAACAAACAGCCCACCAACAAGAGCACAAGCAAGTCAATGTTCTCCTTGCTTTTTACATGCCTCTGGTACGATACCGATAATACATCTTTTATTATTTTCACTCTTGATTAACTAACAAAAAACATACCGCGCTTCTTTTCCGCTACCTTCCGTCTGTCAACCGGCTGGTCCACCAACACATACTGCCTCAGCAATTATTCCCTCCATCGCCGTCCTTTCACCACCACTAAAAGAGGTGATGGTAGCAAGAGAAGTATACACCGTCTTGATTCGAACCAGATTCCTTGTCGGCGCTGTACAGTCCTTGAGACTGAACCCTTGGTTGGCCACCATTTTCAGCTCCTTGATGTTGAGGGTCGTCTTATAGAAAAGTTCCGAGTAGCCGTAGTGGTGATCGACCAGCCTCCTCGCCGTCACCGTCACCGTCGCGAAGGAAGATCCATGGACCGAAAAGGAAATGTCCTCGACATGCGGGAGGTGAATGTATTCCTGCTAACCAAGACCATTCAACTCTTAGATAGTATCGTTTTCTCCTGAATTCGGTTCCACTGGACCTCCTTCATCACACGGTCCCCCATCTTCCCCGTCGTCGTCGCGGTCGTTGTCATCGTCATGAGGTCTCCCAGCCGCAGGCGGAAGGAAGAATAGGCCAACAAGGCGAACGGTCCTGGTATGTTGCCCCGACCAAGAATTAGTGTTGACCGAGACATAAACATAAACAAGGTTAGGCGTCCCTGCCAGTATCCTGAACTGAAACCTGTACGTGAATTCACCGTTCAGCGTCAGGTAGATCAATTTGGGAAGCTCCTAGTCCCATGTCCAGATAGGCCTAATGTCTGGGTAGAGCTGTAGTATAGCCGGAGTGTGTTGTGGTTTGAAGGAAAAGTTGCGAAAGGGGTCTTGGTATAGTATGGGGAAAGTTGTTGAAAAGAACGTTAAATGACTTGTAAAAGATTAGTGATGGAGTTGTTGTCTTGTTAAAATGTTACATGGTAGATGATCAACTGGAGGCAGTCCACAGAGTTGAAGGGAGTGACATGAGTGAGGACGTGAGATAAAATGCTGACAAGAACAAAAACGAAACAGGGGCCATCTTTGCAGAACCTTCAATAATAAAAGCCTGGTGGCGCACCGCGAAATGACCACTGCGACCCCCAAAAAAAAAAAAAAAAAAAAAAAAGTTGGTATAGGCATGATGCTAATTCTTTAATAGTCTAGTTATATCCAGGGACTAAACCGATACTGAGCAGGATTGGGAACAGTTCGTCCCGCAGGAGGTTCTACGAATGAATAATTCCCGTGCGTGTTGCGCGACCTATCCGGTTTCATCCCCATTTCCGACAACGACTCGGCAGTGACCCCGTCAACGAGTAGATGCGCACTTTCGAGCGCATGCAAGTGCTCAGACGTCGCCTTTACCCATTCGCTCACATTATGTCCTCGGACGACATGATAAGATCCTGGACACCGGGCGCGACCTTGCCAAACAGAACCTCCAGCACTCGCCTATCAAGAGACCATGGACCCGTCAGAGTGAAATTCTTGAGTGCTGGGACGTGGACGTATTCGAAGTCTTTCAAAAACTTGTCGTCGTTCTCCTCGAGTTCAATGGGGCTGCTGCTGTTGTCGATATCTCCGACGACATGTTGTCGCTCCAAGGTCCAGCGCTGCCGTTGCTGCTCCTGATCTAGAAAGCGATCCATAGCGAGGTGTTGATATCCAGGCTTAATAAGGTCCGCAATCCCAATGGTTCGCTTATGTTGGCCTGATCGCGAGCCAATTCCAACAATAAATCGTACGAGATTCGGTGTCCCAGCCAACATCCTGAACTTGAAGCGGTATCCAAACTCGGCGTTCAGTTTGAGGGAGAGCAAATTAGGAAGATACCAGTCCCACGTCCAGGTCGGTTGTTTCCTTGGGACCGATCCATATGTTGAGAGACTGTCATTATTCTTGTTGTTGTCGTTGATGTTGTCGTCATCTGCACAGTCGAGTTCCTCGGCGGGCGGAATGAATGTCACATCGGCTCCGGAGGTGAACATCCCCAGGTCCAAGTCCCTCAAATTGGTTGTACTATGAAGGATGTCGGGATGGAAGGAGATGGCCGGAGTGCCATTAAGAACGAGCTCTTTCAACAGTGGTAGCTCTGTCGGAGTCCAACGCACAACCTCGTCCAGACGATACTCCTCTCGCCGATCCACGAGAAATATACGAGACAGCCGTGGGCATCTCGAGATGACATCTGGATGGATGCTGATCAAAATTTTACGCATATGAACCAATAGCTCTGAGAGCCTAGGCAAATCCCAGCTGTTGTCGCCTTCGCCGATCGAGAATTCAAGTGCAGCCTCGTGGTCCGTTAATCTTTCCCACCATTCACTTGAAGCACTAATTTTTTCAAGCGTTCGACCAAATGCAAATGCCACGTCGTTGACCTGTCGTCCAAATGCAGGCTGGCCATAGTTGGTCGAGAAAATGCGAAGCGGCACAAGCGGTCGTGGGAGAGTCCATCCTGCTGCAATATCGGCATCATGCTGCTTGCGCTCATCGACAGCCCATTGAAACGTATCGTCGTCAAGGAACGGCATAATGACGCTCTCGAGGACACGGCACCGGTGAAGGAAAGGACCATCAACAACAAGCGCATGTGACTTCGATGATGTCCTTCGTGAAAAAACTGAGCTCGGTTGGATGGCCTTGAGAAGTGAAAGATCGGTCTCGTGAGCTTTGACGACAAACTGGGTCCAGTTTTGCTGGTCAAGGACGGTAGGGCTGATTAAAGGCGGAAGGGCTTGGAGGAGTCGAAATTCGTATTCCTTTGGACAATCGCGATTACTGGCATAAGGATCCTTGCGGCAACGTCCGAGTTTGAGTACATGAGGAAAGAGTCGACAGTGCTCCTGCACGAATGAGATCATCTCCCTAAAGGCTAGGATCCTCATCAACTTCTGTGACTCCAATTGTTCCTGTTCCGCTGGCGTATACGTTCGACGGTAGCGTGTCTTGACTTGGAACCCCTTGTCCAGTAGAAAAGTGACCTTGGACAGGACCTTGAGGCGAGGAACCAGGGCGACGTAGCGGGTGATGTCCATGATAGGTATGAGGAGCTCCTGGATGTGCTCTGCGTTCGCAAAACACAATGCCCACGTCAAATCGCTCCGGAGCTCACGGGTAGCGGCACGGGCGGCGAGGTCGAAGTGTTGTTGTTGTTCCATCGGGATGTTCACCGGGACTTCCTCGAGCAGGTACCGGCCGGTCTGTCCGCGGTGCTCCAGATGATTCTTGAGGGTTGTGCGATCGGCAAGTGTCATGTTGAAAAAGTTACCATTCCCTGGCACCCAATAATCGCTTGGATCGATTTTAGTGACAAAGGAGTAGTAAGGGATCGATATCGGCTCGGGCGGTAATGGATGATACCGCTCCTGGTCCGTTGGTTGGACTTGTAGGAAGGCCGCTCGCAGAAGGTCACTGATGACATGGTCGCGAGGAAGACTGAGAAGGAGAGTCCGGACCATCATAAGTGAACTGACGAGTACTTCGCCGCCGTCGTCTTTGTTGAGACCAAAACCGATGGGGTTGTCCACATATCGTACAGGACGGCTACGGAAGGGGTGCTCGTACATAATGGGTAAGGTGGTCGACAAAACATATTTATTGACACGCAGTAAGTTGCTGAGAGTGTTGATGTCGGACTGGTCTGCGAGATGGCGGATGACCATGTGAAGGCATTCCGTAGGCAAGGGGAATGTGATTGACATGTTATGAAGCAGAAGAAAAGGACGAGGCTAGAAGGTGGTGTAAAAGAAGATGTGGAAGATGAAAGGTAGTGAAAAGAGGGAAGACGGGATGAAAAACGATGAAAAACGAGCGGCGTGAACTAAAAAGTTGGAGAGAGCGCTGCGGTGCACCTTCATCTGTCTTTTCCCTTTCTTTACCTTTAGTGGCGAAACACAGTCAATCAAACCGAGTGGGAGTTGATTTTGGTGGCGTTCTGGCTCAAAAGGACAAACAAGAGTGAAATACTGCCCAATAACAGGATTCGCCAACACATAGGAAGTCTGAGAACCTCCCGAGTCTGCCCCGCATCCATTACTTCTTGAGTAGTCGTCTCAACAATCAGACTTGCAGTAAGCAGTCTTAGCAGATGTTCAGACAACTCACCAACTCGCACACACACGGTAGCCCTACGACGGTATATAAACAAACTGGAGACCTGGTGCCACCTTTCTGGACAGAACCTCCAGTACACGAACGTCTAGAGACCATGACCCAGTCAGAGTAAAAGACTTGAGTGTTCAAGATCCAAATTCGGCCTTGTTGTCGTTGTTCCTGATATTGGGTGCGAAAATACACCTAACCTTCTTGACCTACTCCTAACGCAAGGCCTCAGAGAGCTCGTCTATCTAGGCCAGGAGAACAGAAGACTAGATATCTTCGATAACAAGGGCAGACATAGTCGTTGCTGTTGACTTGTTGCTGCTACTGCTGTTGTTGTTGTTGCTGTTGTTTGTGAATGGGCCTGGTTGAAGAGTGTAAGGGCGGTGGTGAAGGAAGGAACGAAGTGGGAAGAGTGAAGGAGCTTTATTTATGGTCCAAACTTCAGACTTCGGTGGATGGATACACACACCGCCATTTTGCTTTTCACCTTTTTGTTTCTTAGGTTCTTTGTCGATGTCTGCCCGAACGAGTAGTGGAACGGAGAGTGGCAACAGACAGACAAAAAAAGGGGTCTCATTCATGCGCATACCTCCATCACATTCTGGTATCTGATCCGCGGACTGGTCCCTTTTTGTCCTCTTCTCTCTTTTCTTCCTCTCTTTTCTTTATTCGTTTCACTTTCTCCTTCCGCCTCCACCTCCACTCCAATCTTCCTCCTCTTCCCAACCAATGTTGCTATAACCGATACCCCCCGGAATGCCTTCGCATCGTCATCGACAACGACGCCTTCCCCCTCACAACCCTCCTCCGTGTCAACCGCTTCTTTTCAACCGCAGTCCTCCCCTTCCTCTACCGTGAACCGTTTACCCTCGTCTCACGTCTAAAAACCTTCTCCAGACGCACCGTCTACATCAACCGCCTGCCCAGTTACATCCCCAGCCAGCTCGATCGCAATACCATCCTCCTCACCCGCACCCTCCTCAGACAAGCGCTCCTCGAGGATATCACTAACCTTCTTCGAGCATTTGCTTCATTCAGCAGTCGTTTGACGGAGACTGTGATCACTGGACAATGGTATCTTCTGAAGGATCCCCTTACAAGTCTGTCCTACACTGCCTGCCTCATGCCACCCTTCTTCCGACCACTAAGTCCCCGACGCCAGCCCCAGCAGCAACCCTAGTCCTGTCACATATTTAAAGTTCACAGGATTCTTTGATCGCTGCCGCTCCTTCCTATGGTGTCCTCCAGATCTCGACTCTCAACACGACAGATTCAACACGGCCATGGTGCCTCAAGAGTTCCGTCGCCAGTTATTTTAGGCATTATTTATCCTCGAATCGACAAGGGTACTTCAGATCCTGGTAACCGACGCCCATCGTTTCCTGGACAGAGTCGGACAATTCAAGGTGCTAGACACTCTACAGGTCTCGTTCGACCACACCCTAACCGCAACAACCGCCAAGGGTCGTCTTACCCTCACCCCGATGCTCTGGCAGGATGGCCAGTTGTCAAGGAGGTGAATTTGCAGGACTCTGTGGTTGTTCACCTTGCGGTCGAGATCTCGTCATGGACGCCAGTTCATCTTCCTCAGCTGACTACTCTGAATCTCAATGGTGCTCCCGCTCGATTGCTCCACCCAGACACACTCCATAGCACCGTTAGCCTTGAGCTGTTGACCTTAGTCATGGCCGACAACAATTTGTATATGTGTGAGTACGATTTTGACGATATCGAGGCTGGAAATTACGGCGGCGATGAGGATGAGGACGAAGAGGACGATGATAACGATCTCGACCCATTTACCCTTTACCCATCCATCAACCAACTGCTTCCTGTACTCAGGGAGCAGTAGACACAAACAGAAACAGGGACAGAGATGACAGCAACCCCATTGAATCGGCCAAGGTGGACTTGGGACTGGCACCTCCCTCACCTCCAATACCTCTGAATTTGCCTTCTTGTTCCAGTCTCCCATGCTCCGACAAACACCCAGTCTCGCACAACTCTTTCTTATCATTATCCTGTCTGAAGGCGACCACGAACGTACGGTCACAATCGACGAGCTCCGGGATCATGACCGACCAGTACCAGAAGGAGAGTCGACCACAGGGTTCATCAGCCTGCCCAAAATGACCCACATCATGCTCGTCACTGGCTGGACAGTCGGACCCCAATTCTGGCAAACGCTCTTCCGAAAAGTCATGCCATCCATTGCCATGATCCGAGAGACCGAGACCAGCGGGTTTACATTACCAGATTGGGTCGATGCGACATTGGGTCTCGAAAAGTTGCGGTTTGCGGGGATGATGTTGACAGTGAAGTACAAGGAGCCTTTCGCGCTTGGTTTGACTGCGTTGGATGAGTTTGTGGGGACTGGAGGCATCCCACAATTTTATTTTGTGGACGCTGCTGATAAGGAGTATAGGGAGGAGGAGGAGGAGTTTGAAGAGTCCTTGAGTGGGGTTGATGAGGATCTTGATTATCTTCAGACGCCACTATATATTAAAAGGCGAGAAAGGTAATGATCAGATGTTGAAGGGAATAAGGGAATGAATCCTATCGTGTTGTTGTGTTTGTTTGTTGCCATTTTGTCCAAAAGAGGGAGGCAATTTGTCAAGAGAGAAGGAACTGAGAGCACAGACAGGCAGGAACTCGTATGCAAAGTAGGAGGGAGAGGAAGTAAGGGTCTTGTCCACTCCTCCCTCCCATTTCGCCCAAACAAAACTCCTTGAAACGTAGAAGGTGGCATAAAAACGCAAAAGGAGTAGATCACAAAGGAAGGAGAAGAGCGAGAACGGAGGTAAAGAGTCAAAAAAAAAAAGGAAAAACTGCCTATTTCTCTCTTCCTCTCCCCTCCACACTTTTGCAATCCACATTTTCCTTTACTTCTCATTTCTCTTCTTCATTTCTCATGTCGCAACCAGCAGCAGCAACAGCAGAAGTGGACATCAAGGTCTACAGCCAGGATAACACACAGAACAGCAATACCGCCTCTATACAACAGGACAGCGATGAATCAGCGCATGGGCAAAGCACCACTACTGCTCGTACTCAAGTCTGGCAACTCCATGACTCTGCGATAACATCCTCGTCCTCATCGTCATTCAAACCCATCGACTCTGGCTCAACAGGAAGTTCACAGTTCCTAAACCCACCTAGTCACTCTCACCACCAACACAGTACCAACAACAGCACCAGCGTAAACAGCAGCAAAAGTCCTCTTCCAACATCCCCATCCCAACGCAGCATCGAAAAAGCCATCGCCCAGAAATTCGCCTCCCTCGGCATGCCCCCACAACGCTCCCCACTCCGCACCCGTCTAGACCAATTCCTCCTCAACGAAAGCCCCCGCATCATCTTTCTCTCCTTCTGGTCTCTCCTCCAATTCCTCATCTTTTACTTTTCCTTTGAGATCTATAACCGCTCCACCCATTACTCGCAGGCACGGACCAAATTGGGGGTTACGTTGGGTGTTGCGAAGGGGTCGGCGGCGGTGATTAATTTTGATTGCGGAGTGATTCTGCTCTCGGTATGTAGGAACTTGATTTCGGTGTTGAGGTCGACGTTTTTGAATGGCGTTGTGCCTTTTGATAAGAATGTGTTGTTCCACAAGACGGTTGCTTGGTCGATTGTTTTATTCGCGGTTGTACATAGTGCTGGGCACTATGTTAATTATTATCGACTCGAGCAGGCTGAGCGGCGAGAGAATGGCGAAGTGAAGAAGTCGGCACAGTATATGGCGTTGTTCACAGGTCCGGGCTTTACGGGGCATGTCTTGATGCTCATCCTCTTCCTCATGGTCACCTCCTCCGTCGGTAAGTTCTCGTCTCCACAACTCAAATTAATTCATTGCCATGCAAACCGTGCACATCAACTGCTAACATGAAAACACCCTTCAAACATAGAACGAGTAAGAAGGAAGGGCTTCGAGACATTCTGGTACACCCACCACCTCTTCATCCTCTTCTTCCTTACACTCATGTACCACGGCGCATTCTGCTTCATCCGCGCCGATACTCCACCTTACTGCAAATCCTCCCCCACATCCTACAAATTCGTCCTCGGCTCCCTATTCTTCTACATCCTCGAACGCACCATCCGCGAGTTCCGCGCCCGCCTCCCCGCCACCTCCATCTCCAAAATCGTCCTCCACCCTTCCAAAGTCCTCGAAGTCCAAATCAAAAAGCCCAACAACCGCCAAGGGGATTCATCCTTCTTTCGTACCAAGGCGGGCCAGTACATTTTTTTGAATTGCCCGGATATTTCTGCATTTGAATGGCACCCGTTTACGATTACTTCTGCGCCCGAGGAGGATTACGTGAGTGTTCATATTCGGATTGTGGGCGATTGGACGACTGCCTTTGCGAGGCGGTTGGGGTGTTCTTTTGATGATGAACAGCAGTTCTGGATTGAGGAGCTCAGGAATCGGTCAATGGGAGGCGAGATGGAGATGGCTGGGGTAGACGGAGGGATCGCTTCGGCGTCTAGTACTGCAGTCGCTACTGACTCGATGGTGTTTGGATCTGGCGCTTCTTTGAGCGGTGCCAAATCACGGGTCAATCCCTCTGGTATGTCTCCGACAGGATGTTTCATTTCTATTTGTCTGTTTTCATGTCAACATGGTCAAAGCGTAACTTCTACTGACAGAACTTTATCATCTGTTACACACCTTCGGAATTTCAGCCTCAACGAACAGCATGCAATTCCACACACCGCCAGACCCGCCCATCATAACCCTCCCCCGAGTCCTCCTCGACGGCCCCTATGGCTCACCAAGCGAAGACGCTTTCAACTACGAGATCGCCGTCCTCGTCGGCGCCGGCATCGGCGTCACCCCCTTTGCCAGTGTCCTCAAGCATATCTGGTACAGCGTCATGCAACCCACAAAAATCATTACCCTGCGAAAGGTTTACTTCTTTTGGGTCTGTCGGGACCGGGATGCGTTTGAGTGGTTCCAGGATTTGTTGATTGCGCTCGAGGAACAGAACTTGAGTGACTTTTTGGAGATTCGGAGTTATTTGACGGGTGAGTTGGGGAAGGAGGAATTGGATACGGTTTTGATGGAGGCCAGGGCTTCTGCGGCTGCTGCTGCGGCGAGGCATTTCCGGAGTAAGCATTATGGTGGTGGTGGTGGTGGTGGTGGTGGTGGGGTGCATCTGGGACAGGCGGTTGAGGGTGAGGAAGGTGAGGAAAGGGATCTATTGACGACACCGCAGGTTCCTCTGGATGGATCTGGCGCGTTCCCGATGGAGGTCATGCTGGGCGAAGAGTTCAACAGATCCAATGAGACCTTGTCAGGTATGCCCATCACTTTTTGTACTGTCATGTTTCGTCCAAGTGTGAATACGTATTTTCTTTCTTCTCACTTTAGCCTCCGTTTCATCAACATGCCAAAACCCAACGATAGACTCGCGCGACAGGGACGCGATTACAGGCCTGAGGTCACCAACTTACTACGGCCGCCCCAACTTTGACAAGATCTTTGGAGAATTGGCCCTGGCACATCCACGAGAACACGGTCAAGTCGGTGTTTTCTTTTGCGGACCCAAACCACTTGGGAAGACACTCCATCGTTGTGCACGCAAGTATAAGTTCGAGTTCCATAAAGGTAATCATAGCTAGCATGCAATATTTCGTGTCTATGTTTAATGTTGTTGTTGTATTCTACACATGAAACTTATTATTTCGATCTTTCATTTCGTTCCCGATAGAAAACTTTTGATGTAGGTACCAAAAAAATAATATTTACCACTCATTTATTCGTGTTTGCTGCAGGTCAAGGTGGGTCAGGAGGGTATTAATTGGTCCAGATTCGTGATCCAGTTCCGTGAGTGATACCGTTGCCTATGCTGCCTGTGCCCGCTGTGCGCCATTGTTGCGTGCAAGCCAAAGGAAGAGTTCTAAGGTGTAGTGGGCGTCGTTTCCTAATTTAGCGAACAGCGGGGAAGAGAAAACAAAAAGGTGTTTTAGCAGGCAACTCCACGACATGCACCAACAGCTGTTCACTTTGGCAGCATGAAACAAGGGTGACATACCAGCGTTGTGGAGGCAATAGTTCTCAATGTCAAGCTCATCCAACAGCTTGCCAAGCCCCGTCTTGATATTACTATCGCCCACCCGAGCAGCATTCATCTCAACAGTATCAAACTGGATGATGCCTTCAGGGAATGTAACACCCATGCCCGAGAGATACTTCATATCACTCGTCATGTCATGGGCAATCAAGACAAACCGGCCATGCTCATTCCGCCTCACAGCCTTCTCCAGATCCTGCTGAAACGCCGCAATTGATCCCTGCAAGTTCTCCCATACCGTCTCGCCAAACATGAACCTGTCCCGCTTATCTGCCACAAATTTTCCGTTCTTGAGGTGACGGTAGTCCGAGATTGCATAGTGCTTGTCCATGAACTTGTGCACGCCCGAGTCCCAGATCGACCAGCCAATCTCCAAGATCCGGTCGTGGTTGTACTCGTGCGACTCAATATCGACAGAAATGAACCACATCCCTCCATCCTGTGGTGACAGAGTGGCAGTCGACAATCCTGTGGTTGGGGTGATGGCGCCCACTGACTCGGCGTCATTGGTATTATCCCCTGTGAGATCAATGACGGCAGAAGGAGTAGTTGTTGCAGCGACACCGGGGGCTTGAAGGACCATATCCGTAGCACGGTCGAGGGTCACCTTCCATTGAAGGAGACGTTCCTTAGATTTGGCTATCTTGTTGGCCTTGGTGATATCTTTGATGAACTTGTTGTAGGCTGCAGGCAAGGGCAGACGCGGTGCTGGGCTGACTTGTGAGAAGGTTGTGTTCCTGGCTGCGTAGAGGGGCGTGAATGCAAACTGCAGCTTTTCCGAAACCATTTTGTGTGTATCCTCCAGTCCTGAAAACGCGATCAGCGCTACCCACTTCTTGCTCGAGTCCTCAATTCCTAGAAAAGGACGCGACAAAACACAAAAGGATTGCAAGGAGGGAGAAGAGGAGGGTGACGTTATTACTTTTGTTGTTCATCTTGACAATGTCCTACTATTGTGGCATGTGGCATCTCGTGAAACAATAAAGATGGCGGAAAGTGTGTGTGTACCTTTGAAAAATACGTTGGGGCGGTCGAGAAAGTCCTTGGAGTTGAAGAAGGCCTCGAGGTCCTTCTTGATGTCGTGGGGACATTCCTTGTGCCATTCGTACATGGCGGTGAGTAATTGAAGGTACGAGCTTGACATGGTCGAGGTTGAGCGAGTCAGAGGAGTTGTAACGGTCAAAGTTAGAGGAAGAGGGGAATGAGGTAGGAGAGGTAGGAGAGAAAGGAGAGAAAAGGGTGGAAGGGAAATGGTGTGGAGAGTAGGGGAAGGAGCAGCTGTAGTAACTTGTGGTAATTTTTAGAAAGAAAAGCGAGGGAGAGAGAGAGAGACACGAAAGGCCCAAAAACGAGGCAGTGGTCAGCCAAAAATCAATTCAACAGTCTCTCTTTAGCCGCCGTTCGATCTTTTGTCGGATCATGGTTGTGAAATAAGGCGCTGTCTTTCTTTCATTTTATGCTTTGCTAATAGTGACATCCGTGTCGAACGCTAAAGACATGGAGAACATACGAAGAGGCGCAACGTGCACATCGTTTCAGTAGTCGCCTCAAGTTTCCTTGGGCTTGTCCAGCGCCGGCCTAGTGACCATGTCCAGACCTGACTGATATTCCTTCACAATCCTCTGCAATGACCGATTAGAACTCAGCACAGGCAGCAGTTCCCGCAGTAACTCCCGCTTTTGATGTCCCAATATCGTCGCTTGCCATCCTGACTTCTCACCACTAGTCGATTAGTCGCACAAGGGTTACCAAGGGTAACGTAGAGGTTAGTTGTTGTTTTGGTCAATTACTATCTCAAGACGAACAACCGCATTTGAATCAAACAAGGCTTACCCTTGATACACAGGTCCAAGGAGGTACTTGCAGAGCTCTTCCACGCGCGCGACTGAGCTTTCATGTGCAAGCTGTTGCGCATAGCACCGCAACCATTGTTTGAACTCGACCGGTGATACTAATACCTGCGCTGACGCAATTTGATTCTGCAGCAATAAACCAAGAGAAAATGAATGTCAATAGTGTGAACCGGACATGAAAATAACGGTCATCGCCCACAAAGTTCAGGCAGATCATATCACACACCTCGAGATATGTCAAGGTCACTGCACTTTGTACAGTATCGTCCACGGTCAGTAATCCTTGTGCAAAGCTCACATCCTTCTCCAGTCGCCCAGCCATGGCTGCCGACTGCAATTGAGCAAGCACACCTTTCCGATGTGAGACAAATGAACCAAAATCGCCAGATGCATCCCGTGGAGGATCCGAGAAGAAGGATGACTTTGCGAACCAGGGGTCCACCACCTTGACCCAGACCTTCATTCCCTCGTGATAGGTGTATCCATGTCCTGCTGATGTTGTGAGCAAAGGAAGTCCGTTTTGGCGTACTGTTGCTGATGTGATTGACACTGAACTTGACGCGGCATCCGCTGCATGGGCTGTGGGTTGCAAAAGGGGCGAAATCGAGACGGACGAGAGAACCGCCACTTGCTGAATGACATTCCTATTCAAGCAATCAAAGTTAAAGTGATTGTAAGTATGGGTGTTACATGGCATAATAATTATAGCCACACATGTCCAAAGCGTAAGGCATAAGTATACGTACCATGTGCTGACAAGACCGCACGATGTGACACACAGCAAATATTCGCTGTCGCACTCCAAAAGTGTCGCAGCCGCCTCCAATTGGATACACGGCATCAATCTAAGGAAACCGAACGCGACATGATAACAAGAAAAAGTTAGTACCTGGATTCTCAGCTTGTCAACATCCATCAGGATAAGGCACAGGGGTGAGAGAGTTCTATGTTACCTCCTTCCCGATGGTGAATAGATGTAGAGTCCTCCATCTTCGCAAGTCACCGCACTGAACTGTGAGTTTCCTGTCATGAGCAGCACCGGCGAGGGCAGATAATCGACCCATACAGGGGATCCCTTTTGACTGTAGATGACCTTGTTTGGCTTGGCTCCCGTTACACTGTTGTGACATTCCAGACCAGCTCGGTTCCGCGTGATATTGGCGCGAACTCGTGGAACTCCTAATCTGACTCGGGAGACGGCAAGTAGTGGCGATGAAACTGCGTTCCTGGGTGCCACCTCTTCCTCCTTTTGTGTTACGGTCTTGCCCTTGACACCATTCTCCGGCCCTCGTTTTGTTGGTGCTTCTGACGGTGCGTTGCCATTAGTGGGCGCATCCTTGCGTTTGGTCCCGACGACAACTGTTGGGAAGCCTCCTTCCGGGATCGATGTTGAAGGTTCGCCTCGCTCAACCCGATCCGTAGCGCTGACCACAGATCCATATCCGCCCTATGCATGAATCCATACAAATCAGGTCACATAAGTTAGTTTCCATAGAGCAAGCGCTAGAAGCACGCTAACCAAGGCGAAAAGGCAAACTTACAGGTGACTGAATTTGGAGTCGGGCCGAGGGCTGCGATGGCGCCATGCCCATACCCATACCGTTGCCAAGGAAAAGAGGCTTAATGCGTTTCTTGCCGTCTTTCGTGATGGTGACTTCCTGTTGACTTGCCACCAGGTTGACTTGCGGTGGCCGTGGTTGAGCTGTTGAAGGTGATGAAGGCTGAGCTGCAGTGGCGATGGAAGAAAGTGCGGGAGTTTGAGAAGAGATCGGGTCTGCGAATACACTGGGATCGGACGGCTTATCAAATGTTGAGGTGACGCCTTCCATAGACACGTCGGGCAACATCAGAGCGTCCATGCGTGATTGTGCTGTGCTGTCCTTGAGCTTCTCCTCCATCTGCAGCTGAAGGGCTGTCTCTGCCATGACGGCTCCTCGTCGCTCGTATCCATACTTTGCCAGCATCCGGTGTCTTTCCTCCACAGGGACGGCCTCGCCCAGAGCACCAGGCGGGAAGATGAGAACGATTACGCCGCCATCATAGGAGCAGGCCAAGAGTGTCTTCCCGTCAGGAGTCCAGCACATGTCCAAGAAACTGTGCTCAAACAACTCCTTGATGCCCACAAATGGCCGAGGATCGCTCGTCTTCCAAACTGTTAGTCCTCGATCCTGGCTGCCAACAGCGACAATAGATGTCAGACCACTGTTGCCCTTGGCATCAATGTATCTGTAAAGCAGTGGGTTGAACGAGACTACCTCGACGGGCGCGTCGTGGCCAACAAGGGAAATGTCTGCGTTCCAATTATCACGCGAAATGACAGCTGCCACTGGTTTGTCGTTGCTAAACGCGTTCGCTGTGACAATATGACCGCCCTCAGGAGACCAACTCAGGCGTCTGAAAAATGTCGTTCCTGTAGAGTCCTGGTATGGCTTCTCTATAAGCACCTCCACCTGCCAGTCGCTGATTCTCCATATCCTGACTGTTTTGTCATCCGACTATTTGTAAATATCGAATCGGAGATTAGGCGACAAGTTCAGAACAAATGAAAGTGCCCATGTAAATAAATCCATAAAAATAAAAGGCATATGATACCTGGGAGGCCATGTATTTTCCGACAGGATCCCATGTCAATCCCTTTACAAATCCACTGTGCTTGTCCAAGGTGATGATGCGATCTATATGGTTGATCGATCCACGGTACCGAAACGTAGTGTTAGAGGTCCGTGATGCTTCCTCTTGTCGATGCGGCAGAACAATATACGCGTCCATTGTTTATCGATCCTGGCATTACCAAATGACTTTCCATCCCAGATGATAATCTTTGAATCCAGTCCAGCCGAAGCCAAATATTTGTTGTCTGGTGACCATGACACGTCCGTTACATCTAATTGTCATCAGAAAGATTAAGAAGAGATCCTCGCGTTAGCTGTTGTTCCTGGCGAATTGAAAGCGACGCTCTTCTGTGGCATAACGTGGTTCGTCCCTTGTACCTGATTCATGTCCTGAGAGACGCTTGTATCCACGCCAGGTTTCAACATTGGGTCCATCATTGTTGCCAAAGGTCGCACCGCCCCATGACTCTGACGACCTATTTGAAATCCATAATGCACATGTAAGGTCCTGGTTAGGAGAAGCCGGGTAGGGTCGACAAATCAGTCAACGATCTACGACAACGTCTCGTAAAATTCCACGACATTGACTTGCCTGTCCAACTGCCAGATCATCACAATCATATCGTCCGATCCCGTCGCCAAATATTTCCCGTCTTCGCTCGACCATTTGACACATAGCACCGCTCCTATAGATCCGTTGCAAAAAAAACTGTTAGTTTAGCCACCAGTACGATTACAGGTCAAATCTGTTCGCTCGCCCCTGCTTCTTTTATTTGCCCCTGAACCACTCTATGACCTTGCTTGCCGCGTTATCGTCGAATACGAAACACATAACGACTTACCGTTGTGCACTGACATAGTGCAAAGATGCTTGGAGGGCTCCGTTGTAGCATCGATGATTGGGTCGGCAAGAGTCTTCATGTTCCAGATCTTGACCTTGCCATCTAGTGGTTGGTCGGTGGACACGAACAGTAAGCATGAGTTCCTGAGCCTCTCCTTCAACGCGAACATGAAAAATGCCTTTTGTTTCCCGTACTTTGGTGCACGTCATCCAAACCTGGCTATGTTGTTGTTGTTCCATACCTTGGGCACCAGTGGCAAGTCGCGTTCCGTCTGGGTGCACGTGGAGGGAGTATATTGGTACTCGCTTTCCCTTCTCATCTATTTTCCGCGATGCAATGAAACAATAGGCCACAGGTTCAAATGTTAATAACCGTGCTGTGATCTCTCTCACCGATTCCTTCAGTGTCTTAATGCCTTTGGTTCTACTGCATTCCAATTGCCAAGTGCTGTTGTTGTTTTGTTACCAAGGTGGCAGACCCAGTCTGGCTTGTAGATGTGCATTGCAGTTGGTGGCAAGTTTTCCCGATCGAACTCGAGCAAGGGCTGTTCGACTTCGTCGGAGGAGGAAGCCGAGTCCTGAGAGTTGATGTTCTTTTCTGAATCCAGGTTGGTGTGAATGAGTGAGTGTACTCTCCTTTTTGCTTCTTCCTTGTTGTTTGGTAGTGGTGGTGGTGGCGGCGATGGCGGTGGTTGTTGTTTAGGTTGGGTCGTTGTGGAGAAGGAAATGAATTAGAAGCAAAAATGAAGTTCTTCGTTCCACCTCTTTTTATTACCTCCAGTGCAAGTCACGCGTCGTCCATCTCAATGGTCAATCCCCGATTTTGCATGTGACCCAAGCTCAGGCCTTTTTCATCATCCCACACGCTTACAAGCACCAACGCGATCATGTCGACAAGCTTCCCTCTGCCGCCGGAGGTCTTTCGCCTCATCCTCATCTGCCTGGAACATAATCAGGACACAGCATCCTTGGCAACACTCCTTCGCGTCAACAAGTCCATCTGTCGCGTCACCGTCCCTGTCCTCTATGCCGACCCCTATCACCTCAAAAACTTCAAGACCACCTCCTACAGCTCCAGCACCGAGAATGGTGCCAAGGATCTCTTCGCATTGACCCGTCTACTTCTGCGCCAATCTCCATATGATCGGTTGACCGAACTTCTCAAGGCAGCCTTCTTCCCAGCATCAACTGTAGAGGAAACGCTGCCCGACCCGCAAGTCGACCACAAGGTCAAGGACCAATTGATCGACTATCGGTTTCATGTCCGAAAGCTGAACCTTCAGCCCGAATCCAACCCCTTCGCCAACATCTTCATGGAGGACCGCATCAATAATGGAAACAACACTCTGACGGAATTCCTGGGGCAGCCTACATACCGCGACAAGCCCAGGGACTTTCTGAAGAATCAAATCTGGAAGGAGCTTACATGGGCGCTCTGTGTCCCCGACAACCTGCAGGAACTGTACCTCCCCCTCACGGAACTGAATCGGTATCAGGGCTTGATCGTCCAGCTTTCCAGGCTCTCTTCCGTGGTCTTTGTGAACGACCTTCAATTGACAAGAACATCCAAGAACGACGCTAAAAGGTCCAGGCAGTTTAACAGGATGGTCAAGTTTGTGGAGAGACACGCGACACTTTTCCCAAACAAGCTGCGTCAAGCCCGATGCACCCATATTCCCTATAGTAGCAACGATTGTCCCAAGAGCATTCATCTCAAACTGGCCACAATCCTTCCGCTTCTATCAGTGCCGACGTTTCTGGACTACACCAACTGGACCCAGTTTGTCATGCGGAGCAAGGAGGTCAATCTCGAGTATGTCAAGGATATCCAAGCTGTCGGCTATCCGGCGTACAAAGACGTATACTTCAATGATCGGCTTTTCACCGACGATGGCTACTTCTTGCAGCGCTGCAGGTCACTCGAGACTGTCGACTTGGACATAACGGGCCTGGGGGCGCAGGACATGTTTCGATGGGCTGTCAAGGAGAAACAAGAATCTGAACTGGATATCGCCAACGGGAGGACACCCAACCCCCTTCCTCCTCTTCAGGAAGTCGCTCTCCGTATCAGTAGCGGGACCCAGTCCCAAATCTTGTTCGACATTGCCTCCGTTTTTGGTGGCACCCTTTCGAACCTTTACATCAGCGGAGGATGCCCTCCGTTGCGTTACTTGGGCTCGCATGCTCTTGTTATCGATGGTTTAGGATGGAAGTTGGAGCGGCTTGATGACCTTGCCTTGGAGTCGGTCACTGGTCCCCTCCTTCTTCATCCCGACTTGCTGCTGACTTGCCCATCCGTGAAGACACTGATGCTTGACGACGTGGATGCCGAAGAATATTTACAGGGACATCCCACCTTTCGATACTTGAAGCCGGGTGTTCTAGAGCATGTTAAGCAAATCAAGTTGAGGGGCACACCTGCAGCGGCTTTTCACCCGGACACGCTTCACACCACCAAAAATCTGGAGCAGCTACTATTGATGCCGTGGGACACCAACACGGTCGGACTCCGGGGCAACTTCGGGTCCGACGACGACGAGGAGGAGGAGAATGACATTGAGCAGTTAAAGTGGGCGCTACACCAAGCTGAGGACGAGAACAGGATGGCGTTATGGCCGCGAATAGCCGAGCCCGTTTGGACATGGGACTGGGACCTCCCCAAGCTAACCAGACTGTCACTGTCTTGCCAGTACGCTCACATGTTCCAATTCAAGATGTTCCAGGGTACCCCCAACCTCACTCATTTGAGACTCGCTGGCGCCTCCAGCTTGCGCTTCCTCGGACCTCTGATGCAGCCCTGGGATTACACGAGTCCGTCGAATTTCGCCCTCAACCCCAGGGGGATGATCTATGACCAGTTCACATCCGACAAGGATGACCACAACAACAACGAGCACGAGGACGACCATGAGGGCGACCATAAGGAAGACGACGAGGGCGAGGGATTGGAGAGCGCACCGGCAACCATTCCAACCCAACACATCCATCTACCCAAGCTCGTGGACGTGTCCATCAATGGAAACTGGGAGATTAACACTGCGATGCTGCATTTTATGTGCTCTCAGCTGGCCCCGAACCTCGAGTCACTCGCCCTGCACGGACCGTATGGTCTCTCGGCCAAGGAGCTGATCAAGATCACGTCTCGCACCCTAGGGCGCCTCCAGCAGGTCGTTGTAGATTTGGCCATTTCGTCTGAAGCCGCTCGGGCGGCAGGGGTGATACCTTGTGAAGGTGATTTGGGGAAATTTGTTCTTGCCAACCCTCCACAAGGGTACAACCCTTCCTTCATCTTCTCTACCATCTACTAAAACAGCCTGCCTCTTGATGCGTACATAAAAAATATACCACATACCATTCGAATAGTCCTGGTATTATACATCTGATGGGAAAAAGAACTGCACATTGGTGCGTTTATTCTTCACCACCATCCTGCTTTGACTGAAAACTCGCAAGCCCATTGGAGCACGAACTGGAGTGTCAATTGCCAATCCGAAGAAAGGAACAAGCAAGCAACCTCGACGGTGGAATGGCCCTATTCTTTGAATTAAGGCATCAATGCTCATGGCGCTATCTTATACATTGAATGATAGGTCCTGCTCCATGATGGTTTCGATCAGATAGGGGCCAGTTTGACCATTCCTGGGCAATACAGTCATCAACAGCACAAAAGGCTCCAGAGCTGAGCGATAGGTTGCAGATCTGTCTGGTTTCAAAGTGCTGTCAGTTGTAGAGTGTGAGGATCCAAGGTGCCCACCCAGTCCCGATCGATTCTGTACCAATGCATCCTTCTCGTCTGTAGTGTCCTCCTGTAATCCCATTGATATTGCTGTATCCATATCGCTTCTGTTTTCGTATCCTCCAGTCTCAAAACGCCTGTCTGCCGATGATCGCTCAAACAGGGCCTAGCTAGTTGATTGCAAGAAGAGGTAGTATTAGTTACTTGTATAGCTTTTTGGATCAACTATTGAAGCGCATCGAAAAATGCAAGTCGTCATAACATACCATTGGAGTTATAGACCGGAGCCAAAGTCTGCACTGGTGTCTGGTTACCCGTGACATCCACTTCAGTCGAACCCAAAAGATGGTTCAACCCCATTCGGGTTGTGCGCACGTTTTTTCTTTCTCCTGTTCAACATGGATAGTGGTGTGTTCTAATTGATGTCCAGAGACACATTGAAGTTGCTGGCGGTGATAGTGTGGTGAGGGTGGTGGCACGCAAGGGTAACAAAGGTGTATTGTCCATGCATGGCCCAAGGAGGGATGCACTGACCAAATGAGAAGCGGGAAAAGAAAGCATGTTTATTGTTGTGTGGACAGTGCGAGTAGTGGTACAAAGAACAAAGAAGGGTATGTGAACAGCGGGTGGCATTAATTGGAGAGGTAAGCAATACAACGTAGAAGAGTGCGAAGAAGGAGAGAGAAAGGGTGAATGAAAAAAAGGGAGAACGATACCGTCGTTTACAACTCGTCCTTCTTGATCCGCTGTCGAGGGATTTGGATATCGACGTGAATGACTCCTTGGACAGCCGAGATTGCGTCTACGATATGTTGGTTCCGTTGTTCTTCCCAATCGGACCCTTGTTGTAGGCTCGAGGACGGGAACGGTGTCGACTGAGTATTGGTGGTCATGTGTGATGGTGGTTCCTGCTGCTGTTTGGATACACGGTAGAGGAGGTGGTTTTTGAGTTCGCCTACGTGGCCGATGTATTCAACGCCGGAGAGAGATCCGTTTTCAGAGGCGGCGGCTGTGCGGGTGGATGCCAAGACGTAGTCGATAGCCTCGGGCTGGATCTTGACGTCAAAGTAGGTGTGGGTAGAGAGCTCAAGGGAGTGGTGGGCCATGTTGGGAGATATGGCGGAGTGGAAGAGGAGGAGGATGAAGAGGAGGAGAAGGGGCACGACGGCGACAACGGCAGCTGCGAGACGGAAGGTATGCTGAGAGGGAATGGTGGGCAATATATGTTCGGATCCGTGTTGAAAATGACTATAAAGAGAAGAGAAGAATAAGAGTGTTGATAAAGTAGAGAAGTGAAGAATGAGAAGTTGAAATATATATATTTCGCCCACTTTTTTTAAAATTTTTATGACGAATAGGAACAAGCAAATGATCGCATGTGCTGTTCACTCGGATTGTTACCCCTCCTTCGCTCTCCCTTACTTTGCTCTGCTGTCCGCTTCGGAAAAAGACGACTTCGGGGCTTTTTCCTTCTTTAGCGCACTCTCCTTCTCTCACACACACACACACACTCTCTTCACTCCCCACTCTCTCTCCTCTCTCTCACATACCCCCTCGTCCTCTTCTACAAGCAACCATGGCTCTCCGTCTCGCCGCCTCGCCCTTGGCCATCAGCCGCTCCTCCCCCCGCATCGTCGCTGCCCTCCGCGCCTCCTCATCCACCCACTCCCGTGTCTACTTCCACGCCTGTACGTGCAAAACACACACATATACACATATACACATATACACACGCACACACGCATACTTCCCACTTCAGCGAAGGACACACACACACGCAAATACAACAACTCGGCTTTCGATCGATTTAAGAAATCCAGAACCAACCTGACACCACCCATAGCGACCGACTACGAGACAGTAAACAACAAATAGGAGCAGAGAGGACATACATATATCCTCACGAGTGACAATCACCAACAATCAGCGCGACACTTTGGACAGACTGAAATGGGAAATTCCGGGGATGGCTCATCATTCTGTCCTCGACACACATGCCTCCTTCATATGTCAACAACACCAACTGAACACAAGCAACACCCAACCAGTTACCAAAGCATCAAGCTGAATACACACTACCCCACATTACTGCTATATCGTCGTGTGTGTGCTTGCGTGCTGTTCTGTCGCGTGTCACTTCATTTGCTATCCTGTTGTAGTGTTTGAGCAACAGGACCCTTCCAACAAACACGCACAAATATTCTACACAACAACAACTCTGGAGTGACACGACTAACCTTGACCAACTCCACTCTTGGTTCTTACGCAACCCTTTTTTATAGCGCGCAATGCCGCTGCCGCCACTGGCAAGACCGCTGCCGATGTGACGGAGGTCTACAAGGCTGTTCCTTACAGACAGCCCAAACCTGACCAGCTTCACGGATCGTACCACTGGGACTTTGAGCGTCTCTTGTCGGTCTCGTTGGTCCCCCTGTTTGCCGCCTCGGCCATGCAGGGTGCTCACCCCATCACAGACAGTCTCCTGGGTGTTGTTGTCCCATTCCACTGCCACGTCGGATTCGACGCCATGATCACCGACTACCTTCACCCTGGCAAGGTCGGTGACCTTGGATACAAAGCCTTCACCTGGTCCCTCCGCGGTATCACTGTCCTTGCCTTGTACGGCTGCTACGAGTTCAACGCCACGGACATTGGATTGACTGAGTTGGTCAAGAAGGCCTGGACAGCATAAAGAAAGTTGAAAAGATCGAGAATAAAGAGAACCTATTGCATGAAAAGGTACAGACAGTCAAGGTATACGCAGGATAGTGAGTGCTTGTTGCGAATGACATTGGATGCCCAAATCCAAATGAAACCCGCAAACAAACCGTGGCCAGTGGCCCAGACTTGTGAGAGGAATAACAAAAGGAAAGTGGACAAATGAGGGGTTATTTGATGGAGTTTTTTTTCGTTGTGTTCACTATTCATCCGGTTGCGCAACAAGGAAGAAGAGCGAGGGTGTAGGGGAGGAGCATTGCCAGCTTGGACTTAATTGAGGGTAGGAGGGAAGGAGGGTAAACCGTGCTTCCAGTTCTTGCCTACCCGTGATAGTTAGTCAGTTATCGCCCTTCTCTTTGATGACACCCCTGTCCGTGCTCGCTCCTCTTTTTCTTTTCTTCTTCCTTCTTTCTTCTTGACTGACTCAACACCCCCAGTCTTCATCCCCGATACTTATTTCCTTCCCTTTTTCCCTTTTGTCTCTTCTTTCTTCTTCTGTCTTCACTTTCTTTCTTCTTCTGTCTTCACTTTCTTTTGTTCGCATTCATCGCCTTTGCATATAACCCCGTCTCTTACTCTCACTCCCACCCTCCTCCTTCCATACTCTGTATCTGTACCTGAACACACCTTTATCCGACCTGCATTTACTCACATACTCACACATACAACCAACATGCCACCAACAGCCACCTCTGGCATGTCAGTGTCCCCCTCCCTCTCTCCTTCGCCTTCCTCTTCTTCATCATCAACAAGGACAACAACCTTTGCTACAGTGTACCCCACCCCTGTCTCACAAACCTCGGAACCAGCACCCACAGCAACAGACACTACTCCCTCTCTAGGCGGCGCCTTTGGTTCCGGAGGTGTACCGGTGGCAACGATCTTTTACTTTGTTGCGTTCGTCGCTGGACTTATTGCCGTCTTCTACGCCATTCACCGAGTCCGTCGCAACCGTCGTCGGCGTCTGCAGGAACAGAACGGCGACAGTGAATCTGGTGGACGTACCGTACATACCGCAACTTATCGCCCCGAGGATGAAGAAGGTACAGTAAACATTTTCCCTTCCCCCTTTCCCCTTACTTTCTGACACTGAGAAGCAATTACACCCATCCCCCATCTTTCCCCTTCATCTTTTTCTTTTTATCTGCCTTACGCTTTGGTCAAGTCCAAGAGCGATTGACAGGCTACAGACCGAATGAAAGAGAGACAGACAGGGTAACAGGGCTCCCGATACGCTTTGGGTTGACATCATCGTGATCGCATGCTCTCTTTTTTTTCTAAAATTGCTTATTTGTGTGACAAATAACAAATGATAACAGACTCGCCAGCTATTGTCAAAGTTACTCACTCCCTCCCCTGGAACTGGGCTTGAAAGAGAGGAACAACGGGAATCCTGCCTCAAAGGACCCTTGTATTAACAGTCTATTCCTTATTATTTTTAGGATGCCCGCCTCCACAATACCGCGCTTATGCCGCTGACGAACCGTCATTAGACCCAGAGATGACTATTATCTACCCTGCCCAGGCTCACTATGCATCCTCCCACCTCGGCCTGCTCTCCTCCACTCCCGCCCTCTCCTCGCCCTCGGTCGATGACGATGACTCCGTCAACGCCTATATGGCCTCGTCCCGCCCTACCCTTCAGACCAACTCGACAGACACAACAGCGGCTACCACAACAACAATCACCACCACAACAACTATTACTACCACGCCAGGAAGCTCAACTACATCCCCCTCGACTTCTCCTACTATCATCCAACGGTCAATCATGGCCCCCAACGCCAACATCCTCACCACAACACCTCTGAACTCTACCGATCGCCTTGACCAGCACCCGCAGCATCAGAACCGGCACCAGGAGCAACAGGAGGGTAGTCACATGTCATCTGTTCCCGTGATCACCGCCCCATCTCCAGCATTTTCCTTCACGGTTTCACGGCATCTCCATATTCTCCGTGACGGTCTTGCAGGAAGGAACAATATCCACCAGTCAGGATCGGGTCGTCGTTCTTCCACCCCTGTCTCGACCAGCACGACGGGCACGAGCACAGGCGGCACCACGTCTACCAACAACCGTTTATCGACCCCAAATATGCAATCGACTTCACAGATACATGCACCTAATCGTGTTAGTTTCGCCGGATCCATTTCAAGCACTGGCAGTGGCAGTGGCAGTGGCAGTACCAGCGAGTCAGGACTTGTCGTCATCGTACCCAACCAACAACAACATCCTATACTGAACCGACTCCGGAGTGAAGGACCACCTCCTTATATCCCTATGGCACCTGAGGCAGCCCTCCCCAGTCTCCCTCCAGAGTACGATACAGCCATTGCCCCATCCACTACCCCCTCGACTACTATTACTACCACCCCTGGTTCATTGTAACTCCAACATCCCATTCATACCAGCCAGAAGGGAAAAAAGTTTCTGTTTCACCTTTACACTCTCCTCTTTTCTCATTGTACTTTATCTAATAAAAGGCGTCGCACTCTTTGCTCACCAACAAAGCCTCTGTCCAGTCTTACACAATAACATGAGAGGGTTTCTTTGCTTCGCCCTCAAGTGATTGTAGAACACTCATTTTGTGCTCATTTATTCTTAACAAACGTGGTTTCTCTACTTTTAAGACCGAAGGGAGGAAACAAGGACGAACGAAGCTAAGCAACTAACAATGAGCGTCTGCCAAACTCAAAGAGAAGAACACCTTTTTTTACTTCGAACAATGAGGTGACAATAGGGAGTTTCAATCCTTGACATTTGCCAAAAAAAAGTAAGCACTGATTATTGAAATACCTCTGCCCTCGTGCATTTCGATAGCGCATTTTTTTTTTTTGGCTACAAGCCATCACAAAAACGAAAGGGTCCGGTGAAAGGGAATGCATCAAAGATGCTACACAAGACCCTTGGGCATACGTATAAAAGAAAGATACTTGTCGGATAAAGAAGTCAGTCGAATGACATCTACGTGCCCCAGAGAATGAAGGATTAAACTGAAATAGGAGGATGCTTATACATCCGCCTTTTGAGGTAGTGGGCATTCTGTTGTTGCTACACCTGGTGCGATGAGATTCTGTCCTATTGTTCTGGCAGCTGAGGCCATTCAAACCCCCCCCCCCCCCCCATTTGTTGCTGATGCTGGGCTTCCATTCATCAACACCGATCTTCCGCAGACAGAAGGGATCCTTGAACGATTTCTAAGAGCTTTTGATCGTGACATTCGTTTCATTGTAGAAAAAAAATAGGCTTGCATATCGACAATACAATTGTTGAGAACTATGAGGATCATATAGTTTCTTGAGCTAGCCGAGCCTTCGATATGTTTTTTTTTTTGGAGCTGATGAAGATATGTCGATTCGGATTTATCCCCTTTTTTTTTCTACGCCAGGGGTCGTCCCATAGCGATTTGCGTTTTCAAACAACCTGCACGCGCGATCTGCGAATTGAATGCGGTGTGTCTGCTTGGCGATGATATCTGGAGGGTTGAACGCTGAAGCAGACAAAGATATAATAATGGCGATTTTATCATTTTTTTCATTTTTTTCATTTTTCTTGCTATAGTATCATTTTAGTATCATTTTATCTCGTCAGAACTTGTACGATAGAAACTATGCAATAACATGCTAAGCGCTTGATTCAAGTATTGTAGAAAGGAGACTGGGTTGGCCTATGAGGGGACGGACTAGAGCGAAAGAAATGAGCAAAATATAATTATATCGAACAACCACGACATAAAAAGAAACGCGCAATGGAGAGAACGCGAAAAGTCAGTTTTATTGAGGTCAGCTGTAGTGCAGGTTGCCATCACTCTTAGTTTGCTCCTGCTGATGTTCTAACGTGAATGAGAGTACAGAAAGTAATGCAATGGGGCATCAGCATAACTATAAGAACTCACATTGGGTTTGACAGCTTAGAAGGGGTAGAACACATTATCGACACAGGTGAAAGAGATATGCATACCAGGAGACTCCTTATTTTCATAGGTGATGAAAAGATGAGCCAAGGAGTGGTAGGGAATTGTGAAAGAAAATGGGAAGATGAAGGAAAGGGAAGCTAAGATGAAAGGGAAGCTAAGATGAAAGGGAAGCTAAGATGAAAGGGAAGAGGAAGAGAGAGAGAGAGAGAGAGAGAGAGAAAGAGAGAGAGGAGGAGTCAAATCCTGATTCGAGGTCGTTTGGGTCGCAAGAAGGAAAAAACAACAATCAGACTGGACAGAGTAGAGTGTATCAGGGAACGAGATACATCTATCACCCATTCCCAAAAACTGGGCAAACACGTCTCCTCGTCTTCACCTTGCTATCCTCCTCTTTAGCTTTTGCTTGTTCATGGATATCTAGTAGGATAGCCTTCCCTTTCCTCGTCACTAATACATCCTCTGCCGTTCCTCCTCGTTCCGTTTCTCTACTCACACCTTACACATCTCTTCAACAAACGACCTTCTCAGACCAACGCTTCTATTTTCAAAGCATGCATCTTCTTTATTCGACAACAGCGAGGATCGAGAAAAAGCGCGTCTATAATGACGATGGCGATACTAAGCAACGGCATGGTACCTTTCACACCTCCTCCTCTCTTCTCACCCACTCTCCTTCCAACCTCGATCAAACCTCTAACCATTCGTCATTAACAACTTCCTTCTTCCCTCGCCATGGCCATCATATCTTTCTCCATCTTCAGCTCCTCTTCTCATCCTCGTTCATCTTTCTCCAGGTAGCCTCCACTCTCATTGTCGATCCGAGCCGTTGTGTATTCTTTTACTCGAGCGTGTTTTCCTACTTCTTTTCTTCGTCAACGAACATCATCTACACGTACAGCATGTTTGTATGTATGTTGGATGTTTGTGCATGACAGATCAGTATCTCTTGAGTGCCGCACCCTGTCCCACCCCCCTCCCTTCATTCCCATTAATTACGCCACCATTTCATTTTTCGACTGGCAACAATGGGGAAAACATGAGAGGAGTGGAAAAAAAGGCAAGCGGGAACGAAGAACGTGAGGATGTTTAGTTTGTACGCGGTAAAGAAAAAAAAATAGCGTTTCCTGAGGTCTGTTTAGGAAACACTCTCATTAACAAAAAACCAAAAGGAGCCACGGCATCTCAACAGTTTGAACCAGGAACACACATGCAAAAGAAACAGAAAAAAAAAAAAAAAAACACGCGAGAGACAAAAGTAAACTTCGCCCAACCATGCATGACACGTGCGGGACTAGAAAACGTTGCTCAGAACCTAAATGCGTAATGCTTCTTGCCCCTTTGTCATACATCTCTTCTATTTTTTGAAACTCCTTTTCCTTTCGCTCCTCTCATCAAAACGACCATTAGGCCTTGAGATAAGATTGTTAGACTCATGCACAGACAAGGGGGGTCACTGCCATTCAGAAGATCCAAAAGTAACCAACGAACAACTTTGTTTTGTTCTATTGAGAGTATTCCCTTGGAACTTTTGTTGGTCCAAGGAGGGTTAGAGCAGGATGGACACTTGACGACGGATAGTCAATTGTGACCCCTACAATCGCACCTGAACGGTTGTGCGGCATTCTCATTCCTTTTTGCTCAACCCAATGCGCTTTTCCCCACGCATTCTTAGGACCGGGTTCGTGTACGAGGAAAAAAAAAAAAGGGCTTTTTTATTTTATTTTTAAATGTGAGGGTAGAAGGAGGGAAGGAAAGGAAGTGAACATAAATAATGATATGTCGTTAGGGATTGTGCTTCTTGTTGTTTCGTGTGAATGAAAATTTTGGTTCATGGATGCAAAATGATGACAAAAAAGGAATGTGTGTCAAGGTGTGCAGACGACATCCCGTCTACTGGCCTTGCCATCCCCATCCCTGGGATCCACCTTGGACGTTGACGGGGGCGGTGATAGGCGCAGAGATGCTCCTCTGGAGCTGCAGTCTCCGATCGGCCTCATCCTGCTCTGCCTGTCGTCTCCGGCGGTACCGGCGAACCACCAACATCGCAATACCAACATACGCGACCGTCGCCAAACCAACCAACGATCCAATAATGGCGCCATTCGAAGTTGATCCGCCGCTCGTACCAGCATTGGTCACCAGGTTGGGGTCTCCAGTGCCGAGATTATCTCCAGTCAAAGGGGTATTGCTGCTTCCACCCTTGGACGCCGCCTCAGGAGGTCGGTTGCTGAGTGGGAAGTCCGAATCAATGTACTGACCAAAGTTTTCGGGGCTAGCCGTGTACAGACCGCTATTGGAGTCCTTGAGCAATCCAGAGAGGGCCCAGTAGTGGCTCTTGGGGATCGACACAATCACCTGGACGGCATCGTCGCCACTGTTGCTGGTGACCAGACCCCGTTTCCTGAAATCGCCTCGGTCGTCCATTCTGTTGTCGCGTTGTCGAAGAGACCGTTTGGATCCAGCAGTGTGGCGACTGGCATCACGGATCGCCAGGACCATGATGTCGTCACTGTCGACCTTGAGCAAAGAGCTGAGCTGCTCAGGGATGAACGAGACCAATTGAGCTGCAAGGACGCCGTTATAGATGACTTGGTAGTACGAGACGTGCTGGAGTCTCAACTGGACATTAAACGAGTTGGGTGGGATATCCGGGTGCAGGTTGGGGATGACCACATCTGGGAGCGAGGTGCCAGGCGAAGGAGTCGCGGTTGTCTTAGGAGGGGCAACGGGCTCGATCGAACTGGGCAACCAAGGCGTCGTGGTCTTGCGAGGACGATGAGACTTTGACTTAGTAGTGGTCGTAGTGGTGGTCGTGGTTGTGGTCGTGGTGGATGTGGTCGTTGTTGTAGTTGTGGTGGTTGTGGTTGGAATGGTGACCGTGGGAGATGGAACATGAGTGGTGCGCACAGTTGTTGTAGCGGTCGAGTTACTGCTCACTGTTGTTGTCAAGGTGCCAGTGGGTCTTGGTTTACGAGTCGTGACGGGCACAGTAAAAGTGCCGTTGGTGGGCAGAGGCAAAGTAAAAGTGCCGTTGGTGGGCAGAGGCAAAGTAAAAGTGCCGTTGCTGGGCAGAGGCAGTGTAAACGTGTCGTTGCCGGGTCTGGGTCGTCCAGAGATGAGGGTCGGGCTGGGCGTTGTTGATGGGGTCACCGTGGGCGAGGCTGTAACGCTGATGGAGCTGGGGCTGTTCTCGATAGGAGTGACCGACTGTGTAGGTTCGATGGAGACCGAGACTGACTGTGTAGGCTCGATGGAGACCGAGACTGACTGTGTAGGCTCGATGGAGACCGAGGGTGACACGGGCACGGAAACTGACACACTGGGTGATGCCATTGGCGATGAAGACACTGTCGCAGTGACCGAGCTGGAATCGGTAGGAGCTGGCGTCTCGTGGGGTCCTGTTGGCGTCGATGGTGTAGGCGAGTCACTAACAGATCCATCATGGGAAGGGTTAATGCTGCCGGCAGTAGTCGTGGTAGTGGTTGTTGGAGGAACCGTGACAGTTGACGCGCCGCTCTCGTGTGCGGGAGTTCCTGTTGTGTGAGGCGTAGTCTCGGGATTACGAGGCTCAACTGTGGGGCTTTCTTGATGAGACTCAGTTGTAGTCGTATGGGGGACCGTAACAGGGCTGGTGGTCGTCGTCGGTGCCGTGTGCTGAGGAGGGGGCGACGAAGGTGGTGACTGTGAAGGCTGCAGAGTACGATGCGACTTTGACTTTGTTGTTGTATGCGAAGTGGGAGGACGAGGAGTAGGGTCACCAATGTCATCCTCTGTAGTCGTCGTCGTCGTCGTCTTTGTCCTTGCCCTTGTAGTTGTTGTCGGTGGCAACGTATGTTTGACCGTGGTGGTAGGCTTCTTGGTCTTGCGCTTTGACGACGTTGATACCGATATCGTCTTCTTGGGCTTTGGTTCTGAGGTCGGGGTGGTGGTAGTAGTACCGATTACGGGCACCCGAACGATGTCGCCGGCTTCGGCAGCAAAGGAATCAGGGCCATCTTCCCCATCTTCATCGCCAGTTACCAGATCTAGGTCCAGGTCCAATCCTGGCTCGGCGGCATACACAGTTCTGTCTGCGATGCCTCGACGCGCCACTGCATATGATGGCTAGAAGTTGAGGTCAAAGATAAATAGGATGTAACATGGATGAGCGTACGTTGTAAAGTTCATTAATGGATGATGGTCAGGGGAACATGAGGTCATGGGGTAAAAGAGACGGGGCAAGGTTGGAAACAGGACAAGGGTCCTCTGTTTGCCCTTCGACATGGAAGTTGCTCCCCGAAATGTGATCTTCAATTGATGGAGGAGCACAACAAAGCATTGTTTCGGAGACATAGTGTTGTTGTGTGTCACTGAAGGAATGTGTACAGAGGCGGTGCCTTGGTCTCTGGCACAGCGTATGAAAGCAATTGCGCCAAGAAACGAATGGACGTAGAAAGTGTGTGTATGTGACTTATTTTTCCGTTGGGTAGGTTGCGTGGAGGGGATAATGCAGCAGGTGTAGTGTGAGAAAGAGGTGTGGGATAGAGTAGGATGGAGAGGGCGGGAAGGGCGGGCGTTGAAGTGGTGAGGGCAATTCCCTCTTCTGCCAATGGCGAAGAAACAAACAAACAAACAAACAAACAAACAAACAACGCACAAACAAACTGAAAAATGACCGTACAAGAACGGTGTGTCTGGCAAATTAAATAAATTGGCACAAATTAAAAAATGAAAGAATCGCACAAGGCTCTCAATCCCCTTCTCTTCCAGCGTTTTGTTTGTTCGTCCCTTTTGTTGACCCGTCAGTCTCAATGTCCAAACATAGCAAGCAATTCCCTCGCTCTCATTCAAGCTGGCACAAAACACCAATCGTAGCCATCAGGGAGTGCAATGCAGCTGATTTGACTGAGACATGCTTTGCTTTGCTTTTGCCTTGCTTGCTCGACAGGGCGCAAACACATGGGAACTACCATTGAACAAAACAGACAAGACCACACTTTTAATCCAAATGTGTGATGTGTACGAGTTGGAAGGTCATTCGTTCCGCTTGGAAGGACTAAAAAAACTCTCTTTCTTTCTCCTTTCTCTCTTCCTTTCATATGGTCTAGTCAGGGCCAATAATGTCCATGCTAGATTGGGCATAGTCTCCTTTCTCATTTTCCCTTCGTCCACCCTCTTTTTTTTCCCTTCTTTTCCTTCTACTCGAATGAGAGGCAGATTTGATTGATTGTGTCTTGATAATTTGTTGTAATTTGTGATTATGTGATGTGATAGGAGGGAGCGATAGACAAAAGACTATGACACAAAGTGTGAGGTGGAGGGATGGAAGGAGGTGGACGGGGGACGGACTGGGTGCATGTAAAGGGGGAAAAGGGGATGTGTGATATGACGATGGAAAGAGGGAGTCAAGCTTACCGATCGATAGACATCGCCTGCTGGTTCGGCGGCATTGACAAGTGCCATCACGGCAGGGAGGCCGAGAAGCAGCAATGATTGGAAACGCATGCTGTGTATATGTTGTTGTCCTTGTTGTCCGTTAAATAATCCGAGATAACGGGATATTGGTTGTTGTAGTCGTTACGGCTGAGGGTGTTGGGTTGTAGTTCGTTCCTCCTGATGCAATTTGGTTTTTCTGGACCGTTTCTTTTCTCTCTTTCTGTCTAGCTGTAAGGGTGTGGGTGGCATGAGAAGGAGGAAGAGGAGGAATAGTAGAGCAAGAGCGAGGAATAGTAGAGAGGCAGAGCGGGAGAAGGAGGAAAGAAAAAAGGACGGGTTGGGTGAGTCGAATGCACTGGTTTGAATGTCGAGAGGCGTTTTGTCCAGAGTGAGTTGTCAAGTTGAATGAGTCGAATGGTGCTGTTTATTACATGAACTGTTGGTGCATGAAAAAAAGCGATGGGTGGAGCCGGCAGTCGACTTGTTCTTTTTATGTAATCACTTGTCGAGAGAAGAGACGTTGATGAAGGAAGGGGTCGTGAAAAATTGCGAGTGTGAAGGAAGGAAGGTAGGAAGGAAGGGAGGAGGGAGAATGTCGAATGAGCAGCGAATGAATGCTAAGGGGAAGGAGGAAAGTGCGATGGCAGACCACGGAATGGCACCCTATGGCCTGGGTGAGGATGAGAGAGAGGGTGGGGGTAGGGGAGTGAGGTAAGGGAAGGAAGTTTGAGAAAGAAGACGTCGATAACGAAGTAAAAGAGAAGAAAAGGAAAAGGAATAAAAAAAGGAGGGAAAAAAAAGAGAGAGAGAGAGAGAGAGTGAAGGGAAAAGAGAGAAGAGGATAGATAATGCAAAGGTGCAAGGTTAAGTCGGAGGGAAAGGGCTGGTTGCGAGCAAAAGGGAATTAAAAAAAAAAAGAGCATGTATTTCTGGCGCCCTTCTTTTACTTTCTCACAACGTTGTTGGTTGATGCTGAATTTGCGGCATTAAGTAGGATTCGACATCCGACAAAGGAACGGGGACAAATGGACAAGGAGGGAACGGGCTGTACTGTTTATGTTTCTCTTCACTGTTGATTGAACAACATCTCTTGATGGCCAATCGAACCTCCTACAGTACAAAGGAGAACGAACAAGCGGGGGGGGGGGGGGGGTCCCGTTTGTCTTTCATTTATTGACATGAAGGGTACCAGGTCATCAAGTACCTCCGACCACCTATTTGTCTGCGTAGCCTAGCTGTTCCTGAAGTTGATCCACCTTTTATTGATTGAAGGAAAACAGTGTCTCGCCAATAGGAAACCCCCATCACAACCACCGTTATCAGAAATGAAAAAAGACGCCACCACAATACTCTAATTCCATCACTTCGCTATCTTCACACTACACATCCTCTACATACCAACAACGCCTCAGGTTCCGAGGAGGAAAGGGACACTGGAAGAGTATCAAAAAGGGGGTACAGAACCTCCTTTGGACTTCCGGTTCAGATCGATTGCTTTGCTTTTGCTTTTGCTTTGTCTCCCTCCTTCTTTACCTCCTCTGCCTCCATGCAGGGCATACACACATACCTACATACAAAACTAGCTAGCTCCCCCAACCCTTCAATGCATGATAAAAATAGCGCCTTTTTTTTGCTTCTTGAATCCAGGCCGTCTCTGTTTACCCATCTCCTAAAAAGCTTCTGACCTGTTTCTCCTACTGCCCTCAATTCATACTCATTCAATCTCATAACATCTGTTCCTGGATGTGTGCGTGTATTTGTAATTGAATCTCTCTTACCTGGCGTGGTGTACCCTCCCTCCCTTCACTTCCTAACTTCACATCCACCACCACCTTTTGTCCTTGCTATGCCTACCACCACCACTACCATACCTACCTATCTGCCAACACAAGAAACCCTCCTTGTACAACTCTATTCGTATCTTAGATATTGCAATTTAAAAGTCATACCCTTTTTTTGTTATGTCAAACCTGTTGGCTCTCAAAAAAAAATTGTTTACGAGAAGGCACAAAAAAAAAGGAGAGTAAGACGCGTTCCTGGTTCCTAACTGGCTGGCTGGCTGGACGCACGGTTAGATGGGAAGGAAGCAAGAGGTCCGAGTGAGCGAAGGAAGGATGGAAGGTAAGAAAAAAAAGGAGGAATGGAAGGAATGAGATGTAAGGGGTGGTTCTTGTTTCTCCCCCTGCTTTATGCCTTGCTTTTAGCTTACCTGCCTTGTTTTTTGTTTGTGGACACTTTTTTTTTACGGTGTGAGAAACAGGGGTACAAACAGTGTAAGGTGACAATCCGGACCCAGCCAGTCAATTCCTTTCCGTACATACCAACACACACCGCTTTCATTTTCCATCTCTTTTCCAGATCCGAGCGATGGCATGGGCGTAAGGCAAGCAAGACTCACATAAGCATGCCGGGTCTAAATTGAGAGTTATTTTATGTCGCTACAAATACAATATCGTCTTGAAGACGTTCCTGCTATCGCCCTCACCACCTTTCATCTATTTTACGCCTTCTGCGAGATAAGACCCTTCAACATATCAAAGCTATTTCCATCCGGCTGCAACCTAAACTCCTCTCCACCCACCTCCCTCCCCTGCTCATCCACGCCAACAGTCCTCAACAACCCATAATCCAACGAAATACCCTTAATCCTCACCCGCCGATGAGGCGTCATGGTCGTCAGTGTCACGATTGCATCCGAGTGCAACCATCGCCGGTAATACATCTCTTCAAATTGTGCGAATCCGGTTCCATTACCGCCTAGGAACTGGCGGTGGAATTGTTCGAATTTGACAAGGATCTGAGCAAGGAGGGTTTCTTGGGAGAAGAGGGCTAGTGTTTTTCCTGTGGTTTTGTTGTGGTGGCGGATTAGGTGGTTGATGGACGTCGTTGGGTTTGGATTTGTCGCATTCACTCCGCATCCTGTGCAAGTGGAGGCAAATAAAAAGAGTGGTAGTTAGTTACACGTTTTCAACATCGAAGCTTGTCAGCCAAATAAAAAGAGATGGGTGCTTACCGATGACCAAGAGGAACTCAGAGCCGTCAAAGTTGGAGTTGACGAGGACGCCTCCAATCTTAATCATCTTTGGCGAGGAGCTTGCTGTTGCCGCCTGAGCCTGTGAAGGGTGGTCCAGGGGCGCTTCCGCATAGATATCATTAGGCCACTTGAGTCTCAATGGCAAGTCCTCATACCCAGGCAACGAACATACACTCTCGACCACCGCCAATGCCACCAGGTACTGCACAAACACCGCTGATGCATGAATCGCTTGCACCGGGTGTCGCAGCACCATCGAGAACTGTAAACAGCCTGGCGGAGAGATCCAAGAGTTTCGACCGCGTCCTCGTCCTGACACTTGAATAGTCGCATTACACACAAAGCCGTTGGGCAGCCTCTGGCAGAGCCCAAAGTTTTTGTCCAGCATTGTCTGTGTCGAGGTCACAACTTGACCGTACAGGAGACTGTTGCCGAATGTGAGGTTGTTGTTGCTGAAACGGGAGCCGATGCCGGTCGCCAGTTGTTGTTGGCGGGTCAGGTCGAGGTGCTGGAAAAAGTGCGCCATGTTGAATTCAGGTGTCATGGTCGTTGGTGGTGGTGCGTCAGCACAGAGGACAATGTTCTTGGTAATATTTTCTTCACCTTCCTCCTGTTCCAGTCCTGGAGCTGTCGCCGGTGTTGTGGGGTTATGAACCGGGATCGTGTGCTGGAGCGACGGAACAATTTGAAAGGTATCGTTGACTTCCTGTATCTGGCCCTGACCATTGGCGAGTCCCAACAAAGTCCTGCTCAACTCTGTTGTGTACGATGGCTGGACGGATGCAAGGAAAAGAGGAGTAATCGAAGGAACGCCTTGAATGACTCCTGTGGTCGTCCCATTCACAGCCGTAGCAGCTTGACCAGGTTCTGGTGGAGCGACGGAAAGGCCCATCTTGGCCAGGACAGATCTCAAAAACAGTCGCCGCTCATGTTCCCGCTCCAATAGCCGGTTCACAACATTTGGCTGCGGTCCGTATTCCGGGTTGCGTGCATCCAGATGAGTCGCATTGTATTCCGGGTGAACGCCTGTGAGAACCGCCAATCCTTGTCCGACTTGACAGGCGACCATAGCTGCTTTGGGTCCTGGAGAGTCTGGCTCAATCTGGGTTGATTCCTTCTTGTACCAGGCCATGACAGTGGTCCCTGGATACTTGTCTGCGTCCACAAAGTACCCGCCTCCATTAAAGTAGACCTTGGTCTCTGCAAAATCAAGCCCAGCATCCTGCCCCTGCTGTGTCCGAGAAAAGACCTCCTGGTTGAGTTGAATCCCGACAGCATTGGCGCCACTCTCAGATTCATAAACAAATCCAGGATAAACAGCCCCTCGACACTCTCCCGCAAAGAACTTCAACTCTCTCTCCCCCTGCACCTCCAACGACCGGCCTAGCTCAAACGAGATCCGATCCGATCCATAATACGCCCCAGCACAGATCCCAAAAAACCTCCCTCCAGACTGAACATAGTTCCTGATCCGATCGTTGGTGGCCCCATTGAGGTCTCTAGTAAATGGCAAGTCCCTCCCCCCAGGGATAACCAGCAGGGATGTCGAATCTTCCCACGGTTCGGTAAGCAGTCCTGTGGCATCGATTTTCATGACATCGTAGTGTTGTCCGACGAGGGAGCGCAGGCTGTTGACGGTGTGGATGAGCGACGTCCGGGAGGTGCCGTCGCCAGAGTAGACCAGAATGTTCATACTGCTTTTGCTGATGCTGTTGGTGCTTGTAGAGGAGTGGGAGCTGTAAGGAATGTGTGTTGAAAAGTCAAAGGTGCGGCCTTGCCCTGAGAGTTGGCTCTGTTGGTGATGAAATGTGTGAAGGAGTGATCTCTTGTATGAGAGATGTGATCGTAGTGGCTGCCGGGATGATCGGAATGCAAAAGCGGGTGATGAGGAGGAAGGGAAGACGAAGAGAGAGGGGAGAGAGGATGATGAAGGGACGAGAAGACGGAAGAAGGGTTTGGTCATGGAAGCGACTGAAGGGATGAGTCTGCTATCAGTCGGGGCATCCTGTTGTGTGAGTGTGTGGAGTGGATCTGGGCTGGAACTGAACTTTGGCTGCTCTTCCCTGGTCTGCTGTGGTTGGTTGGGCGAGAGTGTTTCCTGGCCTTTGTACCTTTCTGTATGGTGTCTGGGGTACAGAGGACAGGGAAGTGATACATAGGGCATAAAAAAGGTGTGGCTGAGTTTCACTTTTCAGGGGCCATCACTTCTTTTGCACACTTAAACTGATGGAACATGCTCTTGGGTAATAAATGGATACATGCATGGCATGAGATCTTTTTTAATAATAATAAAGTAGTAAAAGATAATACAGAGATATCTACAGTAAAAGGTTTACAAGGTATTATGATTATATAGCGATTTGCTTAGACAACGTCGACACGCTTGGTCCAGCGGTTGTAGATCATCAAGAAGAACAAGATCGCTCCCGCAACAAGGTACATCGCCGCGTTGTAACCAATCATCGACTTGTAGTCCTGAGCCTTCTCAAAGATCTGGCCAGCAATGGGCAACGTAAACAAGTTGCCGGGGGTGTTGGTCAAGAAGATCACAGTCAGGCCCGAGCCCAAGTTAGCGAGACCGACAATGTTAGCGGTGATCGAGGCAACGAGGGTGAAGAACGAGCCAGAGAAGAAGCCGTACATGATCGAGAAGCCAATCAATGCACCCTCAGTCTCGGCAAACATCCAGATGAAGCACGAAAGACCAGCGAGAGTAAAGGCGCAGGCGGCAACGCGGATGGCTCCCAGACGATCACCAGCGATACCGATGATAACACGACCGACAGCGTTGGCGCCAGACATGATCGACAACAGCTGACCACCCTTGACGTTGGGGTCCAATCCGACAACATCCTTGGCGAATGAGGGGATGTAGGTGAAGGGGACGACGTAGGCGAAACCAAAGAGGGCGGCGGCGACAAACCAGAGCATGAAACCGGGATCGCGGAGGATGGTCAAGTTGATGGTATCCTTGCGTTGAGCAATGGGAGGGCCAGAGAGCTGACGGGGAGCACGCATAACCAAGGCAGCAAAGGCGGTGCAGACAAAGTGGAAGATGGCGTAGATGCGGAGGGTCCAGTAGATGCCGACTGCGTTGATCAAGGCAGGGATGATGAAGCCGAGGCCAAGACCACCAATACCAGCACCAGCGAAGCAGATACCCATGGCAAGACCACGGTGCTTATCGTACCAGAGAGGAGGGATAGCGGTGGCGGCCAAGTTGAGGAGGGAGGCACCGATACCAAACATGACACCCTGGGTCAGGTACAACTGCCAGAGCTCATTGCACCAGGAAGCGAGCAAGAGACCGAGGGAACCAATAATGCATCCGGACCAGAGGACGACCTTGTGGCCGAACCTGTTCATGACGGGGCCGGCAATGATAGTGAAACCGAACTGGAAACCGACGGCAAGGGAACCAACAAAGGAGATGGCGGACTGGGTCGCACCGCGAGCTCCGTAGCTCTCGCTGTACTGGGCCTGGAAGATACCGTAGATGGAGACATATCCGATGGCAGCCAAGATGGTCTATTTGGTGAAAAAGAGATGGATATATCGTAAGTTAGCGGATTTTGAAGGCGTCAAGCTGAAAGAGGAAAGAAAAATCCGGGGTAAAGGAAGGGAAAAAGGTTTGATATCGGATGCGAAACTATAACTTTGACAGAAATGGATCCAAAACTGGGGTTGAAGGAGTGGGAGAGGAAGGAGTGGGAGAGGAAGGATGGGGATAACGAAGAAAGAGAAAGGAGTGGAGAAAGATAAACTGCAAAATTAGAAGGGTGGTTGCTTACCAAGAAACCACCAAAGACGACAAGGTAGCCGCGAAATCCAGACTCCATAACAACACCATCCTCAAAAGTGGCATTGACAGAGGCAGGGCGGCCGTGGTCATGCGAGTAGCGCTCGTTCTTGGCGAGGACGACGCCGTTGCCCTGGACGGCCGACTCGTAAGATGAACGTCTGGACGAGGCAGGGCGTTTGTGGTGGGCAGCAGCAGCGGCGATGCCCTTTTCCTTGTCCTGCGAGGCAACGGTGCTGTTGCTAGTGTTGCCCTCAGGAGCACTCTTGAAAAAGTTGAATTTTGTCATTGTTGTTGTTGTTTGTTGTGTTTAAAGGTGGGGAATAATACAAAGGGGATGTGGAAGTGGATAGTATTACAGGGGAGGGTGGGAAGTGGTATATGTTTTGTTTGCAGATGACACCAAAAAAAAGAATAAAAAAGGTGTGTGAAGGACGCGAGGGCGGGTTACTCCTTGACAACAAGTCGATGCTGGAGTATGTGTGTATGTGAGTTGATGGGAAACTAGTAACAAAGGAGTGTTTGTTTACTATGTGAAGAGCGTGTGTACGACGAAGGGTAAATGGTCAATGTGTAGCGAGCAGCTGTTTACAAAGAAAAGAGATGTTTGTTGACAAAGACGGTAAAGTAAGGGTGTGTTGATTTGTTGACGTTCACAAGGGTATGAATTGTGTGTACAAGTGACGGGAGATGAAGAGGAAGATCTGAATCTGAGGAAGAGGAGAAGTAGTCGAAGAGAAGAAGAAAGAGGAGGAGAAGAGAAAAGGATCAAGGTCAAGTCGAACAAAGAAAAAAAAAAGCAGGAGTCGAGGATGCACTTTTTATACGAAAAAAAAATGAAGAAGGAATCGACGATGAACGACACGGCTCCATGTTCATTTTCTGACAGATGACATTGTCTTGTCCCTTTCTCCATTCCCATGGACTAATTCAGACGTTGCGGACCCGTCAATTGAAAAAAATATTAAAAAGGGAGAAAATAAGGACAGAGTAAGATCTGGGCATACACGGATCCCCAAGAACTAAGGTAATGCGAATAGAATGGGTGAATCCTTATTAAAAGAAAGAGGAAGGGTTCCCCTCCCCCTACCCCCTACGGAAACGATGACAGAACCGAATAAAATAACCCGGTCGGAAAAGGCAAGAGCAAGGTTTTCATTGAATCGACTCAAACACAAACGTATTGTAATCGCGTTCTCGGAGGAAAGATAGGACAAACATCCAGGGTTACCCTACCAACTATCGTCATTCATATCGAGACATTTCATTGTTTCTGTTCAATTGGCGCTCTTAGTGTTAATACAATCAAGCACAAGGACTGGCTCATGGCCCATAACCAACTCAGCTACGATGATCTGGCAATACTCGTACTTTGTTTATCCGCTCCAGGGTTGTGTGTTGCAGAAACATGTTACATGTCACTCAAACATGATCATCATCAGCATCAGCTTTAGTATTCATAAGAACAACAAAAGACTGCCACGGGAAGTCAACACAGACACCGGCATCAACAACTGCAGCATCCCTTCTCTTGCTGAAAAGGTTCATACTTGTAGAGGAGGAACGAGCGCACATTTCATACTTCCTTGTGAACAACAACAAAAAATGCTGTCAACAAAGAGCTTTGTTGACAGATCGTGGTGGACTTGTAAAGCACGCAGGAAATGTACACCAACAACCAGCCAGGACGACATGAGCTCCCCCTATTCCTTTCTGCTTTCACGCCCTCGCTTCGTTGCATTTATCTTTTCCCCTTTTCGGTGGTATACTTCCTTTCGATTACTATTGGGTGCTATTAGGTGTTCCAGCAAGGACGATAAGCAAAAAAAACTGTTTGTCAAATGAAACGAGATGGGAGCATGAAAGTCAATAAGGGGAGACTAACGAGGACAACTGGAAAATGTAAACAACACGATGGGGATCGAGAGATGAAAGCAAAAAGGAAAAGATGGATAGAAGGAGGAGGAACGAGGATCCATTCGGGACCGACCGCAAGCAAAGAAGGACGGCGAAAGAGGGGGCCTGTTGACAACATTTTGTTTGTTTTCTATCACTATGCTGCGATGCATAACTCGTCCCCTGACTCCCCTACTGCCCCTTCCTGCTTCATTTGATACGTAAGAAACAAGAAAAGGAAAGTGGACCAGAGGGTACTCTCGATCAGATCCATAAAGTAGTAGGTGCATTGAATCCATTGCTTCCATATGTACCAACGAAAAGAAGTAAAAAAGAATATGTATGATCCATACGAAATCAGCATGAGTGAACTTATAAAACGATACCAAAACATGAGTCTCCATTTTTTTCTCTCTTTCCAAGTTCCAAGGGAACATCGGAGGCTGAACGTACAGAGCAGTTCTTGACCAATGGGTGGGCACAGTTGCGATTTAAGATTCCTTAATCGCCCTCTTGCCCTTCATTTGTACCACGTCAACCCAACCAAGAAAACTGGATCCATTGGCTAATGAACGTTAGTGTTTTTGTGTGTTTCTTCCTGGAGTCAGTTGGTCACAAGCGAGAGAAACAAGTATTCATTTTTTATTTTGGAGCACAGTTTAACTTTCGGAGAATCCTTTTTCTTTTTTATCGTGGTGCATACGCATTCAAAAAGGGAAAGGAAAGAGGTGGATGGTGCTGGGGTTGAGGACAAGAGGAAAAAAAGACAGACCATGGAATGAGGTGATTACTGAGAATGAACATCGAGTGGGGGGAGACGCGGTGAAAAAAAGGGGTGACCAGGACTGGGATAAGGAAGACGAACGAGTCTTCATCCTCGGCCATGTTACCCCGCATTTCTATTACATAGTAAAGATTTCGATTTCGTAAAGGAGAGTGGCCTTTTGGATGACGCCCAAGAGTTGTCCATTCATGTCATCCTTGCCTTTCTCGATACCCTTTACTTGTCGTTCTGGGTTGGATCGAAAAAAGGCTATCAAAGACCGATCCGTTTCAGGTTCGCAAAGCGAATAAAGCGCACATGTTATCAGTTAGAAGGGCGAATGTATGAGTGCAAGTGCCAACAAAGCGCAACGTGAATCAAGGACAAGAAGAAAGAGCACATCAGCTTTGAATAGAAATGCGGGGTAGTGAGAGGACGATGGAGAGGCATAGAAAAGTCAAAATGTGGGGAACGGACTCTCTACTCCTCTGTGCCCTCCCTCGTGCACTTGTCTTCCTTCTACACCAATGACAACTCGACCTTCGTTTACCCTCTTGTCTCAGGTGGTGAGCCGTTTAGAGTTGAAAGACAGGCAACCAACCCCATAACGGTAATTCCACCGAGTCAAGTTTTTTGCAAGAGGCTACGCTCTGATCCGCCCCCTATTTTATTTTTCCCAAAGAGCCCCTGGAGCTTTGGTGAGAGTGAGTGGTGAACAAGGCGAGTTATGCTGAACAAGGGACATAGGAAGCCCTTTGTTCAACGTGGATCACAGCCCCGGAAACTCTTCTTCAAAGTCTCTTCAGGCCTAGACGATCAGGCATCCATTTTTTTATCCTTTTCATTTTCTCTTTGCTCCTTCACTTTTCTCCACCTTCCGCCACATGTGTTTTTGATACCACTTCAAAGTTCCTTACATGTTCAGCACGTAACATTTCGGAAAAAAGAGAATCATGCAGATCCATCCCTACCATGTATTCCCCTTTTTCCTTTTATCCCGGACAAATCCCACTTTCCTGTTTCAATGGTACAATTGACAAGGATGCATGCAAGGTATGCGGGGTTCGGACTTCAAATGTGGGTGAGAATTGCTCCCTTTTTACTTACTCCTCCCCATCTTCGCCCCCACTTTTTTTTGTTTCCTTTTCTTTACATGTAACCCCACCTTTACAACTCCGTAAAAGTCTTATTTTCATTATCATTATGACATGTACCCTATTACTTTAGTGCAGGCGTGATACGACTTACATTAAGTCCATTGATAGGTGGAGAATTAGAGAGAAAGAAAAAAATTCACCGCCCCCGCATTTTTTCTTAGTGGCGCACATGTCCATGCTGGGCACCAGGAAACGATAGGGATGAGAGTGAACCCTATTTTTTTTGGGAGAGATGGATCGTGCATCTGGGGAAAGAAAGGAAAGGTAAAATACGAAAGAGGGATGCCATGAGCGCAATCGTAATGAGGGGTGGGTATGGACTGAACAAGATGGTAGGGAGCTTTCGTAGAGTAATTGACAAGGGTTCGGAATGGACAGGAGGGACGTCTCTTGGTTGATTGCTATACTTTTCATCCCTGTGACCCTGCCTTGCCAGCATTCCTACTTGTCATCCTTTATCCGATCGCGCTAGATGTTCATCTTTGGTTTTTTGTTCACGCAAAAAAAAAAGTATGTCACTGGCACCGACGGGTGCATACGTCTCGCAAACCCATTTCCTTCTCTCGCTCGGAGCTCACTTCATGTGAGGCTTTAATGTGTTCCCCTTCCCTCTCGAGGAAAAAAATGACTTCTAAAAACGACCAAACAATAACGTTGAGCCGTTGGATTTGTCAGGGACCGAGTATGCGTGCGGATAATATTCACTGCTTTTCCTCCATTTCTTCTCTATCGAGGAAACGAACTCTCCGCCATGGCTAACAAAGAGGGAAGGGAGGGACGTTGGGATTGCAATAGCTTGTCTCGGTTGGTCCGTGTTCACCCTAATCCAATTGATCAAGCTTTCATGTTGGATATGACAGTCACTTGATTAAACGCGTCGAGCCTCACGCGTTCGATACTTTTCCCTTTTTTGATTTTGATTTTGATTTTCCAGCTGGCGGTGGAATGTCGAATGGGCCAGCACAAAATATATTATTTTCTAGCCTGGCAATCATAACGGAAGGTCTCACCATCCAACTTACTATCGTTGCCAGGGACGAGGCTGGTTGTAAACGTGAGGGTGAGGGGGGGATTTGCAAACAGCTTGTTAAGGGACTCCCACCCTCTTTTCTTCTAGTATATAATCCCTCATCGTCACCCCTGAACTCACTCATCATCTTCTTCCTCACCTTTCGTTCATTCTCCTCTTCAAGCGACAACAAACGTCCCTCTAGGGCTAAGCCTTTTTATCTATTATACCATCTATCTTACATATCTATATTTAATACTCTTCCTTTTACTGTACCCATCCTTTTCAAACAAAAAAACGAACACCCAAAAAAAAACCAACCGACCAACTCAAAATGCCATTGACAACCATCTACAAGTTCCCAATGGCACAGACCTCCAACAACACCTTCCTAAAGTCTTCGTTCACCAAGGCCATCACCCCTCTCCGATCCACAGCCCCCTCCCAAGCAATCCTCTCTTCCACCACCACCGCCCTTACCGCCCTCCTCTCCTCCGCCTTCTCCAACGCTCCTTCCACTACTTCTTCATCCACTACTACAACTTCAGGAGTCCGTCGTGTCAGGATGCTCAGCAGACCATTCACAGCACAGTGGGCAACAACCCTCGCCCTCCTCTCCATAACCCTCCTCTCCTACTTCTCCCTCCTCACCACCCCAGCCACAGCAGCACCCGCAAAGCATACCCCAGCATCCAACAACGTCGTCAAGTCAATGGCCCTCACATTCTCTGATACCTCTGCCCTCCCACTCCAACTCCAAATCGAATCCCAAGTTCGTGGGACCCAAAAACTCGCCTACCTCCCCACCACCGGACCCTCTCTTGATTTCTATTACCTCAACTATCGACCCACCTACATCGCCGGGAAGTCCACAATCGACTTTTGGATGATCTCACCAAAGGGCATCGCGGCTCCCAAGACCGCATCACTAGAACTGTTTGATGAGTTTGGAAAGATTCATTTGGCGACGTTGGTCAAAGAAGGGACCGAGATCCCACAGGACAAGGCGGCGAGTGGAAATCCGTTCTTGTGGAAGAGTTGGGTAGTGCCCAAGGATCTCAAGGCCGATTTTGACTTTTCGGACAAGTTCCGGGTGATCTTGAAGACCTCTTCCGACTCTGTTTCTAACCCCGCGTTGATGAATGCTGGTGGAAGGAGAAAGATGGTGAAGAAGGTCGTCAAGGTTGATAAACGCTCAATTGTTACCTCGGTCCTTGACAACATCTTCAAGCGCGCCGCTCCTGTTAAAAAGGCCGCCACCAAGGACACACCCGTCAATGCTGCAGGAGTGACCGTCGTCCAGGACCGCCAGTTCCGTATCAAAGGCTTGGAGGCCACCCCCGGCGGAAATGTCAACCCTGCCAAGCTCCATGTCAACAGCGTTGCTCCTCAACAACCCAACACCGATGCGAACGCAAAGGTCGTCAAGACCACCAACACCAAGGATGCCTCTACTTCCGTCAACGGCCAAGACATGACCACCTCTTCCGCTGCTCCAATTGTTCTTCAGACCGAGGGCAGAAAGTCGTCCGCCATGTCATCCGTGACCGACATCGACCTGTCCGTCTCGGTGATCGTCACCTTTACGGTCGCGCTCCTCACCTTCCTCGGACTTCTTGTCTAAACAGTGGCGTTCGACTTTTGCCTTGCCTCGTGACAGCGTATACTTTTTTTTTGCTTCATTTGTTTGAATTTATCATTGCCAGTTCTTTTTTTAAAAAAATATCCCCAAGTTGTATGTTATTCACACTACTTTAGTACCACCACCACCATTCATAGCCATTTTGCTTTTTTTTTTCTCATTTGTACATCACCTCACTTTGATCTCAATTAAACCTTACATTAATCAATTCATCTTCTTTAGCCGCTCAAGCGGGCAACAAGGAACAAAGCAGATGCACATCATTTTGCTAGTATTTTTTTTCAGTTTTGTACAATTGGTGAAGAAGAATAATTGAAGAGGTAAGGAAAAAGGAAAAAGGAAATTGAAAAAAAAAATGCGGTTGGTAACAGGAATAATGGAATGAAAAAACAACACTGATGTAAAAAGGAACAGTGAACGAAAATAGGGTGAAGTAGGAAATGCCAAAAAAAAAAGAAAGAAAACACCTTCTATGGACACAAGAAAAGGCGCTTAACAGAATAACGAAAATAGTGAATAAAGGTAAAGGATGGATGAGTAGAATAGGTAGGTCCTAGCGGAAATATTAGAAAAAAAGCTGGCTGACCGCAGTCATGCAAGGCGCGGAAAGAGGAAAGAAAAAATATATGGCTGCAACGCCCTCGTATCACAATGGCTATTAATCCAGGATCTTGCGCACTTTCTTTCGGCCGCCTCCAAGAGTCTCAAACTCCCTGAGGAGCTCGGCCAAGATCTCGGGCTGCTCCAGCCAATCTCGCAGCTGATGAATCGTAGAACGAGTGCTGGCTTCTGCCGTCAGACAACGAAGCAAGAGCTCGCGCGATCGTTGTCCAGTGACCTCGCGCTCCAGCTGAAACTTGATCTGCTCGTCGGTTGAAATAAGGTAACGGATCGTCTTGATGTCATCTTCAATGGCTCCATTCCAGGGCGACTTGCCACTGAAAGTTCTCCAGATCAAAACTCCCAACGAGTATACGTCCTCTGAACGCGGGTCAACTGGTGGGAGCGGGGTATGGTCCTGTTTAGATCGAGGAAGCGTCAGAATCGATCTATCAAATATGTACAAGTGAGAAGAAGCAATTGCAGTCAGCACTTCGGTTCAAAAAAGCCAGTAATTTCAACCACAAACTCTCAAGTACTTCTCAAAAGTGCAAATGTGGCGCACCTGTATAGCTTGTAGCCGTGGTCTGGCGGGAGGACAACTAGAGGAAGAAGTGCCAACTCTTCGTCGGGAACGTGATCCTTCATGCTCCAACGCTTGACTTCCTCAGGTTCAACGAAAACAGACTTGCCAAAATCAATCACTCGAACCCATGGACGAGGGGTGTTGTCCTCCAACTTCAAAAGTGGATCCTCGTCAACCATAATGTTGACTTCGCTCAGATCACGATGCGCCAGGCCAGCTCCGTGGATCGAGCTCAATGCCGCGACCATATCCCGAATGAGTGACAGTTTTTGGCATGGACTAGGGTGGCGTCTTGCGTTCGTCGCATAAGCCTTGAGTGTGTATGCGTACCTATTAATTAGTTTTTCGAGAGTGTATTTGAAATAGATGAGTAAATTGGTCAGAAAAGAAAAAAGCACTGGAATAACGCAGTATGGCGAAAAAGGTTACGAGATGAAGGATACTTACTTGGTCATGGAGAGACCGACGAGATGGTCTTCGTCGTCATCGATGATCGACTGGATCTGACCAACGCCTTCCAATCCGCGCAGCTTGAGCAAACAGGCCACTTCACGGACACGCTGCTCGAATGACTCGGTGTCCATCTCCTTAAAGTTTTGAATCACAAGACCTTCTTCGCCTTGGACATGATAGATCCTCTTGAACAACCCCTGAGCAGAGTCAGCGATCAATGTCGGCTCGATGGCATTCCAGCTGGTGTATGGCACTTGCTTTTCCTGTGCAGTCACCTTGATATCCCGCAACATCTGCTCTTCGCGGTCGGTAAGCGCCCTTGAAGATCCGGCGCCTGTCGTCAGCAGATTTCCTTGTTCGAATTCGTTACCCTGTCCTGTCGTGGATGGCGTAGCTAGTGTTGACGTTGGCGTTGACATGATCATCGGTACTGACTTCATCGCCGTCGTTACAAGAGGAGATATGAGAGGCGAGTCTCTGATCGCAGTCTGGCCAGTCGACGCAGTTGATTTCTGGGAGGCCTGGGCGATCGTGACTGGCGCTGGTGCTGGGTCGAATGGCCTCGCCACGGTTGGTGGCGCGAGAGGGACTGGTTGAACTGGAGCGGGCGAAGGGTGTGGTACTTGGCGGATAATGTGATTGGGCTGAATGGCTTGATGGCTTGAAGCGAGCTTGAGATTTAACCGCATGGCGGAGGTAGCTGCTGCTGCTGCGGCAACGGCGGCGGCATTCCGTTCGTTCGCGATCAATGAAGGGCTACGCTTGGCCATATGCCGCATATCTGTAGCGCCGTGCTGACTTTCAGAGATAGATTCTTCAAAAGGTCGCTTCAACTCTTGAGATCCCGATTTTTCAGGTAGAACCCCAGGGTTAATCGGGGTCGCTGCCAATTTTGCCAGTGTTGGCATTGGTGTGGATGTTGGTGGGGACGCTGCTGTAGATGATGGTGGTGTTGACGAGGGTAATATTGGTGAAGGAAGCGAGGGCCAAGCGTTTGGCTCGACGCGGTCGGCCATAGGCCTCGTCGCTATTGCGGTGGATATTGAAGGAGAGGATTGCTTTGATGTCGGTGCTGGAAGTTGAGTTGGGGGGACCGCTGGCGGGTTCGAGGAAGTTTGTGGCGGTGCCAGGGCGGCAGCGCTCTCAGATGGAGCGGGTTCGTCACCGTGCGCAGTGGTGCGCCGGAAGCCAAGGGCTTCCAAAAACCCCCTTTCTTGCTCTGTGGTCAACGTAGTGTCTACGAATGGACTCACATCGTGTCGGATCCTGCTCAACATGCGCTTCTCGAACCTAGTCGGAACATTGATATCCAGATCGAGAGTTTTTATGCCCGCAAAGACAATCCAGGCACAGGGGCAGTCCAGATCACCCACCGTGATCATGTCATGGCGCTCACCAATGGGTTTGCCGAGCATGACGCGAGCCTTGATATGGACCACTTTGATGGGATTGGGGCCACCGGCCGGGTCGTTGAAGGGCTTGCTAACTCTAAGGTCACTCAGGATCGCCAAACGAGCACGAGGGTCATCCCGGCAGTTGCCCAACAGACTCCTGTTCTTGTTGATGTACATCCTCGCGAAACGAGGCTTCTCTGACGACATGGGCTCTGGGTTGTTCATCATATCGATCAGAGGCTGGTGGAAATTTGCAAACAAATCAGTCGCCATATCTGTCAGCTTGCGATCCATTTCGCGGAATGTCTGCGCTCGAAAGAGGTAGAGTGCTCTAATGTAGAAATTGGTCAGAAGCCACAGGTATGTTAGCAAACGAAAGGAGAGAATAAAAACGCGAGAAAATAATTTCATGCCTTGATAACACCATAAAAAAAACCTACCCAGGACTATCGAGAGAAACCAAGGATGTATGGTACAGCTCTTGGGGCATTCTTGGGATAGGGAGCTGTCTATTAAGAATAAAGTAAAGGCGGAGAGTCATATAGTTATATCGAGTGTAAGTTACAATCATTCCTAGGTCAATACATGGGCTATTTTTCAGTCAGGCAATGTATGAAAAGGATGGGAGAGTTTTACCCGTCGCGATGAGCCATAAGAAGGCCATTGTATAAGAGCTGGAATTGCGTCGCTTGCTTGTTGATATTGTCGCTTGGAGGATTGAAAGTGACAGCATTATTATAGATCTGCCACAGATCATGTTCAAACTCGGCCTGCTTCGAGTAGCCAGTAGTGAACGTGATATGGTCGGCGGTGCTGAGCAGTGCTGGGTTCATCGGCTGGCTCACAGATTGCTGTTGGACCACAAATGCCTTCCAGAGTTTCTGCTCAATCGTCGTAAGATCCATTGGGTGCTTGATGGACGTGTGGTAGGTCGTCAGGGCCAAAGGGACCTTGTTGACAAAGCACTTGCTCACAGGGTTACTCAAGAGGCGGTCGAGGATCGACATACCCAGGCGGACAAGCTGCAGAGTTTCGTTAGTCCGAATATTCTGCTCAATCGCATCAGCAATGGACGCGGGAGGCGGGGGCGGTGAGTTTGTGACATGAACATCACTCGACGATCCGGCAGGGGCCAGATTCTTCGGGAGCTGGACTGACCGGTCGTCACTACTAGGGTCGTTCGAGGCTGGAGGAGCAGATGACTCATTGCCAGATGAAGATGTGGAGGACGACGTGGCTTCGACCAAGGGACGCGATGATGAATGGTGAGATGTCGAAGGCGTGGCTTCAACCAAGGAACGCGATGGTGAATCGTGGGATGTAGACGGCGCTGTGCCGACCGAAGGCTGCGTAGAAAACGGACAGGAAGTGGTGGCCTTGAATGTTGATGGCACTCGTGATGAGGCAGTGTGGTTTGCCTCGAACGATCCTATGCTTGTTCCACCGTTTATGAACATTGGTGTGGGGAGTCGAACCGCAGTTGGGGCAGGCGCAGGCGCAGGCGAGCTGGATTTTGTGTATGATCTGCTGCGGTGTCTTTTCAGCGGGGATGCGGCTGCCATCGTAACGTCCGTAGACTCCTCCTTGACAACCGCATCTGGGACAACTGGACCTGCAGTATCCGCGGCAAAAATCAGCTTGATTGGAGGCAAGTCCGAATTTGTCTGTGGGGCGCTCGTTTTAGTCGCATTCCGCTTCGAAGGCGACTTTCTCGGCGATGGAGGGGCTCCTGACGACAGACTTTGGCTCGAATTTGACCGCGACATTGACCGCGATGCTCGAGGGACCACTGGCTTCGATACCGAGGGGCTGGGCGTCACAGGGACAGAGGGACTGGGTGTGCTGCGGTCGGTCTTAATCTTCTTGCCTGCATTCTTTCGCTGGTCTGAAATGAAGAATATATAAAAGGAAGATGCGGATGAAATTGTTAGCACCAATTCTGCTATGGATACCTAAATGCAGGACAGAAAAAAACGTACTCAAACGCATTCTCAATAATACAGTAACTCACCAAAAATGGGGAAGTTTTTGGTAGGGGCAGTCTCTCCCGAGAGCATCTCACTATGTGTTCGCTTTGAGTTGTCCACTGGCTGAATGGTCAACGCAAGACTTTGCTGGTATACAGGCTCGGCATCAACCGAAGTTGAGTGCTGATTAGGTGAGGTTGCAGGTGAATATGGAGTGCTGCTCTTGCTTCTAGGAGATGCAGAGGACTTTGACCGGGCAGAGTCTGGGTTGCGGAAGATATCTGGGATGTTGGGAAGGTCCCGTGGAATACGGATTTTAAATCCTGACGACTGCTGTGGATGAGGAGTCGGGGATGGGCTTGCAGAAGGACTTGGAGACTCCTTAGGTGGAACTATTTGTAATAAGAGATGATGACAGGCAGAGGATTAGGATCTTGCTACCAATTGCTTCATGATAATGAAAAACAACAAGATGCCAGTTAATGAAGCGCGAGAAAAAAATCTGACAAATTAATTACACATACATGGCTTTGTAGAGGTCGAGACCGGTGAGGCCGTGGTTCGCAAAGAGATGTAGTTGGGAAGAGCAGATCCTTTTGGTGCAGCTGGTGTGCTGTCTGAATCAGGTCGTGATCCCTGCCACGAGCTGCCGCCATAAGGCCTTATCGGAACCGGGGCCGGGATGTTGGTTGGCGAAGGTCGGGAAGACTTTGACGGTGAAGATTTTTGCAAGTGGGCCATCTCCTGCTGCGATCGGTCGCCGTGGCTCCGATCGACCTCTGATGTCTGTTGCAGAGTTGAGGAAACGTCGAAAGGACGACGGAAGGATTGACTGACGTTCTTATCGGTGGGTTGGTCGATGTCGGTATGCGATGTTGCAGATGTGTCCGGACGTTGGATATTTAAGCCCGAATGACCAGCGTCCAATGTTGCCGGAGGTGTTGACGATTGCTGCTGTGGCAAGGCTGGTTGAGGATATGTGGTGCCCGGAATCTTGACGAGATGAATATCTGAGATGCGGTTTGGGATAACCGGAAGAATGATGGATGGTTATCAGCTCTGTTGTTTTGTTTGCTGGAGGCGCAAGGTCGGCAGAGATGGACAAATATGTCTAAAGAATGGTAGTTGATAACATGATATGGACCACAGTCAGTTAGGCTTCTCTGTCTGCGGATACTGTTAAAGTGTGTAGGGTAGAGTGGGGCTAGTTGGAGTGTGTACTGAGAAAGTGAGTGTGCCGAGGAAGGTGGTGATCTCTCGTTCGCTGTTCGCGCGTGTGAGTGTGTGTGAGGCCTTGTGTCTGTTGAGATTCTTTTGAATCAAAAAAGCGATGAAAAAAACGAATGAGAGTGGAATTTGCAGGAACTGATTCGAACGGTGAGAGAGTGAGAGTATGAATGCGATGTCGATTGGAGTATGTGGGGTGTGATGTGATTGACGTACAGCGAGGTAGGCAGGTAGGTGGAGTGGTAGGTTTGGAGAGAAGAGGAGGATAGGAGGAGAGTGTGAGACGAGGGGAAGGTGCAAGACAGCTCAAGCCACGGAATACGAAGCCAAAAGGAAATATATATAAAAGAAATCTCGGGCGAAGCACAGATATGTGCAGCGACCAGCAGCAACAACAACGAGAATGAAGGGTCAATGTGGATGATACTAATAGGAAGAGTATGGACGAGAGTGAGTGGGGTGCAGAGGAGTGTAGAGTAGAGTCGCTACCGATGGTAAAATGGAGGTGCAAGTGGAGTGAAGTGCAAGTGAAGAGTGAAGAGTGAAGGGTGTGGACAAAGGGGCAAAGGGGTAAGTAGTTATACCAAGCAAGTTCGGAGGTGTGCGATGTGTCAGCAATGAAAGAGTGTGTTGAGATACAAAGACACACACACACAAAAAGAGGGCAGCGGATCTGTGTTGCAGGAGGAAGAAGGGAGAAGTGGAGGAGCGACTTGAAAGAAAGAAAGAAAGAAAAAAAAGAAAGAAAGGAAAGAATGACATCGATCGATAATGTTCAAAGAGAAAAAAGGACATCCAGGGTGGGGCCTGTCTTGTTGAGTGTCTTTGTCCTGTCCATTTGACTCTTTGTAGTGGTAGTATTCGTCAAGAAAAACTACGAAGCACAAGCTTATTGACACATGGCATGCTTCGTCACTCTTGCAAGCTCTTTCTTTTGCTCTGCTTTACGTCGCTGTTGTTCTGTTGTTGCTGTATTGTTGTTTGACGTATTTGCCTGGTTGCTGTGACGAGGCACCCCCTTTTGTTTACCTTGTCTTTTATGTCGGTAGATTCACAGAAAGGTTCAGCTGTCTGCACGGTTGATGAGTTAAATGCGTGTTTGTGTATGTCCAGGAGGTGAAGAGATGAACGATGAGATGGAGGGTGGTTGATGATGATTGTTGCAGTTGAAGTAGAGGAAGAGTAGGAGTGTGAGTGTGGGTCGAGAGTGAATCAAGGGATGGGGATCACAACACGTTTGTCTCGATCGCAAAAAGGAGTTCGAATCCCTGTGTGTGTGTCTGTGGCAGTCGAATGCGTATGTTTGGGCGGGGCTGGAGAGACGAAGGGGCGGGAGAAATGGAAGAAAAATTATTAGACTTTTCCCTTGTCGCGGACAGGCTGCAGTGATTCACATCTGTGCCTGGCATGCACACACACTCTCTCTCTCTCTCATACAAATCTCACATACCCTCCTCTGTCTGCACTCGTCCCTCTCTTCTTCATCCATCCGACAAACAAACGACATGGATCTTCAGCGTCGCTTTACTCGTCAAAGAGGAGCTTCTTTCTTTCTCAAGCTACCAGCTTTTGTCCGAGAGTGCTCAGACACCGGGTCTATGTGTCCCTTTGTCAATAGCGCCGAGATAAAAAATTTAAACATTTTCCCACTGTCGTTGTTCCCTCCGACGTCCACAAATGACTGCGGAGGTATCAACCCTCAAAACTTCGGTACACGGGGCGATCCTGCGAAACATTCTTTGGCGTGGCTGTTCACTGCATCATATTGAACTCATTTAACCTGCCCGCCTTCCTTCACACCTCTTTGTACCACGCTGTCCACCTTCGTCACTCCTCTTGACATCATGAAGCTCGTGTGCACACCCTCAACTCGAAAAAAATAAACGAGTGGGGAGAGGGGGAACTAAGTGTTGAGTCCGCGCTTTGATTTCAATTAGCATCAACTGACTAATGTTCCAACAAAGATCGCATTCCGAGTAGATCCACTCGCTACTCGCCATCTGTACCCTTATGAATGACGCAAGGAAGATCCACTGCATCGAGCTCCCAAAGCGTGGTTTGGTCGGCACTAAATTTCACAATGAGAAACAAGAATGTTTTCGCGCACGAGCTTACCTTTTGTAAACGCGTCGGAGTCGCGATGATCGCCAAGATCGATTCGACTTTTTGTGGAGCAAGCACCATATCTTAACAAAGAGATTCACTCAGGACGATTGTACCGATATGATGGGCCATTTTGTTACATTACTGCAATGCATTGCCACTGCAGTGAGTCGGTGGCGAATGAATGCTGTTGATTTAGCAGCTGCTGGTTCTGGCATCGTATGATGCACGCACACAGAACGTACTGCATGATGCATGGATCACGTCGTGACCAATCACGGAGATCGCGTACAATGATTGAAAGTTAGACACGTTTATCTATAGGATTGAGGTACTCAACAATTAGCACATTCCTGTATCCTCCTGTTTGTGTCTTGGCAGCTCGATAAGGTAGAGAGATCTCCAACCGAGATTCATCGTTAGGTGCTCAATGGCTAACAGAAGAAAGTTCGTGAAGAGAGTAGTACATTTGAACGCGTTCATGGATAGATAGAGACATGACGAGACGCGACCCATGAGGATAATATCAAGGCGGATGGGGCCTCATCTTAGCCAACAGTTTAGATTTGGCAGCCAGGACTATTTGTAACGGCGAAGTGACGGCATTAGAGCACGCTCGATTGACCTGCTAATACGGTTTGTTCGCAACATATTCAAAGAAGAGTCAAGCTCGCTGAACCAACATTTTTTACCACCAAAAAATACCTTGAGCCTCATTAGTACTCGTTTTACATCTCTCCATTGATTCCCTTACGACAAACAATAAGAACATGCGACTTTCTCATTATAACCGCTCCTTGAACATTCCCAGAACCTACTTTTTTTTCACCGCTCAACACTCAGCGCGCCGCTGCCTGGTCCATTTTAAACTATTCGCAGCCCCCACCCTTTACACCCAGGACCCGCCATTCAATACCTCCATCCATGAAACCTCATTACAGTCTTCACAAACTCGATTGCCTGCAATTCTTTCGTTTCCCTGGTCAAAGTTGATATATTTCCACTGGCACGCACCCATCTGACCCTTCTCCTGCCTACTAACCTTCCAGGGAAAACCTCGTACAAAGATTCCTTTTCTACTATAGTTTCGCCTTGTTTGTTTCATACATGGACAGTGCCGCAATACAGCTCGACTTCGAACCTTCAGGGTTCATAATGCCAATTATGTCCGCACCGAGGGGGGGAAGGTGGCCATGAAAAATGGACGCAAAATTATTGTCCCTCTCCCACGTCGTCTCTTTGCAAACAGCACAGCACAGCCACAGCCACACGTTTTTTTTTTGTCACACAAAGACATGAATAGTCCAATGGGGATGCAGAACAAGACTAAACAGAGAAGTTGCTTTGCAAGGATAGCCAAACACTCGCGTTCTTGAACGGATGGTGGGATAAATACGGTATGTTGTCCCCATCCTCTTTTTGCTCATACATTCCCTCTGGGGGGGGGGGGGGGGGGGGGGTTGAGGTCATGAAGAGAGGAGAAATGTTTGCATAGACAAGAACTGTCGTCTGAAACATGTTCGGAGTCCTTTTAAAAAAAACATTATAAAACGTTCCCGCTGCATTCTTTATTCTGTTCGCCGTCTGTTATTTTTTTTTCTTTCTGTGTCGATGTAAACTTAACTATGATTCGTTCTATTCTGGAAATCGCCAATCGACGATATCATTTGTCCACGCATACAGATTGAGAGCCCATAGAGCTTGTTCATATTTCATAATTGATTTACTGTTTTACTACTACTACTATGGTATCAAATTGCTTATTGGTTTTAGAGCCATGAGCCCTACTTTTTGTCGTGCAACTCAGCTGTGAAAGAGTGGATGGATCATGAGAAAAAAAAAACTACAAAAGTAAACGACCTGGTAGAATTGCAAAGGTAGCATTTGCTTATCCCTTCTTGGCAATCTTATTCAACAAGGCAGTGTTGTGGGTGACGGATCCGTGGAGGTTGTCGGTCTTGGAGGTGACGTGAGTCATACGCTCGTTCTGGCGGTTGACCTCCTGGTTCATGGTCATGGCACTGGTCTTGAGTCTTGCCAAGTATCCACCCATAGCATCCAAGTTCTGGTCAATCTCGTTCTCCTGTGAATCATCCTCTGCCGTGTTCTCAAACGCATACGCCGAACGCTCACCGGGACCGCCGCGGCCATCGTTACTGTAGTTGTTGGTGTTACCCGGAGCGCGTCCATAGGCACTTTTACCCATCGCCATATCGATACGCTGCTTGGTTTGGTACTCTTCACGATGGATAGCCTCCCTCTGAGCCAACTCCTCCGCGGCCTTACGCTTGGCCTCTTCGAGCTCCCTCTCCCTCTTCTTGGTCGAGTTGAAGGGATTCTTGATATGGATCGCAAACATCGAACGGTTAACCGTCTTGAGCTCGCCGGCCTTCTCCTGGGCGTTGTCGGCATGGATTTGGGCTGAATCCAAACTACGCTCAATGCGGCCGAGCTGCTCAGACTGCTCGCCAAGCTGGCCCATGGTCCTTCCAGAACTCTCCTCAGCCTCCTGAAGTGCGCGAAGGGCATTCCGGGTCGAGTTGACAGACTCTTGACGGGTATCGCGGATCTGCTGGGAGACGCGGTCGACATCCTCCTCTGTCTCTTGGCCAGGCTGGACTTGGTTCCGGTCGCCGTATCCTCCATAGTTGTTGTTGTATTGCTGTCCTCCGTACTGGTTGCCACCTTGCTGGTTGCTGCCGTACTGGTTGCCTCCATAACCTTGGTTGTTGCTACCATACTGATTGCCACCATATCCACCAGAGTTGCCGTTGTTTTGGCCGTACTGCTGCTGCTGCTGGCCATACTGACCGGGTCGTGGCGCAGAGTTGTATCCGCCACCGCCGGCGTTGCTGTTCGGGCCGTAGGAGGACTGAGAGGACTGGGAGCCGTAAGCGCTGTTGCCGCCGTAGCTGCTGCCATTGCTGCTGTTTCCACCGTAGCTGTTGTTGCCGCCATAGGCTGGTCGGTTGGCGCCATAGCTGTTGCCACCGTAGCTGCCACCGTTGTTGTTTCCACCGTAGCTGGCCATGGGTATTTGTGAGAGAGAGTAGAAGGAGATGAAAGTGGAAGGAGAAAGTGCGAGAGTGAGATGGAAGATGGAAAGGGGAATGAGGATAGACGAGGTGGAAGGAGAAAAGGGGGCGGCGAGTGTGGTAAGTGAGAAAGTGAAAGTGAGAGAGAGATGATGAACAAAGAATCGAGGCCAGTGTCCGTTGTTCAAAAAGAACCAACAGCAGGCAGGCTTCTTGAGAGGTCACGTGGATCATGATGGTCTTTGCAAAAATAGATTTTGTCACTTGTTGACGATGGCTGTGCCGGCATGCCTTTTTTTTCACCTTTACGCCTGGAACAGCGCGATATGGGTCTATCATAGCATCGCATGGGCTGTGCTCCTCACTTTTCATGGCACAAGCAAAATGATGAAACTGTGTATTAACGATCGACTTTTAACTCGACACTCTATCTTCCACTCCTCCTTCCCGTCCTCCCACAAATTGAGAGCGAGGGGATATTAGCCCATACCCATCGACTTCATCATCTTGGCCATTTGCGAAAAGTCTGGCATACCACCAGCGCCTCCTGGACCTCCCATACCGGGCATACCAGGCATTCCTCCACCTCCCATCATGCCCTTCATCATGTCCTGAACACCAGACATACCGCCCATCTGGTTGATCATGCCCTGAATGTCCATGCCTCCCAGACCGGGGATGTTGCCCAGTCCACCGCTCTGCAACTGCTTCATGGCCTGAGCCATCTTGTTCTGGTTCATCATTGGGTTGCCGGCGCCTCCTTGCTGCATACCCTGCATACCCTTCAGCAGACCATTCTGACCACCCATCTTCTTAACCATCGCCGAAAACGTCTTGTACTGCTGCAACAGGGTCTCAACCTCAGCGACAGTCGTTCCAGATCCACGAGCAACACGGATCAAGCGCTTGGGCTGATCCACAAACTCCTTGCCCTCGCCATCCAACTCCTGAGCGCTCATACTGTCCATGATGCACATGAATCGCTTGATGCGGTTTCCACCCTCAGCCTCGGTACCAGCCAACAGCTCTGGGGGGATTCCAGGCATCATGCCCATGACCTTGCTCAAAGGTCCCATCTTCAAAATGGTCGTGAACTGGTCGTACATGTCACGGATGCTGAACTGTCCCTGCTCCAACTTCTTCATCAGATCCTTGTTTTGGTCGAGCTTCATATCCTGAACAGTCTCCATGAGCCCACTGATATCACCCATACCCATCATCTTGGAAATAAATGGTCCTGGGGCGAAACGCTCAAGATCGTGCATATGTTCTCCTGTACCGATAAAAATAATAGGGCACTGTGTTGCCGCGACACTATTTGCATGAAAAAATTGATTTCAAAGGGTTATTGACCTGTTGAACGCACTCGAATATATGCAGCTGACTGTTGATACAATGTAAACTTACGCAGAGATGGCTCCTCCTCCCTTGGCGTGTCCGTCCATCTTGGTAACAATGATAGATCCGACGTTGGCGGCTTCCTTGAAAGCGCGGGCCTGAGCATCAGCAGCCTGACCAATAGTACCGTCCATGACAAAGATAGTGCTGTCAGGGGTCACTGCTGCAGAAATCTGTTGCATTTCGTCGAACAATTCCTGCTCTTGCTTGTGACGACCGGATGTATCGACAATGATGATCTCAAAGTTCTCTTTTTTGAACTTGGACACACCCTCGTGAGCAAGCTGCACAGGATCAGTCTCAGTGTAACTATGAAAAGTCAAGAATATGCGTTTTAGAGGTGATATTGACAAGATCGTTTTTGGAGGTGATATTAGTCATGGTGGGCACAATTCTGTCCGCGCTGTCGTATATCGCTCCTTACCTTCCGTAGTATGGAATCTTGGCCTTGGTGGCGTTCTGCTTGAGCTGATCGAAGGCACCAGCACGGAAAGTATCGGTACAAACCAAGCAAGTCTTCCATCCCTTGCGCTGGTAGAACGAGGCCAACTGTGAATGTATGGGAATGTTCGATCAAAACGAGTTAGGTGGCGTTTAGAGAAGTAGTTTGGGCGGGTGATGCCAACATGAGAGATTATGAAGCCATGGCGTTACCTTTGTACAGGTGGTGGTTTTACCGGATCCCTGAAGACCGACAAACATAATGACGTTGGCCTTTCCCTTCTTGGGCTTCCATGCTTCTACTCCTGGATCGACGAGACTTGTCAGCTCATCCATGACAGCCTATGTGGCAAAGAAGGATCACTTCGAGTTAGAAAAAAGAACGCGTTTGATTCTTTCCAGACATGCACATCCTCAATGCTCAGATGAGGGTCGTTTTTGCTTTCGTCAGATAAGTACTTTTTGAATGTTTCTCTTCTTGTTGACGGCACCAGTGTTCTCGTCGAGGTTGATCGACTCCTTGACGTTCTTACGGAGACTTTGGATGAGGCGGATGTTGATATCAGACTCCATGAGAGCCTTGCAAATCTCCTTCAACATCTCGTCGACGACCTATCGTAGGAAAAATGAAATTGTTATTAATGTCAGAGTATTGCGCCCATTTAATTGTTCCGTTTACAGTCAACTTACGGCAAAGATATGCCATCGGATGTGCTGACGGTACCTTGTCGTCGATGACGCTCGCCTTGGACATGGACTGGATGGCGCCATTGATTTTGCGACCCAGATCAGCTAAAACCATCTTTGAGTATAAGTGTGTTTGTGAAGTGTGGGAGGTGGTGGGTGGTAGGTATTAAGTGTGTAAATGTAAGTGCAATGAGAAATAGGACGAGTGAGTGATGCGAGATGGGTCGTTGCACAAGGAGACCAAGAAAAGGGAGTTGTAAAAGTGATGGGCTGGCGTACAGTTGGACAGGTTCGACTCTCTTCTGGTCACTTCCACTCACTCCACTGAATCGACTCCACATTTACTCTATGTGCAGCACCCGCATTAAGCGACGTACAGTGACGCTAATTTTGACCCCATTTAATTGCCTTTCCCAACTGGAAAACCTGTTCAGCTGTGATGACCAACGGGAGACAAGCATCTCCTTCATCTACATCCAACAACCTTCTTTCCTTTGTTCTCTCCTTCCTCTCCGTCTCCTCCTTCCCCTTACCTAATTGCACAACACACCATGTCAACCCGTGTGTACTTGGGCCGTCTCGCCAGAGATGCCTCCGACCGTGATGTCGAATCCCTCTTCAAAAGCTACGGCAGACTCCGTGAGGTCACCCTCAAGAACGGATTCGGCTTTGTCGAGTTCAGCGATCCCAGAGATGCCAAGGATGCCGTCTATGACTTCCACGGCAAGGAGTTTATGGGCGAGAGGTAGGTGCCTTGCTTATACCCTGGAGCGACTGGAGAGAAACGGGAGGATCCACTTGGACGATGCATATGGGTGCCGCATACTGTATGGAAGATACATACTCGCTTCATCTACTCTACTTCAGATTGTCTCCTGCTAACTCGTTTGCCTTGGCTTCATATCAAAAATGCATTATAGACTTGTTGTCGAGCTTGCCCGTGGTGACAGACGAGATCGCCGTGAAGACAGAGACGATCGCAGGTAATTGAAGCAAACAATATCAACCATCAACATTTTATCTCCTCGCCTTCACATCCTCCCATCTGTTCTGCAGAAAAAACTATGCATTGGAAGAACAACTAAAAAAGGACCATGCATATTTGTTTTCTATCCTCCAATTGTCCAATTGTCCAATTATCCAATTATCCAACTGGACTGACTGACTCATCATTCTCGTTCCTCACTTCATATTCATCTGCATAACGTTAACTAGATTCCGCCCCCCAGAGAGAACCGAGCACCGCTTGATTGTCGAAAATCTCGCTCACGGCGTGAGCTGGCAGGTACGAACTAATCTATTCCTCAAGAACGGGGGTTGTCATTGAACGCCCCCTCCACCCCATTTTTTCGACGAACGGACGACGATTGGACGGAAGGACTTCCCCTCCCCCACCCTTGGACGGTTTTTTGCCAGGATGACTCCCATCCTCCAGCCAATGGTGCCTACGCGGCCACTTTTTTGTTCACCAAGGGGACCCGTCCTATCTATGGCGTGCACATGCACACTGGGAAGGCGACATATCTTTATTGATTTGTGTTCCTCCTAGTTGCCCCAAGAGGACTTTTCCGGCGCAGACTGGAATTCTTTCCCGCCTAAAATTTGGGTCCTTGGACTGGTCCTCTCTTCCCAGCCCGGCCATTTCACGGTTACTGCCTGTTGGGGGACCCAACTCTTTTCTACTCGGCCATGGTGCGGATGCTACGAGTTGTGACAAGATCTCTCGATTGGGCCATCCTACCTACTGCCTTGGCGCTTCTTTCTATCTCGGGGCCATTTGTTTTTGCTGTTTTCGACGGATTCGCCCGGGTCGTGGGTGACGAGGGTGCTCTCGCTCTCTGTCTCTTCAAGAGGATCGACAAGAGGATCGACAAGGGGTTTCTTCCGCCATCCCGCCATCCATGTGTTCTCGTTGTTGCGCTTTCGTTTTGTTGTGGTCCTCCTTCCTACGGCCCCCGCCTTCCTTCCTTTTGGGGATCGTCCTGTTGCTGCTGTTTCTGTTTCTGGTCCTCTGTAGTCGAGGACAACCGATGAACACGAGGGCTGCGATCTGTCTGTCTGTCTTGCCGCTCTATGGTCCCTAAACCTCCCTCCCTCCCTCCTCTCGTTCTCCTTCTCTTTATGACCGGTCTGTCCTCCAATTCTTTCCCCGCTCACAGGATATCAAGGACTTTATGCGCAAGGCCGGTGAGGTTACCTTTGCCGATATCAGCAAGGACAACGACGCACAAGGGTAAGTTCTTACATCCATCTGATCAGCCGTTGTCGTGCCAGTGACATGTTGGATTGAAACACTTCAGTACTAATGACCTGCTGCCTCTTTTTCTCGTGTGATAGTATCGTTGAGTTCTCGTCTGCTGATGATGTTCAGAACGCTCTTAAGAGCTTGGATGGTGAAGAACTGAGAGGAAACGTCGTCACTCTCCGTGAGGTGAGTTCCTTCATCCATTGCTATCTGTCCGTGTATGTTCCCCATTTACGAGACTCCGAGTTACTAATCGCTCTTTATTCTCTTCAAACCAATGTAGTTCGATCCTGCTCGTGACACAGCTCCTCGCGATATGGGCCGTGGTGGTGGTGGTGGTGGTGGTGGTGGTGGTGGTGGACGTGACAGAGATCGTGGCCGTGACCATGGCCGGGATCGTCGTCGTTCGCGTTCGCGCAGCAGAGACCGTGGTGACAGATACCGCCGCGACCGCTCGCGCACACCCAGCCGTGATCGCCGTGACAGATACCGTCGTCGTTCCCGCTCCCGCAGCGCTGGTCGTCGTGACGATAGCAGAGACCGTCGCGGAGGTGGCGGACGTCGTCGTTCCTCCCGCAGCCCTGCTCCTCACAGCCCCGTGAGAGGTGACCCTTCTTCTCCCGCCCCCGCAGGTGGCGCTAGAGAGCATAGCCCTATCGGTGGCGATGCCGGTGCTGTCAGAGAGCGTTCTCCTTCTCGTGAGCGTTCCCGCAGCCCTGAGCAGCGCGAGCGTTCTCGTAGCGCCAGCCGAGATTAATTATGGATGCGTTTAAGAGGTATGAAGGACTAGCGTTGAATAACTTGCATACAATAGCATTTTAAGGATTCTTTTGAGAAGATGTGTCGAAGTAGTAGCACATACTTTTCTCAGCATTCGCAAAGAAATCATGGTACAAAATAAATAATAGTCAATGAGTGCACTTTGATCCGCATGATTTTTTTTGTTAATAGCGAGTGTGTTCTTTTCTTTATTGGACATTCTTCATGGCGATGGCTCCAACGATCCAGTTCAAGATTTCCTTGTCTTCTGTCACCTTGGGATCGATCTTGTAATACTATTTTCACGATGATTAAAAAACAAAGTGATTGGTCAATATCGCCTCAGCTTTTGCTTTCTATAGATCCTAACTCTTCGCTATCCCAAAACAGACATCTGAAGGATGTTTCTCTGTTCCATATGTTCGTTTATTACCTGCCGAAGCTTGGTCATATCCCTTTCCTGATCCAACTTTGAGAACGAGACGAGGTTGCCGGCCACTGTCCGGGACATCTCCTCCATGATCTCGTCCGGGTTGCCTCCAATCTTGACGGCGATCAATGATGTTGTGTCCTCTTTGATCCCGAACCGCTTCAACGACTCTGCAATCTAAGAGAACCACCAGTTTGCAAAAATAAAAATGAGTGAAAATGTATAATATTGTGTTAATATCTGTCGAGTTCATGCGCGCCGTATGTGTTTTGTCGTCAGTATGAGGTAGTGAGGGTGGTGGTGGGGGGGGGGGGGGGGTTGTTGGGCATACGTTCTTGGAGGGTGAGAGGTTATAGATGATTTCGGAGCTGATGGTCTGGGTGGCGAGTTTTCCAATCTTGTCATCGTGGGCGGCCTTTGTTGCTGCCACGAGTAGCTGGAAGACATCCATGATCTAACCATGATGGGATAATTATACAAAACAGTTAGGGATCCGTGTTTCGAAGATATAGCTTGGCGCCTGTTTCAACATAGTAAAAAATCCTGTCATATGGTGGAGGGGAAATCGATTGCGGGGTCCTCTTACAAGGTTGGACTCGACCATGGCAAAGGTGAGAGATTTGTCCTGGTTCTGGAGTTTCTCCTTGAGATCGGGCGCGTTCTTGACGGCTGTGAAGCAGGCCATATGGATATCGCCTGCGGTAGGCAGCGAGTCGATAGGGTATGATTCCATTCTTGTGTAATAATGTCGCCTTTTGCTCTTTTGGTATTAGGTTCTTTGTGTTTGGTCGTCCTTTGTTTCCTGACTTTGTTGGAGGCTGATGTGTCCAGAGGGCAGGTAATGGGTTGACGAGTTTTGTAAAGGATGAATGCAAAAAATGAAAGAAGTAAAAAACATGTCGTTCAAATAAAGGTCGGTCAAATTTCGTGTGGCTTTTCTTTTCTCAACCCAACCTGCTGCTACAGTTCAGGGGAAGGGGGGGGGGAAGCATAAATGGTCTCAATAAGTGCTCCTGTCTTCCCTTTTCTTCTGGTTCTCCTTTTGTTCATGCACAAGTCCATTCTCCTTTTAATGCCACGAGCTGCTGCAAAGACATTCACCAAGGGCGCACACGCCTCACGCGGACCCTCACAGGCATTCTATGCCGTCCACATTGGAAAGACCAAGGGCATTTACTTCACATGGTAACCCACAACAACAATAACAGCAACAACCAGAGCGAAACAAAGCGTAACGAAAGCACTATTGACTCGTCGAGGAAACAAGCGGTAAGAAACAATAACTAACCTCCTAACCTCCTTCTTCCTGACAACCTCAACTCGCAATAGGCCAGAGTGCGAGAAGCAGGTCAAAGGAGTGATTGGCGCAAAGTTCAAAAAGTTCCCCACCCTCCCAGAAGCAGAGGAGTTTGTCAAGAATGGACCCAAAGTCTACACCAAACCGCCACCAAAGTCCGCCGCTTCTACCTCGAAAACATCAAGCACCACCACTGCCACAACAACCACAGTATCACCGTCATCATCGTCAGCAATAGCCGGCAGCGCTTCGGGGGTAAAGTCGAGTTTCACTCGGATCAATGGAATCACGGTGCCTTCAGGATCAGATACGCTTGTCATTTACACTGATGGAAGTGCTCGTGGAAATGGCAAGGTTGGATCCCAAGCTGGACTGGGCGTCTTTTTTGGAGTGAACGATCCTCGTAACCTGAGTGAGAGACTTCAGGGTGAGCAGACCAACCAGAGGGCCGAGATCATGGTAAGTGGACATGCTCTTGATGTGCAACAATTTTGAAAATGATTGTTCAAAATAATAGTAGAGCCTGATAAAGCGTGTTCTAACTTTTGTTTTCTATTTGTGCGTTGATGATAGGCCGTTTACCGCGCTCTTCAAGTATGTGGAAGCGACACAATACCGGTGGAGATCCGGTCAGACAGCCAGTACACCATCAACAGTAAGTTATTGTTTATCTTGTTTCCATTGTTGCTTTACATCCTTGATCATGCGAACACAAACCCCCCATGACATGGCATGCTAATTGTTTCGCTTTGCCTCTCCTTCATTTTAGTTGTGACACAGTGGGGCGCGAACTGGATGAAAAACGGCTGGAAGAGGAGCGATGGCGGAAATGTGTTGCATCGGGATATCATCGAGCCACTTCTGATGATGATCAAGAACCGGCCAGGACCTATCAAGTGGGTGCGTACCTTGTCACTCTTTTCATTATGTTGATGCTGTTAGCAGTTCTTTGCTGCCAGAGACGCACCCTATGATAACACACGGTACTAACCAAAGCTTTAATCTGCTTTTTATGGACAATAGACTCATGTCAGAGCACACATTGGAACATTTGGAAACGAGATGGCGGACAAGCTTGCGAATGCAGGGGCTATCCTCCCCCTCCCATAAGTTCCTAGCAACAAGAACAATAATCCTGCCCGAGGTTTTGCACATGTCAAACACTTTTCTTCTGGCTGCTGTGAAAATAAAGCGAACAACAAAAAAAAAAAAAAAAAAGGGCAATGCGACGTTTGAGGTACTGAAAATAAAACGTGAACAAGGCGATTAGAACAGTAGACCGTTGAGAGATGAGGAGAGTGGGGAGAGAGAAAGAGAGGGTGAGGAAGGAAGATATGACATCTTGTTTCTTCCCTGCCCCACCTTCCTCCCCACTCGCCGAGGCAAGACCTTCTCCTGTATTTGATGATAATGGAATTTGGAATCATAGCAAACTTTGTTCCCTTGTTCTGCTTTCCGGTTGCACCTCGATACGAGTCTCACATCCAATGATGGGGTTGAATGTTGTTGTCATGTTTGCTGGTTGAGAAAGGCTATGATCTGAAGGGGAGGGATTTCAAAGGGGGCAAGGGGGGAGGAGGTACGTGGGAAGGGAGGGTTCAATAGACGTAACAAGGGAACACGGACCTTTGGGATGCTGCTTCCTCCACTTTATATCTGACCGCCGATGAACAGATTCGCAACGATCCTAATAACGAAGGTCCGTGTGATAGAGCCCATCTTCCGTCTATTCGTTGTGCTTGTTTTTGTTCAAGGTATTTTGTCGTTGAACTGGTAGGAAGGCTAAAAGGTCCTGATGGTCGCATAATTGATAATTGACAGGAGATAAAAGGCAAAAGGCAGGAAGAAGAAAAAAAAACAAGGGGAAGACCAAAGGGACAACAAAGCAAAAATGGGCGGACAGTTGCACTTTCGTTGACACGGCCCTGGCTGAAGACCACACACAAAACACACAGACAGACAGACAGACGAAGAGGGTCATTCACTCCTTTGAGACCACAGTAAAAGAGACAAAGAAGGGGAGGGGGATGAGGAAGGAGAGGAAAAATAGCTGCAAACCTTTACGATCCTTCTTTTCAGGTTGTCCAGATCGGCTCTTGTCTTCCTCTATCCCTTGTGCACTTTTTATGCTGCTGGATGGGCACATACTGCACAATGGTTGGTATACTTCTACTACGGAGGATTATTGGGTCTTTACCCCCCTTCCCTTATGGTTCCCCTTTGACCCATCCCTGCAGCCTTCCTTTCACTAACAATGCTTTATGTGTCCCTCTTTTTCACCCTCAATGTACAAAGAAAACTGCGTCAAAGGATAGCGGATCGTCCGCATGTTGTGATGGTCGTGAAATGGCTCAAAGACCTCATGGGTAAGACAAGGAGAAAAAGATAGGAGTTTGGCAGAGGGAGGGGGGATGATCTTCATGGGTTTTAATTGCCATGCCATGATTTTTATCCAAAGGAGAAAGAAAGGTAGCATGATGTTCTGTTGCTTCGCTCATACAACTTACCCCTGTTTCCAACAGCAACTCTCTCATCCCTAAAAATACTTTCCCTCTTTCACATAGCGTAGTAGTAATGCAGAAGAGTAGTAGTGTGAGGCAAGCAGGCGGGAGGATCCACCATGATTTCGTAAAGAGCAGCAAGAAGTAGCTGAAATGCATTGAGTGAATGACACGACAGAAGAGAAGAGACACGGGAACGACGAGAGGGCTATAAGGTGATGCCGATAGGATATGGACAAGGACATGGTTGTCAACTCTCTCTCTGTGTATGGTGAACAATAGAGAAACGAGTGATAGAGCCACCAAAGGGAGAAGAGAGAACAGACATGAGCATTGTCAACCTCAAGGCAAGGAAACATGTATGCGTGGATAACTGTGGATGTGAATGTGAATGGAGGCGGTGTGCAGAGTGGTACAAGGAGAGAGGGATTGATAATTGAACCCTTTGTATTCGAGTGCAGCCATGATGGATGTGCCCATGTTCATCCTCTCCTTCTCCTTCTCCCAATAGCCCAGTAGCCTCCCTCCCCTGTGTGGTATGGGGTTTTCTACATCCTGTCTCGATCCTGAAACCCACGATGGAAATTTTTTTTGCAAGTTAAAGTTGGTGAAGGATGCCAACTCATCCTGAATACAAAAGGCCAACGAGAGCAACAACAACACACCCTCACCCCTCGACACACATCCATCATCTCTGTCTTCTTTCTTGTCCTCGTTCCTCCCCTCGTACGCACCTTTGCCATTGTCATTTTAAAAAAATCTCCTCTCACTTTGTCACTGTTACAAGCGCACCTTCTGACCCACTTTAGCCTGTCAGTTGTGATCTGTTGTTGATTTGATCACGATCCTCTTCTGTAATCACTTTTATCACTTTTGTTCATCACCTTTATCACTTTGTATTCTCTTTCGTCTTCTCCACTCTCCACTCTCTTCACTCTCTTCTCTCTTCCGTTGTCTTGTCAGTCAGTGTTCCTCTACATCCACACTGCCATCCAAACACTGCCTCAACAACACACAAAACAACGAAAACACCGACTTAGCCCTCATTTCCTTCTTTACCCCCACACTCTCGTTGTTACCTTTCACACTCCGTCCTCTCTTACCTTTTAATCCTCCAAAGTCTAATTCCTTCCCCTACACAACCCTCTCTCTGTGAAGCCCACCATGCCCATCCCATTCACTGCTCCACACCACACAATCGCATCCTCTCCTCCTCATGACACAACTGTCTCTACCGGCAGTAGCCACAACAACAGTAGCAGTCATGCCAACAACAATATCAACAACGCCAACAATGGCAGCACTAGTCCCACAGTAGGTCGTCTTGGTTTGACCACCCACGGTCGGATCCAGATTCAGTCCCTCGATAGTCGTCGCTGGAGCCGATTCCAACGACGATCCCCGCTAGACAGCCATCCCGCTGCCCACCACAGCCACCTCAGCCACAACCACTACTCCCCCCGGACACGCTACTTTGCGTCCTTCGCACCGATTACCCAGCCGCAATCATCTAATCGTCCTTCTCGTGCCCTTCTCTCTCCCCCTCTCCCTCACACCTCTTCTTCTTCTTCTTCCAGTCAACAGCAACACCAACTCGACTCCCTTCACTCTCAACAACAATTCAGCCCCTCTTCCCCTTTACACGTCCGTGATCACGGCCTTGGCGTTAGTCAACAACAGCACCATCAACCAAACCCCATGCCACAAAGACAAGGTCAACAACTGCACTCAAGTCAAGGAGACACAACTGCTCCCTTGATGCCCTTTTCTTCTCCTTCTCTGCCCCCTAATGCACATCCAACAGCCGTCTCAAACCTTTTTCCAGAGCAAAACCTTCACCCCTCTGCATCTCTCCCTACTCCTCTCCTTCCCATGGAGAGCTCAAGGCCTTCGGAGAGTTTTAACTCATTCCTTGCCACAGGTGCATCCGCGACTGCGTCCTTGTCAGCAAGCTTCAACCAAAACGACAGCGCTACCCTTCGCGGATCAGACCCAAGGGCTCGAGCGCTGCATCCTGCACTGTCGTCGACCCCTATGCAGCGATCTTTGACAAACAACCCGGCAATGACACCATCCTACTCGAGTATTCATGCTGCCTCCATGGATCCGTCTTCTGTTTCTGTCTCTGTCTCTGTTTCCGCGTCCTTACCTACACCACCCACATCTTTCTCAGGCGTTCGATCCGATAACAATAACAACAATAACCGCAGCAACGGAGACAACAACTACCTCGAGAGCAGCGAGACAACAAGCTCCGGAACAAACAGAAGGAGCAACTCGGCCGACGGGATCGTGGCTGGCAGTTCGTTCAACTTTACTTCCAGCAATCCGGATGAGAGCCGCCACCAATATCAGCTTGCGCAGCCAACAACGACGACATTGCCTTCTTCCTCTTCTTCCACAAACAACCACAACAGTAACAGCAACACAACTCAGTCGGCGCGGTTAGAGGTCGACGACAGAATCCATTTCCGACTCTTGGACGGTATCTATTTCTCGGCGCCACCTCGTTCTCTTCGCCACGACGACGATCTTGGCATGGACTCGCCACCTCATTCCCAGACCAGATCGGACCTGCAGTACATTGATATCCAAGACACCAACTTTTCAGACCAAGAGGACGAATACATGCACGACAACAACGCGATGGAGGATCTGGACTTTGGAGAATCACAACCGCACCACTCTATGTATGACGGCCAAGGGGACGAGTTTGCTTCTGTTACGTTCCGCCGTCGGTCCAGCCATCCAGAACTGATCGAAGAAGAGGAGGAAGATGAAGAGCCTCGTCAGCTCAACAGTCGTCATCGCAACATTCTTCAGCACGTAGATGATGATGATGAGGATGATGAGGACGATGGTATTAATGAAGTCATGGAGGGTCACCGTCACTCTGCTGCTCTGGTTCGCTCACCCTCGTCCTCTTTACCTTCGCATTTTGAGCGTCCTCGGCATGCACAGCTTTCACCTCGTTCGGCAGCCGCGCTGACCAGCATGATCACTATGGGACGCTCGTCTTGGCCACCTTTGATAAGTTCGTCGATTACTTCAGACCTGATCGCCGTATCCCAGCCTGGTGCCCGAAGTGAATACGATAACAACCCGTACTATCGCCGACCTGGCGCCTCCTTCCACGGACAGACGGATCACGGCAGACAAATGGGCGCTTCGAACTCTTCTCACTCTCGTCAGAATTCGATGCCAAACCACCCAATGTGGCAGTCATCTTCTTCGGTTCCAGGCAACACGTTCATACCTCGATCGATCCCAATTCAGCACAATGCAGTTGACCGCTCGACGAGCAGTTCTCATCACCAGTACGGACGGAGACCTCTGACTGATGCTCGGGGTTGTGGTGAAGTGAACTATGCTCCTAGCCTGGAGGCTCGAGGAGACGTCTGGCCTTTGACGTTTGATATGTACTATGCGGATGGTGGCGAGTTCAATGCGGCTCACTCTGTCGAGAATGTCCTCAAGAACGACACCTCCGTCTATTGGTACGTCCACCTTATACTACGACCATGTCTTGGTTTCTGCAACACAGCGATGAGATGCTAGAAATTTCGGTATTTGGCTAACACCGACAACCTTTTTTTTCGATTGTCCACATATTAGCTCGAGGCGGTCCACCAATATCAACATTTGCTTGAAGCTGTCGCAGCCCCACCTGACATTTGTCCTCACGCAGTTCAAGGCCAAGGCGCCAACGACAGGATTCACAGCACCTTGCAAGGAGGGACTTATCTTTATCAGCCATGAGCCCATTCAGCTCGAAAAGACCTCGCTCTTTGACAACATGACTCGACAGATGTACGACGAGTACATGGGCACGGTGCAGCACCAATCGGGTTTCAGTCGGATGTATCAGAGTCATGGCTCCGATGCCGATTCTCTGATCCCTGCGGCATTCTTCCAGCTCGGTGGTCCAGACGAGACCTGCACCGTCGACTTTTCTCCCAACAGGTAGGCATCGCTCATTTTGGTTTAAAGCCTTTTACCTTGGGTGATGATGAGTATCTCTCTAACTTTTCATTCTCTTTTACTGTTAGATCTGGACGATATGTGCTTATCAAACTCCTGAGATCGAGATGCACCAACTCCCTGCAGCGGCCGGAGAACATTGACCTACAGTACCTCGGCCTGATCGGTAAGTAATTCCCACGGCTGCTCTTATTCGACGCACAGACATTTTGTAGGAGGGAGTGATGTGGGCAAGCTGCAAGGGATTAACATGTCTTCATTCTCACCATTTTCATTTGTAGGCTTCACGGGTGCGCGTTCTTTCGCGTCGGGTGGGCTCCTGTAAACACCCCTTTCTGCTAGTTTTTTTTTTCGCTACTCCCTCATTCATCTTTCTTCTATATTTTCTTCGTTTAGTGTTTGCATTTCTTAGCATATTTCTCTTTCGTCATTTAACGCATATTATTATTCTACCAGTAAAACCTCCCATGTACATCTATCGCAACAATGAGTTGATCGCTATTCTATCTTTTGTGCGCCTTCTTTTTCAACTCTTGTTTTTTTTGACTGTATTGGCCTCTCCATATGATGTCCAAAGACCCTTGTGAAGATCTTCTTGCGCGCAGTGGTCCTGTTGGTATATGCATGGGATGTTGCTTTTATTCCAATGAAAGATGATGATGAAACCGTTGTGGTTGTTGTTGATGCTGTTGTGTTGTTATGTTTATAGGTCGACTATGCTGACTTATTTGCCTTGGCGGCCTCGGCAGCAGCGGCTCTCTCCTCGACAGCCTTGTGCTGAGCCCTCATGCGTTCCAACAATTCCTTCTGCTCCACTTCCAGAACGCGGCCTAGATGGTATCATGTCAATTGAATCGAGGGTGTTAGTACGGTTGTTCCTGGTTGGTGTCCCTTGTGAAGGGGTTGATGATCATCTAATGGGCATGTTTGATGTGCGTTTGGGAGTTTTTAATATGTGATCCTGCGAGCGCGTGCATGTTGGTGTGTGTATTCCTGATAGCTTCCTTACGTTTGTTAAAGTAGTCAACCTACGAATGTCCCCAGGTATGCAAAAAAAAAAAAAAAGAAAACGACAGAAAAAAAAATATGTGAGTGAACGTTACTTCGATTCTGTGATGGTATGATATCAAGAGACAAAAAGAAAAAAGAAGGCGTGATAAAGGTGTAGTTCACAGAAAAACACGGTCTCTCCTTACCCAACTCTTCATGCAACCCTTTTCGTATAATGACCGAAGGTCCTGACAGACGTTTGCGGCCTCTGGTTTTGAGGGGTCGATGATGTTTGCGTTGTTGAGGCATTCAAAATAGGCGTCGCGGACCTTCCAGCATTTCTGGCGATCGGCTCTTGAAGGGTGCTTTACTTCGTCGTTGTTTCCTGATGTCATGTTCTTCTGTGTCCTTGAGGTTTTTCGTAGTTGAATTGAGTTGGGTTGTGAGTGTGTGTCGATCGGCCAGTTCGAATGAGGTGGGGTGGGGTGGGCGTGAGAGTTATGCGGAAAGAATTACAAGTTGATCGCGGAAGTTTGGCGGTGAGTGTGACTGCTTTTATGGGCGTGAAAACAGACAAAACCGATTTTTGGGCGAGGTTTTTCCAAATGGATTGTAACCCTTTCTTCAAGCTCCAAACAGGAATCAGGAACAATCAGAAAGGATGGCAGAGAACAACCCCGAGTTTGAGGCTTTTATCGCCGAGCAACTTCAAACCATCGCCATTCAGGATGAGGTACAGAGTTCAAGACGAGATTAAATACACAGAAAAAGAAAATGGAATCCTTTGTCATACACCCCCCCCCCCCCCCCCTTCCCTGCTCTCCTGTTTTTTTTCGTCGTCAACAAAGTGCAAGCACGAAAAGCACTTTTTTTTTTTCTAGAAAGCTCCTTTTACTTAGCCAGACCCTTTTACCCAACCTCTTGTTTTTCCCCATCTTTTCTATAGGCGATCACAGAATACTTCGCAAGGCTGGTGGAAGAAGAATCGATGGAGGAGCCCGAGAGGCGTGAGGCGATCACAGAACTCCTTGCCGATGTGACCGAAGAATCGACGGAGGCGGTCATTGACGCTGTCTTTGTCTACTGGAACAACCTCCGTGATGCTGAGCTCAAGAAGGTCGAGGAGGAGAAGGAAAAGGCCCTTGCCGTAGCTAAAGGTAAAAAAACTCCTTTAGGGGAGTGATTTATATAGGAATGGGATGGGTTTGGTCTTTTATAGATGGTTTTACTAACATGCCCCGTGATGATTTATTTTGTTTATTTGGTTGTGAACATGATTAGAGAAGGAGAGGGCATCATTCAAGGCAGATTTGCACAACGACCCATCCGCCAACAGAGGTGAAGGCCCGCTCTCAATGTCCTCCCGCCACGTTGTCAAGAACATGACAAAAGAAGAACGCAAAAAGCGGGATGCCCTTCTGGCCCAATACGGATACGATCTTGACGAGATGGTCGAGGGTGCCGATGGAGAGATGGAGATTGTCTACAAGGATCGGTCAGGAAAGGGAGGAGCTGATAAGGGAGTAGCGACGGGAGACCCATTGTTGATGGCTAACAATAATGCGGACATTGTGAAGCAGAAGGACGCCGCACGGAGGACGGAGATGAAGAAGGCGAGTGAGAATGAGAAGGAAAGGAATAAGGCTGCGTTGGAGAAGCAGCGGTTGGCTCAGGACAAGGAGAAGCGTAGGACGCAAAAGAGTGAGAAGCGGAGGATGTAAAATGTTGGAGAGGTTGGGGGAGTTAGTTGGTTCTAGAAGAAGGCGCGGGCCAAAAGCTATGTGAGCGGCAAGCATACATGTTGCTGTTTTTTTAATACATCATCGTATATATTATCATTACAACTCAATCGGCCGTAGTTGTGGTCGTGGACGAGGAAGGTGGTTGGCATTGAAAGGTATTTATTATGCGATGCGAATTACAAAAAGATGATGTGTAGGGGATAGATAAGAGCAAATAAATAGTCGAGATGGTGCATGGGAAACTATGATACAAGGAGAGTAGGAAGAAGGATGAAGGAGAGGGGAAAAGGTGTGACGATAGGTACACCAAAGTCTAAGGAGCCCAGGTCTCGCGATGGAAATCAACAGACCAGTTGGCAGTCTTGGTCTGCTTCTCAATCATGGCCACAAAGCCCTCAGGACCACCTGCAAACACTGCAACCAACCCTTGACCATTCTCCTTCTTGCCGACTCCAGCATTAACGAATCCCTGGATCGACTTGCGAACATCCATGCGTCCACGACTGTAGACAACATCACCCTCATCCCAGTTACCATCCTCGACTGAGAGCTTCTCGTCCTCGGCGTTGAAATCTGGGTAGGGGATGGCCGTTTCGACATCGTGACCGCCCTTTTGATGGCGCAGATGGAACCGTCTTGCGAGGGCGATGCCGATGGAGCCCAGGATGAAGAAGACAAAGAAGTGGAGGAATCCAGGGACGAGGGCGTAGACCCATTGGCAGACAAAGATGGTCCACCTGTCCTTGGATTTTGCGGTAGGGCACCAGTGAGTTTTACCGTCCCATTGGACAGCACGGAAGCCGTAGTAGAAAGCCAGGGGGACGGTCACCAGGAATGCAGAGGTGACCAGGTCGAGGAAGGCCAAGCGCTTGGAGACCGTATGGGCCGAGGAGGCTTGGAAGGTGGGGAGGGCGTTCTCGATGTAGGTTCTAGACTTTGTGGGCTTGTTAGACAGAGGGAGGGGTTCATCTTCGTCCATTTCGTTGATGATCTCGATGTTGGAGCTGTTGTTGCTGCTAGAGTTGGAGGTGGTGTTGCTGGTGTTCTTGGAGTCTTCGCCGTGGAGAGTCTCGACGGTCGACTTGACAGAGCTCGAGCGCTGCAAGTTGTCCACACCGGCAGCAGCAGACTTCTCTTGGCTCTGGATCACGACAGAGGTCAAGGTGGGTGCAGGGACCTCGACGATGGTACGACCAGAAAGAGCGCGCTTCAGCTTGGTGCCAGTGCGCTTCAGGAAGTTCTTCTTGGCGACCTTGACCTGACTAGGAACCTGGATATCGTTCTTGACGACGTGGGCATGCGCACCCATGAGGGTCGCGGGCTTGTCGGGGCGGGAAACAAAGACCTCGACGTGCAACCAGCTGGTGAAGCGAGGGTCGCGGGTGATCTGGTGGAGGAAGGAACCATAGGCGTGGAGCTCGGAGCGGGTACGGAATGTGCAAATGAGGTGCAACTGCATGCGGAGAGGCTCGTCAGAAGCTGCAATCTGGGCTGCGATAGCCTTGATCAAGGACATGAAGGTGGTAATGGCAGCACCGGCAACAAAGATAATCATGGTCTCGGACTTGAGATAGTCGTGGCGACGGTCACCAAAGACACCATCGACATTGGCCTGGATAGTTATCCTCTTGTCCTCATTTCCGCAGAGCTTGGCCAAGTCCTTTGTCCAGCTCCACTTGGACTCACCCACAACACGCATGAAGAGAGTAATAGAATGAGGATCTTCAGGCCAGTAGGAGGCAATTGTGAAGGGATGGTAGATACGACCGAGACCAGGGATCTGGACTGTGATATAGTCACCAGGGTAATAGGGCTTCATAGGTTCGTGGGAGGTAAGGCGCATACGGATGATTTCAGCATCAGCATTGAAGGCACAGGTGACATTGGGATGGATGGAACGGGTCTGGATGATCTTGGGAACGAAGCGGTCGACGAGGAAGAGGACAAAGCCGGGGAGCATGTAGTACCAGAGCATGACGGAGGGGTAGTGCATGATGAGGCCGACAAAGAAGACGAATGTGCCTGCGCGGTGGACGTAAATGAAGACTGGGTAGACCCGCCGGCGGAACTGGGGCAGGGCCATGAACGCCATGATCACAATTCCAAACTATTAGAGTGATAGAGAGAAGATGTTTGTTAGTTGTCAGTTATCAGATGAAGGAGAGTGAGACCGTGTCAGAAGGAGGAATGAGAGTGGCTTGAAAAAAAATAAGGTTTTGAAATTTTTCCCAGCGGGGTGGACGGCATTACTTATCAGATCGCCTCATCTGTGATTCAGTTGATTTGTTGACATGTCTGTTGTTGTTGTTTACAAATGCCTCTGTATGCATCTTTCTCTCTCTCTCTCTCTCCCTCTTTTATTACACACACGACGTGCAAACAAATCACAAGAACGTCTTAAAAAAGAGTAAGCAAAAACGTGAATTGAATTGAATTGAATTGAATGACTTACCCATGCAAAGACACCGGGCATGTTACGGGTACCTCTGGATTTATCAGTGAACGCAATATCCGACTTGAACCTGCCCGCCATCGTCAACCAGGCACTATAAAACGCCGCATGGATAGTCGACCACACAAGCATCGTCACACCTAACCACCGATGCAGAGGAACAATCTCCGGGTACGTAAAACCCAACGCATGCAACATCGATCTCCTCAAAACCAAGAACAAAATAATCGACGTATCCAACAACACCGCCTGCGAACTACCATACGCAATCGCACGAACGTTGCCCTGGGCAATACCGTACGACTCGACATAATCGGGTCTGCTCAGGATAGTGGTCAAGATGAACCAGTAAATGTTCATGATGGCGATCAAAGTCGCGAGGCACCAGAATTTGACCGTGTAGCCGAAATAAGGGTCATGACGTTCCCAGACCGAGATGCGCTGTTTCTTGTGGGCGGGCGTGGTGACTTTGGAGATGGAGTGTTGGAACTGGGCCGTGGCGCGGAAGTAGTTTCCCCAGATGGTGAGGAAGTGGCCGAGGAGGATGGGCAAGAGACAGACCACGGACCAGTAGAGGTCCATCTGGTTGAAGACAAAGTGCGTCTTGATCTTGTCCTGCCAGAGGATAAAGTAATCGGCGAACATCCAGCCTGAGAAAACTGCCAGGCAGACTCCGATCACAAGACGGTGGAGTGCAATCATCTTGAGGCGATTGGTGTATGTGGAAGTGAGGGTGATAATGTGTGGAGTTATGAGGGTGATACGAAATTGAGAGAAAGTGAGAGAAGAGCCGAGTGCTCGGGGACTTTGGATATGAAAGAGGCGGCGGGAGGAAGAGAAAAGAGGTGAAAGTGGAGGAGGATGAACAGGAGAAAAAGAGAACGACGGAAGAGTGAAGAAGAAGAAAAAAAAAGGATGGATGCTCTTCTTATAAGAGAAAGGGTCGATCGTTGGCTCCAGTCAAAAGGGAAAAGCCTTTTGGCGCACTTTATTGCCCAAGCCCGTTGACTCTCTCTTTTTTTTTTTTTTTTTTTGCGACTAATTGCTTTTTGTTCAGTCGCCGCCAACAAGAAAAAAAAAAAAAAAAAAAAAAAAAAAAAAAAAAGGGCGGAGAGTGCCATAACAAAGATAAAAGTGAGCAAAATGGGCGAATGGACAGAGGGATTCCGTATTCCTGCGGCAGAGGTCCAGTCCGGTACAACCAAGTGCCAGTCGACACTTATCAAATCGGGGTCTTTTTCTTTTCTCTTATTTTTCCATTGCAAAAGAAACACACACAGAGAGAGAGAACAAAGTTTTTCGAGTCACTCTGGACCAATATCCATCTATCGCTTTTTTTTTCCTCTTTGTCTTGTCACTGTCATTCTCCACTTCCTTCTCATATACCCTTCCTTCTTTCATGTACCCTTCTTTAACCTTCACCTTCTCTTCTTTCTATCTCAGTTGAAGAGGAAAAAATCGCGCAAAAAAAAAAAGGGTATGAATCTATCTTCCCTCCTCATCTCCTTCCTCCCCCAACAATAATCCTAGAACGAGAGAGAGAGAAGGGGGGAGATGTAAAAAACTGCTCCTAGTTGCTATAGTAGATACGACCAAAGAATTCGGAAAAAAGGAGCTGGCGTTCACGCTCAATTATCTGATGAAAAAAGGAGTGCCAAAGTTAATCTGATATGTCTTGGATGATCCAGAACGGAAAATAAAAGATCTGATTGACCGTCATTTCCTCCACTGAGAGCGCAGGGCCTGGTTCTCTCTTTTTAGGCCTTTTTCAGGCACACGCACACACTTACACATTCACATGCCCCTAGTTTCTTGCCTAGCGATGTCGATGTCGCTTTCCGCTTTCGCCCTCGGTTTTTTTAATCCTTTTTTGTCCAAAATGCATAAAAAATGAGAAAGGTGAAAACAAAAGGCGATGGTGGTTTTTTGTTTTGTTTTTGTGGTCTGCAGAGTACACATGCAGATAAATCCTGTCCTGTGTAATAGACTCATCTACTTCTGCTTCTACATGCACTATGTACATACCTCTGAGGAAGGAGTAAGGAAAAGGAAAGAGAAAGACGTTGCCCACCCCCTACTTCTCTCTTTTCTTCATCTCCGAACCTCGTGGTCCTATCTTGACAACCTTTTGGTTTGTTTCTATTGACTCCCTCCTTTGTGTCGTCCACCTTGCATATATGTTTTTTTCTCTCACTTCGCTCGATTTGTCTCTACTTGTCCGAAGGTCCGAATGGGAGTGTGCGTGTGCAGCTTGTTGAATAGTAGTGAGTAGTAATGTATGAGGGCATTGGATAATCTATCCATCTGGGTGAGGCAAGGGAGAGAAAAACACCAGATAGACGCTTGGTTCGCCCCCCTCCTCTCCTCTCGTTTTCTATCTCTCCTTCTTTTTGGCACTTTCGCTGTTAGTCTAGTATCTCTCTTTCATGGAGTCCTCGGGCGCGATGGTGGTGGTCTAGACTGAAAAACGACAACAAACAACGCGCGTTCATCTCCGAAGCTATTTTTCTGTTGCAAACACCTGTACGCCCCCCTGTTTTTCCTTTGCCTTCCCCTGTACTCTTTCTGAAGTTGTTCGTTATCCGTGGATTGGATGGTGTTTGGGGGCGAGTGAAAAGTAGGGGCCTCTTCCTTCTCCTTGAACTAACTCTACGAGAGCTACAGCACCATAGCCAAAGGCAAGAGAGAATGGAAGCAGATCATAATCCACGAATCAAAAAAAATCAACGAACCATGACATTGGACCCTAGCAAACATGAAAAATAATTATCGTAAAAGGAAGAGTTCTCCCAGTGGGCACCTTCTCTCACTCTCACTCACTTTGCTGTTCAGGGTCAGGGTCAAGGTCCTTTCGCTCTTTTTCTGTTGAACTCATCCAACTCTTGCCCACCCCCTTTTTTTCTGTGAGTGCTTGCCCCCGTCCCTTAGAAAAATGTGAGCAACAAGAAAACAGTGAGCAATACAACGAGAAGAAGAGACGAGCGCCTTCTCTTTTCCTAATCAGATCTGGTCCCCTCCCCCCCTTCTTCTCGTTGTTGTTTTACCCTAGCCCCTTCCGCTCCGAAGAGCTCATTTTGGTTTAGCGCTCTTTTTGTACCAGTACACGGTTACAACATGGTTGGTGATCCCTCTCTTTTACAATAAAGAGTCCGACCCATGGTGGCGGCCAAAGGGAAGAAAAGGCCATGCCTGCATATCAGTTGAAGCGAAAATGGCGCAAAAGAGAGATGGATGTACTATGGGATCTTACCTTCTTACGATCTGCGGCATAGACAAAAAAAAACCATGCCGACTTCTACACTTTGCTACATCACCACGCTTCTGTCCTGCTGTGTCCATCTTCTTTACACTTTACCGACTCAAAAGCACAAAAAAATCAATAGAATCTCAACCTTCCATCTCTATCGGCCATGATCATTGTTGTTATATGTTGAATTGAGTACGTTTTTCGTGTCATGGAGAACTTACTTATGCGTTGTGTGCTCTTTATTATTATTCTTACTGTATTGCAATCACGGCGACTAGGGTACGAGTTAGTAGGGTATCAGGCAGTAGACGGCGTTGTTTGTTGATGGTCCAAGTACTCATATCTTTGTTTCTGTCACTGTCCGAGCATGGCCTGACAGATAGACTCCGTGTGAACAAAAAGAGCACCCCTGCTCACCCATTTGTCGTCATTCTCTCCCCTCAGTCCTTCTTTTGTTTATATTTGTTGGCATTTGTGCTTTTTTGTTTTGGTTTTTGGTGTTTGGTTTATGGGATGGCAACCATGGCACGCGCACGATATCTTATTCGTTCAAATCATAATACACTCCTGTTTTGTTTTGCTTTACAATAGAAACAAAAACACTGTAATAAACAAAAAAAAATGGACCCTGCCATAGTAAAACAAACAAACAAACAAACAAACAACATGCAACGTAGACGCTTGGTCGCATTATTTACACGTCGATATATGGTGACCCTACCTACCTACGATTCGTCTCAGCTACAATTGTCGACAAGGTGGATGGATGAATTATTTTTTTTTTGATTGCACTCGGATCGGACCCCTGCTGATTATTATCGTCTTGGGTGAGGTGTCTTATCGCCATAGGATCGGGGATGAAGGAGAAGGACAGGGGTGTAGACAGCGTGCGAGGTGCAGGGTGCAGGGAGTAAAATGCGTCAATCATAAGAAAGGATGACGAATCAAGAGTAAGATAAACAAAACACCATTACACCAAAGAGATGAAAGAGGATTGAGAAACAATGGATTGGGATGGATAACATGAGCGTGTGTATCGAGAAAGGGTACCATATCTGTATCCGATAGATACAAGGGTGCTGACAAAGAGTTTGATGTGGTCGATGGGCAATGGATAGAAGGGGATAAAGTGTGAGGCTTGGAGTAGTGGCTTTGTGAAGAGGAAAGGTATAGGGAAGAGAAATGGGAACGAAGACGTGATGGGAAATGAATAAAGATGAAGGACAGTTTAAACCCGTGTGTCCGTGGATACGTTGTCTAGTGTTTCCATGCATCGTGTCGTGTCGTGTTTGTTGTTTGTTGGTGCAATTTCATTCTTTATCGATCAAATGGCGATAAAAAAAATCAAAAGAAAAGAGAGCGCGTCTCACTCTCGTATCCGATCAAGTATTAATGAGGAGTGCACACTGTCCATAGCGGATACATACACCTTGTGAAGAAAGTGAGGACAGGGGACAACAAAACAAAGAAGCAAAAAAAAAAGTGTGATGTGTGATAACGAAGAAGAAAAACAAAGGGGAGAGGGTGTCTCTTTTATATCGAAGGTTTGATCCAAGCATCGAGCTATGTACAATCAAGAGCAGATCACAAAAACAAGCTTGAGAGAAATGGCGCCGAGGATTGAAGGACGCGAAGTCAAAGACAAACAATGGGAGTGTGCGGAGGTTGTTTGTTGGGATTCAAAGGCGTACAATGATGAATCGGATGTAAAGACTACGGTAGACGGTGGAGGAGGTAGGGATACGATCCACAATTTTTTTTTATTCTTTCTTTCTTTAAGAATATCTTTTGCCCGGTGAACATACCAGGGATTTACACTGGTAAGCAGAATGAAGAAAAAAGAAACTGTCATATGCAAATATCTGTCATCGTTGTTAGCTGCTTTCATTGCTGTTGTTTTTTTTTTACTTACCGCCACCTGAAGAAGCGAGGTATCGGGGAAAGTAGTGAAAACAACAAAAGGACCAGGCGGCAGGGTGAGTTCGAATTCTTCCGTTATGGGCCAGAAAGAGAGAAGGAGCTGACAAGGCGTTTGCTCTCTTCCTTTGGGTGATCGGGTAAAAAAAACGAGACGGATTACGCCGTGCCAGGCCCAAAAAGGGCGTGCAACGGTGCTACTTTGCCCCTGTGGCTAATCTTCGTTGACAGTCGAGTGAGCGGGTGGTTAGTGGATGGGACCCTTGAAGGAATCAGGAATAATAATCTGAGCAAGGGCAGGGGAACCAACCCATCTATCTATCTCCTTTCTCCTTTCTCCTTTCCTCGCCAAAAAAAAAAAAAAAAAAAAAAAAAAATCAGATAAGGCTGACCCGGGGTCTTGTCTCGCCATGAAAAAATCTGATAAGGGTGACAGGTGAAGTGAATGACGGAGTGGGAAAAGGAGTGAGTGCTGCTGACTCTGGGTCGCAATAATTTTTTTTTGTTGGATTACCGAAAAGGGAAGGAGGAGAGGTACTCCTTCCAGATGGGGAGGGAGGGAGGTGACTAACTTGTCAAAGGAAGAGATATTCAACAGTCCGACTCCGCTCCTGTGCCATTAGCACCATACACCTCACACTCACATACCCTTTTTGTGTTTTGACAGCTCATCGAAAAAAGAGAAGAGAGGGAGAAGGATACAGTAGATGGAGTAGTCCATCAGAAAACAGATGGTTCATGTTCAACCCCAGCTAGCGAGTTGTACTGTACACTTGTAGATACACCTCTCCCTCTGAAACTTCAACGAGAGATGTTATTTTCGTGTGCGAAGAACGAGGAAATAGTCGCATCTCTGTCCATACCTACTGTCGACCTCAAGAAATCAAACCACAAGGACACAGGGGCACAATCACCATACAAAACCAAATTCCCCTCACCCTAATCGTGTCGTGTCCGACCCCCTTCACCATTACAGTCATAAACTATACACTAGAGTTCTCCTTGTGCTCGATCGTTGGTTTGGCAAGCAAAACACAAGAAAAAACAGAGTTTTATATGGACTGGGTACTGGTTGTGTGTCTCCCCAAAAAGGTGACGCGATAGTCGAAGTATAGACAAAGGCAAAGAAGGAGAAAAGTAAACAAATAGAGGCCAAAAAGGGCATGGTGGTTCACACGCGACAGAAAGAGCATTACAAAGTGTGTTTTTGTTTGTTTGCAGATGTTCGCTGGGATGGAATTGAGCGGCGGAGGACGAATATTCGATGACTGGCGTGCATTAAGGGTCGAAGAGGGAAGAGATTTGGACCAAAGAGGGGAGGAGGGGAAGAGAAAGACACGGGGGAGGGAGAGAGAGAGTGGGAAAAAAGGGCTAGCCAAGCCCAAAAGAAACAGGCTGGATCTGATAGCCCAGACAGTCAGCCAGCCAAAGTGAAGCTAAGTCAACGAAGAAGCAGACGGAAGTTGTGAACGAAGTCCACATAAAAAATAAAAAAAAGAGAGATGGACGCTCAGAAGCACCAGACGAACAAGATGACGCTTGTCTTCACTCCTCTGTCAGTTTAGTAGACAGCTTCATGTTTTGTCGCATCTGTTGAAGGAGAGCGTGTTAAGAATTATCAGATCCTCGCTCAACCAATCAAATCACTTCAATTAATAACCTCTATTTCTCTCCTTTCCGACGATGTGTCACGTTTTTCTTTGATTTTGGGCGAACCCTCTTGCAGAGACGCAGGTGATTCCAGAATCGCCAACATCACCCACCACACAACCTTCATTCCACCCCTTTCATTTCGACCGCAGCCTGAATCTACACGAATCGTGCTATACAACCATGCCAGGGACTACACAGCCTACCACTGACCACGAAAGACGACCTCTGCTCCAGTCAGAGCATGACGAACGCGCAGTCTCTTCTGCCTCAAGCACAATTGTCAATATCCAAACTCGCCACGAGCACACATCTTCCCACACGACTGGAGGAGGTGTAGGTGTAGGGGGAGAAAACGAGGGGCAGACGCGCGATGGACCCAAGTACGATCGCTTGGCACACCATCGCGAGATGGTGCGTGAGCGGTTCAGCGCAAACTGGTGGATTGAATGGATCATTATCTTTGTAAGTTATGGGTTTTGTGGTCGTGAACTGAATGCAAATGATGAAAGTACATGCTCCCCTTTCATAATCTTCTCCTTTTCCTTCCTTTCGTTTTCATTATGAACTTGTGTGGCACAGGCTCAATGTTTTTTTTCTTCTACTTATGCTAATGCTACAAAACACAACACCACCCACATGTCGTTTATTCTTTGCTGTTACATCTATCATCTTTATGTAGGTGGTCTTTTCAATCACAGGATCCTCCACAATGCTTATCGTCAAACCACTGATGAAGGCCTTGGGATTGACAGGTTCGCTTGGTTCTGGGCCCTGGTCGTTCCGTATCGCTTACATTGTACTCACCCTCCCACTCTACAGTCTCATGCTCCTCTTCATCTCATCTTTGGTCTGCAGACGACCCTATTTCGAGAACCTGTTGATTCGAATGTGGGGACGGTTCGTCCCAACACGACTTCTCAGGAGATGCGGCTCGACATCCAGACGTGAGCGTGAGCGTGAAACTGTGCCCTGATAATCCCCGCCCCTTTACAAGTTTCAGTTCGTTTATTGTGAGTTATGTACCTCTTTGTTAACGGCGGTAGCCGACCTGGTTATCAGCCTGAGATAAGTAAATAAACAGGCGTACGAACAATACGTCGTCACTTTTACATGACCCTTGTGCATAATGCAAGTTTTGCAGAGAAAGATTAGGCACAATTACAACAGCCGGTATTTATTTTGGTGCGGTATTTTGGAGTGCAGACAAGAGTGGGGGAAGAAGTCGGGTTGGGGTTTGTTGTGGTTAAGAGCCATTTTGGAGGAGAGAGAGAGAGGAATGAGAGTTGCCATTTGGCGCACTTTCAACTCTCCACTACTTGCTGTCAGTCTGTCCAGTCTATCCTGTATGTCAAATGAAAAAAAAAAAAAAAACGGTCGGCGCAGGTTGGAATATTGGAGAGTACGTCCCTTTCTCAAACGTACCGTGATATATCCCTGCATGCAATACCTTTTCTCTTTCTCTCTGATCTCTCTGCTTTGGGTTGGACGTCCAACCTGTCACTTGCCTGTCGGAGGGTAATGGACAGTGGCGCTCTTGCAGCAAAGAGTACGTCGAAAACAACAACTGTTCATTGGATGGGACACAGAATGTGGGTTATCTGTGTTTTTTTTCACTGCGCTCTCATGGAGGTAGTTTAAATGTGTTAATGAACTCCTCCACTCTCCTCTGCTCCTCTTACTCCTTCTTTCTGCCACTCTTAGAGAGGTGGGCGCAAGAGGAATAATGGAACAGAGAAGGATAAGGAAAAGAAAGGTCGTGTCTCGATATTGTGCTAAAACAAGACACTCTCATACCATTTTTTTGCTTGTCCGTCTGGGCTTTCAATTCCTCATGCATGAACTATCTCTGTCTGACTTTCTTTCAGGTGCATATTTTTTCACAACCCACTGAGTCGCTTTTATCGGTTCAATTCCGGTTGGGGGAAGGGAGGGAAGGAGTAAAGGAGTTTTCTAGTGGTGAGTTGTTTTTGGACATATGTGCAGCTAATAAAAGAGACGAGTAATCGGACATGTTTTGCGGTCCTTCGGATTGGGGTCATGGCGTTGGTTGTATGAACACCCATCTGACTAACGTCCTCTTTTTTACATCGCACACAGTTGCAGCTGGCTTTTCTGTTCCCTCGAACCCAGAGGGGAGAGAGAAAGAGAGATGAGTGTACTAAACACCTCGAGGAAGGAAGGTACTATCATAGTTCCCGAAGGTGGGCATAGCACTTTTTAGTTTTCTTTCTGGTAGCCAAAACCCCGCGACACGTCTTTGTTGTCGCCTACAGCTTTTTCGTCCATTCTGATCAACTTATTTTTCCTCCCAGTTTCGAGTCATGTTAGTAACCTTGATCTTGTCCTACTTACTCCTTACTCCTTTCAATGTTGGTATCTCAAGGTCTTCGAAAAAGCTCCAGAAGCCGGCCAGGATCTGTTTGATTATATTATTTTCTTGAGAGCGTTTTTTTGTGCCTCTATTGTCATGTGGTGATAAATAGGCTGGACCCAATTCCGGGAAAATTTTCTTTGTCGCTTATCAGATCGAAGTGGATGAATCTCCAACCCCGGGAAAGGTCGAAAATTTTATCCTCACGTTTTGTTTGTCTCAGCCCCTTATCAGATTCTTTGATTTTTGTGTGTCAATTCTGTTCCTGGGTCGAAACAAAAAACAACACGCACACACTTACCACGCGAAAACAATGACACACTGACACACGTACAAACAACATAAAACAACATACGCACATGGGAAGCATGGTCGTCTCGGGGGAGAGCCATGGCCATGCGCTTTTCGTACATTGTAGACGCACCATAGAACAGTGCCCAGACCCTATTGCGTTCTCAGTTTTTTTTTTTTTTTTGGTGCTGTTATCCCAATTGCTGTTGTTTACTTTTTGTTTAGTGACACCCTTCTGGTATTCCTTTGCATATTATTAAAAGTCAGCGTCTCATGGCTACAGTTGCAGGACATACAACCCAAACTTGGCTTATTTGGAAAGTGGTACATCGTACCTCTTCCTTCTTTCCTCTTTCTTGTGCCTCATTTGGTCATCGCCCTTCCACTTAACCTCGTCCCTTGCTCTCACGCAAATATACACACACACACGCTCGCTCTTTTATTTATTTTTTGGTTTTCTGTTGGGACCTTCCAGTCGTGCCGTGCATGTTTTTTTTATTTCACTCTTCATCATTTTTTTTTCTTTACTCGGGTCTGACTGTGAAAAACACAACCGCAGGTATCGCTTCTTCGCAGTTTCGTATCCGTTCGTCCATTCACCTCTTAATCTCTCTCTAGACCCGACTGCTCGGGGGACGGACGGTCGTCTCGATCTATCTAGCCGTCGGCCTCCGAGTAAGAAAAGAAAACATATTTTTCGATCAGATAGCAGGATATACCCCTGCCTCCTTTCCAATCCCGTGGGCTATCCCCCCGGCAGCGATGTGGTGGTGGACAGGCGATAGTCCATCTTGATCTGCTTTTTGATACCGCTGGTTCATAGCTGTTTTGTACCTTTTGTCTGAGTTGTGAAATGCGAGCTGCGTGTGTTTTTTTCTCTTCTGTTCATGTTGAAGATTGATCATTGATGGATGGATTGATGTACCCCAGTGTGCATGTTGTTGGTATAGAACAACTACAAAGTGGCCTGGAACATGGTTCCATGGTTGTCTTGTAGTCTACCTTGCCTCCCTTCCGTCATCATCACCATGTTTACCTAGCCCCAGCATATCTTTTCGATTTTCTTTCGTTTGATCTACTCTTGGTCGCTTCAAGCTAATATCCTTCCTTATCATGGTCGCTTTTAGTAAAAGGCGGCCGAAGCTTTTAATTGAAAAAAAAAGAAAAAGTAAAGCGCATCTCTCTTTTTTCTGTTTCGCACATGAAATACACACACAAAAGTATGCATGGTCCATCTTTTTCTTTCTACCCTCGGTAAGGAAACAAAGCACCGAGAAAGCTAGGGAGTCCAATAGATACACACACGCACACCGAGAGAGAGGGAGAGGGAGAGAAAAATTACAGATCAGAGAAAAGGAGGAGGGGGAAAGGATGTACCTCCGTGACATGTAATGCGGATGATGAAAACGGCACAACAACCACCACAATGCAACGGGGATTACCGAAAATACAAGATGGGAGGACTGAACAATCCATCTTTTTGAAAGAAACGTACTAGCATGGCGAGGGGGATGGGTAGGCAAGAGAAGATGAAAAAATGAGGTCAAGGTGAACTGAAGAGAGACACAAATGGAGGAATAAGGTCTGGACCCTCTTGTTCATTTTCGTCCCTTTCTTTTTGCTCGTCGTTTGTTGAAATAACATGGCAGCTGTACTGTTAACCCTTTGGCGACCAGACCACTTTTCTGCTTTTGAAAAACGCAACACAGAAAAACAACAGATGCCCAAAGGCCAAGGACAAGTTTATTGTGAAAAATGTCTCATTGTCGGGATTGAATAGCATAACTAAGGTTTACAATACGATTTTCATTTCAATGGAAACCTGTCTTCGCGGAGGATCAATACTCTCTACCTTCCGCGCTCTTTTTGTCTGGCTGATATGAATGAATATCAATTGAATAGAATAACATCGAATCCAGTCCAGCTGGTCGTCTTTTCTCTTGTTGTCGGTGTTGCTTGTGTTTGTTATGCTGTTTGTTTCTATTCCCCCTATACAATTGAATAACAACTTAAAAAGGGGGCAGAAGGGTGTGTGAGTCGCAGTTTCCTTATCAGATCGGTTGGTTTGGGTAAATGGGCCTAGAAGACTTGTTCGACTGTTGCTTACTCTTGTGTGTCTTGTTCGTGCTTGGTAGTCCTTTTACCAGGTTGCAGTTTAGTGGCTGGGCTGGCAATGACCGTGTGCCTCTGGTGGGATGAGACCGTGTGCCTGTCCTCTCCGGGAGAGATCGTGGCTGGAAATCACTGACTCTTTCAGCCCCGCTTGGGGGGGGGGGTTTTATTGTATCTTTTCATATGAAGTTCCGCGTACTCTTCATTCACCCTTTTTACTCACTCACTCACACTCCTACTCACCCAAGCCAAAAAGAAGAGATCGTCCATGACTAAAGTAAATAACTGTTTTCTTTCAAATGTATTTATCTTCCTTTTTCTCGTTGACGTTTGTAATGAGATAGGGCGGAGGCCCATTCGGCAATCCCCACCACCCTGACTGAGGGTATATAAGAACGGCCGTTTCCTCCTTGGCTTTTTTTGTTTTGTCTGGTCATCCTCACTTGCCACCGCTACTCTCCTCTTCTCCTCTCCTCCTCCTTCATCCCCCCTTCATCCTCCCCTCCTTCTGTCATCCTCTCCTTCTGTGTTCTTCCTTTTGAATTAGACCCTTTGGCAAAAAGTCGATTCTTGTCCCTCCTTCATCACCTCCTCCTCTAACACATACTCCTTTTTTCCACATCAAGTCTGTTTGATCTACTTCTCTGTTCCACGTTTCGCTTCTTATTTTTGAGCCTTTTCCGTGGCAGAACCTTTCCGTCCTTCTCACTCTCCTCTTTCACTTCGCACACATACCTTAACACCATGGCCATCGCTTTCAAGGTCCCTCGGCTTATGAGCCCCTTCTACGTCTTTATCATCATCTGTACCCTTATCCCCATCGCCTACAGCGCCGGAGATTACTGGTTCACCTGGCAGCTGAAGATCAAGAACAATTACGTCTACGGCCAGCGTGATTTCTATGTCCTCGGTGCCTGCATTGCTCCTTCTGTCCTCGGCCACATTGCCACGATCTGGGGTCATTACTACCGTGCCGAGCGCGAGTTCCAGCACAGCATTGCTAAGGTCACCACTCCCGCTTCGGTCAACCAAAAGATCTCGCTATGGGAGCGTCACATCTGGTGGGGTTACACCGTCAAGTACTGGATCATGGTTGCCTTCACTGTTTTGTTGAACGTTGCCTGGTTTGTTACCCCCATGGTCACCGGTACTGCTCGTATGATTGAGCGTTTCGGAAACCTCGGAGGCATTGCTCGTAAGTTGTTTGTTTGTTTACTTTTGTTTCGTTTGCTGTGGGTGTTCACGGATAATGATCAATTTTGATGTGCGCTCATGCAGGGTATGGGGTGTTTACTAACAAAACGTCGCGATTTATTTTCTCCTTTTCTCCCTCTTCTTTTCTCTCCCTCTCCCTTTGATAACGTGTTGTGTGCAATGCACGATATGTATCATTCATCATCATAGGCATGGTCGGTAATGCCAGCGGTTACTGTGTTGTTGCTTGCTGTGGCATGATCCTTTTCCTTGTCCTTCGTCGCTCGATGCTCCACGCCATCGGCTTCACCTACTCTGAGATCGTGCCTTTGCACAGATGGTTGGGTGCTGCCATTGTCGGTTGGTCCACCATCCACACTGCTGGTTACATGATCTTCTTGGGTTCCGAGGGTCGTCTCCAGTCTGACATCAACTTTTTTGATTTGTCGCGTGGTACCCTTAACATGATGGGAGTCTTTGCCTACGTAAGTTTCTGTTATTATTTTTTTGATCTCGCCGGCTTAGTTCCTCGCCCTTCCCATTTTTTTTCGCGCCTGACCAATATCTTTTCTATTTCGCGTTTCTTTTTGGTGGTAAACAGGGTGCTGTCTGTCTCCTTGGTCTTGGTGCCATCCCCCAGATCCGTAGACGCTGCTACTTGCTCTTCATAAGCACTCATCGCTTCTTCACTGCCGTCTTCTTCATCGGCATGATTACTCACTTCCCCAACCCCATGCTCTGGTACTACCTTCTGCCCACCATCGTCCTCTTCCTTGTCGATCGCTTCGTCCCCAAGGTCATGCAGGCCCGCACCGTCCTCCCCGAGGCCACCTGCACCTTCAACTCGGACGCCGATATCATCCGCATGACCTTCACCTCGCCCGAGCCCATGAAGCCCTACTACCCCGGTGATTACATCTCGGTCCAGATTCCCAAGATCGGTACTATCTACCATCCCTTCACCATTGCCTCCTACTGGCCTGAGGACCCTTATTCGATGACCTTGTACATCCGTACCTTTGAGGACTCGAAGCTCTCCTGGACCTGCAACTTGGCCAAGCTCTGCGGTAACGAAGATAAACGCATCCGTGTCCGTGCCAACGTCGATGGTGTCTTTGGTGACCGTCGCCACGACTATCTCAAGTCCGAGACCATGATTATCTTTGTTGCCGGTGCTGCCATTACCACCTTCATGTCCTTGATCAAGGCTATCGCAGCCCAGATTGCAGCTTCTGACGAGCCTCTCCGCATGCAGTTGCACCTCATTTGCACATTCCGTACCCGCTCCGAGCTCCACGCCTATGGTTCTTTCCTCCACCAGATCACCCGCGACCCTCGCTTCACCAGCTGGTTGCATGTTGAGATCTTTGTTTCCCGCCCCGACAAGCCCCAGACTCTCTTGGGAGCTCACGCCCACGTTGTCAAGAACGATATCCAGGTCCCCAGCAAGTCCCAGAAAAAGGAGAAGAAGAAGCGCTTCATGTCCTTCAAGCGTACCGGTACCATGCTCAAGCGCGCCCTCTCTGGTCGCACCATTGTTGCCGAAAACGAGAAGTCCACCGCTACATCTCCTACTATATCTGACGTTGCTGGTGAGACTACCGCCAACAGCGTGAATTCTTCTCTCCGCCGCTCGGGCTCTGTCCACACCGTTGTCGACTTGGAGGATATTGCTGAGGAGGCCACTGAGGGTTCCAGCTCCAGCAGCAACAGCTCCATTACTAAGGAGAAGGCTGCTTTGGCTGCCAAGGAGCCCCTGTCTGCTAACGCCCCTACCCGTGCCATGACCTACAACGACCAGCCCCTCCCCACCTTCCAGGCCTCGAACTCGACCTCAGTCGCGACCAAGTGGGCCAGGCTCGATCTTTTGGTTACCTGCACCATCCTTTTCATCCCTCTTGCTGCCTGGTGTGTTGCCCGTAGTGTATCCTGGGAGGGCCCCGACAACTGGTGCCCCACCACCAAGTTGCGTGGTACGATTATCAGTGCCAAGTGTCGTTGGACCTATGCTCTCATCCCCGGTGTCATCCACATCATCATTGCCTCGATTGCCGGTTATTTCGCTGTCTGGCTGGCCCGCACTGTCATTCTCCGTCGCGGCCGCGATGTCGAGACCGGTCTTCCCTATCCCGATTTCGACGCTGAGGATGAGCGCCTTGCGATTGAGGACGGTAACTGGGATGAGGGTGATGTTGTCTACTCCAAGGGTCGTCTTGATGTCAAGAAGGCCATCCAGGGCTTTGTCGATGCCGGTGTGGGCAAGAAGGAGAACGGCCACGGTTTGGTTTCTGTCTTTGGAGGTGGACCTGATGGTTTTGTTGCCATGATCGAGAAGCATACCAATGCTGCCAACTGGTCTGTTGACTTCCACCGCGAGACCTGGGCCCCTTAGACGCCTCCTTTTTTTTTCTTTCTCGGGCGCATTGTTTGTCTTGGCATTCACTTCCACATCATCACAACCATATCTTTTACCCCCCAGCATTATCATTGTACATAACACTCTATCATCTCTATTTATTAAATAACACATTGTATGTATCTCATTCAATATTCTCTTTCGTGTCTGCTGTGCCTTGGTTGTTTGGAGTTATCCCTTCCTCTTGCTAACAAACAGAATATCAAGGAATTGATATCTGCGCTTTTGGATGCGTGGCTGAATGCAATCAGTGATGAGGATGTGGCGCAAGCCATCACGTGCTGAACGAGATTATCGTCTTCGGATTAGATTAACGAGGGAGAGGGTGTGTGAGGTGATGTGCACAGGCCTGTGCGACTCTGGCGGTGATTTATGTGGTCTCTTCTTTTTCCTCACTGTTCTCTTCTTTCTTCTCTTCACACCTTCCCTCATCGCTTTTCCCACTCCAACCCCTCATTACCGGCCGAGTTTCCAACTGCATCCCCATCAACAAAACACCTTTTCATAGACGCCCTCACTTGCCTACTGTAGTCCTTTCTACTTTTTTTATCCCAACCCTCCACCCAGTTCCGTCCCACTCTCTCTGGTCAATGTCCTCGTACTTTTTCCAGAACGGAACTCACATTGGCCGCGACGTCGACATAGCACACACCTTCCCCTCCCTCTCCTTCTAAACCAACAACCAACAACAACCAACGCACTTGTACACTTTCCCACCTTTCCTTTCACCTTTGAACACTTTCACCCCCGCATACTTCCGCTCACCTTTTGTATTATTATATTTCACGTTCACTTTTTCATTTCGCACTCTTTTTTATCAAACACTTCATCTTCTCGTGACTGCTCAAGATAATGGACGGTAAGTGAGCAATGCGCCCATCTTTTTTTCGCATACTTGTTTCGTGTGGATATCACACCATTCCTTGCTGTAAAACAAAAGGCAAAAACCCACAAACTCACGCGCTTCATAATCCGCATTTTTCCACGTCGACTTAGTCGTCAGAATCACCCAAGCTTTGAGACAGCAGCAGCAGAACCCAGGACGCCTCAACACCACCCGCACCGGTGGTGGCTCGTCCCTCGTCGCTGCTTCGGCTGGCCCATCCACCACCGGCGAGACTCTGCATATCAACACAGCACACGCAAGCATCGACAATGGCGTTCAGACAACTCCCTGCTCATCTCCTACCCCTTCCTCGGCTGGCGGTAACGGTGGTTCAGGAGGAGTAGGAGGATCTATCTCACCCTCGTCGTCGTTCTTCTCCTCGTTGGCCCACTTCTTGCCAGGTTCTGCTGGTGTTGCGGCGGCGGCTACTGTTGCTGGAGCGGCGGGGTCGTCGAATGTGGGCGAGATCGAGTCGCTCTTGTTGAGGTCCATGCCCATGTTCGGCAACCTCGTCTCACGAGACTAAAGTGAGCAACTGGAAGCGAACTTGCAAGGACTTTGTTCAAGGACACAAGAGCATTGGAGAAAAGATTCAATTGATATCGTGCACCAGGATTCGCAAGGAGTGGTCCCCCCCCCCAACCCCCGCCCACTTTTCGCCAATCCACGACCATTGCTCGACTTTTTTTTCGATTGAACATTGTCCACTCGTCTTTTCCTTGCCTGGTATCACTCTCATAACATTCTCCCAAAAAAAAACTGTACAACATACACACATACTTTGTCAACATTATTACCCTTATTCTCTTTCCTCCCCCCCCACAATATTGAGGCAAAAACACTTTCAACCTCTTCGTTTTTGTAAATAGCTCCTTTTCTTTTCCCTTCAAATAAAATGCCTCAATTGGGCCAAAAAAACACACACACATTGAAACCAATACCATGCAAATGCAAATGCAAAAAAAAATGAACAAAGCGGTGGGATTATATTTATCACAAATTGAAAGAAGACGAGAAAAGGGTCATGCAATTGAACTCTGTCAATCATCATCCAACAACTGCTGCCAATCATCCACAACGTTATCGTCCGCATCCACAACACCCTTGGACGTGATCGCACCACGCGCCGACGAGAACGCATTCGAAGACGAAGACGAAGAAGAAGAAGAAGCATTAGGAGCTGCTGGGTACATGCCTTCCGCAGAAGAAGGTCTTGACGAGGATGACTTGAACGCAGAAGACGAAAACGAAACTCCTTCATCCCAAGCCTCAAGACTCAGCGTCCCCGCAGCCTCCTTGGCCTTCATGATCCGGTCCTGCTCCGCACCATCACGATCACCATCTAACAACAGGGCCGAGAAGGCGTTCTGCACCTTGGGTGGGGCAGGCTTCTTGAGGAGCTGCGATCCAGTAGCCGAGTTAAAGAAACGCTTGCTTGTCGAGTTCTGGGAAAGAACTTCGCCCTCCTTGTTGACCCAACAGAGATCAACCCGCTCACAGAGTGGACTGGCAGCGGTATGGGTTTTGATCAGCGAAACAAGTCGTACCAAGGTCGCCTCCAGATCCTCTATCAACATGTTTGGCCCAGCCTGAACAATCAGAACCGCATCATCATCGGTGAGCCAGCGGAGGGTATACTTGACAGATCCAAAGATGGGCGCCAGTCGGTTCGACAGCTCGCCACGGGTCAGACCGAAGACAAGGTCGTGCAGGTAGATCGCATTGACCGGGTTCTTGGTCGTAGGTTGCTTACGGAGTTGTTCAAGCCCTCCGGTGGCACCTTGCTGTGGACGACGCTGTCGGGTTGCCTGAGAGGCCAGGAGGTCCGGAACAGAGGTAGTGAGACCCTTGCGAAGGATGACACTGCGGTAGGGTTCCATGTCGACACTTTCAGACGTCAAGTTGTAATGGGATCCGAGCTCATGGATGAACTTGCGATGGGGCCCCTTCATTGGTGGGAGGTGAAGGGTGTGCAATGTTGGGTCCGCGATCCACTCTGCAATCCTGCGTTCCATCTTGAGCGTGAACTCCATATTCTGGACGGCGTATTCCAAGATCGGCTCACTATACACAGGGATCCTTGGGCCACTACAAAATAATTAACCAAGGAAATACAAAGATTAGGATCAGCATCCATACTCCCACAAGCCAAGTTAGCATTGAGACATGAGAATAGTGAGGGAGGGCTTACCTTGGTGGGGTAACATCGATGTCGAGGGCAAGTCCAACTCGCTTGTTGCGCTCAGCCATAAGACAATAATCATTACACTTGATGACTTTGGTCCGAGCGTCCCAGGGGTTCTCAGCAGTCGCCTGACAGGTCGTTTCCTTTGTCAAATGGCCACACTTGCAGCTCGAAATAATCATAGTCTGACAAGGGTGATCCTCTGAACAAGCATCCTGACCATGGCACGTCAACCCACATCGATGTCCACAGCTCTTGCGGGGTCTGGGGCATGGCTGGGAACAGGGCTCGGTTGTACATTCGCCAGTGTGACAGGACTTGATGCACTTGTGGAGCCCACAGTCCAAACGCTTGCCACAGATCTTGCCACAGGATGGCTGAGTGACGTGACATGGGACATTGGGCATCTTGGATTTGTGGCACATACAGGGTTTGGCCACAAGGACAATGCAGGGAGGGCAGGGTTCGCTGTCTGGGTGGCAGGGGTGGGTCGAGTGTGAGTCATGGCCGCAGGCACGCTCGCGAGTGCAAGTATATCGGCACTTAGGGATGGATGTCCCACAAGCAATTGGTGGGTAGAGTACGGTACGGCCACAATTGCAAGAGAGCTCATCAAACGACGCGTCCAAGCAAGGGTTGCAATGACCCTTGTGACAGAGCATCTCACAGGTGTGAACGCCACACTGAAGCTTCTTCCCGCAGATCAAGGTGCAAGCATGGGCTTCCTGGGAAATAGGGTCCATCTTGATAGAGCCCTTGACCTGAGGTTTGGCAGGGCAACAGCGATTGGTACACTGGTGCTTTCCACAAGATCGAAGACCACGGCAGGGCTTGCTGCATGTTGGGACGCTGTCGCCGTTGGCACTGTACAAATCCATATCGGAGCAGATGCGGTTCACATGAGTCGATCCACAGCGGCAGTCAACGGATACTGTCTGTTTGCAGGGCGCGCAAGGTCCGAGATGACAATTTTTTTGACAGGCGTGACCGCAGTCAAGGAGCTTGTTGCAAGTATTGCCGCACAGTGGGATGGTGTCCTGACAGGAGGTACGAGACTTTCCCCCGAGCAGAGACTCGATAGATTTTGATCCGCAGGGGCAAGTCTTGACAAGATTGGGCATTGCTGAACATGGTCCAGGTTCCTGGTCATGAGGGTGGCAAGACTTTGTGCAAGTGTGATGTCCACACGCGAGCAATCTCAAAAACAGAAGGAGCGGAACATTTAACGATTAATTTTGTATTCTCTCAAAATCATTTGTCGCGTACAGTAACAGAGTATTCTTGGTACGTTATGCTTACCTATCGCACGCCTCACGACATTCATAGTAACCGATCTGGGTCTCGCCGTCGACAATGGTCGTCTTGGGCTTACTCTCACCGCAACGAGCAGTACGGGTATGCTTTCCGCAATAGCACAGTTGCTCCTGTTCTTCCTCACAGGGCGCACACAGACCAGGGTGACAGACTGAACTGCAGCTATGTATGCCACAACCCAACAGCTCACCACAGACCTGGTCACACGACTTGCCCGTCTGGAGTGTAAAATCAGTATCGACACATCTCAACTGGAAGGACTCGTTACCGCAGTGGCACGACTGGACAGGTCCTAAGCCTCCGCAGGGTGGACATGGTCCTGGATGACAAGGACTATCAAATGGGCAAAAAATAATAAAAGCATTGATGAGTAAGAGTACAATACTCCAGTAACTAAAACGGTGATATTACAAATGAAAAGAGGACTTACACGTTGCAGGGGTGAGGACATTCGCGCTTACGACCACACAGCTCACCACAGGAGTGAGGTGTAAGGTATCGGTTGTAGTCAGGATTGCTGGCCTTCCCGCAGAAGCATTGATACTCCGAGGGCAAGGAGATTTGTGTGTTTTGGCATCCTGGGCATCTCCATCCCGACGACTGTGCGGATGTGTCTATATTCATACAATACGAGAAGTTTTCAGTGTTAGTTACACTATTCGACACACACCAGACATATAAAAGTAGCACAACGCGCAAAAAGTAACATACCTTCGGAGGACTTTTTGGCCCAGGTGGAGAGACAGCCGAGATGGAAGGCAGCCCAGCAGACTTGACAGTTCCAGATCCTGTGCGCGGGACGGATCACATCCCAGCAGACCATGCAATCATAAGTCGAGTTGGTCAGGCCAACTGTCAGAGCCTCCAAGAGTCCACGATCTTCCTCGACCTTGTTCACAAAGCGAGCCGGTGCGCGAGACCGAGTCGTCGTCCTGTTGTGGCGGTGATGGTCGTTCTTAGCGTTGTGTGTCTGTGCGTGCGAGGAGGTTGATTCCCCGTTGTGATCTTGTTCCTGTGTCTGCGCTGATGGGAAGGTTCGACCGTTAAGCTCCTTCTTTTGGCTGCCCGCGGGGTGTCTGTTAGAGACAGGACCGCTGATGCCGCTGTTACTGTTTCCAGGATGTCTGTTTCCGCCACGACGACGTTGCTGCTGCTTGCCGGTGTTGTTGCTGTGTTGCTTACGGTCGGAGGATTCTTGGCTGTGATCATCATCGATTCGTCCACCAGCCACGGCCTTTCCGGCACGACGGCTCTGAACAGTGGTGGTTGATGTAGCAGATGTAGAAGAAGCTGAAGAAGGAGCATAATCCTTGGCGCCAAGGTTCAGTCGAGACCGCCCAGAAGACGACTGCTGCTGCTGTTGTTCAAAAGAACGACGTTGGGTGTTGCGTTGGGCATGATTACGATGTGCTAAGGTAGACTGTTGGGTGTTATTACTGTCGTGATTTTTGTCGAGGACAGGGGTATTTGTTTGTTTGGTAGTGTTTGACAATGTGGAGATAATGGGTCCTGCGGAGGTGCTTGAGGAAGAGGAAGTAGAAGAAGTTACTGTCATAAGGGCGTGTGAGTTGGTGAGTTGTTGTTGTTGGTGCAGGCTTGTAGAGATTGTAATGTTGAGAGTGGTGGGTGTTGTTGTCATTGGCAGAGGTTGTTGTATTGGAATGGCTGATTGTTGAATGGTTGTGGTGTGAAATGAATGAAAGAGAGAAGGTGGCCCGTCCTTTTTCAAGACATTTGTCTCCTTTGGCTGACGATTGGATTTTCCTGCGGATTTGCACAAGCCACCCGCAGCCAGCCAAGGTACGCAGTTTCAAAGTTTAGTGGCGAAACATGGCCAAAAACAAAACAGCGCTACTTTTGCTGACTCAGGGAACATTCCTCGGATGCGATTGGTGCTCCTCTGCTCCAGGACATATCCACATCCACTGCAAGAACATCGTCTTCGGACCAACAATCCACAACCCCAAGCCGAGCAATGTCCTCTAGAGGGTAAATTGGCGATATTTCCGCTTTGCAACAAAGACTCGTCGTATCCCGAGGGCTTGCTTCTCAACAACCTGAACAGCGTCTTTGGCAAGCCTCGTTCCCTTCCACCCGATCATCCGCAGATACATGACACTCGGAGATGTTTCTGTCAAAATCCTCATCAATCGCCCTTTCTCCTTGCAGATTCAACTGACTGACAAAAGGTGCGCGAATGACGTCGGTCTATCTTGTGGAGGCGACAGAGAGCTGTTGCTGTTGTTGCTGTTTGTTGGCACAAACAGATCCGTATCGGCTAAACCCCGGGTGTGTCACTCTGCAGCTGTCGAATGGATATCTAAGCCCAAGGATTCCAGTGCTGGCCATCCACGAAGCATCCTGAGCTCGAACAAGGCAAACTCTGACGACAGATGCAGCCTTGTGATAAACTGTCTAGGTCCATCGAGTTCGAAGTACTCCTAGAACAGAGTCGGTGGTCGTTGATGGTAATTTAGTCCGAATGCCGTAGTGTCGGTGGAGTTCCTCCACTGGCCATTCTTCAACTACCATGGTCGGACTTTAATCTGCAAGGCCTTCAGCCTTGTCGCCGAAGAGAGGGCTGTCAGATCATATGTCAAATCCGCCCACCATTCAAGTTCAAGTAGTCCAGATGGGCAAGTCGAGTCAGCTGGTTGGTCAAATGTCACGACAGGAGTAGTTCAGAGTCATGTCTTTCAATCGGAGGGTCGTCAGGCTGGGACACCGAAAGAGCAATTGTGGGTCCACCGCCAGTCGTTCGGTATCCAGCTCGACGCTCAAATAAGTCGTGCTTAGCCCAGTTGCCACTCAACGTGTCATGTCATTCTTTGCCTTATGCAGCTTTCACCATACAACTCAGGACATGTCTTTTTTTTCCCTTTCTTAAGGAACAATACTATTTGTCCTTCAATTCGATATATATGTTTAATGTGGATTGTTTCGTGTTTGTTCTGTGTCTTACTCTAAAGCGGTGTCCATGTTTGATACCCAAGCCAAACCCACCACAGCTTCTCAAACTGGAGGAGGTGACGAGCAACCCGGGCCTCAATCGAAAGATCAGTCTTGCTTTGCTCCTTCCCTTCCTCCCCTTTCTCCCCTTCCTCTTCCACCACCGGGGTACCCGCCTTCCTCTGCCAACGCCTCCAGCATCCCTTGCGCCATAGTGCAATCGCCTTCAGAATCTTCTCCTCCGTGTCCAGCCCCTTGATCCTGATACGAAGTGTACTTATGTCCTTGCAAACCCAACTGCCTTGCTCGACAACATCCATATTCATCTCCTGAAAATGAAGGTCCAGGATGTCCAACCGTGAACAGCATCTCGGGATCAACTGTAAATACTGAGAAGATCCTTCGAAATGTGTCGACACTGGAGCGATATTCGCTTCTTCAAGATCAAGATCTTGGTGCACATAAAAGTGCAAAACAGACGTCAAGGTTGACTGATGCAGGAGAATGGCCGTGATGGTCTCTAGCGATATTTGTTTATGAACGAATACGATTTCGGATATATTGTGGGCAATGTTGACGAGGAACTCTGGGACAATGGCGCCTGTCTGGTCCTGCAACCGATATCCCGTTAGATAAGGACAGTACCGCCTCGTGTCCTCCTTGATCCTGGATGCAGGAATGGAAACCGAATTGAGGCTGTAAGTTGACAAAGTTGTCAAGGCCGGAAAATAGTCCAACAATGAACGGCTGCCTGGCGCAGCATCATAGATGCTCTTAAGGAATGCGAAGAATAGGGTAACTCCAGTGTGCTGAAAAGACTGGGTTGGAGTTCCAACGATATCGGTGAAAGGCAATTTCAGCTCAGACAATTTAGGGCACCCTTGAAGGATGGCGGCTAAACCGTCGTGGGTCAGGCACATGTTTTGGATCTCCAGCGACCTGAGTCTAGATGGGCTAGGCAGCGTTTCAGATAAGGATGGAGTCAAGGCAGATGTAGAGACATAATGGATCAAAGAATCCTCTATGTTAGAGACTAAAAGAGTCGCAAATAGATGGAGATCTTGTAGACTGTTGTTGTTCCTGTGTACGATCTCATAGGCGCGCACATGTTGAAGGACGGAGGCCGTGGGGTCGATATGTAGATCCTTCAGCCCGCGGACACTTGCATTGGCGAGGACAGTGACCTGAGGAAGCGACTTGGCATTCTTGACAACTCGAATAAGATGTCCATTCTTGGTGATGATAGCTGGCGAAAGGTCGGCAAATCGGGGGTGCACGTTGAAGTCCACGCTGAACCAGGCGGCAGACATAAAGTGGTTGGTCCAGGTCTTTGAGACGAGTGCGCATGAGCATGCATCCTTTAGGGTGACGAATCGACCGAGGCGGTGAATGAGTTCAGGCACCTCGAAGGGGTTCCTGGCTGCCGCGGTTGTTGGTGCTATGGTCGCTTTGGTCGCCATGAATAAATGTGGGTGCTGTGGGTTTGCGAATAGTTGTTGGGGAGAGCGGTAAGAAAGAAAGAAGGAAAATGACTTCGCAGGGTTGCAAGACCACTGTTCAGTGGGGAAAGCACGGTCCGCTTTCCTGCACTATTGATTTGCATGAAGTGACCCATCATCTCGAGACTGCCTTTCCCCTTTCCCACACTTCGCCTTCCTTCATCGTCGTCTTCTTCCTTTTCCCACCAAAAGCATACCCTTCCCAGCTAAGACCCTTCCTCTCTTTTCTCTCCCTCATTCAAAAACACAAACTGAATCCACACTCTTCCTCCTCATGGAATTAACAAAGACTTACCCCGACGGGACAACTCCCACCATCGCAGTCATCGGCGCAGGGTAACAAATACACACTCCGTCTCTCACACTGTTGTTGAGGCAAGACCTTGCAAAACCTAATCTCACACAAACACTTGCCTTGGCTGGAAAATAGAGTCTCGGGTCTGTGTGCAGCCATCCAACTCCAACGCCAGCTTCAATTGACAACCTACACCGTCTATGAGCTCGAAGCAGAAATCGGAGGCACATGGCACTCAAACACCTACCCCGGCTGCCAGTCCGACGCCCCTTCGCATCTCTACAGCTACTCCTTTGCGCCCAACTATGACTTTTCCAAAAAGTTTGTCAAGCAGTCCGAGGTATTGGCCTACTTCCGTTCAACAGCCAAGACCTTCAATATCTATGACAAGATCCGCTTCAAGACCAGGATCATGAGCATGCAATGGCACGAGACCCGTCGAAAGTGGATCTTGCGTTGGGTCAAGGACGAGACGGGCGTGGAAGGCCAGGATGAGTTCGATATAGTTATTCATGGAACGGGTGTTCTTCGACTGCCGAAGATCCCCAAGGAGTTTGAGGCCTTTGAAGGAGAGTTGTGGCATTCTGCTCGTTGGAACCACTCTGTCGATATTACTGGCAAGCGTGTTGGGGTTGTTGGCATCGGCGCAAGGTAAGGAAAAAAAAAGAAGGCTTTATCGGTGCAGTTATCTTTTCCTCTTCTTTTTTTTTTTTTGCATGAATGCATAAGCCGAAAATGGTGATATTAAGGCCTCCTATTTATTCACGTTTTTTTTTCACACATAGTGGTGCGCAGATTATCCCGGCCATTGCGGACCAAGTTCAGTCTCTGGATGTCTATGGACGGTCGCCCTGTTACATCACCCCTCAACGTAATCGCACCTACAACTGGGTCTGGAGACTTCTCTTCCGCCACGTCCCATTCTTTTACGCCTTTTATCGCGCCTTCGCCTTCTACTATGTCGACTCGACCTTCTTGCTCTACTACAAACTAGCTTGGTACTCGGCCTTCCATCGAGCAGTCGTCTACTTTGTCACATGGTGGCATCGCTTCCGCCACCTGCCCAACGACCCCAAACTCAGACAGCAACTGACCCCCGAATACGAACTGGCATCTCGACGGATCATTCTCTCGGATTCCTTTTTCTCGGCTTTTAAGAAGCCCAACGTCCACCTTCACTCGGATCCAATCGTAGCTGTTGAGGGTAAAAAGATCAGGACGCGCGACGGGTCAGAGAAAGAGCTGGATGTTCTTGTCTTGGCGACTGGATTTGACTGGATCGGCAACTTTCCAGTTGGGTACTTTACAGGACGGAACGGGGTCGACATCCCTGTCAATTGGGGCGAGAGTCCTACGACCTATTACGGCACCTCTGTCCCTCTTGCTCCCAACTTTTTCCTCATCTGGGGACCCAACTCTGGCATTGGTACGTTCATTATTTTTTTGTTTTCGTCCTATGTTTATCATTGATGAGTCGGCGTTCCTAACATATAGTTATTCCCCCCCCCCCCCCCCCCTCCTCCTCCTTCTCTCACCTCTGCGATAGCTCATCATGCGTTGACGACAGTCGTTGAGCTCCAGGTCTCGTACGCGATCAAGACGATCTCTCACATGATGAAGAACAACCTCCAGTCCATGGAGATCAAACAATCAGCGGCAGAAGACTTTTTGAAGCTGTTGGATCGTAGGATAGAACACACAGAATTCACGACGACGGTGATGCCCAAGTTCCTTAACAGCAAGGGTCAATGCCGTGGGTTCTGGTTCGGAACTGTGACCGAGTTTTGGTTGAGGACGAGGAAGATCCACCCGGAGCTGTATGATGTTGTCAAGCGGGCTGAGGGGACTAAGAAGGAGGAGAAGCAGTCGGAGGAGGAGGAGAAGAAGAAGAAGAAGAAGAAGAAGGGCGAGAAGCAGTTTGGGCATTTGAATGGTGACTCTAATGCTGACTCTGGCCAACACCTGATCGGGTCATCAACAGAGGATTGATTTACTGTGCTGAATTAAAAAAAAAAAAAAAAAAAGGTTGATGATACCTAGGGCTTGGAGGTGCCCGAAGGCAAGAAGCTGCCGGACGGACTATTTACTTAACCGGTGGTTTATACTTTTTTCTTCCTCACTCCCTTGAAGAGACGCAGTATGTTCTTTTCGTCGATCCTGTAGGTCACGGTTGGATTAGCCCTTGAGCTCCATGCTGAAATAAAGAGAGGGAGAATTAATTCGACAAGTCAAAGATCCTAAAGAAACAAGTCTGTGGTACATAAGAGGCTCGATAATGAAAATGATGTTGCTGTATTCATGTGTTGTGTCTATCTGCTACATCTCATCCCCTCTAATCCATCGAGCAGACGTTGCGTCTAAATAGTATGCTGAACACGCTGTGCAGATGTCGAAACATTAAGATTAGTTCCCTCAACCAAACTCTTGATGACGGCCTTGACGCTCTTGGGCTGATCCATCGGTGCGACATGCCCAGCTCCCAGAACAACAACCTCTGATAACCCAGGGACCTGAGTCACATACCCCGCCAAGCTTCCATCCTCAACCCAGATCTGCCTGTCTGCATTCGTGAAATTTTGCGCTCCCTCCCAATCAAGACCCTCCAACCAGTCCGCCGACCCAGCAACGGCATCTCGGAAATCAAAGATCCCCTGGTAGGCAACCACACGAATCCCCTGGCGCAACAGATCCGAGACCATCCAGGCTGCAGGCTTCATGATATCGCCCGCCATCGTCTTGATGACAAGGGGGTCCTTGGAGAACATTGTCCTGGCACGGCCGTCCGTGATCCGCTTGATCTCCTTCTTCGAGACACCGTTCTGCTCCAAGTAGGCCAGGCGAGGTCCATAGATGTTGAGCGCGTCCTTGATCTCGGCACGATTCAGGAACTTCTCCATCTTGGACCAGTCGTTGGGGACGTCACCCTTGCGGATATCGTACCAGTTAATGCCTCCGGTCACGTTCTTGAAGTAATCAAACACGTCGACGCGGGCTTGGTTGGCTGCCAGGAATCGCCCCAAGTGCGCCTCCTCGACTGCCAAATCCTGAAGCTCCTTCATATGCGCCGCCTGGGCTCTGCTCACAAGTCCCAAGAAGAAGGCGTGATCAGAGTGGACGCGGATCTGCTTGATGGGTTCCGTCAGACTGTTGCCCAGCGCAATACCCTTGAGGGGAAAGATGATCTGCTCATACTCGTCACCGTCGTCGTCGTCGTTGAGGCGGTAGCGGTGTCGGTTCCCTTTGTTGCTCTCAAGGATGGCATAGGCGAGTGCAGGGACGTACTTGCCCGCATAGCTCTCGCCTGTCAAGAAGAGGTCGGCCTTCTTCAGCTCTGGGTAGCGGGTATAAAGCTGATCCATGAAGGTCAACAAATCCGCGGCGACTCCACGCTCGTCTTTGACGTAGCCCTTCAAGTACAATGCCGTCTTCTTCTCGCTCTTCTTCAGACGGATGTGCTCCAGCTTGGTGGTGATGTCATGGTCGTCCAATTGAGCAAAGACCTCCTGCTCCTCGGACTGATCCTTCAATAGCTCGTCGTGAAGATCCAGCAGGACCTGGTCCTCGATCTGTTCCTCCGTATCATCGTTGCCTTGTGGGACTTCGGAGGATGCAGGTGCTGGATGGTCACCCTCGACAGGCTCGACCTGTTCATCGCTAGTGTTGTCCTCGACTCGTGTCACATAAGAGTATCCAGTTCCGACAGGCTGGTCAATAAAGACGATCGAGTACTCGTCCGCCCAATGTGTCTCGCGGCGGGCCAGAGTGTTGTTTGCGGTCAGGTAGATGGGTCCGTTACCAAAGAACTGGCCGATCATCGAACTGCTTCCTGGACCTCCTTGGAACCAGCTAACAAAGTTTGAAATAATCGCGTACGACAAGCGAACCAAATAAAGGCAGGATATGAAAAATGTGGGTGAACAAGGGGTTAGGAGATTGTTGCCCTCTTGCGGCAATAAACAAAGAAAGGTGGGAAGTGAATTTGAGAAAACGAGCCTTTGATAGGGGATGATAGACAAACGAGCTGTAGGTGGGTGAGAGAAAAAGACTTACAAGACAAGTGGTGGGTTGGGGACTTGAGGTTTAACCGCTGGGAAATACCAATAGAACCTACATCATATTCACACCACCCAACCAAATGCACAAAAAAATATATGTTTTTTCGTTAGTGTCAGGAACAATACTATCTTCACCAAAACAAGAAACGAACCCCCTCTCTTCCACTTTCACACCTCCACTCCCCACAAATATGGCAGAGACAAAAAAATACGTACATGCCAGTTTCGCCGCGGTAGCCGGACTGATGCCAGTTACGGATAGGGATATGACCAGCATAGCTGGTGATGGGCTCCTGCCCCTCGGCCCAGGGTAAATCCCCGACAAGATGTTCCTCGCGCTTGAGCTTGATCGCCTTGGCCTTGGCTCCTGTATCTTGTTGCGCGTTCGAGGGACCGCGCTTGAGGATGCTTTGTTGTTGGTAGCGTCCTGTATTGCGGTCCGCGTGGGCAAAGAGGATGACGCTGGTGGAGAGGACGAGGATCGTCCACAAGGTGACCTTCTTCCTTAGGGTCGATCTCATATTATTGTTTTGTTTGTTTGTTAACCACAGGGGAAGAAGGGAAGGTGAGCTTAAAGAAAAGAAGAAAAAAGTGAACGCCAAAAAGTGGGATGGGAGGACGCTTTTTGGGGATGAGGAAAAAGAATGAAGGAGAGAAGACGAGTCTTGTTGAATGGGAAAGGGAATGAGAAAAAGAGACAGGGAAAATGAAGAAGGGCGGACAAAGAGGAAAGAAGAAGGAGCGAGAGGAACAAGTGGAGAGAGACGAAAAAGTAGGGGGACGAGACAAAAAGAGGCGAAAGTGGTCGTGGAGAAGAGTCTAAAAAAAGGGATAGGGCATTTTGGCGCTCGTATTCCAACAAAACACACATACCGAGCGGCAAGGGTCATTGCGCAACTGATACCCGATCAAGCTGGCCTTCCTGGTTCACACCAAGAATGGAACGAGGAAACATGATCTCCTCGTATTGTTCTCCTCTACTTATCCCTATCTCCTTCTCTCTTTTACGCGTGTGAGCACAGAAAGGGACTGAGAATAGTGTCTTATTCTTCCTTTCGCTTGACGCTTGTTTGCTCGTTGACCTGCTTCAATGAATGGACGGCCAACACGTTCCAAATCATTGCAAATGAAATCATGCAGCCCACTGGACTCACATCCAGACGTCCATCGTACCCTTGCCGCCTCGACCCATTGCAGCCTCATTTTTTTTTTGTTTTAATGTTGATTCATCTTACAATACCCTGTCAGAGAAAAGAAAAAAGAGATCGTGGGAGAAATAACCTTCATAAGCATTAGCCCACCATCGACGCGCTGCGACTGTTGAGAACACGCCTAGGTCGCGTATGCAAACTCCCCGCAAAGACATATTCCACAACCCCAGCCACCTTCAACTCCCGCTGTCTCCTCTCTCCAGGCCACCAGTTCGCCAAGGTCGACAACTCCATGGCTTCATTAATCTTCAAGAGCAGATTCACCAGCGTCACCACACTCGACCTCTCCGCCGCCTTCAGCTCATAGTCCTCAATCACCTGCAGGGGAACATCCTGGGGTGTCATGGTGACCATACTCGAGCTCAGAAGATGCTCCAGTTCGACAGTCGCCTCCATCCACTCGCGAAGATTGAATCCTTTGCAGCCACACTCGGAGATGCAGACCAGGTTCGGCATGACGCGTGTGAATAATGTCTTGAGTGTTGGTCCGTTGATCACCCAGGGTCCTTGCAAGTGGAGGTGGGTGAGTCGGGGCAACAGTAACAAATCCTGTTGCTTGTCGTTTCCTGCGACCGCAGCCTCGCCGCCCTGCTCCTGTGTCACCGCCAATTCCGACAGATCCAGTGTACGCGTTTGTGCCGAGAGAGGAAGAAAACGTGACCAAATATCCAGACACAGGACCTCCAGTGCTGGTGTCCGCTTCAACATCGCCAGATCAAAGTACAGCCCAAACTCCCCGCGGAGCTCCAACACAGTGAGTAGAGGCAGATTCCAGGTCCAGTTCCAGAACGATCGATCCCGTAACAGACTCCAAGACGTCGGTACCGTCCACTCCCCCTCGCCCATTTCTCGCGGCACCGTCATCCAAGAAGGGGCTTGGAATTCTGACTGAGTTAGAGCATAGGTTGGCAAGGAGTCCATTGATCCGTTGACGTTAAGACTCAGAGTATGAAGATTGGGCATCCCAGGAAAGTCCTCGTCGCCATCGCCTTTGTCGTCTTGTCCATCGGCGCTGCGGCTAGTCAAAAATGAGTGCGGATGGAATGTGATTGCCGGAATCCCTTTGAGTCGAAGAATCCGCAGCTTGGGCAACCGCAACGGTTCCTGAAGCACCACAGCGTCCCACTCAAAGCCGTTCAAGTAAATCATATGATCCTTCAGAACCAGCTCTTCCAAAAGTGGACTATGCACCAGCATCCCCGTGTCGAACCGCAAGCTCCTGCGTCGCCTCTGCATCTCCAGTTGACGTAGGCGCGGCAAGTTCCACCGAGTGACGAGGGTGCTTCCTAGCTGCGGGTTAGAGACGTCATCCCTGGTTGAAAGGGTCTCCAGGCTCTCGCTGAACGCAAACACAACATCTTCCAGCCAGTCGTCCAAGACTCCGATATTTGCCTGGACTTTGATATGCTTGACCATGACCCGAGAGCAGTGACTGGGGCGATTCGAATCCGAAAGCGACAAAGAAGACATCGACGGCAGTGACGGTGTAGGAGGATCCTGCCGTGTATATCCCGCCTCCAGCTTCTCCTTGACAGCCCACTCAAAACTATCCACACTAGCATCCAAGAACGGCATCTCGTACGCTTGCAACCTACGACAGCGCTGCAAATACGGTTCGCTCTGCTCCATCGTCTCCAAATAACCCTGCAGAAAGTGAAAGCTTGCTGCCGGGATATGTATCGACGTGACATGATCCAGTCGGGTCCGATCCGTCTGGGCGTGAAACCTGAACCAGTTGGTGGCGTCAATCTCCCTTGGGTCCAGCACTACCGGCAGAGCCCTCCAAAGCGACCATCGTATCGACTGGGGACAGGCCGGGTAGTCAATCTCCCGAAGCGTCCCAAACAGAATGGTATGTCTCTCCACAAACAACACCATCCGCTGCCACATCCCTTCCTTCTCCTCATCCGACCTGGCCGTAAACTCTTCCTCCGTCCCTTGCTCAAAACAAACCCGACTAAGCACCAGCAATCGATCCACCACTGCAAGATATCGCTCTATCTCCTCCAAATAAATGGTCAGACACTGCAGTTTCTCCAGACGCTCATTGCAAAGCGCCCACGTCAGGTCCATCGACAAGATATCATTGGTTCGTCGAACGACTCGAATGCGGCTGAACCCCCGGGAAGCCATATCCTCCAAGAGCGCCGCGTGTCGACTGTTGGCACGTTGTTCTGGGCCGAGACCGAGACAGTACTTGAGTAGATTGGGTTGAAATTCGTCGTCTCCTTGAGTGTAGTAGTTCACATGAAGTCGCTTCAGAAACGCCAGGTAGTCGATCGATGGAGGTCCTGAGAGCATTGTCCGAGCTAGCCGTCGATCTGCCCCTTTCGACTTTGTTGCCGCTGGTGGAACTGCTACTGTCTCCGTTGCAGCTGTCGGCGCTAATTCGGTCGTTGTCGCTGTTGCTAGTACTGGTGTTAATGCTGCAGGTGCTGATACTGGCGCTGATACTGGTCCAGTAGTCGAAATAGCCTGTGGGTCTCGAGGATTGTTGTCGTAGTCCAGCTTGTACGCAATCCTGAGAAAGTCAGTAATGACAGACTTGTCATTCACACAACCAAGGAGCATCCGCGTCAATGAAAACGAATCCCACTTGGCGAACCGTCTCTGTCTCCGTGGGGGTCGGTGCTCCAGTTGCTTCTCCAATAGCCGCGGATAGTCTTGTAGTCGTCGTATAATGTCATGGTGAGCACGCTCCAGTGCTTGTTCTCGTCGAAAGACCCAGAAGGGTTCCTGGTACAAGTATGGGAGCGCCATTACTTGAATTGCTTTGCTGACACGGAGGAGTGTACTGAGGGTCCTGGTGTCTTGTTCTGTGGCGAGTATCTCGAAGATGAGTTGGAAGCATTCTGTTGGAAGAGTCATTGGTAGCGTGGGAAAATAGTGTAGTTGGTCGTTTGGTTGGTGTGATATTTGTGGAAACAAGAAACGGGTCAGGCCCATGTCGACTGGTCCAAAGGGTACATGGTAAGCAGTCACCAGTCTCTTTAGTTTGTTGTTGAGCTGGACCAATGCCCGCTTTTAATTTTTAATATGGGGGTGTTGAATGAGATGCATCAAAGCAAAGTGAAAGTGAATGAAATGTACAAAAAAGGTCAACAAAAAGAAACTAGAAAGACAAAAGTGAACCGACTAGTAACGATTGTTTACCAGCCACGGCTGGCGTAGAGCTGGTCCTGGGGGATCTCAGAGATGTTGATACCGACCATAGCCTCACCAAGATCCTCAGAGACCTCGGCAAGAACCTTGGGGTCCTTGTAGTGGGTAACAGCCTGGACAATAGCACGAGCACGCTTGGCGGGGTCACCAGACTTGAAGATACCGGAACCGACAAAGACACCGTCGCATCCGAGCTGCATCATCAAAGCAGCATCGGCAGGGGTGGCAACACCACCAGCAGCGAAGTTGACGACGGGCAAGCGTCCGAGCTTGGCGGTCTCCTTGAGCAAGTGGTAAGGGGCCTGGATCTCCTTAGCGAAGGTGAAGAGCTCAGATTCGTCCATCAACTGGGCCTTGCGGATCTCGGCCTTGACAGTGCGGCAGTGGCGGACGGCCTCGACAACGTTACCGGTACCGGCCTCACCCTTGGTGCGGATCATGGCAGCACCCTCGTTGATGCGACGGAGAGCCTCACCGAGGTTCTTGCAGCCGCAGACGAAGGGGACCTTGTAGTCGTGCTTGTTGATGTGGTTGGACTCGTCGGCAGGGGTCAAGACCTCGGACTCGTCAATGTAATCAACTCCGAGGGACTCGATGATCTGTATAGTTATCGGAAGATGGGATGAAGAGAGGGGAAGGGGAATAAGAATCTAGCTAGGTTCTCTTCGATTTGGATGACCCCTTCGTTGTTCGCTCGTTCTGGATCGGTTTGTCCGTCTGCCTTTTCTTGATGTCTAAATCTCGTTCAGTTTTCCTTGTGTATCCTTCCTGTCAATTGAGCGCACGTTGTCATATTTCTGTTCCGATCTGCTGTTGTGTCTTCTTTGTGGCTTCTTCTTCCTTAACAGTGCAAAGACAAGGTGATGCTGCTTGGTGTTTACCTGAGCCTCGACCATGTGTCCGATGCGGACCTTGGCCATGACGGGGATGGAGACGGCCGCAATGATCTCGCGGATCATTCTGGGGTCAGACATACGGGCAACACCACCTATTCGTTTGTCAAGAAGAAAATAGATAAACAAGTCCGGAACATGGCCAAACAACAAATCATGGGTTAGAGATCGGGGCTTGCTTTTTTGCGATTCGAGCAGCAAAAGCGCAGAAGCGCAGCTCCTTATAAAGGACCCTTCCTGATCGAGAACACTAAAGGCAGGAATGCAAGAACAAAAACATACCGTTCTTGCGGATATCGGCGGGGACGCGCTCCAAGGCCATGACGGCGCAGGCACCAGCAGCCTCGGCAATAAGAGCCTGCTCGACGTTGATGACATCCATGATGACTCCTCCCTATTGTTGTTTGTAGTTTGTATGTTTATGTTTTTTTTTGGAATGAATGGGAGGCAGAAGTTAATGAGTCTGAATCAAGTTACGTCGACTTGTTTTCCGCCTTCCTTCTGTCTGTTCTCCGTTGCTTATACTGTTGTTGTTATCATGATCTGTTTGCTGTTGGGAGCTAGAAGGTTACCTTGAGCATCTGGGCGAGACCGGCCTTGACGTTGAAGGAGGCGACCTCGGGGGCGGGCGCGGACTCCTGGGCGGGGACCAAGTTGGTGGGGGTAGCGAAGGTCATGGTTGGTGTGAGAGTGAGAGGTGGTTGGTGGAGAGAGGGTGGGGAAAGAAGAAGAAGGAAAAAGAAAAAAGAAGGAAAAGCGAAGGACCGGCCGTTGAAATATTGAGGAGTCATCTCTCTCACTCACCAAACTCAACACTACTACTACCTACTCACTTGTGAAAAAACATTGGGAAAAAAAGTTATTCTCGCCCTGTGATTGGCTGGATCAAACTCTGTCTTTCCGAGCATAAGCCACAAAAAGATATACTTTTTCATTTCTCTTTTGCTCGAGGCCACACGAGCACGCCGCTGGTATTAGAGATAAAGGGAAGAAGGGCAACGAACGCTCTTTGTGTGTTCCCTCCCTCCTTGCGAGGAAGATCAGCAAAGGGACATACACATCCATCTATACTTCCACAGGGTCAATTGATCTGCATGTACTGCTGTACTGCTGATACGCTATCAGCACAGACAGGAAATTCGATAGACCCGTGCACCTGCAATGACACATACCGTTTTCTACCGGTCGGTCAACCGACTCTCCAGGTGAACTTTTTTTTTCTTTTTCAATTGACCCATGCAGACGCATGCAGACCCCTGCGATGAAAAGAGTATCTTATGGCGTAGATCGTGGCTCACACGTTTTCATGATTAATTAATGCAGTCATGTCAGGTTCAGTGCTCTTTGACAATGCCCCCTCCCTTTTCCTTTGCTGTCTGTTGTCCCTTGTCTCGAACCACTCTTTTCTGTCCTGTCTCTGACTCCCTCCCTTCGACCACTCTCTTCCTCTCTCACTTTTCCCTCTTTCGCATTCCTTCTCTCCTTCCTCCTCCCTCCTCATTCATCACCTTCCACCCCTCTCTACCCACCTTCTACTTCATGACCCCTCTCGCACTGCCTAAATGACCCATCCCTCCTCACACACTTCCTCCCCTTCCTCGCACTCGGCAACAGCCAGCCTGGATGCCCATGCAAACAATTCCTACCATGACTCGACTCCTCACTTCTACGCCCACAACAACAACTCTTCTACCCCTTCGTCCTCGCACTCCCTGAACCCACCAGCCCCCCCTGCAAGGACAAACCAGCCCCAGAACCCCCAGGGCCAGTCAGACTCAAACACAGCTGTTCAACCAACTAGCGCCACCACTATTCAGGAACCCGTCTCCGACGCATGGGCCGAACACGGTCACTTCCCTCTCTCACTCCACTCAGTCTCTCGTCGCACGGTTCCTGCCCGAGGCGGTTCAACGATCCTCCTCACTGGCGACAACTTTCGAGGCAAGTTGCTGATAAGGCTATCTCAGAAGAGAACGAGCAGGCACAACAAAAATACAGATGCTCAGTCAGCCCTAACACCCTTTGTGTTTTTGCGAATGAAATACCATAGCCGGCGTACAGGTGGCCATTGCATGCTCATCATTGGACAAAAGTGAGCCAAAGGTTGTCACACCTCGGGTCCTCAAAAGCACAGAAATGGAGTTTATCGTCCCCAACTTGCTCGATTGGGCGTGGTCCTCCACGGCCAACACCACAGACTCATCCCCAACCACACTCACACCCAAGACACTACAGCTCTCGGTGACGCTTACCTGTGAAAGTGGCGTAAAGGACTCTTCTGATCCTGTCATTGCCTTTGACATGGTTGCTGTCGAAGGTATGTAATGGTGACAAACCCACTCACACACACTCACACACACACACAAGCGGTCGATATTAATAGGTCGACGTTTTCATTTTTGGCACCCACCCCAAAACATCCTGTTCATTGGTGTCTTATCATATCTTTACATTTGGCATGTCCACCTGTGTTATTTATTAATTTTTCATCTCCACTTTGTCGTCCGTCGTCGCTGACCCATATACGCCTGGAAATACCTTTTAGATTCCGAGACGGAACTGCTCCATACCATCATAGGACTCCACCGCCAGCTCATCCATGCCTCACTGACCGCAGAACTAGACATTGAGACAGAACACACTGTACGTTCGATGAATCCAGCATCATCAATATTTAATTCTATAGTTTCATGTTTTCTCTTGAGACACCCGGCTAATCAAGCTTCTCTTTTTTTTTTATATATTCTAGGCACGGCAAAGAACTCTAGCGTTGCTAACCCTTGATCAGCCCCCTACAGTGACTCGATCTGAACATCTGGCACTTGGCGTCATCTACATGCTGTGCGACAGGCGCGACTTGATCTCAGATGAAGGCATGAATATCATCAGAGCTGTCACCCAAGATGGCCATGACATGTTACATTTGGCAGTCGTTCTTGGTCTAAAGACACTCGTGCGGGAACTCTCCCGTCATTTACTCGTGACTTTTCAGAGCTGTGCTATCACCAGCGAGAGCGAAGTCTTTACTCGAGACCCCAACGGCCTCACAGGTACACCTTCAAATCTCATTACGAAATACAGCACGAACTTATTGGATGTTCTTTTTCACTAAAGTGCCCTCCCTGTTTCCACTTCACTCGTATTAGCCCTTGATTTTGCGACTGTTCTGGACCGCGAGGAGATTGAGACAGTACTCGCAGCGACGTTGCAGGCATCACAGGACCACAAGCGATCTATCCTGGGCAGAGCAACACGACCGCTGCCATCCATTCCTCCACCACAGTCGTCGTCATCAGGATCAAGGGCAACCTCACCTCCAAAGCCCTCTCGATCATCAACACTCAATGGCAGTCCAGTCCTTCCTGACACGGCGTCAACTGCCCTTGCTTCTGAGACTGCTGACAGGCCGTTGCCTCCAACACCACTGATTTCGCCTTACAACGACTCGCCTCCAGAGACCCGAGGAAACCATACTTACTTCCCAACGATGGCTGGCATTGATGCAACCCTGGCATATTCCCCTCCTTCGACTGAGGCTAGTCTGTCGGCACCTTCGGAACATCACCCACCTCAAAGAGTCAACACCGCGCAGGCAATTATCGAGGATAATGGGAACCGTACCGGACAGTACCACGGAGGAGTGCCTCAGACAACGGCGGAACATAGTCCAGCTCATTATCCTGGCCATGGCGACCCTCATGTTGTCGCTCAGCAATACCCAACTTATCAACCCCAGCATCATCAACACCAAAACAACCAGCACCAACAAGCTCAGTGGCCACAACAACACCACCAGCAACCTCACCCACAACCTCAACAGCAATCGCACCATTACCCACCTCATGACCAGCAGCATTATCAAAAACAGCAGCATCACGAGGAACCGCTTCACACTTTCGTCCAACACGCACCTACAATGCCTATTATGCCTCACCTCCAGGCTCATGGTCATCATCTTATGTCACGCCCCGAACTGACTACTCCGCCTCGAGCCAACTCTGTACCACTGCCAGTGCCACGACCCCACAACTCTCAAACATCATACCCACAACAGCACCAACCATCGCCAATCATAGAGAACCACTCGCCGACTTTATTGTCGACCTCCCCCGCTACCGCAGGAAGCTACCGCCCTCTACCGACAACATCGCCCAAGGCTCCGTCCTCCTTACCGCCACCAAAGCACAAGATTACGCGTGTGAACAGGCCCAAGAACTTTGTAGTACCGACTTCAGCCTCAGAGACAAATCCTGTCAGTGTGTCAGTACCGGAGCTGCCCTTGCAGTATCAGCAACAACAGCAGCAAACCTTGCAGTATCAGCAACAACAGCAGCAGACCTTGCATTATCAGCAACAGCAGCAGCAACAACAACAGCAACATCAACAGCAGAGGCCAATGGTGATCCCGCCACTTCTCCCTGATCCATATCCTGTTGCGCATGCTAGTCACCACCAGCATTCCATGCCGGCCCCTTTGCCCATTCCTATGATGCAACATGGTATGCCTCAGAAACAGGACTTGTATGGCGCTCCTAGGCCGGACGATCAAATCAAGGTTCCTATCGCCTAAGTCTGCTTCTAGCATGGAGGGGGGGACAAGTGTTGACGGAAATCCCCTATTCAAATTAAAGTTACAAAAATCCACGCTTGGTTGGGGAGTGTGTGGGGGAAAGGCTCGCATTGACCCGTGTTGTGACATTTGAACCGTTTCTATTTTTTTTTTATTCATGTGAGTTTGCTGAAGATCAAGGGAAGCTAAACGCAATGGATTGTACGAGCAGTAGTGACTCCTTGGAAGGAAGGGGGGTTGGTTGGTTGGTTGGTTGGTTGTTCCTGATCAATTCCTGTCCTCTCCTACAGCTGCGTTGGCCAAGGGGAGGATACTTGAGGATGCGTCTTGGCTATTTTTCTTGACGATCCGGATGTGGTTTTTCCATTCTTGGCGACAGCATTTCGGGGGGGGGGAGGGGGGCGAGAGGTCGGCAAAAACCGAGGGGCTGCGACTGAAAGTTAACTTTGGGGACCAGACTGCGGAGGTAAAGGTTTTCGGTCCAGGGGGACTTGGGGGACGTTGCGAGCAAGAGATAGCGTCCTTGATAGTGACGAAGCGAAACTGAAACGGCGGCGCACGAGTTCAGGTAATCTCAATGGGGGGATTCTAGTTTGGACCTGTAGCGGCCATGTTGCTGGGAGCTGAGGAGAGAGTCTACGAGGATGAATGGAAAAAAAAAAAAAAAAAAAAAAAAAAAAAGTTTACAGTGGAAAAAGGGATGAAAGAAGAAAAATCAGAAGGGGTATACGTAACACCTTGCTCTCTTTACATTCTAGTTCTCGTTTGCAAATGTCAGATATGCACGTCGAGGGTTGAAGGCCCCCACCCCTTTGGAGTTGTCAACAACTGGGCACCATGTCCAGAGCTTGCTTTTCAGGCACCGTGCTATTATTATTTTCTCTTTCCTTTCTGCGCGTTCGACACGCAAAGTCAAATGGAGTGGGGGGGGGGGGGTGCTAGAATTTTATTTTCAAGAACAAGGTGGCGCAGTGAGACCTTTACTTTTTTCGCGTTTACCTCAACCCAGCGAGCTTTTTTAATATTTACAATCTTGACTGTCCGGATGTGGTGTCCATGCTTCGCGATTATTTCGGTTGAGAGGTTGGCGAGTTGAGGGGGGGGCTCTGAAGTCGATCCTGTGCTAGATGGCGGATGTGAATGTCGGAGCAGGCTTTGGAGACGTGTGCACAGGAGGCGTCATTGATGGTAAGGAATCGGCTGAGTCGGAAACGAAAAGTCTGAAGAGCCGAACAGGTTCTTGGATGGTGTAGGGGTAGTCATTTTGGTAAGTGCTGAGGTGCAAAGAAGAAAACAAAAGAGGAAGGAAGAAGAAGAGGAAATGAAATAATATACATCTGGCAATCTACACTAATTGGGGCTTGACCCTTTAGTTGTCAATGGTCAAGCTTTTGTGGGTCGGGTCAACAGCCATGCCCTATGCCCAGGCATGACCACAGGAATAGCCTTTTTTTTTGGTTCTTGTTGTCGTGCACAGGCGGCGATGTATGCCCTGGGCTCATCTTCACAAACAAACAAAACGACACAGTGGTATGCATTGGATGTTTCTCACTCTGCTCTTCCTTTCTACTTGTCTCTCTCCACAAAACGAGGACAAGACGAAAGTGGTACTGTACATTAATGCTTTATTTTATTCATATGGTATTTGTGTGGTATTACAAAGGACGGCGGGGAGGATGTGAAGAAGGCAAAGAATTGGAAGAAGCAGAAGCAGAAGGAGCAGCGAAAGCATAGTCAGTTAGAAGGGACTCGTATGTGGGCGGATCTGCCGGTGCTGTAGAGTGTCTACCAATACCAATCCATGCTGCTGGAGGGGGTGGTAGGATGTCTGCAGTGGAAGCAGAGGTTATGTTGGGGGCGACAGAGTTGTGTGTGGCTGGTGAATTGCTGTTACTGGTACTCTGACCTGCACCCAGCGCACGAGCGTTGTACAAAGCGATGTCAATCAGATGAAATTCATATCCTGGTGGAATTGCTATTTCTATTTCGTGCAAAGCCAAGCATGCGAAACAAGAAGGGATGAAAAATAAGGCTTTGTTATTAATTTTTTGTGTGCAACACCTTTGTGCAAATCACACTACACTCCAAAACAATGCTTAATGAAAAAAGGTTTTATGTTTTACCTTCGCACTCAAATTCCTTGTGTCTTCGTTCTTTCTCTCTGCGCTTGGCAAGACAGACTCGAGCAAAGAAGACGACGGTGACGAGAATTGAGACGCTCATGATCATGTAGATATACGTTCCCGACGTCTCAAATCCTTCGGTTTGGCTCAGGTTATTGTTATTAGTGTCGTTGTTGATGCTGCCATCGTTCGGTGAGGGTGCGGGAGAGGGTGTGGAAGAGGGTGTATGAGAGGGAGAGGGGACAGCGCCTGTGACGGGGATGATGTCTGGGGATATGACATCCCCTGTTACTCGTGATTGTGGGGCCATCGTATATCCTGTTCGTGTGTAGGTATGTCTTGTTTGATATTCCTTTGATCGCCAATGAGCGAAGACGGAGTGAGAATAGGAGAAGAAAAAAAAAGCTGTGTGGATAGGAAGAGGTGATTAGGGGGTTGGTCTAGATTGGATGAGGCAGGATGTAAAATCAGACTCAGATGTGAGGAAAGAGAAGAGACGAACAGGAAGATGACAGTTGGATTATATATAAAATGCAAAGGGAAGAGAGGAAGAACGAAAATGAAAAGAAGAGAAGAAGAGAAGAGAACAAAGAGAAAAAAAAAGACAAAAAAGGATCTATTCTGATCGTTTTTATTTCAGGGGAGAGGGACCGTTGAACCATGTCCGTCTCACTTCCTGTCTCGTCTCTGTCTCTGATCACCCACCATCACTGTCAGGGTGCCAGCTTATACCCGCTAGTAGGGGGCGAAGGGGCGATATACAAGGGAGAGCATTCATTGAGGTATAATAGTCCCATGGTCTAAAAATGTAAATGATCCTGCAGCCCTCCTCCCCTTCTCTTTTTTCTATTTCGTGTCCTCTGACCCCCCGACCCATCCATTACTCGTCACTTTCCCTTTCGACCCTTTTCCTTTGTGGTTGTGTGTTTGCATGGATCAGTCATTGCATTCACTGCAACGGCAAGGGCAAGGGTAAAGGCAAGGGCAAAGGCAAAAGCAGGAACACACTCCATGCACCAAGACAAACAAAGTAAATATGCATGACATGCGTCTGTGCATCCAGGGCAATCAGCCGTGTTGCCACTATATGGAACCCTCCACATGCGACAACGCAAGCACATCCCCAACCTCCTTTTTGTGTTTGATCATATTGCACTCCCCTCCTCCTTATTCCTTTTGGTGCAAAAATTACAAGTGGCGCGCATTGTGTGAGCCCCTGGCAAAGGCAAGGTGAGACTTTGTGCACCTGGACAATTTTTCTTCTTTCTTGCTGCTCGCACGCTCAATTGATGTTTGTTATTTGACACTCCTAGACCCTTACCCTTAGCCCTTGCAAAATGAATCGTGATGAGACAGTTGTCTACATCCTGCCAAAGGCAAAAACTTACATTACTAACCCTCTTGGCCTGTGAATGCAATTTCCGGAAAGGATTATTGTCCACGTTGTGGAGGTGTCCATCAGCTCAATCTCATTTTCTTTCTTCCGGATCGGGGCCTCCTTTCCATTATTTTTTTCATCATCTGTTCTTGCGGTTGTCTTGGCGAATTCTGTGTGTGCTCCCCCGTGGAAAACCAAATCAAAAGAGGGTAGGTGGGCAAGACGGCTGCAAGTGGGTATGTTTCCAAGAGGACCCTGTTGGGCTGTGGAGGGTGTGACCGAGTGACGATGATGGCGAGGGTTACCAGGGTCATGATCCACCCATGTGTTCTTGTACCCCCCTTTTCCCCATTCTCCCGGTTCGAATGACTTTTTTTATATGAACCTTTTGATCTTCTTACCACTGTTGTTTGTCTTTTTTTCAAAGGTCCTTTGAGGAAAAAGAGAAAATAATATGTTCCTTGCTCGGTGCTGATCCTGTGTACCCATCACGAGATCTTCGCTCCTCTCCTTGGAACCAAAGCATCGCCACATTTTCTTTAGGCTTTCGTTAAAGTAATGGAGCCTAAAGGATCCAAGGTTCCCTTGGATATTCGATCCATCCATACTGACGATCACCGACCTTCATTCATATTATTTTTTGCTGTCAACTCGGATCAGCAACAAGAAAAGACAACAAAGCAGGAATTAGAAAAAAACAATAGACGTGTCTTCTTCTCCTCACGCACCTCTACATATCCCACCCCTACACGTCCTCACCCCTACATACTTAACAAGATGGCCACTGCTGTATCAATCAAGAACCCCTTCGACTTACGTCCAAAGCCTGGTCCGACACATTCACATCCGCCATCTGGGGGGCCAAGATCGACTTTAGAGCCCAGCCTCAATTCGCCAATCTCTCAACCGAAATAATCACGAAACATATAGACACCAGCCAAGAACGCCAGCACACTTCTCCCAAATCTCCACCCTCGCTCAACCTAAGTATTAACAAAATTGAGGGAGCTCAATAATGAAAAGTAACTATGAATAATGAACCCTGATTGTGGTTTGGTATTTGTTTAATGGTCAACTATTTGAAATTCAAAAAGAACACAACCTATGTTTTTTCTATTCGTCCTCACTCGCACCTACAACACTCTCGCCAGGATCCTGCAGAACAACATACTCACAAACCCGACCCTCTTTAAAGAACAGCTGCATAGGAAGGACCTGCCTCTCATCACTCGCCTCTGTCGAAACCCTCAGACCCAACTCTGTCCACTGATCTCTTGGAGGCGCAGGCTGAATCACATGGAGCAGCTTCCAGGGCACGGGCAGGGCTCTGGCAACATCGAGCAGACTCCTGAGAGCGAAAGATGTTGACCCTTGCAAGCTGAGATGCTCCATTTTGGGGAATGTCACTGCCAGGAGCTCGAATAGAATGTCGTCCTCGATGATCCAGTTCCCGGTCAGCTGTAGTTTCGTGAGGACTGGGAGAATAATGCGCCCTGGTGCAGCTGTTGCTGGTGTTGTCGTTGGTAGGGGTGGTAGCGGTTGCTGATGGGAGGAAGAGTAGTCGTCGTCGTCGTCGCCTTGGTCTCCGATACTGTCGGTGCTGCTGTTGTTGCCGTTGCTTGGAGGAACGAGATCAGCCATGGAGAGTGTCCGCCTGTGCATTCGACCGGTCGTGGCCATATCTAGGTGAAGTGTATCCAAGGCCGGGCATCCTCGCAACATCCGAAACTCAAAAAGATACGCAAACTCGCCCGAAAGTCGTAGCTGTGTGAGGTGAGGCAGCTGCCAGTCCCATGTCCAGCGTGGTCGTGTGATCTGAGGGGTCTCCTCCAAAATAGCTGGTGTTGCCGTCGATCCTGTAGCGCCGGACTCGTCGCCGTTGTTGTCATTGTGGATGTTGTAGGACTGGTTCAACTCCTCGATTGGCGGAATAAAATGTATGTCTTGAAGGTCGACGTAGTGGAAATGTGGCCTCATCGCCACTTCCAGTGTACGGAGCTCCGAGGTCGAATAAAACGTGTCCGGGTGAAAAGACAATGAGCTCCATCCATAAAGTTGTAATGTAACCAGTCGACAGAGCCGCGCCGGGAGACATGGCATGATATCCTGACACCGATAGTTGAACGTCCTGTCACCCAGCGACGCATAGCTCAAGTTCGGACAATGCACAAGTAGCTCTCGATCGAGCATCATCCGAGAAATTCCGGTATCCAATACAAGTCTATCCAAGGCCGGCATATCGACCCATCCTCGTCCGAAATGAACTGCAGGCGGTACACCCAGTGCAGGCGGTATATCCAGTGGAGGTGGTATGCTCATTGCAGACAACGTCGTAGAGGTCACTCTGAGGTCCGTCAGTGTCTGGCTGAAGGCGACCGCAATGTCGTCCACCTCGTCAGTGGTGCCGTCCCTTATGTCCCTGATCCAGATGTCCACTGGTGCTACTAAACCGTATAGCAGGCAGGCAGGTCGATCGTTGTCCAGCAGGGATGGTGGTCCTTGTCCGCCGTTGATGATTGTGTTGCCGCCCATGCCATCCATGGCCATCCTCTTCTCCTCGACCGCCCACTTGAAGGTGCCTTTCCCAAGCGAGGTCAGGCGCAGACGCTTCACAGATCGGCAACGCTGCAAGAACTGTCGAATGCCGCGAAGTCGATCGAGTAAGGGCCCTGGAGGCAGTGCCAGGGAAATGTCCTTGACGTGTCCAAGATCCGTCGTGTGCGGGTGTACTGCGAACTGCATCGCGTTGCGGGCATCGAGGGTTTTAGGCCTGTGTAGCGGGGGCAGCAACTGAAGAAACTTGAGCTGGACATCCACAGGGCAGGTTTGTTTACCCCACATCCAAATGGAACTAGAGTGGCAGGTAGCGATCTTGAGTTGACCCTTGAACAACTGCGTATGACTCTCGACAAACCGTACCAACGAACCCATGGATTTTTTCTCGCGTTCCTGCGCCTTGGCACTCCACTCCTCGGTAACTCTCAGAGCTCCCCCTGGGCCACAGGAATAAACCTCGTCCACCAGAAATCGAACACACTCCAGTCGCCCGAGTCGGTCAAGAACGCCAAGGTAACGATTAATATCGGAGACAGGAATGACCAAAGTCTGGAGTTGCTCGAGGATAGGGTTAGCAAGTGTCCAGGTCAATTCCCGGCGAAGCAGAACTCGAAGAAATCCTTGGCGAATGATCGGTGAATCATTGTTCCGCTCATATTCAGGCAGAAATTGGTCCCAGGGACAGAGGACCGTGAACTCTGGTCCATCGATGTACTCCTGTAAATCGGGCTGAAGGGTTGAAAGGTAAAATACGGATTGGTTTAGGAATGCCCAGTCCTGCAAGTTGATACAGCGGATCTGAGCAGCATAGTCCAGTGGGCTGGTGGGGGCAGTTGCTATTGTGCTCCTGTAGGCGGTAAGGTTGAGGGCGAGAGCCACGACCTTGGGGATACTGTTATCGTCGACTAATGCTGCTGTGACGTAGTGCGAAAGTAACATCCGAAGGAGACGGTCCACAGAGCTTGGAGGATCGGAGTCACCCTCGCTGGTTTTCCAGTGGTGAAAGGACCTTAGGAAGAGGTCGCGATAGAGGTAGGGGAGCGTGATGGATGCAATGTGCTTGTTGACGCGGAGGAGGGTGGCCAACGCGGAGACGTCGGCTTGATGGGCAAGAGTCTGGAGGATGGACTGGAAACACTCTAGGGGTAATTGCGCGAGGAGATCCATCCTTGTTAGTGCCAGAGTGGTATGTGATGTGTCCATGAGCGGACGTTGCTCGTTGTGCTGGTGGTTGTTGATGTCCGACATGCGGCGAGGATTGAGGGCGTAAGTAGATGAGGAACGCGTAAGCAAATGAGGAACGCGAAAGAAGCGGTGGCGTTTTATCGCTGAGTCTGTTAGTCTCGCCCAGTGATTGTTCCTGAACTGCTGTCGACTCTCTTTCCTTCCCTCGGGGACTGCTTCCCTACTTACCTTCCAGGGAGACAGACATTTCGATTTCAGCAGACGGGCACGGCACTGGGTCACCGATGATGCTGCATACCTCACTATCCCTGGCTGTCTTGGTACTCTGGGCCCGTCATAAAGCAATATGCCATGTATGGAACTCTCTCACCTTGCAGGAGAGAGCAAACCAGTCAATTAGCCTTGAACAAGGATGCATAACAACAAGTAAAAAACGTCCACAATTCTTGACCGAAAAAATTGATTCAGAAGAACCCCCCCCCCCAGTGTCCAGGAGCGAGTCTCAAACCTGACATGTTGAAGAGGCATTAATCTCACTGGGAGTAGGACTCTTTCACTCTGCTTACAAGTCCTCTTTGTTCTTTCTCAAGTTTCCATGTTGAATTGTTCTCTTGCAATCAGACAGCGGGCGAAGGGGAAAAAGGGTGCTCTGCACACGTGAGTTAAAGAAATCTTTGTCGCGCAACGCACCAGAGAATAAAAGGTCGTGTGCTTGACCGTCATGCGAATGTGTGAGAGTGGATGCATTTATTTGTAGCCTCCTTTTGTTTTACAGACTTTCGGTGGTCGGAGAGAAAACAAGAAGAGGAAGAAAAAGGAGGTCAGGGGCTCATTGTCCTCAAAGAAAGTGAGAGGTGACAACAAAGAAAAGAGGCAAAGAAGTGAAAAAGAAAGAAGAAGTAAGGGCAAACGAGTGAAAAAAAAGGGACAATTCGATTTCAATTGCAACCAAAATCCCACATTCCACCTACTTGTATTTTTTTCCTTTCTTCGCGCTGTTGTGTGTTCCTTGCCTAACCCTCAAGCCTGCCTTGTAATAGATCATGCCTAAGATACGACCACCACCACCTATGGTTATGTGTATATGCGAATGACTATGAGTGTAGGTGCAAGCGTGGGTATGAGAGGGGTAGAGACGATCGAGATTGGAATCCAAAAGACATAGAAAGATAAAAATCGTCTTCACTTGCCCTAGCTAGGCTAGAAGATGAATGCTCCCTTCCCCTTCCTTCTCCTTCGAACATGCCCCAACTCAACGAACAAGAGGGACATATCCAACATATCCATAGTGTGTACACCATACATATTTACATACATGCCCCCACTCTCTCTTTCTCTCTCTCTTTCTCAACCCACATTGTCGGATTGAATGTGAATGTCATATCGATCCCTTTCTGAACCTGTACACCTTTTCTCTCTCGTGCCCTATCTCGCTATCTCACTCATTCCTTCTCTTCCGCATCACTCACTCACTCTTCCAATTCTCACTTTCTCTCTTCTTCTCTTCTTCCTTTTTGTCCTTTCTTTGGTACTCCTGCTTTCAATTTTTCTTTCCCCACTCTTGTTATTTCTTTCGCTCTCGTTTCTTTTTTACCCTCGCGTGTGCCTGTATACCTCTCTTTACCTCTTGGTCGCGATTCGCTCTTCTCTTTCCAGCCAGCTTTTTGAAGAGCTACCCAACTGACAAGGACCATAGACACGCGCACAGCACTATTCCTTTTGCACCACCACTTATACTCTGCACCCCTGCCCCCGCCCCTGTCCCTGTCCCTGTCCCTGGATCCAAATCAACCTCTTCCTTATTACCGACTTGGCCATTGACAACCAAGTCCCCTTCTACGATCAAGGTAACCAACACATACCCTAACCATCCGCCGACTCTCAGTGAACCTTCACCAGAATAACACCTTAACCTCAACCCACTCTTCCCTTCCTTCATCGATAAACAAAAGTAAACGAGAAAAAGAAAACAGATGCAGTCGTTCAGTCAACCAATCCCTCGCTGCGTCCTGGCTCAAAGTTACCTAGAAAGCATCGACCGAAACAGTACCAACAACAATAACTCTGCAACTCAACATACGCACGGTGGTGGACTTGTGCTTTTGGATGATCGGAACTCGGACTTGGACGACCAGTACCAACAACTAGTCCACCTCAATGGAGCACAGGGTCGACACAACAACAGCAATAGTCAACACTATCAGCAGGATGGAATCGTGCAATTGAAGCAGCAGCACTACCTCCAGCAAGGGCAGGTCTATTGTGGACGGGCGACCGCAGAAGAGGAAGACGATCGCCTGCAGAAATACAACGCTAGTCGAGAATACAACCTCCAGCGTGTCGCCGCTTCCACAAAATCGACCTCTCCGTCTTCCACTCTGTCATCGTCTCTGTCATCTGCAGTCTTTGCCAGGGCGAACCAGAACCAGCATCCTTCCTCTCTTGTGCCTCCTCCTTTCCTGCAAGTGAGCCCACAACATCAGCAACAGTTAAATCAACGGCATTTCCAGCATAATGGAGGTGCATCCGGTGCATATGAACATCCTACGCGTCACAGCCACCATACCCAGCACCACCACCTCCATCACAACCAAATCCAGCATAACCATAACCACCATCAGCAACAGCAACAGCGTTATAGTCGAGCCGATATGAGTCGCCTCGAGGCCAAGTTCCCGCCATTGCACGACTCTGCCGACGACTCTTCTTCTTCTTTAACAACTTCCTCAACAACATCACCAGCAGCGGAAGCATTCATGTCGGCACTCGACCAAGGAATTCAACGCCCCTCTTCTCATGTGGGACTCGCGGTATCTCCCAAACCCACCAGGCCTCAGCGCCTGGTCCCACCACCTATCCTCATCCCCAAGGATATCATGCAACAAAACAAACTGGTGGTAGCCGCCCCCATGATGGCTCAGAACCAGAACCAGCAGCACCTCCCATCCCCTGTCCCATCTGCCACCTCCCCAGAGTCCCCCTCCAGCCTTGCGATCCACCTCTACGTCCACCACCATCATCACCACCACTCCCAAGAGTCTTCGTCTTCTTCTGCAGTGGTGCTTCAGGATGGAACTACTGCCCCATCTTCGTCCGGTTCTGCATCGCTCTCTCCTAGCAATGACTCTGCACCGATGGTCCTCTTGTCGCCATTGACGTTCCCACACCCATCCATGGACCATCCCCTCTACCAGAAACAGCAGCAGCAGCAGCACCTGCATGGAGCAACCAAATCTGCGGCTGCGGCATCTCTTCCTTCGCCTCCTCTATCCAACCCAGAAATTGAACTGCCCCAATTACCATCGCCTCCACCTGTGCAGCGCGTTTCGTTGTTACCTCCACTCAGCATCCCAAGCGCCAACAACAACAGCAAAACAAACAATGCGTTATTGACACCTCCACCCTTGATTGCCTCATCCGCGACAAAGTCAGATACCACACCAACCAACGACGATACCACATCCACCTTACCCTGGTTCAACCACCCCAACAGTCTCGCCAACACCACCACAAAGAACCAACCTAACAACAACCATTATCAACAAAGACGCCACCGCCAACAAAACCGCAACCACCAACCTCGCTCGCGACTCCCAGACCCCACACTAGCAAGCCAACTCCTCTCCACAATCTCCTCCAAAGACCTCGCACGTTTATACGTTCACGCCGCACACCACCTGCACTCCCACCAACCCATCCGGCGATACGTCATGATGAAGATGATCATGACCCAGGCCGAACTCGCACAGTATGGGCGTCTTCGCGCTGAGATGCCTCGTGCCCCCGGTCCTTCGACAGGCGCCCAACCGAAACGGAACGGGTTTGGGTCCCCTGCTCAGTCTGGGTTTGAGTTCCGGCCCAAGAAATCCTCGAGGTTGGGACGTTATATGTATTCTGCGGCCGCTTTCGCTCCAGTTCCCGCTCCTGCCGCAAGGTGGGGAACAGCTGCTAGCGGTAGGAGTTGGGGAGATGAGGAGGATATGGTGATGGAGGTGTGGAACGAAAAGGCCGTCGTGACAAAGAAGAAATCGACAAGCCTACCATGGACACAATCCCTCTCCTCTCTCGTATCACTCACAAAACGCAAATCCACTCCCTCGTCCTCAACATCATCATCGTCATCATCAAAGCCCACATCCTCAGTTTCAGAACCCAACCTCTATTGCTCCAGCAGACGGCTTGAGGAACTGGAGCTCGGCCATGATCACCCGAGGAGGGCCAACGCCGTTTTACAACAACAGCAAAGTGGAAACAGGAGTTCATCACGGATACGACGCCGCGTCGTTGGTGGGGAAAGAATGTACTCCGAAGACGACTATGACAATGGAGAAGGAAGTGAGGATACTGAGACCAGCGACGACTTTGAGGGCGAAGAGGAGGACAATTTCGAGGACGAGGAACTCGACGAAGAGCAGGAGGAGGAGGAAGAAAAACCAAGCACCTACTGGTCCATGCTCAGAACCCGCAGCAACAATAACCAGCCCCGGAAACGTGATCGCCGTAACTCTTCTGCGACAGATCAGCACCACAAAGAAGCGCGTCTCCACCTCAGCATGCAACAGCAGGACAAAGAACACAACCCATACTGCCAACAGCAACAAAAGATCATCTCACTACAACAACTCGACCCCCAAGTCATCATCTACACGTCCTCCACAAAGCCAAACACCTCCTCAACAACCAACAAATCCAAATCCTCTGCCCGCCGCAGAACAGCCTTGAACCACACCAACGACAACAACGGCTCCCTCGTACCTTCCTCGTCATCCCCATATTCCTCTCCAAACTCCTCCTCCTCCTTTCACTTTCCAAACGGCACAATCCTCCCAACAGGATCCGGATCTGCAACCGCCCCGTTCACAGAGACATACGGCGTCTCGGGCCTGCTGATGCTCGCCCTTTTCTTTGTCTTCCTTTTCCTCCTCGAGGGGACCAACCAATTCTATAAAGTCCAGTCTGCACTCCTCTCCATCATTCTTTAACCCCCATTTTCTTTTCCTTTCCATTCACCCGCCTACAAACACCAACATTAGAATCTCAAAAAAAAGCGTACACATCACACCCCCTTCTTTCTTCTGTTTTTTCGCACTAACTAGAATCCATATATCCTTTGTCTTTAAAAAAAAATATACCCTTGTATTTTTTTGTAGTCCTTCTTTGCACCATGACACGATACTCTTGATGTTGTACTATTCCGTGGTTTTTATTATCACAAAAAAGAGGCTGAGAAAGAAGGCAATAGAAAAGGCAAACTGCATTCGCCCTTCCTTTCAAAAGGATCGAGCTTTGTGCGCGTACCCCTTCTTGCCTCGCTTCCTCTAGTCTCACCCTCTTTTTTACACAACAGGATCCGGACAAAAAAAACGCTCCCTATTGACAAGCAAAAAAAACAAACAAGTAGGGAAGAAAGGCGCTTCACCCTTAAAACAAAGCCTCCATGTCAAACGTAAAGTTTTGCATGGTCTTGGGCTTGGTCACAGCGATATGACCAGGGCCTGGTGCAACTCCGTTGTTGTTGTTGATGCTGCCAACTCCGTTTCCTGTTCCAGCATGGTGCATACCATTGTCGTAGTACACATTGCCGTTCTGGAGGCCGTCCGCTCCTCCTCCTCCTCCTCCACCGCCTTTCAAAAGCGCCAACAGATCCACAGGTCCATTCCGGGCGCGCATAGGCGAGCTCGCCGCTGACGCATGCTGGGGTTGGGGTGAATAGTTTGATCCATATGATCCGCGGTTACCGTTGTTGTTGCCGTTGGCCATCGCAACACCAGCATTCGCCATCAAAGGCGAACCTCCATGCTGAGTCGCCAAATGACTGGGATGAAGCAAAGGGCTGTTGGACTGAGTAGGGATCCCGAGCATGGCCTTCAATGCGTCACTACCATTCTGGAAGGGAACAGAGGCAGAAGAGTTGGACGTTGCCGACGACGGCATAGAGACAGGGTGGCTGGAGTATGTTGTCGACGACTGAATGACAGGAGATCCAGTAGCGGTCCCGTCCGCGTTGAGCATACTAACTCCTCCCTGAATCCCCAACAGAGCCTTCAAGGACTCGCTGCTGTCCCTGGCGCCCCTTGACAAAGGGGGCGATTGGTGAGCAGGATGCTGCCCCTGTTGGTAGTGAACAGGCGTAGACTCCTGAGAGAACGCCACGGGTTTGCCAATACCCAACATGTTCTTCAACACGTCTGAGTCAAGTCGAGCCTCGGAAGAAGAAACGGTCGGCACGCCTGCCTGATGACGGTTGGACGAATGCTGCTGCTGGTGAGATCCTGTCGAGGTACTACTGTCATTGCCTTGGGATTGAAGATGGGCTAACTGATTGTGCTGACCCTTGCTGTTGCTACGCTTATTGCTTCGCCTTTGAGTAATAATCCAATTCTTCAGCTTGCTATAAAACAGAAGTCAAGTATCAAAAGTAACACCCTTGTCAGTACACTGGCCAAAATGACATAACTCCACGACCGATGACTATTTATACCCGATCTGATCTTGTCAACTTACTGGACAAAAGGGGTCACCATATAGTAGCGGCTGGGGTTCTTGATACCGTTGCTTCGTTCGGTTCCGCTTTCCCGGCCAGAGTGTGTTCCCTTCTCGATCGGCTTGGGCTTGGATGTGGGCAGGTCTGCGATATAGTGCCATTCGATTTTCTAAAAACAGAATTGAGAGTGACAGGACAAATGAAAGAGATAGATGTTAAGTCCAAAGTGTTCAAAAACAACAAAGGCGCTCTGTCCAAGGCAGCAAAACGTAATGGGCTCCCGAGTGAGTGGACGCATTGGTCAGAGCTCGAAGGATGACAATACAAGCCGAGTCAACGATGACTACGGCAACAAAACGCTTACGCTGATCTCCTTTCGTGTCTGAGGCTCAAACACTGTATTTTCAGAGACAGATTTGATAATGTACAAACGGATCCTTTGATCCTTGATGGTCTGCTCCACAAAGTCCTCGTCCCGGATCTTTTCTGAAGCATCGAACCCTGTCTCCTCCCAGACCTATTGCATTGAAAAAATGAAAAGAAAACCAAAACATGATGGCGCACATGCATGTGTGAGTGAAAGAGCGTTTCAGTAATAAAACATTGATCCATGGCACATGTAGTTAAGAGTACAAGGTCCACTGTATGAGTAAAAGAGCAGCGTCCTTGCTTTAAAGAACGAGTGCACTGTCAACAACGAAAGCATTTGACCCGGAAGGACGGTGCGTCGGGCATACAAGCAAAAGAGAGACAAAGAGTGTGATCATTACCTCTCGTACTGCACAGGACGCATCTGGCTCATCCTTGTTGATCTTTCCCTTTGGGAATCCCCATCCTGACCTTGCAGTCCAGCCCTTGACCAATATACACTACAATGTGGTTCACAACATTACGAGGTTTAAGATGGTGAGTCTTGTGGTACTTTTGTCCTATCATCGATAACGGGTCAGACAAGACAAAGCAGATAACAAGTCGGTGGACAGAATGTCTCTTTTGTGGCTGTTGTAAATATTGCGTTTAGACAGTTACCTTGTCCATTGCGTCGTTGAGGATGATTGCGCCGCAGACGGGCACTCTGATCTTGTATTCCATAAAGTTGGCGAATGCAGTTTCGTGTTCATTGGCCCATTCGTGAAGGAGAGGGCAGTGCTGGAAGAATTTGGCCGAGAAACTCTTCAGGTTAAAGCTGGGGAGGGCTGAGTTCTGCTCGCGGATGAAGTCCTCATAGAACCAGTGGGCCTGTTCGATTTGGAAGCAGATGCGCTCGACTGATGCCAGTTCCTCATCTGGAACATTGATGATGAAGCGACTAAGAGCAGGAAAGAGTGGAAAGTGATGAGTAAGTCAAGTCGGGCCATATGACTCTTTCTAACCAACGAATAAGCACAGCTAAGCTAAGCAATGTGTGTAGTTATGGTCACAGCAACCAGAGCAGACGAGTAAAAACAAGTCGACAAGACAAAACAGTTATAATACCTTGACAGGTCGTCCAGGACGTGGTCGAATGTAGCGTTAGTCCATGCCATAGTGCTGTCTGTCTGTCTGTTTCTGATGCTGTTGTTGTTGTTGTTGTTGTTGTTGTTGTTGATGTTGTTGCGATGAATATGACTTTTCAGGCTTGCTTTTTCCCTTGTGCTTGTGGAGAGTGGCAGTCTTTCTAGGTCGTAAGAAGGGTAAAAGAGGGGGTGGAGTGTGCTTCAAGGAGTATGCGTGTATGCGTTTGGGTAAAGCGGTAAAAGAATAGAGGAGGTGTGGGTATGATGCGGGAGGGAAGGAGGAGAGAAAAGGAGGAAGGAGGAAAGGAGGAAAAGAGGAGAGGATGGAGAGTGGCAAAAATATATGAGTAGCAGGAGAGTGTGTATGAGTGTGTTTCTGTGTGAGTTGAAGAGGAGGAAGAGGAGGAAGAGGAGGAGGAGGAGGTAGTGAGTGTCGAGTGGATGAGTTTTGAAAAGGATGAAGGGAAGCAAGGAAGGAAGGAAGGAAGGAAGAAAGGGAAGAAGTATAAAGAGTACAAAACTTCAATCTCACTCCCGCCTTACCCCTATTCACTGCCAGTCTCTGAACACTTTTTTTTTCCTTTCCTTCTTTCTTCGCCTCCCTCGCAGTCACATCCTTGCATGAATTGCCGCTTGTTAATCGACTCGAAGAATCACAGCCTGGTAAGAAGCCTTCGCCTCTTCTTCATCTCCACCGCCTTTCCAACAGGGTGATATCACTTCCGCTTTTTTACTTCATAATAAGAAAGAAAGAAAAAAAAAACGCCTCTACACTTTTAGTATCCACGCTGACCTCCACGGCCAGATATCGACCGATCACCCGACGATCCCAATGGCCCAGCATGGTTGGCCATACTCGCCCCAAGGACTCCGTCGTTGGCAGGGTTGTATGTGAATCCCTTGAACTGCAACTGCACCGTCTCACTCAAAAATGACGACTCCACCACAGAATCCAAAGGCTCCTCGCTCGTAAACTCCTCGTCAAAGTTCGACGTATCAATCGCAGACGACACCGATGGCTTGAAAGGAGGCTGAATCTTCTTGGCCATCAAGTGAGGGAACGAAATCGGCTTGAAGAACGCATGCTGTTTGATCGCATTTGATCCATTGTTACCCAAACGCTGGTTAGGATCCCGTGTCAACAACGCCGTCAAAAGTGCTCTCGCATCCGGTGCTACCTCATCGGGGAACCGCAGCTCATCCTGAAGAATCTTCCTGTACATCTCGTGAATGTTCTCGTCATAGAATGGTGGCAGACCTGTCAACATCTCGTACAGCAACACGCCCAATGTCCACCAGTCGACAGTCTTGGTATAGCCCTGACCCAACAACAGCTCTGGCGCAAGGTACTCGGGAGTTCCGCAGAAGGTGTTCGTAGTCTCTGTCTCAGTCATGCCGAGCTTGCACAGTCCAAAATCACAAAGGGCTATATGGCCAGTGTAATCCAACAAAATGTTCTCAGGCTTGAGATCACGGTAGACCACATTGAACCCATGAAGACACTCGAGTGCGCACATCAGCTCTGCAGCATAGAACCTTGACCGCTCCTCGCTGAAACGACCCTCACGCTGCAGATGATGGAAAAGCTCCCCTCCGTTGACAAAGGCCAGGACCAGGTACAGCTTCTCGGGCGACTGGAACGAAAACTTGAGGGGGACGATGAAGGGGTTGTTGATCTGGGCCAAAACTGTACGCTCTGCCAAGGTGTGGTTGACTTCACTTCGTGAGATGATATGTGCCTTGCGGATGATCTTCATGGCATAGATACGGGAAGTGTCGCGCTTGCGAACTTGCATGACCTATATCCGTAAGTATGAGTGGAGAATATATGAAGAGTGGAGTGAGTAATATTAAATAAAACATTAGATTGAGACAACAATAACGACATCCATGAACAACAACAGAGTATGAAGGGATATCAAATGTCAATTAGGCGGCCATTGAAAATCAAATAATTCACCCTTTTCACTCTCCCCACCTTAACCCTTCTCGGATGGATCAGAAACATTCGTGTTCCTTTCTTCTCAAGAGCGAGGTCTCCAACACTAGTCGTCTGTTCTTTTCCTCTTCCTCACGACTCTTCTTTTTTCTTTCCTTTTGACGAGCTGTACTGTACATCGTCCTGTAAAACATACCTTGCCAAAACTGCCCTTGCCAATGACCTTGAGAAGGTCAAACGCATCTATTGTCAAAGGTGTATTCGCCTAATTCAAAAGAAAAAACGAGCGAGGTTAGGTGGGATCCAATTTACCAGTCGATCGAAATCACTCTTCAATGGATGCTAAAAATAAGGAATAGAGAGTGAGTGACAACAAAAAAGGACTTACACTGTCTCGCTTGAACACGACTTGGACGCGCACCTTGCCGGTGCCCCCTCCGAGTGCGAACCACTCATCCTGCATCTGCTCATCCCAGCGTGGCTCTAGCTTGACGTTACCCAAAAAGACATCCTCGCTCGACGTCTCGCTCTCCATCATGCTGCCAGTCTTGTCCATTGCCGCTACGACCTTGGGGTTGGGGATGCGGATATAAAGTGACAGCTGAACATCAGAGACTCTCGAGACGTCACTAACCAGAGAAATAATAAAGAATAAACATGAGCGTTAGGCATGTGGGGATGTGCGAAGGGCAAATGTATATGAGCTGAAGTCGACTGTTGTTTTTGTTTTGATGTTGTTGCTGTTCTTTTTTTTTGGCTTTTGTTGTTGTCTGCAACTGCTGTTGCTGTTGTTGTTGTTGTTGTTGTTGTTGTTGTTGTTGTTGTTGCTGACCATCCTGCTCGATGAGGTAAAAAAGTTGGGAGCCTGCGCGCAGGTGAAAGAAGGAAGGGAGGCACCCAATTTCATAAATGCAATCCAACGAGTAGCCTTTGCTCGCTCAAGGTTTAGTCCTCCACATCGCAAGCTCTCGTTTTTCAAGCCGAAATATAAACCATGAAGTGAAAAAAACAACAAAAAATGTTCCTTTAAGGCCCTCAATCAAAAAAAAGTGCATGCATAATGAGCTCTTGCCGATGATTCTGCTGGTTCTGTCTTCTGTCGTCCTGTCGTCGGGCATTTCTGCATGGCCAGACACCCCTTCTTCTCTCCTTCGTAAACCAAAAATTGCATGCAACAAAAAAAGGAGCATTCGATAATAATAGACCCTATGGGGTATCGACTTACAAGTGAGCTCTGTACTGCCAGACGGGATTGGACAGCTCGCCTCCGAGCGCATCGATCAGGACTTCGTTCTTGTCAAACTCCAGCACAGCATAGGGCAACCACCACTTACGCTGAAGCGACTCTCTGTTGCTGGTAGTCTGCTGCTGTTGCTTGGGCACAAAGGGAGGATTGCTGGAGCCAGGTGGGAGGGTCAAGCCTCGGGCCTCAACGACTCGAATGATCAAAAGACCGTTCTTGGGTGCGCCTCCGTCGTTTCTTCCTACGGTTCCGTTTGTCTGTCCCGAAGGTGATGGCGAGTGGCCAGAGGTAGGTGGGGTGGTAGAGTGAATCGAGGAGGACGAGGGCGTCTGGGAGTGACCATTGCCCTGGTTCTTTGGTGGGGATGTTGCCGAGGAAACAGGGGTTGGAGAGGTCGACTTTATCTGGAGTGCAGAATGGAAGGTTGCGGTCAAGGCGGCGGCTTCCTTTTCTTTTTCCTTTTCTCTCTCCTTCTCACGTTCCTTTTCTTTGTGCTCTATTGGAACAGGGGTACAACAAAGCAACAATAAAAAAACATGAGGTAACAGGTGAGCGATTAGTACTCCAGGTAAAAGCCATGTGTCTCGACTCTCGAAGTCGACAGCCCATCGCACACTAACAGCGATAGTAATAAAAACCAAAAAGAAGCTCTCGCTTTTATGTTTCTTTGGGTAATCCTCTTTTTGATGATGTAAAAGAAGGATAAACGATCTCTCCGTCTAGTCCATGGCGTTTGTTGTTTTTTGTTGCTGTGGGTTGCCGTAGCCTCCTTTTGGGCTGGTTTTGCACGCTTTCTCTGTGCAGGTGGATGTGCTGTATATTTTGGTCGCTGTGTGTGTGTATGTATTTCGCATAGTGTATGTTTGCAAGTGACCCTTACTCTTTGAGTGCAACCAGGACATGTTGATGGGCGCTAGTATAGTTAGAAGTAGCGGTAGTTGCTAGTAGGAAGGGAGATAAGGTGAAGAGAAAAAACGACAAGGTCAGTTCGTCTCCATTTACTCGTTTCATTTGCCTTTCAGCGAGAGTGGGTCCGGCTCGAATCATCCGTCTTCAAGTCCCAAGAGGTGTGTGTTGATACTGAAAACTTGCAAGTCGTTTGTGCGGGTCGAACTTGGAAGTATTGTTTCTTCCATAAAGCCTCAGTCTCTCTCCAGTGTTGACGTTACTGGAAGGCTTTCTTCTTGTCCTGTGCTAGTGTGCGCGGTGTGATGGTGTCAATGGACTTTGCTGAAAGTGAAAAGGGGTGGCGTATCTGTGCTTGCTCGTATTACGTCGTTTCCAGGGGGAGTGTTGCGAGCTGTGTATTTACTTTTTGACTGTGTGTTTGTTAAAGAAAGTTGTTGCTGAGAGTGGAGGAAGGGGAGAGTGGAGAGTGATGTGTGTAGGTTCAAAGCAGGGTTAGTCAGGAGGGGAAGATGTGATGAAAAGAAAAGAGACAAGAGCGATGCAATCACTCAAAGGTGTTCTTAAGAAAGCGAGAGCAACCAATTACAGATCGCGGTCAATTAGAGATATTTACCTAATTGACAGTCCTTTCTGCTCCCCCTATTCCTGCACACTCTCCCCACAAAGCAAACGCGCTATGATTGCTCTTCTTTGCCTCCAGTCCACTCCAGTCCGGCCCTCCGGCTGGCCCTCTCCTCCTTTCCTCCACCTCCTCCACCTCCTCCACATACTAACTTCGTTTCTCATTCAGATATAAAAGGACTCCAACCTTCCCTTTTTCTCACTCTTCACCCCTCCTCTCTTCCTTCACTTCACACATCCACCCCATCGTCACCAAGGTATGTAAGCAGTATGCCACCATGAATTCTTTTTTCTTTGATTAACAAAGTCCTTCTTGTACTCCTCGTCATGCATACTCTCATTCATTCACGTTTGTTTCTTTATCTTCTCCCCGTACTTGTCTGTACTTTCGACTTACCCCTGATTCCATTTTCATGCCATGCTAAAATACTGCTTCCTATCATTATTCTCATATTCTCCTAATCATTCATTTGCATAGACAATCAACATGGCTCGTTTATTCTCCCTCTTTGCCGTCGCCTTCTTGGGCCTCCAATTGATCCAGATCGACCGTGCCTCTGCCGCAAGCAACCGCATTGTCGCCGTCGGGGACATCCACAGTGACTACAAGCAGGCTCTTGCAGTTCTCCAGATGGCCAAGATTATCGACTCCAAAGGCGACTGGATCGCTGGCCAGGATACCTTCGTCCAGACCGTAAGTATCATACGTCAATTGAGCTGAGAACAATCTTGCTACAGGGCTCATGCACCAGCTCTTTTTCCATGACTGGGGTGCGATTGATGATACGATGCAAACCGACGCCCATGAATAAAGAAATATCATGGCATGAATGAACGAAAGAGAAAGAACATGAACAATTGCTTGTTGACGCATTAAGCATCTATGTCGGCAAGGACATTATTTGTTTGTTTATTTGTTTGGTTCACCCACTCATCTTTTCCTTACTTTCCTCTTTTTTTCCCCCATTTTCCCACAAGGGTGATAACGTCGACAGAGGTGCAGGCACCATTGATGTTTACAAGTTGCTCCAAAAGCTTCGTGGACAGGCTAGTGCCGCCGGTGGAGTTGTAAGTATCTTTTTTCCTGTTAGTTCGTATTCCCATGAGCTGCCTTAATTGATTGTTTATTGGATGGCTGCCTCTGTTCATTGGCTGCTCAACGAGCATTCGAACGCGTGAAATGTCGAATGAGTGCCTTGTTCTCGTTGGTTGGTTTTTTGTTTTATCTTTTGGCTTCTTTGTTTTTGCGATGTTTTTCTTGTCGTTCTGCTTCCTTGTTTGTTTGTTTGTTTGTTTGTTGTTTTTACCTTGAGTGAATCCGGGGATTCGCGCTTTCGAAGACACATGAGAAGAAAAAAGAAACGAGCGCCATCTGTGCTTTTTGCTGTTATTTTTGGTTTGAGAATGCTCACATCCTGACACAAAACTCTTTCTCTTTGACCTCTATCCTTCTCGACAAACACCTGCCCTTCCTTTCCTGTCCTCTCGTCATCGACGCTGTTTCCCATGTGCATTGGTCGATAGGTCATCAACCTCCTCGGAAAGTAAGTTGCGCTAGCGAATAAGAATTCTTTTTAACGCGTGCATGCTCACGCTCACTCCCCTTCCCTCTGCTCCATGTTTCCGTCCATCCTCTTTTCACGTAAACCACACCACCTCCAATTATTCCGATGCAGGGCCTGAAAACAAATACTTTAAACTTCGGAAGCCTTCTTCGAGAGTTAGTTGGGGTAGTTCAGTTTGACCGTAGCCAATAGTATTCTCACGCACTCCCTACAACCTGCCACAAACATTTCCCTTCCCTTCATTGGCAATGGCCTTCTTTCAGTTTACCAGATCTCTTTCCTGAACTAACCGAATACCTGCCTTTCTCTTATCTGACCCATTTCAACCCTTCATTCCTTCCCTCCTTCTATTTAGCCATGAGGTGATGAACCTCGGTGGAGACCTCCGCTACGTCACCAAGGAGGACACTGCCTCTTTCGGTGGCGCCACTGCCCGCAAGGCTGCTTGGGACATGCAAACCGGCTGGATCGGCAAGTTTGTCTACAACAGCTTCAACATCACCCACATCCAGAACGGCCACACCCTCTTCAGTCATGCCGACATGAGCGTCGACTGGGCCGAGAAGGGTATCGACCAGATGAATTACCTTTCCCACAAAGCCCTCAAGGACAAGAAGTTCAAGGAGCCTATCTTCACAACCTATGGTAAATTACATTGATACTTTTGACTGGATGCTTTTTTTTGCTTCTTGCTTGGACCAGTTTTTGTCGGGCAATTGTGCATGCAGGGTCTAACCTTTCGTTGATTCGCTCTTCTTTTTGCTGCCAAATCGGTTTTATTTACACGTATGTGCAACAGGTCCTGTTTGGAACCGCGACCTCGCCAAGGAGGAGGCCGGTGAGGACCAGACCTGCGAGGTCATCGAGAACATTAAACAGATCCTTGGCGTAAGTACCCTTCTTTTTTTTTGCTCACCTATAATGGCATTGCATGACCTGTATGTATGCCCATGTTTCGCGCCGCGCAGTTGAGCACTGACATGCACCTCAATTACGTTTCGTTATTACATCTCCAGGTCAAGCGTATGATCTCGGGACACACTGCCCAGTCCTCGGGCAAGGTCCTAACTCTCTGTGGCAACAGTTACATCGGCATCGATGTCGGTATCACCGCGTACTACGGTAAATTAGTGCTCTTGCTTGTTTCTTTCCTTGAATCCGTACACTTCTTTATGTACCAGCCCTTGCCATTCTTATCTGACACGTTCATTACCTATTGGCAATTACTCACAGGTGCCAACCGCGCCGCGCTCGAGATTATCGAGAACAGCGATGGCACCCAGACCGTCTCTGCCATCTACCCCTCTGGCAAGGTCATCCTCTCCTGAACAGAGGATAACAGATATGCACCTTCCTCCCTCCTCAAACAAAGAACGTGCGTCAACGGAGGTGCTGTAAAGATGGAACTCTCCCATAGAAGGAAAGAAAGAGCTCGCATTATTTATATCAATATAATACCATCATTATTCTTTCGCGAGAACTTATATATTTTTTATTTTGTCTCATTGACACCACTGTGGACCTTTGTGTTGGATTTTCTTTTCTAGTCCACATATGAGGCGCGTCTGCATTTACAACAAATAAAAGAGATCAAGAAAGAAAACGCGAACATGAGCAAATTAGATCGATGTAATGGTTGTGCATGTTGTTGTGAGAGGAAGTCAGGGTGGCTTTATGCATGTTCTTTTCTCGGCTGGCGAGTATTCACGATTTGCGTGTCTAGCAAACTAGGAAAGGGCGAAGGAAAATATGCCTGGATAGGAAGTTGTTTGGCCAGAATTATGGATAGGATGGCGAGCAGGGTGCGTATAATGACCACTCTGTCTTCCTTTTTGTATGGTTGATTGTGCAAAAAGAAACTCTCATTGGCGCATCGGAAATTGTCGAGAACGTCAATGGCACCTCGACTCTCATCGGCATCTACCTCACCGGACAAGTTCCCTTGTGAATACAACCAATCCTCAGACACAACCAGCCCTCAGCAACCCATCAACAAGGCCAATAGCTTTTGTTTTCGAACCTGGTGCGGCGGGGACTTAACTTTGTCTTTGCACTCAGTTTTTCTCTCTACCTCAACCTCTTCCGTTTATCACCCTAGGTAATAATGAAAGGGGGATCGACACAGCACTTCCCTCCGGCTCTACACAAAGTAATGCATTTGTTGTTGCTGGGAAAGAGCGGGCTCATTCCTTTAGCTCAGCGCCACTCAACATCATGAAGTCTGTTGTCCACGCTATTGTTTTCTGCACGTTTCCTTCTCCGCTCCACTTCAGCATTTTTTTTCCGTACTGGATGAAGCTTTTGTTCATGATATTTTGTTCGTCCTCGAGGGCGATGCGTATCTTTCGAACTCACGGATTCGTCTCCTATCCCCGCACTTTCTTTCCCCTCCAATGCCATCTGTCTACTTTCACAATGATGTCGCGCTTGTACTTCGTGGTCGCATTGACACTTTTCTGTGTCGCCTTCGTCCAGAATGCCGTCGATCCCCGCCCATTCTACCACCACAGACCCCAGAAGTCTCACAGACCCTATAGAGCCCACCACCGCGGCAACGACCGTATTGTCGCAGTCGGCGAACTCCACAGCGACTACGACAGCACCTCGACCGTCCTCCAGATTGCCAAGGCCATTGATCGCCGCGAAAACAGGATCGCTGGCTGTGACACTTTTATCCAGACTGTAAGTTTTATTCGAATGAACAATGAGAAATATGTTGAAAAGGTACCATGGACATACAAGGAGACCGATCAGTGTTTCATGCCCCTGTTCTTTTTTGTATATAGTGACAGTATTGTTAATGGCAATGGCACCATTGCAATCTACCAGTTGCTGCAGAAGCTTCGCAAGCAGGCCAAACGCGTTGGTGGAGAGGTAATTAAGACCGACATATTTCATAGTTTTTTTTTGTTTTCTCTTTTTCATGATTGACGAGTGCTATCCGAGGTGTCGGGACCGACCGTTTGTTCACATCACTAACACCAGATTTGACCCTTGCCCTTCTTTTGTTAACAGCTCCATAGGTCCTCAACCTTCTCGGAAAGTAAGTCGCTCATCATTACCACTCTACGGTATCACCACGTCGTTTTTTATACCCTCGTCACCTATTTCCTGTATCTAACCACGCCTCTCCTTCTCTCTCACACACTCACTTGAATACAATCATTCATACACGCGAGAGGAGGAAAGCAAAAAACAACGCACCAAAAAACGCAAAAAGAGTTATTTTATTTAAGACACCTTCTTCAAAAGACGGTAGTGAGCGTCGTTATCGATGATTCTCACAGCCAACGTGTCGCCCTCGTCCTCCTCTGCGCCATAATACTCAACAAGTTCGTATCTGGCAAAATCTTGATAGGAGAGTGAAGGGTTCGAGATGTACAGGGACACAGACTCGTCGTATGTTGTCGGCATCGTCCTAAACAGCTTGAACATTCTGTCGAGCGTAGTATGAGTCCACCCCTCCAGGTAGAAAATTTTGACAACTGGGAATGTCTTGGCAAACATCAGCGGAACGATACTGCGGTCGATCACCCACTCTCCGCTCAGTCCCAACTGGTTGAGAGATGGCAAACAAAGGCGCTCTGTAGCAGGTGAGGAGGGCGAAGTAGGACTGGAACTGTTGCTTGTTGGCACGGACAGGTCCGTATCGGAGATGAATCTGACGTGTTCTCCTGGGGTCTTCGATCGGATATCCAAATACAAACTTTCCAATGCTGGGCATCCATGAAGTATCTTGAACTCGAATGAGTACGCAAATTCGGCGCTCAGACTGATCATTGTGAGGAGTGGTAGTTGCCAATCCCAAGTCCAACGTGGGCGAAAGATCCTGGGTCTTGAATCGCTAGTTGATGCAACTGGTCCTGTCTGGATGCCATAGGATTGGTTGAGCTCCTCCACTGATGGAATAAATGGTTTGAAATCGATCTCACTGTAATCATACTGGATCTTAATCGACAGGTTCGTGAGACTTGGTGTCGAGGTAAGGGTCGCCGGATCGAACGTTAGAGCGGGCCAGCCGCTCAAGTGCAGATGACCGAGTCGGCGCAGCTGGGCAGGAAGATAGGGGACGATGTCCTGACACGAGTACTCTTGAGAAGCGTCTTCCAGTCGAAGGTCAATTAGGTTGGGGCAATGGGTGAGCAGTTGCGAGTCTACCACCAGTCGTTCCGCCCAGTACGTAACCACGTGCAGAGTAGTCAAGACCGGAAGGTCGACCCATCCTTGTCCGAGGCAGGGTACCATGGAGTCCAAGGATGTGAGCGTGACATCAAGCACTTCCAGAGTCTGGTCGAAGGCGTGAACAATGTCGTCAATGTCGCCGGTGCTCGATTCATGTGATAGACTAACAGTGACATGTTGAAGCGGGACAAGGCCATGGTTCCATTGCGCCGTCTGCAAAGTATCGTCCTGTGCTAGTGATCTGCGTCCCCCATAGCTGTTGTAAGTTGCTGTATCACGAACAGCCTTCTCCATGTAACTCTTCTCCTGAACCGCCCACTTAAACATCCCAGCACGCGGTTTGTACATTTCCAGATGCTTCAAGGCCCGGCACCGCTGGAGAATCGACTGGTTGCTGCAGACGAGGTCGTCCCATGACTCTGGCAGTCCATGACTAGTGAGATTTTGGACGTGCGCAAGATCAGTCGACAGGGGGTGAGCCGAGAAATGTAGCCAGTTGGGCCATCCGAGGTACGTTGGCTTGGAAAGTGGCGGCAGGAGACGATAGAAACCCACTAAGATGTGGTCAATTATTTTTTGGGAGTCAACCATTTGCCACACATTGCCTTCTAGACAGCCGAAGAACTTGAGACGGCCCTTGAGGAGTCGCACATGCTCGCTGACAAACTGCGTCTGGTCCTGGATCGCCTTATCTCTGCGTTGCTTGCTGGATCTCCAATCCCAGGTATCAATGTGGAAGTCGTCATCAATACTGTCGTCAATACTGTCATCAATCTCGCCGAAGGGATCCTCAAACGTCTCCGAAATGGCAAAGACAAGCCTCTCCAAATTCTTGAAGCGACCAACGACCTTGTGATACCGTTCGATGTTGCGGATGTAGGGGATTGTGAACGATTGAAGCTGCTCGAGGATGGGGTTCGCCAAACACCAATATGCTTCCAAGACAATTATGACTTGATAGTAATCCTGCATAGTCCGATCCTTGTCCATGAAGGAGCAGGCGTACTCTGGCGCAAATGGGTTCGACTGGTAGAGCTGGTCAAATTCGTCGCTCCTGATGTACTTGAGGACGTGAGGAGGAAGGGCTGTTGGCAGGAAAGTGTTTTTGAGCTCCCAGGAGTCTCGTGTTTGAATGTTGAGATGGCGGATATGGGCGAGGTAGTCGAGCGACGAGTTAGTTGCTGCTGTTGTCGTTGAAAAATAGTTGATAGGATCGGGGATGAGGGCAAGAAGGAGTGACTTGGGGATGGAACCGACAGGAAGACGGCTGAGGAGCGTCCGAGTGAGCTTTCCGTAGGATCCAGGCTTGGCTTGGCCACTCTTTCCCTGCTCGTTTTGGTGAAAGGCGTTCCGGTAAGGGTCATTGTAGAGAATGGGGAGCGTGGCAGAGGCGATGTGCTTGTTCATAGTGAGGAGCCTGGCCAGTTCGGGGAGGCAGTCGTCTCCGTCAAGGATATAGAGGACGCGTTCTAGGCACTCGACTGGCAATTGTGAGAGCGGGTCCATGGTGAGCGACGGTAGGGTGGGTGTGGTGTGGTTGAGTTGAGTCGATGAGGAAGGGACGGAGTAGATGAATGAGAGTGAGAGTGAGAGTGAGAGTGAGAGTGAGAGTGTGGGAACGAAGAGAAAGAAGGTGGAAAAAACAAGATGAGGTTACGTTCTTCGCCAAAACCGGCCCTGTTCCTGAGCCTGTTCCTCATGTCTCAGCCCCCCCTAACTGACCGTCCACACTCCCTTTTTATCTCTTGTGCCTACTCCTCGTTGTTGCTCCCACTCTTCTCTCCTTCATCACACAGCCAGTCAGGACCAAGGACAAGAACAAACTCATGGACAATTATACCGACTCGGACACAGACTGGAACTCTAACAAATTCCATCACCATCCAGCCGCAAGATTAACTTCACTCACGTCTTTTATTGCTAATCTTTAGGAGAGCATGAGACAATGACCTAAATCATACTACAAACCCAGCACATGAACTGATCACCAAAGGTCGTTTTTTTTCGATCCAGGTGCGGGCACAGAACAAAGCTGCCTTCTAGGGTCCACTCGAGGTGGCAGGCGCGGTTCTCCCATATTCATCGGGCGACCAAAAGTCTAGTTGGAGGTCACTCCAGACATGACACACACACACTGTTCAACGGTAACTGCAGCCTGTACCCAGCCGGACCAACAACTATGCCAGCAACCGATACCCAGAGAGCCATTGTGGCGCGTCGATGCTTTCGATACCTGTAACTGGGCTTTGTCCTGAAGGCGTGTTCACCCCCGGACTCATTTATCTCGCAGCACGCAAACGAATAGGCGAACAGGATGAAGGAAGTAAGAAGCCTTTATTCAGGAAATTGGTCAAACATGTAGGAGCGCAGGGGCGAGCCTAGTAAGAGATGGCTCACTGCGACCATTTTTTTCGGCAATTAGTTTCGAACAGCAATATAGGCAGATGCACGTTGGTCAAACAACAGACAGCAGGGAATGTGACACTTCAAGAACTCAACAGCGATCTTTGTGACTATTGCTTGCCTTTATTCTCGAGGCTCGTGGCTAAGTAACTTATGCAGGATCAACAATAAATGGGTGAATAAATTGACTTACTATTACACAACCAAAGGATAAACCTTGACAAGGCAGAGCGAGCAAGCGTGCTTCTTTTGGAATGGACATTACGTACAGGAGACATATATCTGGACCAACTATGACTCCTAGATGCTCCTGTCCACTCCTAGATAGGCGTCCATGTCTGGTATCCGAGCCAGACTGTCCACAACTTGTCGAACTTGAGAAGATGACGCGCAACCCGAGCCTCAATCGACATATCAGTCTCATCCTCCTTATCATCTGTCGCCACTGGTGTCCCCGCCTTCTTCTGCCAACGCCTCCAGCACCCTTTGCGCCACAACGCAATCACCTTCAGAATCATTTCCGCCGTGTCCAATCCCTTGATCCTCATCCTCAGTGTCGTCAAATTCTTACAGATCCACTCCTCCGCCTCCACATCATCCATGTCCATCTCGTGAAAGTAAAGGTCCAACGTGTCGAGCTCTGGACAGCCTCGGGGGATCAATTGCAACAGCGAACTTGACTCTTGGAGATGGTTGGCGACTGGCGCCACTTCGTTCTTGTCTTGGTCGAGACACTCTTCGGGACAGTAGGGCATGATGGTGCGCATGGTTGTTTGATGTAGAAGGACGGTTTTGATGAGCTCGAGGGACGTGTGTCGGGAACGGAAGACAAACTCGTCGACATTTCTGTTGGTGATCGTCGTCAGGAAATCGGTAACCAGGGTACCTGTCGAATCTGCCAAGTGGAATCCGGTAACGCCAGGGCAGTGCTGCGCAAGCTCCTTCTTGATCCTGGTCACCGGAACCGTAAAGTTCCTGTCGTAGTTCCAGGCATATAGAGTTGTCAGGTTGGGGAAATGCGAGAGGAGAGAGAAACCAATCGAATTGACTGGGAAGATACGGTTGAGAGGTGAACCAAAGGCCCTTATGCCCTTGTGCTGATATGGCAAAGCTGCTGTTGTTGTTGGGCGGCCAATGATATCTGTGCTGAACAACTGCAGTTTAGACAAACTGGGGCAGATTTGAAGAACGGCCACCAGTGTGTCATGGGTCAACACGAGATTATCAAGCTTCAAATTCGTGAGTTTGGAGGTGCCGTGGAGAGATGGGGGAGATAGAGCTGGCGCAGAGATACAGTGGGCCAAGGAATCCTGCTTGTTGGCGGGGGTCGAGGTTGCAACGATATCCAGTCTTTCGAGCGAGTGGTTGTTCCTAAATATAACCTCGTGTGCTCGGATATTTTGCAGAGGAGAGGTGGCGGTCTCGATGTGGAGTTTCGTCAGCTGGTTGATGCTGGGGTGGGCAAGAGCATTGGCGTGAGGTAGTGTTTTGGCGTTCTTGATGACTCGGATATGGTGTCCGTGTTTGAGAATGATGGCTGGCGAGAGGTCCGCAAACCGGGGTTGGGTATTGAAGTCGACCTTGTACCAGATTACAGAGACGAAGTGGTCGGTCCAGATTTTGGAGACGAGCGCACAGGAGATAGCATCCTCGTCAGTGACGAATTGGCTGAGGTGAATTATGAGTTCCGGGAGGTCGAAGGGGTTCCTGGTTGGCGCAGTCGAAGCCATTATGTGAAGTGGGAGAAAAGAGAGAGAGAGAGAGAGAGAGAGAGAGAGAAAAAAAAATGTGTGTGTGCGTCTTTTCTGCATCCAATACGCATTATGGTCACGAGGCGACCACGTTGAAATAGTTAGTGGATGCTTTGAATCCGTCAAAAAAAAAGAGAGTACGTGTATTGGCATGGCTAGCATGATACCTTTTACTTGTTGACAACCAAAACAACGAGGAAAAAAATACAAGAAGCAAGAAAATAGAAAATAGTGTCTACTAAGGCCGCGCTCACTCCCAGATCGTCGTCCTGTATCGCACATCGTCCATATCTGGTACCCAAAGATAGACCCACCACAGCCTGTCGAACTTCAGAAGGTAGCGAGCAACACGAGCCTCAATCGGCTAGTCCAACTCCCGACCCTGCTGTGCTTGTTCCTCTGCCGCCATCGCGGTTCCAGTTATATTCTTCTGCCACCGCCTGCGATACCCAGCTCGCCAGAATGCAACAGCTGTGAGGATCTTGTCCTTGATGTCCAGATCCTTGATCCTAACACGAAGGGTTGGCTGGTTCTTGCAAATCCACGCCCCTTGCTTGACAATGTCCATGTCCATCTCATGGTAGTGAAGGTCAATGGCTCGTATCTTTAGGCAGCCTCTGGGGATGAGCTGGAGATGATGGCCAGACGCTCGGAAATGATCCGACACTAGGATGATTTCCCCTCTCAATATCAGCGTGATACCAGAGATAATACGCCGTTACAGTCTTGAACGATGTCTCGTGCAAAAGGATGACGGCGATACCTTTGACAGTCGTGTGCCTGTACTTGAACGTAATCTCGGAGATGTTGTTGTTGTCGCCGTTGCCGGTGAATCTGCTCTTGAGGAACTTGGGGATGATGGTGCTGTTGTGATCCTCAAGTTGATAGCCAGTCAGGAGAGGGCAGAACCTTTGCAGCTCCTTGATCATGCTCGACGAGACCGTGAAAGCCGGATCAAAGTCCAAAATCAGAGCAATGTCGAACTCGGGAAGAGCGATAGCAAGGAAGGGCCGCTCGATTGATGGAGAAGGGACGATCAAAACATCTTGACGCCCGTGTACTGAAAAGACACGGTTGGAGATCCGACAATGTCTGAGCTGACCAGTATGAGCTCGGACAACTTGGGGCATCCTTGGAGAATTGCGATCAGACTGTCGTGTGTCAAGTACGGCCTATTGATCGAGAGGCACTTGAGCTTGGATGGGCCTTGCGGTGGAGACGTTGTCGAGCAGTACAATGGGACCAGGGCCGAGGTGGAGACATAGTAAGCCAATGAATCCTGCTTGTTGCGAGGCACGGGCGTGGCTGCTGAGTGACGCGATAATAAGACTCGCGCTGTTCCTGGAGACGACCTCATAAGCAAGTAAATGCTGCATGGTGGAGACGGTGGTCCCTAAATGAAAATCCTTCAACCTGTTGACACCTCCGTTGGCGAGCGCTGTGATCTGGGAAGGGTTTTGGCGTTTTTGACGATTTGAATGAATTTTCCATGCTCGGCGATAGTTTTCGGAGTGTGATCGGCAACTGAGATTCCGACCTGGCTCTAACAATTGGGAGGTAATCTCTCGCCTAGGTCTTGGAAACGAGCACGTCCTTGACGGTGACGAAGAGGCTAATCCAGTGCCTGAGCTCAGGGATGCTGAACGGAGTCCTGTCCTTGGCAGTCTCTATGTCGGTGTTGTTGATGTGAGTGCCGCGCTTGTTGTGCAAAAGTGAGAAGTCGAAGGGGCGAAGAGAACCATTGCAACCCTTTTTTTTCAGTCCCATATCCACAGAAAGATGAGGGTTAGGTACCATGAACACATACAATAAAAAAAGGCGGCATGGATAGAACACCTCACCATCTCTCTCTCTACTAAAAGAACACAGGCCTTCGTAAGAGTCGCAAATTTAAAACCGAATAGAGTGAGTGGACCACAAAAATAAAGGCAAAGCCCGGGGCGTCACCCTCCGGGCTGCCTGCTTACTGAAAAGAAACAAAACAAAAAGAAGGCTGAAGCCCGGGGCGTCGCCTCCGGCCAGCCATCTAGTCAAACAAACGCCCCGGTAAGTAGTCGGTAGTCCGCGTCAACGGGTAGAAAAACAAAAGATAATGGTAGAAGTGGGATTTGAACCCACGCCTCTCTCGAGACCGCAACTTGAGTGCGGCGCCTTAGACCAACTCGGCCATCCTACCAGATGATATTCCATTGAATGCTTTGCATCCTTGAGCTCGAGCATAGAGAATTAATCACGTGTACGAAGACAGTTACGTAGTGGTATCCCGATCTGATCGCTGGTTCTGCTGCTTTCTCCTTTAGCTGAAGCGTCTTTGTCGCAAAGCGATGGCGATTCACTCTCTTTTTGTGATTCCAACGAACGAACGAAACAGGACCAAGGACCAGGACTCGCCAGCCCAGCGCCACCGACCAGACCGACCAACCGACTAGACCGAAGACATCACAGACTATAATGAAGTTGACTGCAGATCTCATCGCACGGGCACCATGCTACCTCAATGCCCTCCAGGACCGGGAACTGGACCTTCGCAGTAAATGACCAAAACATCCTTCGTCGTACCACCCCTTTGTTCTCTCACTTTGTTGTCGTGTCCTCACTGGATAAACGCCGTTCGCTTTTTCTTGCACGTGCACGGCGCGTTTCCTCTTTCATATTCCTGCCATTGGAGTATTTGCCTTACCAGAGACGTGAGACGACCGACGGTGGACAAAACGATATAACAATCTACTGAGTAATTGCTTGAAGCTGATCAGTTCCATTTCTTTCCCGATCCGTTTCGTTATTAGGCTACAAGATCCCTGCTATTGAGAACCTTGGAGTCACCAAGGTGCGTTTTATTTTTAGTATCGACTCTTTGTGCTGGTTAGCGTTCAATCGATCAGGATCAGGATCAGGAGACGACAGTACAAGCGTTGGAGGACGTGAAGGAGATATGGGATGTGCCAACAAATCAAGAAACTAACAAACATCATATCTTCATTTCATTTCTCTCCTGACAATTATCACCTACCGGAACTCATTGGAACTCGTTTCATTCAACAACAAAACACCACCACCGAAAAAATAACCATCGACAACAACCAAACAGGACTTGAACGACTCGCTGGACCTGACAGACAACGATATCAGAGCCCTCGCAAACTTTCCCGTCCTCTACCGCCTCAAGACCCTCCTCCTCTCTAATAACCGCATCTCCAAAATCGACCCCGAGCTCCTCTCAAGCTACCTCCCCAACCTCACCACCTTGGTCCTCACCAACAATGCCGTTGCTGAACTTTCGGATCTTCAGGGACTTGCGGGAGCAAAGTTTCTGGAGCATTTGGTCCTGTTGGATAACCCGTTGACAAAGAAAAAATACTACAGGCTCTATGTTATCTGGAAGTTGCCGACTGTCAGAGTGTTGGATTTCACAAAGGTCGCCCGGAAGGTATGTCTTTATCAACGATTCTCAACGCAGGAAACACCGACGTTGTTTTTGGGTGTCTGTTATGGAGCAATACATGTCGATGACTGGGAACGATCAATGCCACACAGAAGCGCAAAATAACTGACCGCCAGCGATCCCCTTTCTTTTGCCCGTCGATTCTCTTTGTCATCACCAATTCAATCGACACCACATATTCACCACGGGAAATGATAACATGACACACAGGAGAGACAGGAGGCAAAGAAACTATTCGACGGAAAGGCAGGCCCCTCCGCATTAGCAGAGTCGATCGCCGCCACAAAATCGACCACCTCAACCTTCGAGCCCGGCGAGGGCGTGCCCCTGCCACTCAAGTCGAGCGTACCCACATTGACCATGTCCAAGGAAGACCAGGACAAGATCAGGGCTGCTCTTGCCAAGGCTACGACGTTGGATGAGATCTCACGACTGGAACGTGCGTTGAAGGAGGGCAAGATTCCGAGTGATTTGAAGGATCAGCAGGAGACGCAAAGTCGTAAGAAGCAGAAGCTGGATGACGGCGAGCAGGAAGAGGAGGAGGAGGATACACCCATGGCGTGATCTTGAGATGATTTTCGATTTGCTGGGAGAATCGCTCCTATGCTTGTTCATTTCATGTCGCGTTGACACCCTCTTTTTTCTTTGCAGGAGCGACATACTTTACAACAACTCCGCGCCTGAAAATGCCTGCATGGAAGAATAAAACCAAACAACAACAACACCATCCTATCGGATCAAAAATTATGTCTTATTTACAAATTGAATGCAGAAAAAAAAACGAGTGACAGTCAGAATCAATGGTATCGTAAAGTGCGGTCTAGGGTAGGGGCGGGAGCTCTAAATTCTGATAATGGGATGTGCCTCGGTGTTGAGGACAAAGTCGTCCAGCGAGATCACATCGGGAGTCGAAAACATCAGGTACAAGTACTTCATCGTCTCTGCCATAAAGAAACTATTCATCAGTATATAGAACGCGAGAAAGAATATTAATCTCTATTGCTTACTGTTGTCTTTGTGTTCATATCCACTAAGACCTTCTTTAGCGAAAATACAAATGCAGCGTTTCTTACCTCTCCATCCTATTATCATGCGAGCCGGGACTGGTAACGTCCCGAAGTCCAGAGTAGGCAATAGGGGTACGGCAACTCTTCTCAAGTGACTATGGTAGGTAGCGCCCAAGGAATTGCAAAAAGACAGTTAGTAGACCACATAAGAGGTTGCAGGCAATGCCGCACGGTCATCGTTTAAAGCCCTGAAGCCAATTGCCAATTCTTTCGAGAGAAATTGACAACAGCCCAACAATCAAAGAATGGTGTGTACCTGGAAGATTTCCCATGCTTGATCCTGGTACTTTTTCTCACCAGTGAGACGGTACAAAATCCACAGACTCTCAATCGTTTCTACCGTCGAAAAAAGAGAGTGGGGTACAAAATGAATGATTAGTCAAACAGCCCATACCTATAAAAATCTTCCCTTCCCACTGTAATATATAAATATATCTATCGGATAGTCATGATCCGCTTCGTGCGGGCTGTTGTTTTTCTCTTACCTGGTCTGAGAATGTAATCCTTACGACTGAGGAGGGGGTTGAAAAACTTGTCAGCGTCGGGAATAAACTTGCCAGGATACGTCGAGCTGGTGAACTGAGTGGCTTCGGGTCCCAATCCTGTTCCAGAGTGACGGTATCCGAGGTAGCATCCTTGAGCAATCTGTCTAGCCAGAACAAGGTCGTCAGGGCGATCAAAGTATTTAGCGCCCATAGCAAACGAACCAGACATAAAACAAGCCTAAAAGTGGTCAATGAGAAAAAGTGTTTAGTTAAGCGAATACTTTCTTTTTCAGATGCAGAAAGGTATCGCTACGCCAGGTGTCAAAAAGAAAAACAAATGCTTCTTACAAGATGCTCCATGTCAGGTTCGATCTTCTTGTTAACAGAGTAGACCTGGCCCAAAATCGCATACTCCTGGGACCCGTTTTCTGGCCGCATCACCATGTATTTCTTGATAGAGTCAGCAGCATGCTCGACTATCGACAATAGGATTTCAGGAGACAAGTTAATCCGGGGCGTTGAACGGGATTCAATAAACATTAGAAAAATGACCAATACCCGGTAAGTGTTTTGTCGTGTGGACAAAAATTGAGCCATTATGCATGACTAAAGACCCACTTACACATCTCTCTGAACTTGGGAACCTTTCCATCCAGCAGGATCCATTCCTTGAGAAGGTACTAAAATAAAAACGTAAAAAAAATAATGGCATGTGAGCGACCACAGAACAAAAATTATAATTCCTGTTTCGACCAAGATCTAGCAACGGTTTGTTCGTTGTTGTCCTGTGGATGTGTACCTCGTAGTAACTGTCAACCATGCCACCGACGGCAGCCTTGAAGTTGGAGTAGTGGCGACCTTCGGCATCTTGTACATAGGCAGGGACGAGTCCAGGCAGCTCCGAGGTGGCCGATCCCAAAACTTCGAAGATTTTTCGGGCCTAAGGAGATCGAGTGAAAGTTAGGAAAAAGGACTCTTCGGGTTGGTTATGGTTGTTTCTCTTGGGGAGTACAACAAACAAAATGCATTCCTCATCCTCTCCACGCCCATCTCCCCGCTTTTTTCTTTTTTTAGTCTTTCTCATACGAATACAGAGGACGTAATGTACCTTCTCATCGTAAATGGGCTTTCCAGAAAGTTGCGACAGCCGAGAGAACTCGAGCTGGATAGTTCCAATTTCGGCAACGACAAAGTTGTAGCCAGGCATGTTGGCAGTAGCCTGGACAGCCACGCGGCCATTGGGAAAGTTCTTTCCCTGGAAGGCATTCAGCATATAGCCTCCGAGCTCCTCTGCCTTGTCCAGCAGAACCTTCTCTCCGGTCAAGTCGTAGGTACTGAGGAATCCTCCCAGGTAGCGGATGATGGTCTCGAAGAATTGGACCTGGTCGGTAGGGTTCCTGGTCATACTGAACTTTGTCTTGACCCATTCCAGCGCCTCGTCGAACTCGTCGTTGAACCCCATGATGACAAGGGTGTCCAAACTGTCGATCATTGTTGCGCCCCAGCCGTTGAAGTTGTCCTTGAATCCTCCGCTGACAGGGAGAACCTCATCGTGTCCCCAGGCGTGTGTCTTGTATCCCTTCCAGGCGTGCTCGAATCCATCCCTGACCGCCTTCAAGCGAGCTTCACGCTCCAATCGAGCCTTCTCTGTCTCTGCAGGGAACTGGAACTGGATCTTTTTCAAGCTTGTCCTGGCGCCCTTGCCGCGGATTCGCTCGAACCTGTACTTGGCAGAGCCAGTCAATCCGTGAGAGGCCTCGAGAACAATAGGGCTAGGAACGTGGGGTTTGGCATGAGGGTGATGGGGGTCGCGCGCAACACGGCTCTGATCAGAGACTCCAACAGCGCTCTGAACGAGCGATTCAGGTTCTCCTTCTCCTCCGAAACTCTCTGCTGGGTTGACGATGAACCACATTGTTGTCAGGCCCATAAGAATCAGGAGCAGGACAAACAGCTGGCGCAGGTTGATGGAGTAGCGTCCACTGACGACGGTGGCAGGGTTACGTTCGATGAGGTTTTTGAGGCCGATTAGGGGACCGGCAGCAGCGGACCCTGGAGAAACGAATGGGGCTCTGGGTGAGGTGAAGGGGGTTGTATGGGCTGATGATGATGTTTGGCGGTTTGCTTCTCCGAAGGCGTCGTCTGCCTTTTCGATGTCAACGACGTAGCTGCTCTGCCTTGGAGATTGCGACGGCGTTCTTGGCTCCATGGTCCTTCTCTTGTTTGCAGTTGCTTGTTGTTTAGTGTGAACGAATGAGTTTGATGATGTTGTTGTTCTTGAGTGTGGTGGTGATGGAGAGAGGGCAGCAAGGAGAAAAAGATGACGAGCTAAATGAAAAGTGCGAAAGAAGAGGAAGAAGGAGAGAAGGGGGAGGGAAGGAGGATGGTGGTTGTTAGAGCGCAGGAAGGGAGGACAATGGAAGATTCAAAGGGGTAGTGAAAGACGAGGAGGAAGGAGATGGAGAACAACAACAACAGGACAAGAAGACCAATCCCGCCCCTGTCATTTTCCTCTCTCTTCTTGAATCCCTCATACTACCTACTACTCTCTCTTTTGTTTGTTTTTCTACAATTGCCTCCCATCGATTTGTGAGATGAGTGAAAGAAATTGTTGCCCGTGAGGCTTCCCTTCTACAGCGACCGTGTTTTATTTTGATCAGTGACACACAGGTAAAGGTAAAGTTATCAGTGATGGGCTGATGGTGCCTGGGTGAGGATGGACATCAAATCAAAGACAAGTGATCAGCGATCGTGCCTGGATGGAATCGAGCTACTGTTGCCAGCCAATCTTCGTAGGGGTGAAAGTGGAGGGCGCGATTCTTGTTGTGTCCCGACCGCCATGAGGCGTAACTGGCTGTTGGCATTGAACGCTGCATGATGTTGACAGACTGCAATGGCGACAACAAAGGCCTTCTTGCAGCTTTAATGTATGCTTGTTAGCTCACTCTCCACCACCTAGATCGCGCTAGCATCTCTAACACTCACGCTCTCTCTGCACCGACCACTAGTAACAACACGCTAACTACTTTTCTCGCCCTACTTTTTCTTTCACTGTCACATTCTCATCTTAGCCCATCCTTCTTAGCCAATTCCTATTTCACCCCGGACAGAAGAAAAAAAACTCTACTCCCTCTCCTATCCCGGTCTACGTCCCCTTTTTTCATCCAATCCTGCTAAAGAGAGGGGCAACAAGAACGACAGAGGAAAGGAGGGGCCACCATTCATCTTTTCTTTAACAACAATTGACATCCAAACCTTTCTTCTTCACATCGCCTTGTTTAAAAAGACCCATTGAACTAACAGTGGTAACATGCGCACATTCAATTCATGCTTGGTAATTCTCCGTTGTGCGATCGAGAGTTTTCTTTGCCCTTTCACAAAGGTTCAAGCCATAATAGCGATTACCTCGGTCAGTTGTGTCCTAAAGACAACAAACAATGAACGAACGACGGGTCGTTTGAATAAATTGGTAATTGAGGTCGTGTGACAATGGAACGGGCTGGTTGGTCTGGACACAACTAACGTCAATTATTTCATGTCTCCTTTTAACACTTGCTGATTTGAGTTCGGGGTGACAAGAAAGCGAACTGGATATCTGACTGGCTGTCCAACGCTGGGAAAGGACACTTGAGTTGGTCGCTACAGCCCAACCTTTTTTTTGCTAGCTGTCCGTGCCATGTCCCTAGGCATCTGCTACTTCCTTCTTCTCCGTCGATCGTCCGTCTTTACAAGTAGTGTCCTGTATGTCAAATTGATGCAGTCTAAAAAGCCGCTGGGTTGATACATAAACACCGTCCACGTCTTTCGCTGCACTCCCTCCTCTCTTTGCGGCAACTTATCAACTGATAAGCTCGCGTCTGCCTACCGTTTTCTACAGCTCCTTATTTTTTTAGGCAGCAAGAGAAAGACGGGATACACGACATCTAGGGACGACGCCATCTTGTCATTTGATGAATGTGGGAAATTACAGAAGTTGTTGTCGTAGGAGCCGCCGCCAATCAACGATCAATAGAAAAAAATAAAGAATGTGTGTGATATGCATGCGCTGTTCTGCTCCCACAAGATCTCGCTATTCTTAGAAACGAAATCTTGACCGGCATACAAAATACACACACAGAAATGCTCATTTGCGAGGCATGAGGCTTCATTATTATGTTGCTCGGCGACGAGTTTTGTATGTGTGTGTGGAGGGGAATTGGATAGAATGAAGAAGAGGTCGCTTCATTTTAAGGAAAAGAGGGCGTCGTAGGATCTGGACTCTTGTTGAAAAGATACAGTGTAGAACTGGTTTGTACGCCATTGGATGGCATGGGTGCAAACAATAACGTCACTACGAGAAAGAACAACAACAAGAAGAATCTAGACTTGACGAATACTGTGTCCGTGGGCGCCGGATTCTATCTCTCTATCATTGGCGACTGCGCTTAAGGTAAACCTATTCTAGGAAGAGATTTAGGAGGCGGTGGTGGTGGTCATTCCAAAGTGCCTGACCACGGGCGAGTCAGGAGGGTACGCGCAAAGAGGAACATAACGCGAATGATAAGAGGGGCATTGTTTGACTCGATCCTTATCAGACGGGAGACTTGTAAAGGACTGGAATCCATGCACCACTTTGCTCCAGGATCATCAGTGAGCGAAAACGGGACTCAGAAATAGAAAGAAAAAGTCTCCGCGGGACGGTACTGATAGGAAGAGTAAGGAGTGTGGTGAGAGGGAGGGAGAGGGTATGCACATCCTTTCTATGCAGACAGTATGTGGCAAAGAGGGTGTGCATCATGTCTGTCTGTCCTTGAAAATAAGAATATGAAGAAAGGACAGACGCTGCGGACGCGTTTTTTTGACGCGTTGGTGTAATGGTCCTTATTACTTTTTTTTTTTTTTTTTTTTTTGCTTTGATTGCAATGTGTAAAAATAGATGATGATGTTGGTGGGCAATGGGAGAGGGGGCGGAACTGTCCTCTGATTTCCGTGTCCCGAGAACCGAAAGTAAAAAAAGGTTGGGAAGGAAAAAAGAATGAAAACAATCCGAACGAGAGGGCACGCGACTAGCTGTTATTTTTTGGCGCTTAACAATCACCTTGTTTATTGTTGTGCGCATTTTGCATTGCGCCCAAGTAGAAGGCTAAAGCAACAAACTATAGAAGGGCAACAAATGAACACATCGACTGTTCAAACACATAAAGTCGCGTTGAGCAACTCTAAAAATATGTTCTTCATTTGGCGGTGAACACGAAACAGAAAAGAATGGCGACGAAACTGGAGAGAGAGAGAGCGAAAGAGCGAGCGAGCGTGAGATAGGATAAAGGATTTGGTATCTGGAAAACGAGGGTGTCATTGACACTCCTGTCTATCTGTCCGCGTCAATGAAAAACGCCATTCCACCTCTGTTGATGTTGGTGGTTTTGTGATGAGAAAAAAATAGACTGTGAGCATCAAACACAGGACGAGGAGAGAAGAATGGGAGAATGATGGACGCTAATGATGAGCATGAATAATATAAAAAAAAGACGCGCCATTTACATAAACAACACATCGATCGATGGGTTAGAACAAGGGCGGGGACAAAAGAGACACGTAAAATAGAAAAGAGAGAGAATGAAAGAGAGCAGCAGATACGACGAAACGGCCGGCGCATCCATATCGAGCGAGGTTCAAAAGTGAAGGTGGGAGGTTCACGATAAGAGAAATAGGCGATAAGGGATTTTTTTAATATTTGAGCTGAGCAAGGCAAGAGAAGGGCAGGCTATTTTTGTTGGTTCATGTCCAAATGCGAACAGCCAAAAAAAAGTCCGTCTATCGGACGCATATCGATAACATACTCAGTAGAGTGAACGTGGTGAGGGGGTGAAGTAAGCACTGGTAGGGTGTGTGAACAACAGCCTTTGGAGAAGAGACAGTCATCATCCGCCATATCTATCCGTCGGCATTTTTTTTTTCTTGATTCTATGCACCAAAGGTAATAAAAGAAATGGATTTGATTGTGGGAAAAATAATCGGATGATCAGTGATGCAATTCTCGTAACAGTCTCAGATACGGATGTTCCTGAATTAGAGCAAGGATGAAGACAGGAAGAGGCCAAGCAAGGAGCATAGAAAGGAACAAGGAAGCAAGAAGGATGGTGGGTACATGAAGGTATTAATCCTAAAGCAAAGGATTAGGAACATTCATACATACCCTCTCCTGTTTACCCTGCCTTACTTGTACACGGTTCACAGCTCACCTGAACACACGGACAGCAAAAAAAAAGAAAGAGAGAGAACGCTTTGTACACCGACGCAAACACAAGCACATAAGCATGTCTAATGCCCCAGTACAGAAAGAAAGCAAAGCAACAATGAAGATGACGAGAGAGAAGGAACATGGAGTTGTGCGTTATTTTGTTCCTTCACCACCACAAGAACAACACCTCTTTGTCTTCACCCCAAACAAACACATGCAACCTCCAACCTTGAGAGGTATCCGTGGGCAGTTTTCCCCCTGGTCGGCGGCTGATTGGGCAGCCTGGGTTAAAGTTTACCTTGGTTTATTTTTGGGATTTCGGCCCCCGAGTCGAGTGAAGTATATTGTGTTGGAAATTAGAAAACATATATCTGTGGATTGACTTAGAAGAGACGAAGAGGATGAAGAAGAACAAAGGGGGAGGAGAGAGGAGGGTAAGGAGAATTTGGGTTGGGTGTCCCTTCCTTATTTTTTTTTGTATTTTTGTCTGGATAGTGGGTGGGAAGTGAGCTGGGTCCTGGTCCTATTCACAATCTCCATTGGAAGCAACCTTGCTTGAAGAATGCAATCGACATGCCTCTTATCCCCTTATCCAACGACAGCAACAACAATCGCGGTCCCATTCCGTTTTTGCTCCCTTTTCTAGCTTACAATCTCATTCCTGTCTTGACCCATTCCGTTATTGAGTGTTCTTGTTCAATGGTCAGTTACATAGAAATAAAGCTCGGAAAGGAAAGGATCCTTGTTTTCGCCTCTCTATTTCGCTTTTGCGCAATGCTTACTCCGTTATCCCAGTTTTTTGTTAGGATGTTACCCTTCACATGCACAAAGGAGGGATATAAAGAAACAAACAAAGCTTGATTGACTAGACCTGAGAAAAAAAAAGAATGCCAGAGAACAAAACAAGTGAGCAGAAGAGTAATGGGACAGAGCGACAAACAGGAAAAAAGGTGAAAACACAATAAGGCACGAAAGGCGAAAGAGGGAGACACAAGGCAAAGCTAGAAAAGAAGCAGAAGCAAAAGCAGAGAGAGAGAGTGGAGAGAGGAGGAGAAGGAAAGTAAGGATTGTTGTCTGCCTGCCTGTCTGTCTTCAAAGGAACAAGGTTCTCGCTGGTGACCTGCTGCTTATCGTGAGAGGATAAGAAAGAAAAAAGAATGAATGGGTAGAGAGAAGAATGAATACGAAAGTAAAGGCTCGCTCTGCTCAGTAAATGAACAAAAAGTAAGAAAAGTAAAAAAAGAAATAAAAAGGTATTCAGTCCCTCATAAGACCAGTCCAGCCCAAAAGAAGTATAAAAGCTCGTCTCATTGCGATCTCTCATCTGTTCTTTTCCCTTCTCACCATCAACCTTCCTCACTCCCACACTTTAGCCTAGCCACTCTCATCTTACACAAACATACCCACTTCACATCACACCTTATACATAACAAGACTCATCTATAGCCATGTGCGGAATCTTTGCTTACCTCAACTACCTCACTGCCGTCGATCGCCAGTCCATTGCCGATATCCTGACCCAGGGCCTCAAGCGTCTCGAATACCGTGGATACGACTCTGCCGGTAAGTTGTTAAATCTCTCGTTTACGTTTACATGTGTCGTCCACTGCAAGCGTAGTTGTTAACGACGACAACGACAAGGCGAAATGTGGTGGCTGTATTAGTTTTATTTCGGGACATTTTCCAACAACCTTGTGTGGGAGTCAAAGGTCACGCTGTCCAGTCAAATGTGGGCACAGGAGACAAGGGATAAGAAAGGAAGATTGCGTTGGAGCAGTGAAAAAGGGGGCAAAGGACGATAAAGCTGCTGTCATATAGGAACCAACTTTCCCTGAGAAACCAAACTAATCGCGACGACTTTTTTTGTCTCTTGTCACCTTGGTTTTCAGGTCTTGCTATCGATGGCGATAGCGACGGAGAGGTCTTGATCTTCAAGGAGGTCGGAAAGGTCGCTTCCCTCCAGAAGCTCATCCAGGAACAGAACACCATCGACTGGACAAAGACCTTTACCTCCCACTGCGGTATGGCCCACACCCGCTGGGCTACCCACGGCCAGCCCTCGCGCATCAACTCCCACCCCCACCGCTCCGACACCAAGAACGAGTTCACGGTCGTCCACAACGGTATCATCACCAACTACCGCGAGCTCCGTCTTGTCCTCGAGAAGAAGGGATACACCTTCGAGTCCGAGACCGATACCGAGGCCATTGCCAAGCTCGCCAAGTACATCTGGGACTCCCAGAAGGGCAACAAGACGCTCACCTTCACCGACCTGGTTAAGGGAGTCGTCAAGGAGTTGGTATGTTTCATTTGCCTTTTTTTCATTCTTTATTTTCAGATACATGCCATCAGTTTGAGAATCAGTGACGATTGTTTTTTACTTGATAAGTCGGGACCCGCGGATCCCATGGAATGGTCTTTACAGGATACCATATCGCCATCTTTTGCAAGGACAACAAACACAAAAAAGAAGCAGTTCAGGAGAAAAGATGCAGAAGCAAAGCAGGAAAAGTTACCGTGCGTGTTCTAACTCCCTATTCTCCCGTTTCTGTGCAAATTTTACTCGTGTCTGCTCTCTTGAATGTAATAGGAGGGTGCTTTCGCCATGATCTTCAAGTCTGTCCATTTCCCCAACGAGATCGTTGCCACCCGCCGTGGTTCCCCTCTTTTGATTGGTGTCAAGACCCCCAAGAAGCTCAAGGTCGACTTTGTCGATGTCGAGTTTGGCGGTATCGCCGAGGAGAGTACGTTCATTTCTTTACGCACAGGATTACTTCATACCTCACTTCACTGGATAATCGCACCACTCTTCTCCTTTTCTTGCTTTTCGGGTCTCCAAAAAAATATATATAATCGTAACCATGCTCATTTACTCAACTCTTTTTGTAACCTTACTTTTTTTTTAGTCCCCGCCGAGGTTGAAGGAGCCCCCACTACCTTTAGCTCCCTTGAGGTCCCCAAGTTGCGTCGCAGCGAGTCCCGTGCCTTCTTGAGCGAGGATGGCCTTCCCCAGCAGATTGAGTACTTCTTGGCCTCTGACCCCTCAGCCGTTGTTGAACACACCAAGACCGTCTTGTACCTCCTCGACGACGATATTGCCAACATCCGCGAGGGTGAGCTCCGCATTCACCGCCTCCGTCGCGATGACGGTATCTCCTCGATCCGCTCTATCCAGACTTTGGAGATTGAGTTGGCCGAGATCATGAAGGGTTCGTTCGACCACTTCATGCAGAAGGAGATCTATGAGCAGCCCGAGTCCGTTGTCAACACCATGCGTGGCCGTGTTAACTTTGACACCCACAAGGTCACCTTGGGTGGTCTCAAGACCTACTTGCCCACCATCCGCCGCTGCCGTCGCATTGTGTTCATTGCTTGCGGTACCTCTTACCACAGTGCTCTTGCCGTAAGTTGACCCTTCAGGAATTCTTGTTCTCAAATTATTTTACCTCCATGTGATTCGTTTGTAGCAAATACTAACCCGGTACCCCCTGTTTTCTCTTTTCTCTACTTGCGATTGGTCCTCCTAGACTCGTGCCATTTTCGAGGAGTTGACCGAGATCCCCGTCTCGACCGAGTTGGCCAGTGACTTCTTGGATCGCAAGACCCCCATCTTCCGTGACGACGTCTGCGTCTTCATCTCCCAGTCCGGAGAGACCGCCGATACCATCCTTGCCATGAGATACTGCCTCGAGCGTGGTGCCCTTTGTGTCGGTGTCACCAACACTGTCGGCTCCTCCATCTCCCGCGAGTCCCACTGTGGTGTCCACATCAACGCTGGTCCTGAGATCGGTGTCGCCTCCACCAAGGTAAACACCTGTTTCATTATCATTTCATCTCCTGTGCTTTTATTGCGCGTTGCCCTTTCAGAAACTAATATCCTATTCTATGCTGTGTTCATTGTGGAAAATAGGCCTACACTTCCCAATTCATTGCTTTGGTCATGATTGCCATCCAGCTCTCCGAGGACCGCACCTCGATGACCGATCGCCGCAACGAGATCATTGACGGACTCCACGCTCTTCCTGGACACATCAAGGAGGTCTTGGCTATCGATCAGGAGCTCCAGCGCCTTGCTCGCGATGTCTTGCACAAGGAGAAGTCTTTGCTCATCATGGGCCGTGGTTTCCAGCACGCCACCTGCTTGGAGGGAGCCTTGAAGATCAAGGAGGTCTCGTACATGCACAGTGAGGGTATCCTCGCCGGAGAACTCAAGCACGGACCTTTGGCCCTTGTTGATGAGAACATGCCCGTCATTTTGATCATGACCCGCGACTCGTTGTACCCCAAGGTCCGCTCTGCTTTGGAGCAGGTCACTGCCCGTAAGGGTCAGCCCATCATCATCTGCAACAAGGGTGACGATGCCATCAACGCCGAGTCCAAGACCATTCGTATTCCCCAAACCGTTGACTGCCTCCAGGGTCTCTTGACCATCGTCCCTCTCCAGCTCTTGTCTTACCACTTGGCTTGCTTGGCTGGTGTCGATGTCGACTTCCCCCGTAACTTGGCCAAGTCTGTCACCGTCGAGTAAACGGACAAGATCGACCCCTCCATTTTTGTTGTCATTCATCATCCAAAGGAGAGCACTGGACAAGGTGCGATAAACTGACAAAGGACGAAGGCGCGCAAGGAGACAACTCACCTATATCCCTTTTTCGCATTGAGTTTTCTCTTTTTGAGCTGGCAATCCTTTTTCTTTTCTTTTTCTTCCTCCTTTTATTCCCATTTTCGTTGTTTTTGTATTTTTTGTATTCGTTAATCATTCAACAATAAAGCACCTTCTCAAGTGTACAAAAACCTATCGTTTACAGTTTATTCATGTCCATGCTCATGCTCGTGTGTGAGTGTTACTGTTGTCCTTGTTACTGTTGTCCTTGTGGATGTTACATGGGCATAGATGACCCTAGTTCATGCATTCCTCACGTGATGAATTGAACTCAAGAGGCTGCATATCTTGCTGTTTTTCCCTGCCGACGGCCAGATCCTCCTCTTTCAATTAAACAAACAGAATTTTGTATGTGGAACGACAGCACTCGGCAGCGGTGGACTGCTAATAGCGCCAGTGGGTCTTATCAATCGATGGATGCGCAACTCCACCCCATGGACACACCCACCCATCAACCTATCCACCTATCCAGCCATCCAACCATCCAACCCACCAACGCCCTATCCGTTCATTCCACCATGTCATCACATCTATCAACCTATACTCTAAACCATCCGCCAAACTCCCAGCCAACGGACACCAATCGACTTGTCACTATCAGCTACACCCTACTTTCATCATCTGGGCTTCTCTTACAGTGATGAGGGACGGGTCATCTTCTTTTCTGTTGGTCCTTGTCCTAACCCGTCCTTTTACCTTCCCCTTTAGAAAATGGCTGACGCAGCAACGGCCGATACTCAACGTGGTGCGTAATATCTCTTTATCTGGACTCCCAGAACTCCCTACAGGACCAGCACATATCAGAGGGGCAATTACAACAATACTACGAATACGGATGAGTGCCGGCATAGCAGGAGTCAAGGAGAAACAGACATCAACCAGCCAGTTTCTCCGTCAACAATGATCGGAGGATGGGCGACAGTCATGAGCCGTAACCATAACACCTCTGCAGGATGAGAGGAGAGGGGGTGTGAATACACCCTACTTACCCACCCCCTTGTGACCTGTACGCCCGGTCCAGACAGCGCATACCAACAACTCAACACATACGCAGCAGGAGAGGGAGTGGTGAGCGCACACACACGCACAAACAAGGGGAGGCAGGGAGGGAGAGAGCAAGGAATGTTCCGACGGATATCTCTTCCTCTTTGGCCCTATCGGCGATATGACTCAACCCATGTCCCTCCCAACAAACCAACAAACAGCAACTCAGACCAAACAACACCAACTATCGTGTCATCGCTTCCTCGAAGTCTGGAGTGGATGAGTAATGAGATGACCAGCCTACAGTGGATCTAGTCAGCTCTCAACAACGTCATACGAACTCTCTCCCTCTCCCTCAGCAAGCAACGACCTGTCAACGGGTTCCCAACATCAACTCGACACTGTTTCAACAAGAATGGCCCAGGATCTTTTTACCATCAGCCATCATCTGGAAGAGTAACAAGCGATGAAATTTTAGACGTCTTTTCTAAACAAACCATTTCTTCTCCCTTCCTTTTACTTTGCTATCAATTACAGGACGTGGCGGTTTTGGACGTGGTCGTGGACGTGGTGGCGACCGCGGTCGTGGCCGTGGACGTGGACGTGGAGGCAAGGACGAGAAGGAGACCTGGTAGGTTCTTTGCTCTTTGTCGTAGTTGTCGCATTTGGTGTTTATTGTGCGCAGGCAATGGAATAATACCAACGACTGAAGGACTAGAATTAACAAGCTGGATACTCTTTTGTGGATCATCCAACAATCAATAGGACCCCCGTTACCAAGCTTGGACGTCTTGTCAAGGACCGCAAGATCCAGTCGATCGAGCAGATCTACTTGTTCTCTCTCCCCATCAAGGAGTACCAGATTGTCGACTACTTCCTCCCCTCCCTCAAGGACGAGGTCATGAAGATCATGCCCGTCCAGAAGCAGACCCGTGCCGGTCAGCGTACCCGCTTTAAGGCTTTCGTCGTCATTGGTGACTCCAACGGCCACGTCGGTCTCGGTGTCAAGTGCTCCAAGGAGGTCGCCACCGCCATCCGCGGTGCCATCATCCTTGCCAAGCTCTCGGTCATCCCCGTCCGTCGCGGTTACTGGGGTTCGATCTTGAACGAGCCCCACACCGTTCCTTGCAAGGTCACCGGCAAGTGCGGTTCCGCCGTCACCCGTTTGGTCCCCGCTCCCCGCGGTACCGGCATTGTCGCTGCCCCCGTCCCCAAGAAGCTTCTCCAGCTCGCTGGTGTCACTGACTGCTACACCCAGGCTTTCGGCTCCACCCGCACCTTGGGCAACTTTGTCAAGGCCACCTTTGCCGCTATTGGTAACACCTACAGCTACTTGACCCCCGACCTCTGGTCCGAGACCCAGTTCACCATGTCTCCCTACCAGCAGTACACTGACTTCCTTGCCAAGCCCCAGGAGAAGCGTCGCGCCTAAATTTAGTCCTTGAACTCTCGCATTCTTTTGCAAAGGGATCCCTCTTTCTCTAAATGGACTGAGAAGAGCCATCCTGAGATGAAAACGACAGGCAACAACTCTTTTTCTTTTTTTTATCGCTTTTTTTCTTTTTTTCTCTCCCGGCATGAATAAATTCTTTACTGCGTTTGTTCTCTTGGACCAGAAAAACTATATCTCTCTCGTTCTTCTCCGTTGTGTTGTCTTTTGATAAAACGTCTATCGTTTGGGGTTGAGCGTGGAAAGTGGACAGGGATGCGTGAGAGAAAAAGTGGAGTGACCAAAAGACCCTTGTTGTCAGGAGCGTAGCCTATTCACACATAATTAATGCCTCTGATGCTCACCAACCAGCGAAGATGTAGGTTAAACGTTTGTCGGTCCCTACAAGGGAGCGTGCACGCATCCAGGAGACCCCACTCTATTGGCCCTCCCTCTCTTCTCTTGTGCTTGTTTGTTCCAAAGGATCCTCGCTCAGCTTCCCACTTGTTTTCGCCTCCTTTTTTCTGTCAATTTCTTGGGCCTTTTTTTCTTTTTCTTCTTGAATTCGTGCCTCATTCCTCATTCCGAAAGCAACCTTTTCGTAGGTCTCCATCTTTCTTCTTGCTCCTCACCTCGCTGCAGGCCTTTTGTGAACAAAAAGGGTCTATCAAAAATGCCAGTTGCACAAGGACAGGAACAGTCCCCTAAGTCCCGCCTCTCACCTGGCCCGACCGCCATCACCAAAGCAACCAGCACCAGCACTAGGGCAGCAGCTGTCCTTCTTCCCTCGGTCGCTCTCATCCTCACCCTCTCGTGCCTCCTCAGTCCTGTTGTCCCTGTGCAAGCAGCGGTCTCAGCCTCAATTGTCGTCGATGCCGCGGCTCTGCCCCTTTCATTTGCCGCATGTGGAAATCCGCTCCTCGCAGAAAGAACGAGGACGTTGACGATGGTTCACGGGCTTGGCTGCACCCCTCGTTCACAGTTCCTGGCCTCGTTGGTGGCACCTGAGACTAACACTGATCCTGATGCTGCTGCTCTGGACCAGCAAAAGGAGGGTGTTTCACCAGGGTCCACGTTTGTGATCGACAGGACGGTTGCTCCAGCGATCGGGATTATCAAGGAACGGTGGATGAGCGAGTCTGAGGACCTGATTCACAGAAAGCCTCCAGGGTCGAGGGGCGTGCTTGACTCGTCTGTAGGTGGAGAGACGACTCTGGGGGTCCAGTCCTCGTCTCCCTTGATCACATTACCACATTTGAACTGGATTCGAGCACATCTTGGCACAAAGTCCCCCTATCCTCATGAGAGCAGACCTGTTGGACCCTTGGAGGACGTCCCTGAGGGATATGAGTTGGTTCAGTTGCATCTGGTAAGGAACACATGGGAGGAAATTTTCACACAGACAGACAGACGCACTAGTTGTGTACCCCTTGCATTTGCCCTTGCACCCTAGGAAATTTACTATTGTAATTATTACCAACATTGCGCAAATTGTCTAAACTAATTTGAGTCCTACTTCACTCCTCCTTGCCTGCTTTCAGATCTGTCGCCATGGTAAGGGAGAGAGATTATCCATATCCCATTCTATCTTGTCGTGGGTCATGAAAGAAGAAAGGCAGGGACGGGTGACTAATAGTCGATTGACATGCGTTGCTTTGGTCTTTTGGATGGAATAGGTACAAGGTACCCTAGTGCTTCCATGGCTGTCGGCTTTAAGAAGCTCGCTGATCGACTCAAGGGTGTCAAGTTGCCTGGATTCGAATGGATCAAGGACTGGGTAAGAGACAGACACTGCTACTGCCCTTCAGATTCAGGTCATGTTCACGCCATCGTTTTTTGTGGATTCAAGCCCTCATCATAACAAGTTGAACTAACCATAGCTTTAAGCGCTCTCACGTTTTTCATATTAGCCAAGTGATACATTGTACCCTCCTGCAAGAGGAAATCTACTTTCCGTCCAGGGAGATGCTGATCTGTATCAGATTGGTCGTCGCTTTGCCATCCGCTACAAAACCTTGTTAGACAAGCACCCTTACGACGCCAGCCTGTACCAATTTACGACATCGGCAAAATCCAGGAGCAGCCAGTCTGCGTACGGGTTCTCGGTTGGGTTCTTTGAGAGTCGTTTCGCCGATTCTGGATCTGACGCCGAGACGGGTGTCATAGGTGATCGACCTGTCGTCCAGCCTATTGATATCTCTATGCTGCCCATCGTAAGTCCCTTTCGTCCACAATTCAGTTTCTTTGCATGATTGACTACATCTCGTGTCGTGTATCCACGGTGTTCACCAATTGAAGCCTTGTTCATACTACATATTTTAGGGATTGGATAAGGAACTGGCGATGAAGTATGCTTGCCCAAGATGGCTGGAGAGCATCAAGGACCAGCCGCGTATAGTGCGCGAGATCAAGCAGTTCGAGAGCAAGTTTGTCCCAGCCCTGGCAAATCGCCTCTCAGCGGTTTTGTCCGAGGGTGCCGAATCCCCAGCAGCCAAGTTCAACATCACAGTCAAGGATGTTGGCGTTATCCAAAACATGTGTGGATTCGAGGTTGCCCTGCACAACAATGACACGACTTGGTGTCGGTTACTTGGACTCGGGCTATCTTCTTCTTCGGAGGGGGGTGATTACAGGGATGACGAGGTCAAGGATAACGAGGCGAAGGATGTGTTCCGGAAGTACGAGATCGCGGGAGATTTGGATGACTACTACTCGCACGGACCAGGAGTGCCTTTCAACAGACATCTTGGGTGTAAGCTGGGCACTTCGTTGATGGAGGCTGTTGAATTGGCACTGACTGAGGGTAAGACTAGCGGTAGAGTGCCGACGCCGAAGGAGGACAACATCCCTGGTACCTTCGATAGTGGTGATGATGATGGAGAGCCTGGGGTGTATCGCGCTCTTCTCAAATTTGGTCATTCTGAAACCATCCTTTTCTTCTCCAGCTTCCTGGTACGTGCTCATCTATTTTTTTAAGTTTTGGTCGATTATTAAGTTCGATGCTGACCTCCTTTGCATATCTTGTAGGGTTTATACAACCAGAAGGGGGTCCCGTTGACGGCAAACATGACGTCTAAGCAGTACGCCGAGCGAGAGTTCCAGACCAGCAAGGTCTCCCCCTTTGCTGCCAACATGGCTTTCGAGGTCTACCGCCCCATCGCGGATACCCGAAAGTCGCGCCGCCGCCTGGATGCCGAAGCCGCTTCCCCTGCTGACAGTAACACCAAGTCAGCTCCTCGAGGACTGATCAGGTTGCTGGTCAATGAGGTACCCATGGTCCTTCCCGGCTGTGGAGGTGAATACTTTTGTGAATGGCCGACGTTCAAGAAGGTCCTTCAGCGTGCGGGGACCGGGTGCGATTTCGATGGCTGCTGTAGTACCCTGACCAAGCCCACCCCTACTCCTGGGGCGGGGGTGGAGGCCAAGGCGAAGGCGAGGGCTGCGTTTTTGGCAGCTGTGTGGGAGTTCCGTCACCAGACGGTTCTTGAAAGGAAAGCGAAGTCGCAGCTGCCTGTTTGTTTGGCTGTTGATCCTGTCATCAAATAGACGGAAGGGGAGGATGCGGTCCTTTTCATGCATTGTTTCATATTTCTATGTATTACACATCTTGTTCGATACGAGGAAAAATAAAATAAAATAAAAATAAAAGTACGAATGCATTGAGCAATCGAAAATACATAAAGAGTGGCATAACTGATACTGTCTACCACACATGCAACCGATAGTGCAAAAAGTCGTAGTACTGACATGAGGCAAGAACATGACCGTCACGGCTGACTACATTTGATCGGCATAGAGTGGATTGATCCTCGATCATTGATCAAGCACGGGCCACATCCGTTCTAAAACAGAAGGCGCCCAAAAAAACTAGTATGTCTTTGTGCAGGATATGGATGGCAACCTACAGGACGGACGGGACTGTATGTGAAGTACGAATATTTAGTAGCACAAAGGGTTCTGAAGGGTCTATCTCTCTATCTAGCGTCATCCTCCCTTGCCTCTTCAGTCACGCATAGGAATGTAAACAGAATAAAGTTTAGTCTCGGTGAACTTTTATTTTATTTTTTCAGTGAAAGCGGTCGACAGTTTGAAGGAATGGCAGCCGTTTAACAAGGCATGAAGAGGAGGACTATGTCAATGAGCATTCACTCAAAAGGACTCATTGGTAGGAACCGTGATTCCTAAGTGACCTAGAATGACGATTTCGAAGTGATCTAAAAATATCCCTTCTTTTCACCGATCAAGTCCGGTGTAAAAATGGCTGACGAAAAATTGGCTACCACCTTTTCTCTCTTTGACCACATCTCTAGTTTTGCCACTACTCAAGCGATGGTTCCTGTTCGTGTTGCCGTTGATGTCGCGGCTGCAACTATAACCCCTTTCCTTCGCAATTGCATGTGGAAATCCCCTTCCCTGCCAAGTGAGCGACGATGAATGTTTGCGGTCTAGACTCCAACCCTCATGAGCAGTTTTTGGTCTTGTTGCAGGAGCCCAAGAACGACGCTGATGCTGCTTTGGAGCATGAGAAGAAGACGGTCTAGAATGTTTCATCACAATCCATGTTCATGATCAGCAGGACAATTGATGTGCATCGTAACATCAAAATAACCAAGAGCAGGCGACGGAGGGAATGTTGATCCTTATACCGGGTACAGAATATCGTGTTATTTTGTTGCTAGACTTAGAAGTACATCTGAAGCTTCTTTTAGTAGTCAGGCGATAGCGATAATAAACAAAACAGAACAACAAACAACAACAGCCAGCAATTGGGGAAGTGAACAACCACCAGATGGGCAAACTTAAAGATCTGATTGGCGGAGACTAAAGAGTGTTGGATCATCTCTGCCTTTTTGTTGGTCGAGGGGCGACTCCGATGGTCCAGCCTTGTTGTTTCGTTGCCACCTTTGGAGTGGACTCAATCACACCTCACTAAAACAACTATTTTTTCATGCAGTCACACATACTTGAATCTATGTACTTTGAATGCCCCTTCACTTGCATTCACCCTTGCGCCTTGGCAAATAGCCTCTGTAATTATTACTAACATTGAGCGCCCTGTCCTGTCCAATCGTTTATATTTCGTACTCCCACCCTATTCTTCTTGCTATCAGATCTACAACCATATGGGGGGGAAGATTATCCATATTCCATTCCATCTTGCCGTGGACTCGACGTGGAGTATGAGACGAAAGAAAATAATAGATGAAGGCTAATGTTTATTCGCATGTGTTCAGTCCAATGCACTCCAAGGCTTCCACGTCTGTTGACTTCAAAAGGCCTTTGGATCGACTCAAGGGAGCCACGTTGTGTGGATTCGAATGGATTGAGGAGTGGGTACGAAGAAAAGATTTATACTCGTCCTCTTCACATGCAATGAATATTCAACCCCTGGTACCATTTTGGATACAAGCTCGTTCTTCAATAACCAAATTAAACAAATCACAGCCTTAACCGCGCACGTTTATCTTTTATTAGTCAATTGATGCTGGCAGGGACTAGCCTACTTTAGGTCCAGGGGGACGCCGATCTGTAGTAGAGCATTCGTCGGTTGACCATAAGCAACCAGCCAACCAGCCAGGGCACAAAAAACTATATCCCTCATCGCTCAATACCTCAGGGACCCTGCACGCCTCCAAGAGTACTGACATCATTGGCCCTCTTTTGGCCGTTTCTTGTCCCAAGTAGGAGCCTTGGCTTTCCTTCACTTTTTTTTTTCTATTTAACTGTTGGATTTCTCATCATTCTCCCGTCTCCTTTTCATTGTTCTTCACACAACTCACTCTCGCTCAATCTACCCAAAAATGTCTGTTGCACAAAAGCAGGACGCGGCGCCTAGCCTGTCCACCGCCGCTACCACCACTACCAGCAAGAAGTCGGCCATCCTTCTCCCCTCGGTCGCGCTCATGCTCGCCCTCTCTTGCCTCTTCTCTCCCGCCACTGTTCAAGCGGGACCCGTTGACGACGCTGCAGCAGCTAAGCACTCTGGCTCGTCCCCCTCGTTCTCGTTGCCACCTTTGAACTGGCTCCGAACTCACCTCGGTACAAAGTCGCCCTATCCCCATGAGACCAGACCTGTTGGACACCTGAAGGATACCCCTAAGGGTTACGAGTTGGTTCAGCTGCAACTGGTAAGGATTCAAAGGTTTTTGCACAGACGCCCAAGCGTGCAGTTTACGTCACATTCCTCCACTCGCATTTACCCTTCCATCCCGAAAAGAGGTTGATGTTTGTTATTAACGTTGAGTATTTTGTTCTGTCCAATCATTTGTCTTTCTTTCTCCCACCACCACCTTTGACTGCTATCAGGTCTGTCGCCATGGTAAGGAGAGATTATTTGATTCTTGTCGCAGGACAATGAAAAGGAGAAACAATTACGAGGACTAACATCTACCTGAATACGTTTCCTGGTCTATGGAATGGAATAGGTACAAGGTACCCTAGTGCTGACAAGTCTGTCGGGTTCCAGAAGATGACCGATAGACTCAAGGGTATCAAGTTGCCTGGATTCGAATGGATTAAGGACTGGGTAAGAGACAAGTACCACTACTCCCCATTATGTACAACTGACGTTCACCCTCTTGGTCTTCACGGATGCAAAATCTAACCATAGCTATGACCTCTACCCGCGCTCTTGTCTTTATTAGCCAAGTGAGACGTTGTACCCCCCTGCAAGAGGTAACCTCCTGTCCGTCCAGGGAGATGCTGATCTGTACCAAATTGGTCGTCGCTTTGCCATCCGTTACAAGACCCTCTTGGACAAGTACCCCTACGACGCCGACTCGTACGTGTTCTACTCATCGCCAAAGTCCAGATCTAAACAGTCGGGGTATGGTTTCTCGGTCGGATTCTTTGAGGGTCGTCTCGCGGAAGATTCTGGATCTGCGGTTGAGAAGGGCGTCATTGGAAAGAGGCCTCCCGTCCAGCCTGTTGAGATCTCCATGCTGCCCATCGTAAGTCACTTTTTACTCTTTTTGTTGCTTTCTTTCTACATTTCCTTTTTACATGTCCGTGGTGGTTAACCAATAAGACCTTTCTTCTACAATATATAGGGATTGGATAAGGAAATGGCGATGAAGTACGCGTGCCCTCGCTGGCTCGAGAGCGTCGATGGTCAATCAGCTGTTGAGCGCAACAACAAGGAGTACGAGGCCACGTTCAAACCAGAACTGGCACAACGTCTCTCCGCAGTTTTGTCCGCTGGAGCCAAGACCCCCGCGGCCCAGTTTAACCTCACGGTCAAGGATGTCGGTGTTATCCAGAACATGTGTGGATTCGAGGTTTCCATGCACAACACTGAGAAGACTTGGTGTCGGTTCCTTGGTCTTGGACTCTCTTCATCGAAGGATGGCAAGTCTAAGAAGGATGGCAAGGATGACTTGGATGGTGAGGCGAAGGATCTGTTCCTGAAGCTTGAGATCGCGGATGACTTGGATGACTATTATACCTATGGACCTGGAGTGCCTTTCAACAGACATCTTGGATGCAAGTTGGGTACTTCGTTGGTGCAGTCTGTTGAGTTGGCTCTGACAGAGGACAAGACCGGCGCCCCTGTTGCTAGCGGTGATGATGATGAGGATGTACGTGGAGTTTCTCGCGCTGTCCTCAAGTTTGGTCATTCTGAGACCATCATGCTCTTCTCCTCCATGTTGGTACGTATTCGCCTCCTTTTCTTCTAAGGATTAATGGCGCTGCCTTGATTTTTTTATGACAATATTTTCTCAATCGTGCGCAATACTCACACGTGCCCACTTTTGCTCGTGTTACTGGTTCTATAGGGCTTGTATAACAAGAAGGGAGTTCCATTGACGGCCAACATGACATCTGAGCAGTACGAAAACCGCGAATTCCGCGCCAGCAACTTCGCCCCCTTCTCCTCCAACATGGCCTTCGAGATCTACCGCCCCATTGCCCCCAAGGCCCCCAAGCTGCGCCGCCGCCAGGATGCCCCTGCTGCCGCCCCTGAAGGTTTGATCCGCCTGTTGGTCAACGAGGTACCCATGACCCTCCCCGGCTGTGGATCGAACTACTTCTGTGAATGGTCGACCTTCAAGAAGATTCTTCAGCTTACCAGTTCCGGATGTGACTTTGATGGTTGCTGTGCTTCATCGGGAAAGCCTGCCGCTTCTGCTTCTGCGCTTGAAGGTGGTGAGGTCAAGGCGGCGTTCTTGAAGGCTTTTGAGAAGAGGGCTGACTCTGTTTGTCTGTCTATTCAGCCTGTCGCCTAAATTGATGGGGGGTTCTTCATTTTTCAAATCTTAGTATTATTTTAATATCACTTCTATGATCTGTAGACAGGTAGACTGGTTGTTTGACACACCCACTCTCATCTTCTATGCAAATCATCTTATGTTCGATACCCAACGAGCAATCAAAAATAGTTACCAATAAAACTAGATTAGTCAATCTTAGGGCCTTTTCCTGAAAGTAAAGCAACATGGTGGATCCTGCTTGTCTTCTTTTGAACGTTTTTATGTTGACGACGCATAAGGTTTGCTCCCACAGTTTCTTTGAGCGCATTTTATTTTTTACGTTTTCTTCTTTGCATTTGTATCTATATCTTTTTCTTACGTTAGTCATCACAAGAAGCAATCACCGTATTACATAAACAAAACCACAGGCAGTCTCCTAGCTTGGTAGTTACTTTTCTTTATTAAAAAGGCATGTTCTCTAGTATTCGTCCCTGATGCCGTGTGAGTGGGAGTGGAGAGCATTGAGTCGCACAGAGGTCGAGGCATGAGAAGGTAAGAGAACTGGGATAGTAATATAGAAGGAATAACATAGTTAAAGGCGGAAACAAAAGGCAAGAAAGCAAAAAATGGAAGAAAGTGGGTAGGAAAGAAGGAAAAGGAAACAAAGAAGAGTGAAAGAAAAGAGAGAAGGAAGAAAATGTGAAAGAAGAGAGAAAGAAAGGAAAACGAAAGAAGAGGGTATTTATACCTGTTCTTACCCGTCGAGTGCACTTTTCCGTCATACCAATGATGCTGATAAAAGCGCGCTCTGTCTCATATGTTCGCATCCAAGGGATCAAACGCAGTCCAGCTGGTCTCAGTCGATACGCGTCCTGTCTGTCTGTTGCGTGAATTCTTAACGCCAGAAAGCTTACATGCATCTTCATCTCGGACCAGTGAATTTGTGAACGTAAATGTTCCCTTGACCATTGCGCGAACCACAGTAGTTGTGGTGTTCCCTCTACCACCTAAAAAACCGTACGAAAGACTCATTTTACATAAAGACAACGACAATGACAACGATAAAAAAAACGGCAGGTCCTTATCATTTTTTCATTTTTCTTGACGATCAATAAGTCATACACTCACAGAAGGACGGGAACGAAAACGGAATGAAAGAAACAGTAGCACTCACACCGTTACATCAATGCGCAGGGCAAAGAGGGACAAAGAGGAACACAACAAAGAGGAGTGGAGAGAAGTGAGTACCAGAGTCACATCAAAGATAGCAACTCCTTACACCATTAATATATTTGACCCACACAAGGCAGACGTATTGATCAGATGAAAAAAAAGGAGGGACGAAGGAACAGCTTTTTATAGGAGTACAAGAGCGGATGCTACCGCACCCATTGCAAACGCCAACCCGGAAGACGTAAATGAAGCAAGAGCACTACTATCATGCACAACTATCACCGTCCCAGACTTTGGAGACGACGGAATAGGCAGTTGAGATGGTAGTGGTGGCAGCACAATCGTCGTCGAATCCGCAGAAAGAGGTATCGCCAGTAAAGAAGGACTACCACTACTATTGATAATTTCCTGAGTAGACGGCGAGTCCAAAGAGTAAGAGGAAGAAGGGTCGTTATCGTTGGCAATGGCGATAGCAGCCACTGTGTTGACACTGATTGAGACACAGAGGGCGACGCCCTTGTCGGGGTGGTTGTTATTTTCACATTCGGGAGCTAGTTTTGTGTTCCATGCGAGTAGATCTTTTAGCGTGCAGTTGTTTGCTTCCGCGCTGTGAAGAAGGAAGGAGGGAGGCAGTGAGGTAGAACGAGGGATTAGTTTGTTGCTTTTGATGAGAAAGAAAAAATAAACAATAAAAGCCAAAAATGTGTTATGGTTTGTTCGTAGACATGAGGGAGGGTTACAATACTTACAATTCTACACAGTTTAGACCACTTTCTATTTGAGACAAGCAAAAAAGAAGTAAAAGAGTGGTCGATAAGGTGAGAAGGTTATTTAGGAAAGGAAAGAAAGAGTGCGGCGCTAATGACTGATCGCGGATCTTTATCTCAAAAGTGCGGGCTATGTTAAATAGATATACGCTAAAAACGTGTAACAAGTACCTTGGACGACCACAGTCTTTGTGCATGATTTGATAACAACCGACATGTCAGCCATGGCTGTTTGTGAAGAAGCAGCGAAAAGGGTCATCGTGACCACAGCTAGCTGGATCAGTTTCATCGTAGTTGTTTGTGTTGTCGTTCCTTATGGCGGTAGGGGGTTGGGACTGGCGAGAAATGTTGGCGAGACTGTGCACGGTGCAGGTGGACAGATGCGAAGAGGAGGAAGGAGGAAGGATTAAGAGAGAGAGAGAGAATGGAAAGGCGATGATGCAATGGCAGGAAAGGGGACGAAAAAGAGACATTTGCCAAAGAACCCCATTCTTTGTTGCCGGAAACTGGTCGTTTTTATATTTTCTCTTCCCTCTCTTTCTTGGTTGGTTTGCTTGCTTGTTATTTTTATGCTCCCATAAAAATAAGAAAAAAACGCGGAGTGAGAGGCGAAGAGAAAATTATAGCTCTCAATCCATCCGTTGTTTTTTTCTTGCCACCCACAAGAAAACAACGTGTGGACAACCTTTTTGTCTCTCCACAATTTCTCTTCGAATGGTCTCATTTCTTGGGTTGAAAGAGTGCGAGTTCACATTTTTTACGTCTTGGTGCCTGAGAGACTTCCACGAAGCAAAAAGAAGGACTAGGTGAGTGGCGTTGCTTTTCAATGTCATGGTCGTGATAGAAAAAAAGACGAGGAAAAAGAAAGTTTCAGAAAAGCATTGACAAAAACAAATAGAAAGCAGCGAGACGAAAACGAGGTGAAGGAAAAATTAAGAAAACGATCCACCTCTCTACTTTGCTTCCTCGCACCAGCTGTTTGAGCTCAGTTGCATCTTCATCTCCTATTTTGAATCCCATCCTTTCAGGATCTTCCCCCTTTTCTCTAGCGCGTAATTGATTATTGCTCATTTTGTGCTCCGTTCTTCGTGCAAGTGGACTAAAAAGCAGAGAAAAGTATATGAGCGTCGGTTATGTTTTGTATGTTTTGTCTTCCAAAAGGAAAACCTCGAATTAGGCACTTTGTTTACTTTTTCTTTTCTTTCTGTTCGGTTTTTGGTGTTGGTTGGTCCTACTCTTATTGCCATTGCCATTATCACCCATTGCACACACACTTCCTCCATCTCTCAAGACATTTTTGTGTCATATACTGCATGTGTAAGAGAGAAGGGGAGCAAGCAAGCGAGCGCAATCTTGGGGAAGGGGATAGTGCAGCAAAGGACTTCCCCTTCCCAATACCAGCCATCCCATCTTTTATTCCTCAGATTGTATTTCTCATGATCGGTGCAATGAATAGACAAATAAAAAAGAACGATTACAAATGGCAAACCCCGGCTGTTTTTATTTATTCAGGAAGGTGCTTCAAAAAGCGATATGAACATCTGTGACTAAGAGTCTCCAAAGACACCTCAAGAAAACCATTCGTGCCATAATGGCGTTCGCCGTCAACGCTGTCGTCATTCATTCTGTACTGGAAGATAGTGTCCTCCACAATCCCAAGGCGGACCATGTCTTCTAGAGAGGGTTGGTGATAAAGAACGCGAGAGGCTCGTTGCCGTTGTCGTCGTAATTTCGAGCCTTGGCCCTGAGCACCCTAAGCAAGCTCTCGAGCGTATTCATAGTCCACAGTTGCAGGTAAAACTGTTCAACCTTTGATAACGTCTTTGTCAACAACTGCTGCATGACGTTGTCGTAGATCGTCCACTCTCCACTCAGGCGGCTGAGACAAGGCAAGGAGAGGTGGTCAGCCATTGGTTGCGAAGATGAAAGGGGGATGCTGTTACTTGATGGCATGGACAGTTCTGCCTCAGAGATGACTCGGGTGTGCTCTCCTGTGATCACCGAATGGAAGTCCAACCACAAGGTGTTCAATACTGGACATCCTTGAAGAAACTTGAACTCAAACAGGCAAGCAAACTCGGGCGTGAGATGCAGGTGTGAGGAGAGGAAGGTGCCAATCCCAAGTCCAACGTGGGCGAGTAATGTCCAGTTCCAAATCAATAGCGGCGGTTGTCAACCGTGCTGGTGATCCGTTCTGGATACCGTAGGATCGATTGAGCTCCTCCACCGTCGGAATGAACTTTCTGCGTGGATGTTCGTCAAGCTCAAAATGCCACCACATGATTTGAAGGGTTAGGTGTGTCAAGATCGTGGTCGAAGAAAGGGTCGCTGGATCGAATGTGAGGGCAGGCTAGCCAGTCAAGTGCAGGTGATCGAGGTGTTCTAGACGGGCTGGAAGGCAGGGGATAAAATCTCGACAGGAGTACTCAGTGGTCTCAGTGGTGTTATCGTTCAGTCGGAGGAATATCAAGTTGAGGCAGTGAGCGAGCAGCTGCGGGTCCAGCACTATTGAACACAGGTGCTGGTTCAGGTGCAGCTCAGTTAAAGCTGGAAGGTCAATCCAACCTTGTCCAACGTGGATTGAATCGGGCAGATCCAGGGACGAAAGATCAAGGGAGCGGATGGTGAGATGCTTCAATGTTTGGCTGAAGGCAAAGACAATATCTTTCATGTCGTCGATGCTTGACAAAGTCAGTCCGATGTCGATATATTCGGGTGGAACCAGGCCATGGATCTGATGCGCGCGCAGCGAAATCTCGTCCTGCGCCACAGGTCGTCGCTCACCCTCGCTGTTGTCGGCCACGATGTTCCGACTAGACACTTCCAAGTCTCTCTTCTCCTGAACCACCCACTTGGGTGTATCAGGCCTCTTGCTAACGAACAGTTCCCTCAAAGTCCGACACCGCTGAAAGATCGAGTGCTCGTCAATGAAAATGGCGCCATCCACTGACTCTGGGAAATAAGCACTGATGAGTTCTTGGATATGCGCCAGATTGACTGACTCTGGATAGGCCATGAGCTGCAGCCAGTTGTCATATCCAAATGCGTTGGCCTGGATAGTGGCGGAAGGAGATGATAGCAACCAAGTTGAGCGCGTTGAATGTACTCTCGGTCAACCATATTCCACATTGCATCCTCCAGACATTGGATGGTCCTGAGCTGGCTCTTGAAAAGTCGTATGTGCTCCCGGACGAACATCACCGTCTCCTGAATCAAATCGACTTTGCGTCGTTTCCTGGTTCCATCGTCGGCATCGCCTTCGTCTTCATAGTTTCAAAGGGTTCTTCGAAAGTAAGCGCCGTAGCAAAATGGTCCGATTCCAGGCTTTTGAATCGACCGACAACCTTGTGATACTACTTGGTTCGGGATGTCAGGATGGTGATAGACTGGAGTTGCGCGAGTATGGGTTCTACCAAATACCAGAAAGCATCTGGACGGGTCGTAACTCTGTAGTATTCATGAAGTATCCAGTCCGCGATCCAGTCGCTATAACATGACGCAAAGGGGTTTGATTGGTAGAGCTGGTCAAACTCGTCGCTTTGAACGCACTCTAGCCGGTGAGGATCCAGGTTCGATAACAAGAACCTCCTGTTACACTCACAAGCATACTCCCGGCGTTTAATGTTGAGATGGCGTATGTGGGCGAGGTGGTCGAGCGACGACTTGGTTGTTCCTGTTGTTGTTGTTGTTGTTGTTGTTGTTGCGGAAGAGGTGTCGGTAACGTCCAAGGTGAGAGTAAGAATGAAAGCCTTGGGGAAACTGGCGATAGGGAGGCGATTGAGTATGTCGTAAGGTGAAGGATTATATAAGTGTGGCAGAGTTTCATGGAAGGCAGAGCGGTAAGCGTTACAGTAGGGGAAGGAGAGCGTGACTGAAGCGATATGCTTGCTTGTGGCGAGAAGTCTGGACAGAGTAGTGAAATCATTGTCGTTGTCGAAAACACGGAGGATGTGCCATAAGCATTCTACTGGTAGATGTGAGAGTGGGTCCATTGTAAAAGTGGTGAACGTGAAGAGAAGGAAGAGGAATTGGTGAATGGAAGGATGTGGATAAGGAATGAACGAATAAAAAAAAAAAGAAACATAATGCAGTCGCCGTGTTTTATTTCCCTTCGGTGTCGGTGCCTGAATTTGCAGTTTACGCCTCCAGTCTGCATAACCTGCATAACTCCCACGCGACGGAGGCTGAAAAGTAGGACCCGACAAACCCGCATGTCTCCTCTATCAATTGCATCTCTCTTCCCCTATTCATTTCTCCTCGATTTTCATCTCAGAAGGGAGGCAGTTTTCATGTGTGTTCGTCATTCTCTTTCGTATTTCACGATTGGCTTCACCGAGCTGTCCACTGGATCTGCAAGAAGGAATGAAATGGAGTGGCTGTTGCCCACGATTTTTTTTTCAACGGTCGCCGTTATTTGATCTTGATCACAATTATGTCTGATCCTTCAGTAAAACATACAAGGTAATCACTGACGAGTTATGGGAGATAAGATCAAATCAAGACCAGGGCAGAGGGGTGATGGTGCCTGGAAGGAGGATCGACGTTCTATTGATCGTCAAAAATAGAGGGTACCGGTATCTAGGTGGTGTCACGAGCATCCATGGACCGCCGTAATCTTTAGTGCTCTTCCTTCCGCCATAACATATTATTCTTCTCTTTTCTCCACATGTCTGCAACATCGACTGGGTCGCCTCTATAGCACTTTGAGCACACATATGTGCACATCTAGAGAATACATCTTCCATCGGTACATCACCAACACTCTTCCACATAATTCTTAAACACCTAGGCGTTTTGCTTCCTTTACTTTCTTTCTCCAGGTCATTCACAGATGAGTTCCACCACTCATCACCCACTCTGTGAACTCATGAATTGCGCATTCCATGGCAAAGACGCGGCTAGTCAGGTTAGTACGAACCAAAGAAGTAACAAAAAGCAAGATAATCCTTTATTCTGGTAGATATTTCAAGAGAAGATAGTGGACACTGTTGTCGTAGTTGGAAATGTTGATAGATAATGCATCTCTCTTGTCATCCTCGTCTTCGTCATAGTCAACAATCCCAAGTCTGTCCATGTCGTCATGTGAGAATTCCGATATGTGTAACGACACAGTCTCATCGTATCTCAAGGGCATGGCTCTGACCAGCTCAAGCAGGCTCTCCACCGTGGTCGTACTTGTCCATCCATTCAGATACACATCTGTCACTCTTGGGAACATGCCCGTCAAAAAGACTGGCATAATATCGTTTTCGATCACCCATTCTCCATTCAGTTCCAGTTGAGTCAGGGCAGGCGCACAGAAGAATTCGGTTGTTGGTTGAGAGGGTGGCGTGGAAGGTTGATCCGAGAGGCCTTTAACGTTGGCGTTGTCGTCTGTTGTTATCCATAGGTCTTCATCGACTATACATCGTGTGTGCTCTTCTGAGGTCGACGAACGTATGTCCAAAGTCATGGTTCTCAACGCTGGGCATCCACTAAGCATCTTGAACTCAAACAGGAAAGCAAACTCGGACGACAAACTGAGTGACGTGAGAAGAGGGAAATGCCAATCCCAAGTCCATAAAGGTCGAACCATCTCAAGCATCCAATCGTCTGTCGTCGATGCCGATTCACTCTGGAAACCATAGGACCGATCGAGCTCTACTACTGGTGGAATGAAACTAGGAGCTTGGTCAAAGTACTCATAGCGCCATGGTCGGACTTGGATGCTCAAGTATGTGAGCCTTGTTGTCGATGAAAGAGTAGCCGGGTCAAACGTCAAGGCTGGCCAGCCACTTAAGTGCAAAAAATCAAGTTGGTCTAACTTGACGGGAGGGCAAGGCACAATGTCTTGGCACGAGTACTCCAAAGTCAAGTCCCTCAATCGTAGTAACGTGAGATTGGAGCAACGGAAGAGAGCTTCGGATTCCACCACCAGCCGATTCGAGCCTAGGTTTAGGCTTAGGCGAGTCAAGTTGGGAAGATCGATCCATCCTTGTCCGAGCTGGATTGATTTGGGAGGATTCAACGAGACAGGGATCCGCGTGTTGATACTGACGTCCATTAGGCTGTGACTGAAGGCGAAGAAGATGTCGTTGATATCGTCGGCGCCTGGGGCGACGAGCCTTCTGATCTTGACCACCTCGAGTGGGACCAGGCCGTGTGTTTGATGAAGCGGCGGCGCTGTCTCTTCCAGCATCAGTGTTCCCCGATGACCATGACAGCTCCCGATCGCAATGCTCCTGTCAGTCCTATCCAAGTCTCTTTTCTCCTGTACGGCCCACTTGAAAGTCCTTGCATGAATATTGTCGACATCGAGGCGCTCCAATGACCGGCAACGCTGGAGGGGCGATCGGTTGTTGAACATGATATCCCCCCACGATTCTGGCATACCCTCACTGACGAACTCTCGGACACGCGTCAAATCGGTCGACTCTGGATGGGCCGAAAATTGCACCCAGTTGTCCTTTGTAAGCAGTGTAGGCTTGGACAGGGGCGGTAGAAGCTGAAAGATGTCTCGTCGGATGCCGTCGGCGTATTCCATGTTGATCGATCCCCACCGCGAGAACTCCAGACAGACAACAGACCTGAGGCGACCCTTGCAAACTAGCGCATGTGCCTGAACAAATCGAACCATGTCTTGATTCACAATGTAGTCATGCGATCCTTTTTCCGGGGGGACTAAATTGTTGTAAGGCACATCATACTTCTCGGACATGGCAAAGCGGATAGTTACAAGGCTCCTGAACCGATCGACAACCTCGTGGTACTGCTTGATGGTGGACATGAAGGGAATGGTGAAGGATTGGAGCTGTTCGAGGATAGGGTGTGCCAGGCACCAGACGGCCTCTTGGTGCAGCACGACATGGAAGAATTGCAGGAGGATTTGCCCGTTGGTATCGAAGCGCGACCTTTCGATGTATCGTGACGAGAAGGGGTTCGATCGGTACCGATTCTTGAATTCTCCTGTACGGATATAGGCGAGTTGTTCCGGAGGAATATCCAAGGTGGACAAAGAGCAACCCATCGTGAGAGAAGCCGATGTGTCCATGTTGAGATGACGGACATGGGCGAGATAGTCGAGGGGCGAGGCTGTTGTTGGTGGTGGAAGGTGTCGATGGTCGGTTATGAGGGCCAGCACGAGTGCCTTGGGGAGAGTGGCAAGGGGAAGACAACCGAGTAGTGTGCGGGTGAGCAATTCGCCGGCGTTGTTTTTTCGCTTGGATGGTTTCCCACCGTTAAAGATGAGGTGATAGGGGTTGCGGTAGAGGTAAGGGAGAGTGACGGAAGCGATATGCTTGTTCATGGTGAGGAGACGGGCCAGGATGGATAGGCTGCCGCTGTCGAGTAGGTTTTGGAGGATGAGTTGGAGACACTCGATGGGTAGATGGGAGAGGGAGTCCATTGCGTGGTGCCTGTTGGGTGTGTAGGGGAGTTGGATGGGGAATGGAATGGACAATGGAAAGAAGGAAATGAAGGAATGATGAGTGACGATGGAGATTGAATGGGGGTGTGTGTGTGTACGAGTGAGAAAAAGAAGAGGAGAAGGGTTGTACCAATTTCTCCTTGTTTCTTGACTACGCCTCAAAGGTCATGCCCATAATCCAACACACAAAAATCTAGGGCTTATGAACATCTTTGCTCCAATCCGTCCTCCCTCCTTCCTTACTCTGAGACAGACAAAGACCAGAGATGGTGCCTGTATTTCTCTCTCCTCTTCCATCAGTTTATCTCCTCTTGGCACTGTTACAGCATTGCACGGCGAGAGAGACCCGTTTCCAAGGTTGCATCTTGGCCATGGATACTATTGATACTAAGCGAAAAAATAGTGGCAAGACATCAATAATCATCATCATTCTTTTTTATTGAACGCGTCGCGTTCACCAAAAGAACACCGCTTGTTGAGGGGGTTTTTTTCTGCTCTTCGTGCCAAATGATCTCGTGCATCCTTTGTGCACACCTGACAAAGCCAGGCGAGCGGGCCGCAAGGCTTGCGAGACGGCCAGGTTTGATAACAGACGTATCAATCCTTTTCTTGATAGGATCGAACGGTAATTGGAGTTGCATGTGTTTATTACGCACGAAAGAGTCCCTTGGGAGGGGCGGTATGTTGGCATGCTAGGTATATCTAAAGCATGTAGACGACAGACAGAAGGACACCTGCAGCCGCAAGTAACATCGACGAAGTGGCACCCACAGAAACAGAAGCAGCGTTCACAACCGTGTTCGGCTGTTGCTGCTGCTTGGTTGGTGGCGTAGTGGCGCCATTGGCACCTTTTGCAGGGACAGGGACAACACCTGCGGCAGCAGGGGTATTCCCTTTCTTTTCCGTGACCTTGGCTGCTGAATTGACCTCCTGGGCATGCTTTGGCTTGACGGTTTCACCAGCTGCATTTCTTTCCTTAGTCTTCTTGTCGTCCATTGCATCCTTGGGCGACGCATCTGCATCTGCGGCTGGGGTGGTCTTTTCTTTCTTGGCCTTGGGGACCAGGGGAGGGTTGATACCGCCGGGGTTGATGGATACGCACATCTTCTCGCCAGTGTCGAGGTTCATGCAGTCCTTGCGCAACTTCTCGTTGTAATGGAGAAGGTCCTTGAATGTGATGTTGTAGTCCCTTGCGAAATCAGTGCATGCATCGTATTTAGCTAGTTTGTTGAAAGAGGGAGTGAGGGCAAAGGAGTGAGGGCGAGATTACGCGATAGCTTTTGCGCCATTTTTTGTGTGTTTTCATTCGATTTGTTAATAGCTTACGATCAACGACAACAGTCTTTGTGCACTCCTTGATGGGAATGGGGACAACGGCCATGGCCTGGGACACGGCAAACGAAAACAGAGCGAGGGTCAAAGCATTCTTCATTTTTTTACTGGAGATATGAGATTGGATTGTGGAGATATGGGTTGATGATGGAGTAAGAAGTGGGAAATGGTTGATGGATGGAGGATCTAGAGGTGTCTTTATAGGAGATAACGGGCTGCAACGGCTTTTGAGAAAATATTAGAGCGCGTGTGCTGGTTGCTCTGGATTGATGACCAACGGTACTACGGTGCAGAGGTAGTGGTGCACATTGGCATTTTTCCGCTTTTTAGTCGGGGCTTTTGGACTCGTTGCAGAGAGGAAGGAATGATCTTGGCTGGAGACAAAAAACGTGCAGTAGCCGACTTGTTCTTTCTTGTTGACCCTGGCATCCAGTGCTGGTTTGGGCAGGCAGACAGGCGGACAAGATAGTTGATATCAATTAATAGGTTGCTTGTGAGATAACGGTCAGAGGTGGTGTTGGGTGACATGTAGCATTATGAGAAACGATTTCCTGTTTTCTGGTATCGCATGCGAGAAAAGAACAATGGTACGAGACAGGGCATGTTTGTGTCGGCAAGAGGATTCCACAGGGTGGTCCGAGTGTGTCCGAGCGACGTGAGCGACGTGCACTTGTAGAAGGAATGACTGCCCCTCAAGAGCAGTCCATCTCTCTGCTCTCGCATAAAAACGCCAAAATGCAATGGCCCACCCTTTCTAACTGTTTGACCACCAGAAGAACCCACCCCACCCACCATTCGACCCATTCTTACTTGCCCTTTTGCTTCACAGCCAAAACCATTCACTAACCCATGACAGACCACTCTACACTCTTGCTCAAAAAGCAGCTCAAAGGTAATAATATACTCTACTAAGTACCCGCCTCATGGACGAAAAGGACACTGATTCACACTGGCAGTGGTTAGGCATAATGTCTCGGCCCAAGAAAAAAAAAAAAAAAAAAAAGAAGGTTCCTTTGGACGTACCATGGCCACGCACGCAACATACTCACTTACAGAAGGAGAGCGTAAGGACGAACAAGGATAAAGGAAGGTTGAGGAGCTCAAAACCATTACTTTCTTTTACAAGTTCATTGACAGCTTTGGTCACCCACAGTGGTGAGATGTCGATCTCACACTCGCCACCAGAAGAAAGACCTCGCTCACCGTGCACTGACTGAAAGACAGAGAACAGAGTTCGTCCCTGTTGTCAGCAAAGAGGGGGATGAACGACGGAGAAAAAAAAATGACACTTCTGTCCCACTTTGTTGCTTTGTGCCTTCTCCATGCTCCCCTCTCCGCTCTTGTGCTGCGGTCTGTTCACTTCCACCCCCCTTTCCTCCTTCCACAGGTCTAACACACCCCTTTATCGAATCCTGATTCACGCATGGGACGGAAATGAATGACCACGCAAGAGTCTCGCTTGTGAACAGTCGACAACCAAGAGAAAGAGAGTGAATGGGAAGGAGGGGGAGGAGGTTGCCAGAATGAGCCCACAACCCTCTAGGATGTCTTTTAGTGGTTGGGTGTATGCGGCTCAACTGACCTCACCAACTAACATTTTACCACCCTTCGTTCGATTTTGTGTGTGTGTAGAGCTTACCAAGCGCCCGGTCGAGGGTTTCTCTGCTGGCCTTGTCGACGACAACAATATTTTTGAGGTATGGAAGCCTATTCGACGTTTTCAAATAAAGAACGTCTCTTGGTTGCTCTTTGTTGCTGTTGACTGAGGCTAACACCGATCCCTCAACCCTTCTTCCTCTTTATTCTCCTTGTGTTTAATATCAAATAGTGGGAGATCATGATCATGGGCCCACACGACACTCTCTAGTAAGGTTCAATATCAACAATGCTGTTGCACTGCTCGCACATCGACATACACACGCACACACAAGAAAAAATAAGACCAGCGGAGAAACAAGATTGCTTCCTTGTTTTCATTATTATTTCGGCAAGCATTTCAGTGGCACGAACGCACGCACTTTCACGCGAAACATACGACGCAAAAGCAACATGGAGGAGGGGCTATTTTTATCAAATCGACATTTTCTTCAGCAAAAGGAGGGCTCAAACTTGCGTACAAGGGCAATCCATCTGTTTTATCTTGTTCTTTTCAATTCAACCATCCCAATAGGACGACACCAGCAACGAAAAAAATATCAACAGACAAATCAGATCAATCTGGACTACCAGCCCTTGTCGATTCGATTTTACTGTCGTTTCCGACAAGGACTTGGGAGAAGTGGGAGGAAAGTGGAGAGAAAGAGGAAACTGGGAGGATGACGGATGCCAATTTGCACAAATATCCTACCCCTGGCGTCTTAACCCCTGCACCAACTTTTTGTTTCTTCTCGTTCTTATCGGACATGCTGTCGATGCATCATCAGTTGTTTCGAGATGTTCCCAGCAAGCGGACTAATTGTTCTTGTACCTTTTTGTGTCTCGCAATCGAACCACCCTTTTTATAGTGAGGGCGGCTTCTTCAGGGCCATCATGACCTTCCCAACGGAATATCCTCTCATGCCCCCAAAGATGCGCTTCACAACCGATATTTACCACCCCAATGGTACGCATGGACATTAGATATACACCTGAGTGAAATGAGTTGCTCCAGCGAGTCAAAAGTCAACATACTCATTGCATTGTCTCTCATTTTATTTCGCATTGTAATAGTCTACCCCAACGGCGAGGTGTGCATTTCCATCTTGGTAAGCGAGTCCGCCAGACCCACCACTACAGGAGATCACAATGGATAATCTTACCACAACCACGACAGGTCATTGGTACTTAATCATCTTTTATCTGCCCTGTGGATGTGTTGATAGCACCCTCCAGGTGAGGACAAGTACGGTTACGAGCAGGCGAGCGAGCGTTGGTCCCCAGTCCACACCGTCGAGACCATCCTGATCAGTGTCATCTCGATGTTGTCCAGCCCCAACGACGAGAGTCCAGCCAACATTGAGGCCGCAGTAAGTCCTTCTCTGTCCGGATCTAATCGTTGCAAGTATTGTCATTGTCAATTATTAAATAACGTACTAACTATGACTATCAACTCTCTATGGGTTCAATAGAAAGAGTGGCGCGAGAACTATCCGTCGTACAAGAAGAAGGTTCAGCGCATTGCAAGACGCTCGGCGGAGGAAATGTAAAAACGACGTGCTGAAAAAAAAAGTTCGAGGCTACAATGACTGCTTCAACTACAGTGTCAACATGCGCGCGTAGGCGTGGACTGGTTGGTGAGGCGGACGTATTGCCAGAAATACAAAGGACATACCAGCGTCAGGCGTGGACGGCGTTATTTTTCACAACCAGGAGAGTACTGCCAACCAACAAACAACAACCATAAACATTATCAACAAATGCCGAAAAAACAAATGAATAAACAACAATTTTAGCAAAGATCAAGACGCATTGGATACACGGTCAAAAGCGGGTCTCGTCGGGAGACGGATATGTATTATTGGTTTTGTTTGCGAGTAGTGTAGGATGGATGCAAAAGGAAGGGAGAGAGTGTGCTGTCTGCTAGCTGTGAATATTAGGGTCGATACGCGGCGCGCGGGATGGATATGTGATGATGGGAATGCCACACTGCTGCTTAGAAGCCAAAGTCGCCAAGGCTGAGGTCGCCAGAACCGAGGTCAAGTTCGATCCGCTCGGCATTCTTGGTTTCTCGTGCCCTTTTGGTCTCTGGGTCCTCGACTTCATGGACATTATCACCTCCGTCATTGCCGTCTTCGTCCCCGTCATGGTCATCTCCATCCTCGTAGTTGTTGTCCTGGTAGTTCAAGTGCTCCTCACACTCTTCAGCGACGGCCTTGGAGATCAGGTCGTCCTTGGAGGTGGACTGGGGCAGCCGGTCGGCTGAGGCTGAAGGAGATTTCGAGGATGTGAAGAGGGATGAGACGGCGCCAATGATGCTTGTCCGCTTCTCGACTGGTTTCTCTGGCGCAGGAGCGGCTGGAGCAGCGGGTTCCTGTACACCCTCTGAGAAAGCGGCCGATGGCGCACCAGAAGCAGAGACGTCACTTGTCCTGGCCTCCTTCTCTGACACACTCTCCTCCTGGTTTCTGTTGGCTGCAATATTAGCAGTAGTGGATGCGACAGCAATGGCAGCGACGGCGGCTGGATCGCTAATATCCAATTGTGCAATCTCATTATCACTGGCCTCCCTTGTCCCCTTATCATCACCTTCAGCACCAGACCCCGTTTTTTCGGCAAGGCTTCCGGCCTGCCTCCTGCGCAAGATCTCGATCTGGAGGGCACTGTTCATGGCAGCGAACCCTCTGCGGGCATCCTCCATATTCCCGAAGCTGGAATAAAGGCCTATGCCCCAGCCCGTGTACCGCTCTCCCTGGGTAAATTCTGTCGCTGTCCCGTTGTGTGTGCTCGCCAGTTGGAAGTAGTGTGTGCCCTGTTTTGTTGGTGTGTTTAGGAAGGAGGGAAGAAGATAGAGGGTTTGTTAGTGAAGGATCGATGAGAGGGTAACAAGGAACTTGATAAACGAAGAGATTAGCAAGAGAGTGAGAGGGAGGGGGCTTACGTCGACGAAGCCCTTGAGGCCGGCGGGGGTGAACCATTCTAGACACGAGTTGGGTTCGAGTTTAATGATCCTTGGGGACCATGTGGAAGCTAATTTGATTTAATACATTATGGGTTAAACAAGGTACACACTCACGTTCCGTTGAAGCACACGCCCTCACTATATTCGTAACAAAGTGCAAATATGACTTACAGAGTGGTGCTCCACAAAAGACCCTCCTGGGTAGCCTCACCTTGATGCTAAGCGATTCTCCCTCTACAAAGCAACCAATTCATGAAAGGTAACAAGAAAAAGTTCTGTGAGAAAAAAATAGTGACGAAAGAAAGTGTCGATCTGAGAGCATCGAAGAACAAACATACCGGCGAGCTTGCCCTTGACAGAGGTGAACATGGGATTCCAGTAGTGGTAGTTGTCAAAGTCCGTGAGGACACTCCACACGTCGGTTGGAGACGCTTGTATGCTGATGCTGACCTTGTTTTCCTTCATTGTTGTTTGTTTGTGGTTGGGTTTAGGGAGGGGTAGCAGGGTGCTGTTTGCTGTGCGAAGGGAGAGGGATTGACACGGGTGGGTTATTGGGGGAAGGGTATAAGAGTCGACGGCGATGTGAAAAGTAGGTCAATGGAGTCGATTAAGTTGAAGGGTAGAGTGAGGTTCAAAAGTGGATGGATGGAATCGAGTGAGTCAATGGGTTGAAGAGTGGAAAAAAAAGAAAAGAACAGTTGTTAGGCCATGGTCGAACAAGTGGCAAAAAATATATGTGTCCTGCACCCTAACGCACCCGTTGATTCATGAGCTTCTTGCTCTTGCTCTTTTTCTCTCTCCTTTCTTCCTTTTCATTCTCTCGTCTTTCGCTCGAAAAGAAGTAATTTTTCTCGCTCCTTCTTTCATAGCGCGGGCGCAACATGGGACAAGGTCCTATTGACAGATATTCAAGATAAATTTCTTTTCTCATTCACGGAGGTGTTTTATGATTTCAAGGGGACAGGAATACGAACACACCGGCCATCCATCCCATCCTTGCATATCCCTCTCGATAGATGTCTTTTCTGTATCAGGCACGTCTGTTTACATGGTAGACGGTGTGTTGGTCATGATTCTGTCGATGGAAAGAGTGCCAGGTCCGCGAGGGAAGAGAGTGACACAATGGGGTTATTCCCAGTCGCCTCTATTACGTCTAGACTTTTATCAAAGAACTTTCAAGAGGCCTGAGTTTATTATTTCTTCATTGTACACCGACTGGAATTTTTTTGCGATACGCGTCAAAAATAGGGAGAGAGGGCTATGAATTAGTATTGTGTCGTCGCGAGTCGTCTCACCTCACGAAGGTAAAAATACATTCGACGCGCTGTATTATTAAACAGTCGGTTACAACAATTCAATCGATATGGGCTGTAGTCGTTTTTTTTTTGTGTTATTGGAGCAAGCAGAGCCAGCACATAGCAGAGAATAAAAAAAAAAAGAGTACACAGAAAGAGAGACAAGACAAATGTACGGCGCTGTACATTGACAGGCTCATTGTGTCCCATTTATCCATCTTCGTCGCTCTTACCTCTCTCACTTCTTCGACTCTCTCTCTTCAAAAAAAGTCCAAATTAAAAAAAAGAGTCAATGCCAAGGGTGCAGCCTTGTCTGTTTGGCTGGCTGTTGCAAAAATAACAAACATAGTTGAGACTCTTGAGAGTGCATGGGACGAGAGCATGTGTCTGTCGAAAATTTAAAGGCATGAATGAGTATCCGTTTGCATTTCTTTCTTGTGCAGGTTGGTAATAGGCAAAGCCAAGAGCTTTCACTATATGCGTATGTGTGTGCGTTATGAGGCTACATATATGCGTGTTGCTCGAATCTAGAAGCCGACCCATAGACGAAGTGTAACTGACCTACAATAGCCAGACCGTCTCTCTCCCTCCCTCTATCTTCATCATGGCAAGTGTTTCAAAAAAAGCCAACCGACTGTCGGCTGTCGGCCCTTTAGTCCTTGTGCATGTTAGCCCTTATCATCTTGTGTTTCTTCGCGCCTTTCCAATAATTTCCTGTCAGGTTGGACCAGAAGAGTATGTATCCGTGCATCCATCCATACTATTTTATTTTCCGCACGCCGTCCCTTCGCGACTCGAGAAAATAAAGAGTAGGAAGAATAACGGATACTATCCCGTGCCTGAACTTCTGATCCCCAAAGAATGGCGAATTGCCAACAGTAAGACGAGGATGGCAAAGAAATTGAATCTTAGCAAGTACGATGACGATTGCGAAAATATGGGAAGGGAAAAGGGCTATCAACAACAGTAGGAGGGCCAAGACATGGGCTGAAAAGGCAAGAAAGAAGTAGAAACCAACCCACGGTATGGCCAAGTACAGAGAAAACATAATCGAGAGTGTATGTTCGTCGGCTCTTGTACTATTTTCGTTTGTTCAAACTGGCAGGGGAAAGGTTTCGATTTCAAATTTTCCTTGTGTAACATGGCATTGAAATAGACAATGGAGATGGAAGGGAGGAGTGAAGGAGCATGTACCCATCATGCCATGGTGTGTCAGAGAGACGAAGTGAAAAAAAAGATGGTCAATTTGTCGACTCCATCGTACATTTATTGTCTTCGCCAGTCTCTAGTGTACATCTAAACGAAAGAGACATAAAAGCAAGGGAGAGAACGTGCAATTAGGATGTCAATGTAGGTTGAGGCGAGGGACGAGGTGTAAACAGAGAAGCAGGAGAGAGTGTGTTGATCACCACCATTGGTCGGTCGCGTAACACCAAAAGGATTGACAAAGAAAACCAAAAGCAAAGGCGTTATGAGCACGGATGGGCGATGTACCCATGCGTGGTTGACAAAGCAAAAGGGGCTGGAAGAAGAGTCTAAAAAAGGAGTAATGAAAAAAGAAGTGTGGGCAAAGTTCAAGGACCTTTCCAAGATCCATCAAGTTGACTCACCATGAAAAGAATGATCTCGTTTTGTATCCCCCACTCGCCACATACTTGCAACAAACTAGACCTTCAATGCGCCTCCAATTGCGATCGTTTTCTCTAGTCTGTATATCTCGCCGCAGCAAAACAAAGTCCTGTTTTGCCGAAAGCTAGAGTGTACTTCCAGCGGAGTAGCGAGTAAACGGGATCATGGTCAACAGTGTTGAAGTACGAGGAGAGACCTTTTCTTTAGAATCATTCTTTCTACTCTCGTCTCTCTCAATCTCTTTAGGTCATTACCTGTCGCTCTTTGTTGTTCAGATCACTCAATCGGCTATGACATAGGAAAGGAAGCGAATGGCAACAAAGCGTCAATAACCAACAACACAACATACATGACCAACTCATTGTCATACCTCCGAATGAATTTTTTGATGCACCAAACATCAAACCCATGCAACTAACTAACTCGACCAAAGACGTGAGTGACGAAGGCAACCCATCCTCTGCAGCCGATCGGACAGAACAGAGTACCAAACCCCGTCCACCCACTCGCCTATATACACAAAAAAGTTAACAAAAGGACAACGGCGTCGACCGACCCATGCCACACCTGTAAGGGTGCGTCATGTGTAACACTAGAGAAACAAGGGCTCCTAACTGAGGTTACAATTGAACAGAGACTAAAGGTCAAGGCGTGAGGCTTTGATTTTTCTGGGCAAACAAAAAAAGACGTGGATCGTGCTGCGGCTGCGCTTTCCCTCCTCTTCGTCATCAAACATGTATGAAGCAACAAAGTATGGTCCGTCAAGCGAGGAATGAAAGAATGACAAGAATTTGTCATTTTTGTCCTGGAAAACAAACAAAACGTGCACCAACAGCGTAACAGCTGAGATGGGTGCAATTGAGAAGGACCCTGTCTGTTTGATTTTCTGTAGCTGTTGGATCAGGAGAAGGAAGCGCAACTGTAACAACCACAGAGTATGAAAGCAGAGGATGCAACAGGTGCGACGGAGAGGAGGGTTGGGATAGGAAGGCAAAGGCACAACGATTTTACGCTGCGCAGCTGTGACTCCAGGCGGCATTCCAAGAAATTCTAATCGCGCACACTCTGCCAGTCTTTCACTTCGTTAGCTTTCTGACTATGCAGCAATACGGCGGAAGCAAGTGGAGGTAGCAGCAGACAGGCAGTGATCGTGATAAATGTAGACACGTCTCTCACTTCCCTCCCTCTCTCACTCTATTTCAAACTACCCGCATTACTTTACTTCTGTTCATTGCCCTACGTCTCTCTCGCGTGGATGTCAACAAACGGCAAAATACCTACACAGCAACGCCCAATGGAAAATAATAAACGTGTTCGAAATACAGTTTTGCGCTTCTGTTGCGCAACTCCTCCTAAAGGGCATTTCTAAGCATTTCGAAGCCATAAGCATTAGCCTCTCTTCTTCTAATAAGCGTCACAAAGGAGGTGGCACAGGTCATTATCCGTCAGCATGCAATGCAGTGTATGTGTGTTTTTAGGTGCGCAAATGTGGCAGTGCTCACACCTTTCACTTTTGATTTTCTGTGAATAGCCTTACCTTACATATATTTTATTTCTGCGACAACTAGAATACTTTTCCGTGTTTCGCGATAGCTCAAAATAGCCCGCCTCCATTGTTCTGGTCTAGGATGGGGGTGGAGAGAGAAGAGAAATAGGATGGGGCAAGGCAACTGCACAGTCGAAAGGAATTATGGTCAGTGTGGCTAAACGAGAAAGAGTGAGACAAGAAAGAATGTGACTAACGGTATGTGAGACAGGTAGACGTATCAAGAGGGACGAAGTAAGGAAGAAGGAAAGTAATGCTCACAAATGCGTGGCTGGTAAGGACATACAAGGTCTGTTGCATGTTCGAGGACCGAAGGAAAAGGTAACACTCGAAGGGAGGAAGACAGGGTGTAGAAGCGTTTGTTGTATACTCTCGATATACCCTTTTTCATTTCTCTCCGTACGCCCTTTGTATTGCGCGGTTCTTCCCCATGTCGATTAAGGTAAATGGCAACAACAACGTCTATTCATAACTATAGCCTATATATGTTGAGGACTAGATGATTATTTGTCTGTTAGGAAACGCGAATCTCGACTTCGCCAAGGCAGACAACTTCTCCATCTTTTCGTTTGTTGCCCAATTTCAACTCCCTCACTTTCTCCAAGGAATCTTCCCACCTACCAAAATAGCTCCCAATCACACTTCTCCTCGCCTACATCTCTCCTTGACTCGCTCTTGTAAAATATAAGCCGAAACGCTATCTCGTTGTTTTTGGCGTGCTGGTTTTGGACAAATTGAACAGGGACCGGACCCTCTTTTGCCATCAGAAAAGATGAGGGCTGCAAGGGGCTTGGCGCTTTGTCCCACCCTACTCTTTTTATGTACCGACAGGGGGCTAAATTGACTGAATCGTACGGATAGCTGGATGAAAGTAATCCCCCTTCTTGCGTTCCATAGTGTTCATGGAAATGAAAACAAAACACAAACAACAGGCCTTCAACTCCTCCCGGTTCAACTCCTCCATGAAGGCAAAACATAAAAAATAAACAAACGAC